AAGAAGAAGAAATTTTGGTATTTGTTAACTAGAGCTTTCAGTTCTTTATATCTTTCGCAAAATTGAAGAAAAAATAAACTTAAAATCAAGTTTCTTTAACTTAGTTCTTGGGACCTTTATCTCAATGCACGTAAAGATTGACGAAAAAGTTAAACATAAAAATTAATGTTCGTGGACTTGATAGTTGGGTTCACTCTCTCTCGATGATTTAGTTGACAGGAAAAAAAAAAACATAAAACCGTGTTTGCCAACTTAATTATATTGGGAGTCGACTAGCAATATCTTCATCTAGGTTTTTCCTTGTTTTGTTATCTCAATGCCAAGGTCAAATATTTTTAAATATAAAGTTGAGTGCCATCGATTTGATAGGCTTTTTTGAAGCCTAAATATAACAAGTTTATTTAAGTTTGTCACGGGACTTGATCACCGGCCTCTTTATCTCGATGCTTAGGTCGGTAACAAATTAACAAGAATAAACATCACCTTTAGTTTAGACAACATGATCATTGGGATTTTTATCTTGATGAATGTAACTTGGACAAAAAAATCTTGGACACCATTGAGTTTTGGCGACCTGGTTATCAATCTGTTAAGTGACTGGTAAAAAAATATAGAAGATGGTTTGAAAAAAATGATCTCTTCTTTCAGAAAGATAAAAGAAAATGAAAGTCACATTCAGGAATTCACCCTTCCAATTTCCCGCCATCATCGACATAAATTTGGTACCTATGAGATGAGCGGATGTAATTGCAATGGAAGTTCTATTACTTTACCCCTAACTAAAAAGTTTTATGCATCCTTTACGTGTACATCGATGTCAAAATTTTCATCGAAAAGATATATAATCCCTCCGGTCCTTATTATAAAGTATTTTAATTTGTTCTAAGTTTCATCTAGAATGTCTTTTTAATTGAAATAAAAACCTTAAAGCATCTCCTAATAATTAGGAGAACACGAAGAATGTGAAAATATATTTTTAAGATTTTTTTTCCAATTAAAAACACATCTTAAGTGAAACCTAAGACAAAATTAAAATGCCTTATAACGCGATTTACACCTTCATCCGCCATGGCTGTAGCAGAAAACCAAAAAATAAGATGGCATGAAACACAAAAAAAAATTCACCCAAAAAGGGACAAAACCATAGGAATTTATTAATGTAGTACCTCAGAAGAGAGTACTAGAGCAGCGAGAAAGGGTTTTAAAATTCACCGAAAGCTAAAGAGCGGCAGCTTGTGAAGATTGATTTGATGAGGGTCGAGATTTATTTATTTATATATAGCACGAGTACTAGGGTTGCTCGGCTAATGTTACCTTTGTTTCGTTTCATAATTAATACAGTTCCAAATATATTGGAAACCTAATGCAATTCCTATTTGTGTTTTTTCTTTGTAGCAAACGGATTGTAACAATTACCGACACGAATAATCGTTAACATGTGACTTGTGAGTCTATAAATTTAGAGGTAACGGACTTAATAAAACGATACTCAAATACTTGATTTCGTGCTGCGTGAATAATTATTATTAATTATATAAAATTTGTGAATATTGATATATCATTTATCCGGTCCATCTCAAAAATATTATTCACTTTCGATTTTCATTTTTAGTTAAAAATTATACTAATCGTGAAATCTCAAATTAGACAATAATTTTGAGACAAAGTGGGTAGTTTGTAAATATGTATAATGAATAATTAACCCGTTTGTAAATATTAATAGTTAGATTTATAAAGGAAACTACTAATATAATTATAGAACTTTTTTTTGGTACAATGAAAGAGGTTAATGCTTAAAGTACTAGACCAATAAACAATCAAATTTTCTAGAGCTATGAATACAAACAATAAAATTCGCTACTAAAGACAAGTGATAATCACATTGTAGTTGTCCAACTCCAACGCTACACAAGATCGTTCTTTAAACTTTATAGCCTTTCTGGTCTTGGAATCTCCTATGCTCAAAATGGATGAGAAGAAAGGAGACGATATCTTAAAGGCTACTTAGGATGATAGATCCCAAGGCCGCGGCTTCATCCATGGCTTCGTCATCATCAGTTGGACCACCATCACCTCGCCACCGAGCTTCTGGTTCCTCGGGAAAAAAGACTTCTCCTTGGACTGATATTGTTGTTCTCGATAATTAGATCTTCCTTAGATCAAACTCATTTATTCTTTCATCATAATCTCGTGATTTTTTAGTAGGACTATCCATGATCACCACCGCTTTATGTTTTGTTGGGTCAAGCGTAGTTTTAACTGGAACAACATATTGTTGCACCTTATAATTATAGAACCTTAATTCTATCGCATTATTAAATTTTTATTTTAAAAACTTATTATTACATGATCAAGTAAGGACCTGTTTGATTCCAATTCAGCACTTAAACTTAATTGATTGGCACTGTTTGATAGCACAATCTCATTACAACTTAATTGATTAAGAACTTAACTAATTAAGAAATACTTAAATTTTAAGTGCGTTTAATAAGTCATATTAGGATGTCTTAATAAATTAAGTGAGTCTGAAATGCTACTATAAATGTGAGTCTAAAAATAAGTGATAGACCTATCACTTATGTCTAAACTGAATTTTTGAGACGATTTTTTTTTCTATTTATTTACTTTTATGTATATACTTTTGATATTTTATCTTGAAATATTTTTATTAATCTTAGTGTTTAATTATAAATTGAAATTTATTAAATTATTTTTATTTAATAAATATTTATTTTAATATAAAAAATTAAAATACTAATGTAGTCTATTATAAATATATATTTATTTATCATGAAGATATGGTATTTGTTTTGACAATGATAAAGATGTGATATTATTATTAACTAAAAAGAATGATTACATGATAAAATTTAAATATTTTTATCCCATAATTTTATAATAATACTATTATCTTATAATCATAGTTTCATATATATATATAAATTATTTTTTTAGATAAAATTATAAGTCGAGATAGCTTAATTTCAGTGTTGAGACTTCAGATTTCAGACATTTATTCAGTTTTCAGATTTTGAGTTTTATCAAACAAGACAAACTTAATCAGTTCAGCACTTATGATTCAATCTTCAGATTTCAGACTTCAGACCCAAATTAAGTTTTATCAAACGATGCCTTAAGATATAATAATCCGTATCCGTAAAAGCTATAATATTGTTTTTCAAAACACAAACCAATTTTTTCATTGGCTTCTTTCTCAATACTGAAGTTTATGAATGAATTTTGAACATATATAGTCTGAGATTTGTCGACTTTGTACGTAAATTTTTTTCAAAAAAAAGAGGATTGTCGACTTTTGCATCGTGTTCATTACATCGACAAAAAGTCAACTAAAAAACATGCAAAAAAAACTTGGGATCGTCAATTTGATCCTCGGGTTCATTGCTTCGACGCCAAGGTCAACGAAAAGCCACTAACAAAAGTGTAGCGACAGGCTCATTATATCGACGCCAAGGCGATGAAAAACGTGAACAAAATAATAGAGGTTTGGGGTGTTGGGTTCATTAACTCTATGTCTAAGTCGATAGACGTTCAAAAAAGGGGAAAAAAAAATCGATATACAAAAGTCAATATAGAAGTTAAGTTCGTCGACTTGGTACTTGTTAGATTTTTCCTAATGTCTAAATCGATAAACAAAAATGAATATAAATTATTCATTTCGTCTTGAAATTATTGTCCAATTTAAATTTTTTATTTTATAACAAATTGAACTAAAAGTGAAATTTCATACTGAACAATAATTTTTGAACAAAGGGAGTAGAATTTCATTGACTATATCATTGAGATTTTATCCTTATACTTGACGAACCCAAAAAAAATATATAATTGTCGGTTATTAATCTCAATGCGTGTGTTGTCAAAACAAAAATTTAAAATAAAATATATTGAGGTTTATCAGCTTGACCTTCGGGTTCTTTATCTTGATATCAAAGTCAACAAACTAGAATAAACATAAAATGTGGTTAATTAGTTGTAGAAAAAAACAACATAACCTTTAGTTTTATCGAGTTGCTTTCGCGATTATTATCAAGAACAAGATGAAACATAAAATTTTGGCTCGTCAACTTGTTTGTTGAGTTATTTATTTAAAAGCCTATGAATATATATAAATTCAGGTTCGGTGACCTTGTCATCAGTTTTTTTTACCGCGACAACAAAGTTGACCGAACAAATAAACATAAATAAATGATCGTCGACTTTGTTGTCCAGTTTATTATCTCGACGACTAAGTCGATGAAAGAAATAAACAAGCAATTTTAGTTTGTCGAATTTTCTGTCGGGATCTCTACGTCGACCATAAACTTGATGAAAAAAATATACATAATGGTGATCGTCGACCACGTACTCTGGTTCTTTATATCGACCAACAACTTAACATAAGATTGGTGTTCGTCAACTTGGTCATCAGGTTCATTATATATTGATAGAGAAGCGGACAAAAAAACGAAAAGAAATATCAATGTTTGTTGACTTGAGCGTTCAGTTTTTCATATCCTTAGCAACATTGGAAAAAAAAAAAAAAAAAACTTAAAATCAAGTTTCTTTAACTTAGTTTTTGGGATCTTTACCTAGATGCATGTAAACATTGACGAAGAAGGTAAACATAAAAATTAATGTTCTTAGACTTGATAGTCGGGTTCATTATCTCGATCATATAGTAGACAGGAAAAAAACAAAAAATCGGCGTTTGCCAACTTGATTATTGGGCTCCTAAAATATTGTCTAAGTCGACCAGCAATATCTTCATCAAGTTTTTTTTCGCTTGTTTTATCATCTTTTTAAAGTTGAGTGCCATCGATTTGATAGGCATTTAGCCTAAATATATCAAGTTTATTTAATTTCGTCACGGGACTTGATCACCAGCCTCTTTATCTCGATGCTTAGGTCGTAACAAACTAACAAAAATAAAGATCACCTTTAGTATAGCCAACATGATCATTGGGATTTTTATATTGATGCATGTAACTTGGAGAAAAAATCTTGGACGGTAAAAATAAAAACAAAAATATTTGAAAAAAGAAATACTAGAAAATAGATAAAAAGTCCAAAAACGCAATTGGTAAGGGTCAAAAAATCAAAAAAGACAAAAAAACGCATCCCATCGTCTGTCCTGCAGCACTGGGTGACTGAAACGCCGTGGCCATGGCGGCTTCTCTCCGGTCAAATTTCAGCTTCCTCAACCCTCACCTTTTCACTCACACTCATCCTAAATTCACCACGAGAAGAAGATGCTTCGTTCCCATAGTCTGCGGAAGACGGGACAACCGTGGTCCTCTGCAGAAAGGCCGAGTTCTAAGCATCGAAGCCATCCAAGCCGTCCAATCCCTCAAAAGGGTTCACAGAACCGACCCGAATAACCTCAAAAACTCCGAAGCGATCCTCTCCCGCCTCATCAAAGCCGACCTCATTGCGACCTTCAATGAGCTGCTGCGGCAGGAGCAGATTGAAATCGCCCTCAAGGTATTCTCCGCTATCCGATCCGAATACAATCCGGATTTGGGTCTGTACGCGGATTTGGTTACGGGTTTGGATAAGAAAGGACTGACGAAGGAGATTGACGATCTGGTGTGCGAATTGGAGGAGGCGGCGGGGGGCGGAATTGATTGGGATGACAAAGGCTTGGTGGCGCTGGTTAGAGCGTTGATTGCAGCTGACAGAGCGGAATCGACGGTCAGGATTTACGGGCTGATGAAGAGAAACGGGTGGGGCTCCAATTCGGAGTCGATGGATGAGTATCTTGCTAAAGTTTTGATCAGAGGGTTGAGGCTATTTGGGGAGGAGGATTTGGCAGATGAGATTGATGAGAAATTAAAGAGATTGTATAAGGGTGTCCTGGGTAGTGGGTTCACAGTAGTATGATTCGTGGACTTTTTCTGGTTTGAATTTTGATTTACAATATCAGAAACATTACAGAGTGAAATTATTCTGCTTTACTCTATTGTCACATTATTAGTTACAGTATTATATTTCTTCCGTTGAACCCTACTTCATGGCCTAGTTGATGTTTTGAATTCCCAGGAGAGATGATAAAAGTGCTTCCAAGACAGTGAATCACAGTATCGCACAATGGTGGTGGTTGTTACTCTGAATTTTTTTGTGCTGGGGGAATGTAACAATTAAAATGCTGGCAAATGGAATTCTTATACTCTCATTTCACGAAATAATTATCTGGTTTCATTTGGGACGGATGAATTAATAATGTATTCTTGTTTCAAAAAGTTCTGTGAAAAAAGAAAAAATCAAGAGATGATCAAATTCATTCACTGGCATTTTGATCATCTGCAATTTTGGAGCAAGAACAAAAACGAAGGAGTAGAAAGCCGACTGGAACAACTGGGCTTCGTTGGAACATAATTTGTATAACAGGGCCCAAATTGTATTGGTCACTTTTATGGGCTTCATGTTAGATGTGGCAGACTCTGTAATCTAAAACCAGAAGTCTGAAACTTTTCGTTTTATTTCGGGGTATATATATATATATATATATATATATATATATATATATATATATTTTATTAGCGACCTCATTTGTTTTGCAAATATGAGAATATGTTAGAGTCTTATAAATGGATGATATTTTGGTCCCCCGGCTCTTAATTTTTATCATAATCTTGGCATCAGAAAGTTTTTTTTTTTTTTTTTAAATGATCTCTTCTTTCAGAAAGATAAAAGAAAATGAAAGTCGCATTCAGGAATTCACCCTTCCAAAAAATTTCCCGCCATCATCAACATAAATTTGGTACCTATGAGATGAGCGGATGTAATTGCAATGGAAGTTCTATTACTTTGTCCCTAACTAAAAAGTTTTATGCATCCTTTACGTGTACATCTATGTCAAAATTTTCATCGAAAAGATATATATTGTCTCTGTCCCAAAATTATTGTCCAGTTTGAGATTTTCTTTTTAGTATAATTTGAACTAGACTAGAAATGAAAACTCAAACTGGATAATAATTACGAACTAGAAATGAAATTCCGAATTGGACAATAATTATGGGATGGAAGGAGTATGTGATAACAAAAAGAATAAACAAACATTACTTAATTTATTGTAAATTCTTTTTAACCTCTCCAAGTTGCAATGTTAAATGAGCAAAATGTACGATAACGAGGGACATGTTTGGAGATTCATCTGTTCCATCATTAAGTTGGAGCTGAAGTACTACTAGTGATGGCAAAATGATGAAAAGAATTGATGGGTTAAAATCATTAACAAAGTGCTACTCTACTTTAAGCAGCAAAGTTGCCCCCGACTGTCCAGAAAACTCGGGCTTACTTACAAGGCTACCTAGCTTTCCCAAATTCCGTTCAATTCTTTGGTTTGTGGAGCTTAATTTAGACATTTTATCCCGCTCCTCCTCTTTGAAAGTAGTAGCTGCAAAAAAAAAAAAAAAAGTAAATAAAAGTCATACGGTACAAAAATAACAGTTGAGTCATGTTTTATAATTGTAGATCCAATATTGTTATTTGTTTTTGTATCTTGGGAGTACGTTACATTTTCATAAGTTTCAAGTTGCATGTTGAGAAGTTCTCGTTAGTCCGTAAAATATATCATATTCCCTCCATTTCAAAATAAGTGTCATCTTACACTTTGCACATAGTTTAAGAAACTTTTAAATAAGGTAATAAAATTACTTGAATATCCTCAACCAACCCCACTAAAAAAATGTCCACCAATAGTAGTAATTCTTTTGAGGGTAATTTTAGAAATTTTGGACAAAAAGTGCATTGAAATGTGAGAACGACACTTATTTGAAATTTCTCCATTTTGCTAAAACGACACTTATTTTGAAACGGAGGGAGTACGTTCTAAGGTCTAATACTCTAAATATTTATAAGTTAATCCGATTAAATTTGTGTCACGGCATAAATAATGAAGAAGAAACTTGGATATGTTGTAAAAGTATGCTTGGTAGAAGAAGCCATGGTAAATCATGAGAGAAGGGACGTGAAGCTAGCAAACATCCAGGCTTTGGGAAGGAAAAGAGACGAATTGATCAAAAAGCTAGGTTCATCCATCCTTGTCAAAACGCTTTGAAAGTTGGAATGATACTAACAAAATATTGAATGAGTTCCATCTTAATTAAACACTTCCGACAAATCATTTCTATGTGTACCCTACGTTTAGATTTCAACCCAAGCTCGACTGATCATTTTCGTTTTCTTTTAACCCCCTTTCAATATCTTGACCTTATAATGTTTATTGATCTTCTTCTCCAATAATGCATAATTCATAGCACAAGAAACAGAATTAATGCCGCGTTTATTTTAATTTTAATTTATTTTATTGAAAAAAAAATTAAGGACTAATGCAACAATCGATATCAACATCTATTTAGTTGTCATCCAATACGACCCTTTTACTTTTTAAGCGTTTCATAAATTACACATATGGATAAACTCCTTTTTAAGTGGCAGAAAGAAGTCAAATACATAAAAGTGGTAATTTTACTTATAACTGTTGTTTTCAATTTAGTTTTGGGGCATATTCCAGTACTACATGCTTACTTGTGTGAGGCATCAAAAATAGCTATTTTCCCAATGATGGTTTGGGAAAAGAGCACGCCCATGATATCAAAATTTACACATAATGATGCTGATGATATACATCTGGACCTAACCCTAACCCCAATCCCTAGTTATATTTAACGACCCCAAATCAAGGAAATAAGCTCCCCCCCAAAAAAATGTTTGTTTTTTTTGGCCAGAAAACACTCTCTTCTCATCACCAGCTTTATTTCTGCCCCCACTTTATAATAAAGTTAAAGTGTGAGAATAAAAAGAGCAATATCAGAGAGACAATAATAGTATTTACAATAGATATATTATGAAAGGGGAGATGGAAAGAGAAGAAAAAATTAAAAAACACAAACACCCAAAGCTCTCTCAACCCCACAAGTATGAAATACTACAACTTTGTTGACAAAGACTTCATTTCTGGTTTTTCCTTCTTTCTTTTGATGAGCTAGCCTAGCCCTCCTCTCTCGTCTGATGAGAAAGCAACCACAAAAAACCCTGAAACCGAAAAAAGCTTCAACAAAAGAAAGGCTTGTTTTGGTGCTCAAACAAGGAAAGATTACAAAGTGTGAGAGAAAAGAAAAGCACAGCTAGCAAAAGGGTTTTGTTATTTGTTGCTGTTGTTTCTGCTTGCTAGGCAGAAATGATTCGAGGAGAAAAAAAACAGCTGAATCAATAGTTGTTGTTAATTACCCAGTAGTACTATATATTTTCCCAAATGATGGCAGGAAACCCTAACTGGTGGAGCATGATGAATGGCATGCATCCACAGCCTCATCATCATCAGCAGTTGATCCCAAGTGCTAATACTAATAATAATTCTAGTGCTAATAATACTAGCTATAATCAGTTTTCTAGTACTCCTCCTCCTCTTCTTCCTCCTGGCCAGTATAATTTGTTCGGTGGATCTTCTTCTCTTGACCATCATCCTAACCAAGACTTTCCTCGCTCATGGAGCCAATTACTTCTGTAAAATTTCTTACTACTTTTAGCTTATATTTTGATCATATATTTACTTCTGTTTAGCATCAGTCCTTTCATCACCTTTCTTAGCTGTCTACATATATTCTTCCAGCAAAGTTGGCTTCTTTTTTTTATATATATATGAGTGTGTTTTTTCAAAGTTTAACTTTTTCACTATGTGCCTTTATTTTTTCAAGTTTCTCCATTGGTAAATCACAAATTTTGAGACTTTTAAGTCATGCCCACTTGATTAATAATTTAAATCATGATTACATTCTGCAGAGGTGGGCTGGGAGCTAACAATAATGAAGGCCATGATTCAAGGTTTGTTGGAAGCAGCCCTTTTCATCATCAGAACAAGAAGTTGGAAAACTGGGAAGACCTACAAATTTTGAGTCCAAGTCTGAAGGTTTCTGTTGGTGGTGGTGGTAGCAATGATCATGTTAAACAAGAAGTTGCTCAAACTAACCTAATCTATGGTAGTAAAGCTTCTTCTGCAGATGAGGAATTTCAAGCTGCTGCTTCTAAGCCACCACCAGCTTGGTCACAAGTTGTGCCTGCTTCTTCACCTACCTCTTGTGTTACAAGTTTAAGCAGTAACTTACTCAACTTCTCTGCTAGTAGCAAACCCGAAGCCAGAAATCAACATCAGGAAGCTTCATCCGAGGTAATCTCTCTTTCTATGGGATTTATATATGTTAATTGAGTCATTTTAATTTTGATAAGTTAGTTTCTACATAAGATGGGGAAATCGAAATTCATCGTTTCTGAATAATTTGGTATTTTCTTTCTTCTTTGTTTTTTCTTTTTTGGTACAAAAGTGCAACAGCTCGACAACAGGCAGTGTACATAAGAAGCCTAGGATTCAACATTCCTCAGCTCAACCAGCTCTAAAGGTATAGTAATTGATTCATTTTACAGCTCCCTTCGTCCAAAATAAGAGTCGGGGTTGTAGAACTATCTTAATTTCAGAAACAAGTTTTTTATTTTGGGACGGAAGGAATAATAGATTCTTTGACTCCATATTTGAGTATCATTTGAATTTATTAATATATTCGTCGTAATAAATTTCAGACAACTTCTCATAACATGATATCGGCAGAGGGTTTAACCTAATTTTATATCATTTTTTACCAGGTTAGGAAGGAGAAGCTAGGGGACAGAATTACAGCCCTCCATCAACTTGTTTCCCCATTTGGAAAGGTATGCACAGTTATTAACAAATCTTCATATCTCCAAAAAGCAACCAATATTTTCTACTCTGAAACCTGATCACAAAGCCCATGACTGTGTGATCTTTGTGTTGTAAACCCCAAAAAGAATTGGAAAAACAAAAAAAAAAAAAGGTAGAAGTAAAAAGCTGTGAGGTCAATTAGTTTATGATAAATGCCATAATGTTAAAAAAAAAAGAGTTTAGACTACTACTTAGACAAATTCCCTGTAGTACAATAATGATCCGCTGCTTACTTTTAAGAGAACAAATGTTGATGAGATGAGCTAAATATTCCTCCCCACTTTATCTTAGCTCCCATCTCCCATCTGGTTTTGTCTTTTGAGATTGAGAAGACCCTCTCTGGTTAAAGAGGAAAATACTAACTTTGTGGTGTATTGTGGGCAATGTTTCTCTTTTGCAGACTGACACTGCTTCTGTCTTATCAGAGGCCATTGGTTATATCAGATTCCTTCAAGCCCAAATTGAGGTAAATATTCATCTTACTTGCTTTCCTCTCAACTTTCCAAATTTTAATTCCATATTTCTAATTTTCATTTAGTGGCAGAATTATCTCTAGGGTTTGTCAATTTTCTGACCTCGCTCATCGGGGCCGGAAAAAATTAAAGTGATGATTTCATTATTATTCCCTTAATGCATGCATTAATTATACACATCTAGCCATCCAATCCTCTAAGTTGTTAGTCAATGATGGAAAAGAAAGGAAAAAGAGATGCACAGTATATATATGTGTACAGTATAATCTTTTTCTTTTTGGCTGCTTTTTTTCTTTAAGCAATTACTCACCTGAACCTGAATCTGACGGAATGAATGAATGTGAATTTTTTTCTTTTTGTGCAGGCACTTAGCTTGCCGTACATGGGTAATGTAGCAGGAGGAAGCATGGGTCAGCCTCACCAGCAACAACATTCTGTAAGTACTAATATAATTTTTGCAACCCAAAAAAAAAAAAAAAACGTAAAAATCTTACAAATATATTCAGTTATTCACAACATGCGCAGCATCTTCACATTTTCCTATGCCAAAAAAAAAAAAAAGGATCAAAAGATCCTCATTTCTTTCTCCATCTGTCTTTCAACCTTATAGTACACTATACACGTGTGTCAGTCTGACTGAATTAACAGTATTGGATTGGATTCTTGAGTTAGAATAAATTAGGGTAGGGGTTAATCCAGATTAAATTAGAGCATTCCATCGAAGAAAGAATAAGATTCTTGCTTTATCATAAGGAATTGTTTATTTCGTTATTCATTTCTACTACTGAAGAATAGCGCCCTGGCAGGCATGCTTTATTGGATCCATTGCTCTTTCTTTTTAGCTTTAAAAAGTCATTCGTACTAACAAAGTCATGATCACGGGGGCAAAAAAATAAGGGGCTTTTGATAGTTCTGTAAAAACCAAAGTCATGCTTTAATCATTTGATCGTAAGCTTTGCATAATCTTTAACGTTGTAGCTTGGTAGACGGCCGGTATGTAATCCCTCCAAAAGCGAGGACTTAATGATGAGTTTTTTTTTTTTTTATGATGAATAAAATTATTTCAATACGAAACAATTTAGAGTCGGTTGGAAATGGTTGAATTAATAGTTTGTTGATTAAATACATATATTTATTAATTTACAGGATGTTCAAGATCTCCCAAGGGACTTGAGGAGTAGAGGGTTATGCCTGGTTCCGATATCTTGCACTCAACACGTCGGAAACGAAACCGGAGCCGACTACTGGGCTCCGGCTCTCGGCGGAGGATTCTGACCGGTGCGGTGCGTGGCTTTCAAAAAGTAACCCTCATGGGAGTGATATAACATCAAGAGCAGTCATTCTTAAAAAAAAATGACAAGATTTGACTGCTCTTGATGCTACTATGCATGCTATGAGGGACAAAAAGAAATTTGAGATGATGATGATGATCATATATATATTACACAAAATATATATGATTCTTTCTATGTTATCATTTCTGTATTACTGTTGTTAGAAATCAAGAAGAATTTAGCTTAGCTAGAGAGCTAGCTTCCTCTCGTGTGTTATGTATATTTTGTGGACGCACTTCTATTTGGGAAGATCATCAAATCCATCGTGAAATATTCTCATGCTGTGATCAATATGGTGCACGTTCGTTCCAGTTGACTTCTTTGGAAGCTATAACATGTTTCAATTAGGTCAAATTAATATTCCTTCATTTAGACTTAAAAAACAAATTTGAGCACTGATATATTATCGCATTGTGTCTACTCATATGCACAAAAAAAAATCGAGCTGACCTTATTCTATCATGATAGGACGACTAAACAAAGATATATATAGTTTATTTACCCAATATAATCTATCACTATATAAATACCAAGATAAATGACAGTCTATATATATAGCTTATAGATCAAAATGTTAATACTTCCTATTAATAACAGGTGATTGTTTGTTATTATACGTGCCGTGCTAGTCACGAAGTCATTTCAGTCGAATATTTTTTATTACATCCAGTACTAATTTCTGGTAAGTGACAAACTTTTAAAGAAAAATGATGAGTAAATGGAAACGAAATTAAGAAAGAAAATAAATACAAATTAATCTTATCAACAACGTACTACCAACTTTTGGGCTTACATTGTCTGTCAAACGTTAATTTCTTTCTATTATTTTTAATTTTATGGATCAACCTAATCTGTTTAGTGTAAATTGTGTCGAAAGTGCTTACAAATTTTTTGTTATTAAAATATATATAAAAACGTGACATCTGAAATAAGACTAATAAGTTAGTGTGATTCTAGAAATTCAACTTGTGATTGGCGCCAAGAATGAAGAAATGGGAGGTGGTGGCTCTTGGCCAGAGTGGGGCTGCGGCCGACCCGCATGTAACAAAATGGGTCCCACCCAAGGGGAGGGGGGTCAAAACCTGTGTGGACGCTTCCCATTATTACGCTCATGTGCAAGACCCCAGTCTTCCCCTTAATAAGTTCTGTTCAAGCTTTTCTTTTTCTTGTGTTTTCGTTTTTTCTCCCAGTTTTAATTATTCAATCTATATCATGTGATAAAATAAATAACCGTGAGCTTTCCAAACTCAACTCTAGACCTTCATATTAATTTTCCGTTTTATCCAAGCCAGTCGAACTATGTGTGAGGTTTGTTTTAAGGTTTGAAGTTATCACTAGTCATTAAATAGCGACCGATGATAAATCATGTGCCGGTGTTAAAATATAGACTGGTTTCATAACTAGCCGAGTCAATCTTTTTTTCATCTATTATCAAGATTTTGTAACTTTTTCTTACCCTTATAGTACGATTATATAATGACTTAACTTTATCTAAAATATTAATCACCAATTTATAACACGATGCTGAGTGTAATACAAGTAAAAACGTATATTCCTTCTGTCCCAAGATTATTGTTCAATTTGAGCTTTTACAAATAAAAGTAAAAATTCAAATTGGACAATAATTTTAAGACAGAACAAGTATATACAGAAAAGTATTGTCATTTTTGCTCTGTATTTCAGCAAATTAAATGTAACCTTAACATGCATTATTTACAAGCATGCAGTTAATTTGAACCACTACACCAATTGAACACGTGAATTCACCTTTTCTTACGTGCAATATTGCAAAGAAGAAATGGAATGGAATGGATACATTTGTGTGCACGTACGTAGGAACATTAGCTAATTAATTAGACTCATGATCAAAATGAAAAGAAGAAACATATATGGTGTAAGAATCCACCACCACCCCATGGACAACTTTTTTGGGAGGGCTGATCGATCACCGATGATGGGTTGATGTTCATGTTCCCCGGAGGTGAGGTAACAATAAGTCAAGATCTATGTTTGATCCATTATGACTTTAGACTTTAGAAGAAAAGAGGGTCTTTTCCAAGTCCCTCCACGTTTTGACAAGTTTCTCACTTTCGCCATGGTGACGTCACACATTCATCAGACGCCACAATGCACCATATGGTACAATACAGCAATGATGAACTAGGGCTACTATTTTATTTTTAGGGGGGAAAAAAAAATTTACGTATTATAAAATTAAAATAGGATATGTTTTTAATAATTTACAATAATTCCACTCGATTAATATATACATTCATTCACCTTTCTTCCACTTAGATTTCCCACTTCCCATAAAGCACCCCCCAAAAAAAAATTTAGTTCCTTTCGGGGTAGTATTTATTAATTAAGAAAGTTTCGAAAGTCGTTTATTAATAATTCATATATTTTTATTCTTGTAAAGACGATGCCCACCACCAACAACAACTTAAAATTTGTGTGGACAGACATTAGTCAAAACAATCATCAATTAATCATACTTAAAAAAAAAACAAAAAGATGGGTTGTCTGCTTGTGCTTTACAAAAGGGCTAAAGCTGTTATTGATAATTTAATTATTTATTATAAATGAAATTGGGCAAAGCGAAATGATCAGAAAGTGACATAAAAAAAAGACTTTACTGTGTCACATATAATGGATCAATGGATGGGGAAGCTTTGCTATTTTTGTAAATAATTGGTTAGTAATAATACTGTTTTGCTAAATAATTTGCTCTGGAGGAGTCAGCAGATAGACACTGATTAATGACTATTTTGCTTAATCACATTCGGACAAAAAGGAAAAATACTATTCCTGCCTTTTTGTGTCAAAAGGTCATCCATCTTTTCCCCCTTTGTTTTCTTACTTTTTGATTTCATTACATTATTACTACCATCGATGAAACATTGTGGAATATCCTCTTCGCCATTTTGATGTCGATGCCTGGAGCGGAGAGTGCCTGAGGGCTGAACATTTGTCATTACAATACATTTTGATAAAAGTTTTATCCATATTTTTTATTCTCAACATAGATCTGTCTGAATTAATAAATCAACAAACTAGTGTTAGACATTAAAATGGCGAAATGTAATATTTTTTTGACGTAAAAAATTTTAAAACTCAATATGAAACAGTAATAGTGTATCTGTCAAAGAAAATAACTACTTGAATCTTTATCTTGCGATTTTACTGTTAGGTAAATATACTACTCTTCAGCATTCGATTCAAGATCCGGGGAAAGAAACAATGATGTTTCAATATCATGTGACATTCCCTATCTGTATTCCTAAGGATTTTATCCAAAACGTTAAAAATCACCGCAGGAAGGTGAAGGTATCAGGCCCAAAACATCTGAAACTTGGAAATGAAGGCTTAAGCCTGGCCCAAATCAATAATAAGTCCTGATCTATTCTATCTCGATTCTCCATTATCCACATCAAGGATTTTATTTAGACCTGTTTGATAAACTACTTAAGCACTTAAACTTATTAATTAAGTACTTAATGGATTAATACTGTTTGATAACATAATATTATAACAACTTAATTGATTAAGAACTTAATTTATTAAGGACTTAAATCGTACTAATTTCTGCGCACTATGTTTTTGCTACAAATTTGAAATTCTTGATTAATTTTGAGTGAAGAATATGACATATCGTATGCAATCAATTTGGTTCGATCAGTTTTTCCCGTTCGATAAAAATAATGGAGATCTCGGCTACCATTAGCTCCAATCGCATCAATAAGGTCAAACTGTAGATGGGATTCGATGGAGTATATCACCAAAACTAGAAACCTAGCAACATTGCCAGATGATTGCCTAAAAAATGTATGTGCAATTATACAAAGACCATGTTTTGTAGATCATGGTTTGTGAAAGGTCATCAATCTCGCTTCCAGAAAAACCGACTCCATCGGAATCAACCAAAGTTGGGTGACCTAATGACTAATGGGAACGATCCCATCACAGTAATGAAATCAACACTATCACCATAATAGATTTATATACTCTTTCAGCCTCAAAATAAGAATGACACTCATTAATTTTTAAATTTTTTTTCACAAAAGAGGAGGTCGAAGTCTAGAGTTGTGGCATTACAATTTACAACATTTCATGAGTATGAAACGCTCACTATCATAGATCAATCATGGTTTAACTATATTTGGTGGATCATCTAGTCTATTATAGACTCACCTTTACCAGTGTCCAATGAAGCTAAGTGTCCGCCGCAAAATTAGTTTTTCTGCATTCGTATCTAACCTTGACACACCATGGCTTTTGTAACAACTCTTTTTTTTTTTTTTTTTCGGTGCAACTCTTTGATTGCACGGACCAAACCTCCATTTGTCCTGCCGTATCAGTTGGGCTTAAAACACCCCACAACTACTGTAAACTTCCGCGATCGCTTATTGATCATTTGAATAAAACAAGTAACTTGAAGGAAAGTTTGTTTTGAGCGGGAGGCAGTGTCGGTGACTGAAATGTTCGACAGTGTTTAAATTCTAGAAAAAAAAAAATAGAGACAAAAATGCCTGGAAAAAATTATACACGTATTTGTACTACTACTACTACATTATGGTGATGCTATGGTCTCCAACTGTTATGATTTAGGAGGATCATTCAACGGTTGTAAATTAACCACGAATTAAAAATCCAATCCCGGCAAACCAACTCGAGTCGTCCCCTATGTTAGTACATTCCAATAGATGTGCATCCAATCCAGCATAAGATACAAAACCACGTAAATGTGTGAAGAAGTAGTTAGGTCAATTGTTTGCACATCACCAGATCACCTAACCATAGAGGGACCAAAAGAATGTTTGCATTGGCATTCCAACCCCCTAACACATCATAATGTTTTTAATTACTACCTGAATTCATGTTTCATAATCAATTCTGACCCGATTTCCATGGTTTTTATACTTCTAAACCGTTAGCCACTTTCTTGTCTGAATAAAGTCTAGCCCATTTTTCATACTTCATCTCTGCTTCCAACTCTCAAATGGGCGTCCCTAATGTTCAAAGCAAATGGAAGAAAACTGCTCTTTTGGTCATTGACATGCAGGTATATTACTTAGCCACCTTTCATTTTCTCCATGATCTTGAATCTGTTGACAGGAGTTAATAGTATCTAAATTCTAAAAGCTTTCAAAAAATGTCCTCTGTTTTGTGTCTCTGCTTTGGATTCAGAATGACTTCATACTCCCAGAAAGTCGGATATGTCTTAAAGGTGGCCAAGCTATTGTTCCAAATGTTATAAGGAGTGTCGAGATAGCAAGAGAACGTGGTGTTCATATCATTTGGGTTAGTCTTCTGTATTTTTTTAGCTTCTGAACTTCCATATCATCAACTCAAAGAAAAAGAGAAGATTTCTACATATGTAGTGTTTGTCACATGCTAATATACTTTAAAATATCAAATTCTCATTGTTTAATCAAATTATCATGAAGTTGATGAGTACGTAATTAAGTCGCAATCCAATTGGGATTAACAGAGATTATATTGAAATATCCAAAATCCGGCGTAGGTTGTTCGCGAAAATGACCCTTTAGGGAGAGATGTTTAAGCTTTCCGGCGGCATATGTATTCTTCCCCTGGTGCTCCAAAACCAGCTTGTAAAGGCAGTTTTGGAGCAGAATTAGTGGATGGGCTTGCCATTGAGGAAGATGATTACAAGTTGGTGAAGACCCGGTTCAGTTCATTTTTCAACACCCATCTCCATTCATATCTCCAGGGTTCCGGAATCTGTCATTTAGTCATCACTGGTTAGGCTGCCCCAAACTTGGGGCTAATTTCTTTGCCATATAGCCTAATAATTTGAGAAAACTCCTGTGACATTGAATTATTGCATTGGTTATAACTGTAAATTAAGGTGTTCAAACTCCAAATTGCATCCGGCAAACTGCATTTGATGCTGTTGCACTGGACTATCAATCTGTCTCCGTGATCACTGATGCCACAGCTGCTGCTTCATCTGAAATACATCTCGGTAACAACTACTCCCTCTTGAAAAATCCAAACAGGACCATCATATTTCGGGATCAGCGACTATCTTGTATTCCTTCCGTCCCGAAATTATTTTCCAGTACGCGACTTCTCAGTTTTAGTACATTTTGGGACGGAAGGAGTATATAGTTTCTATAAGACATCAATCCCTCTGTGTATGAACTTTGCCATTAATGTGTTGCAGAAAATATCATTGACATGAAGAACATTGGAATCACTACACCAACACTTGAAGCATGGGTTAAATTAGGTGCATAAATTAAAGATTGGTCACAGGTATATTGGAAGTTCTTCTTAGCATTGTGATTCAAGTGGCAAACACATTCGTTCAAGAGGAAAATCATTTCTATCTTACCTCCAGTTTCACAATCTCAAAAAGATTCCTTACGAAAAAACTCTTTTGCATGAATGAATTAGGCTAATGATCTGAACCAATTTATCTCTTATTCATTTTCTTCTTTACATGTCGCGTGGAGTACTATAAAACTGACATATTTGTCTTGACATGATTCCAGCCATTTCCAGGTTGTTGCTGGCTTTGCACGAATCAGTTATCTAGGTCCGGAAACCAATCGATCTGATCGATCTTGTTTCGATGATGGAAGCCTTTGATTTTGAACAAGAGACTTTAACTTCCTTAGAACGAAAGCACCGTAACAAATATTGGACATAAATTTGTTTTACTTTGTATCTGTAAGAGTCACCATTTGTTGATGAATCGAGACTTAATTTGTAAACTTACTTGTACTATTTCTTACCATCATTGTAGCAAGAAGATGAGTGTCTTAGCATTATGATGGTCACTTTTCCTGATCTCGTTGATACTCCTTTTGTCTCAAAATTATTGTTCAGTTTGATATTTTACTTTTAGTACAATTTGAACTAGAATTGAAAACTCAAACTGGACAATAATTATGAGACGGAGGCAGTAGTTAGTTTTGCGGATGTTATGATTGCCATGTTTAAGCTGATTTCTGTCCATTTTGTCCAAAAAGATAAAATGCTTACGTTCACTTTTGTTGCATTGATTTTAAACCAGCGGAACGTTAAGAGATCCATTAGAAGTGGACTATTTTGAGCAACGAATTTCCACAACTGATTTCCATGTGTAAAATGACACTTCGTTGAAGTTTAAAATCATTATGGACAAGAAGACCAAGTTACTTGTACAACTGATTTGGAAATTTGATACTGTCCACCGACAGATGAAGGCATCAATCAATGGAGAAATATTGGACCAAGACATCCTAAAACCCACTCTATCACACTATAATGGACTAGTTCTTAATTAGAACTCCATTGTCAGGCCCTTCACAAAAACACATAAATCAAGCATCACTTGCAACAAAAAGTTAATTACAATTAACAAAAGAAAGTTATTTATACATTTCAATTAAGCTGAAATAAAAAAGTAAGTTCATTTCCCACTTTTACATTTACACTATAGGATTTTGTAATTATTTCTTTTTAAAAAAAATCACTCCAATGGACCCCACTTATATGTGAATAAAAAACCCTCTTACAAACTCTTTGGTGGGAATCGAACCTGGTCTATTACCAGGAAAGATAGCACCCTAACCATTAGACTGTCAATCAATTCCTCACGATTTTGTAATTATATTCCTCCCTCCGGTCCTTTTTAATTGAAAAAAACCTTTAATTATTGTAAGAAATTTATTTTTTTAATAGATTTCACTTAGGATGTCTTTTTATTTGAAAAAATAACGGGAGGGAGTATTTTATTTTCTTAACTATTTTTATTAAGGGGAAAAAAAATTAAAGAACTGGATGGGGATCAAACTCGATGCTAGAAGGCCCAATAATGCCGAAATGAAATGGTTTCAAGTGCATTTATGTACCCAACAAGCCCAACCCAAACCCGTATCTCGGTATCTTGTCTGTGTCTTTGAAGTCTCAACTCTGAAATCTGAACTGGAGTCTCTGAATTCCGGCAAGCTAACTTTTACAGTGAAAATGGCCGCTTCAGATACAACAATATGGAAGAAAACTGCTCTTCTGGTCATTGACATGCAGGTTCATTTCTCATCCACCATCTTAATTTTTCCGGAGCAAAATTAGCCATATTCCTGATAATTTGTTGCTCTTGGATTTTATGTTTTTTTAATTTTTTTAATTTTTTTTTTTGCACAGAACGATTTCATACTTCCAGGAGGTCCGATGTATGTTAAAGGTGGCCAGGCTGTTGTTCCGAATGTTATAAAGAGTGTTGACATCGCCAGAAACCGTGGAATTCATATAATTTGGGTATTTTCCATACCCCGGTTTTGGCTTTCCACAGTTTAATTTTACGGCTTAACTGACTTTGAATAAATTAGTTTCTGCGAGTTAAAAGCACAGAAGGGAAAATATTGAAACTTCGTCTGTATATTACGTTTCCTGAATGATCCTTTTTACAATGTTGTGCGCTGAGTTAATGAACTTTTGAGTTATTGATCAAATGCTGATGTTAGGGATATTTGGTCGGATTGGATGATGGTTAAGTCACTGCTAAAGTTCAAAATTTTTAGAATCAATTTTTTTTTTTTAATCTACTTATTTAGGATTTAAACGTGTTTCATAGGATACCATAGCTTAAATTGATGAGCTATAGCTTATAGTTGTGAAGCACAAATTCACGAGTCTTTAATGTATAGTTAACACACTAGCTAGTGTTGCTAATGATCATTGAAACTGTGGTGTAGGTTGTTCGCGAGCATGACCCTTTAGGAAGAGATGTTGAAGCTTTTCGTAGGCATTTGTATTCTCCTGGACAACCAAAACCAACTTCTAAAGGTAGTTTTGGAGCAGAGTTAGTGGATGGCCTTGTAATCAAGGACAATGATTATAAGTTGGTGAAGACGCGGTTCAGTGCATTTTTCAATACTCATCTCCATTCATATCTTCAGAGTACTGGGATTAGTAATCTGGTCATCACTGGTAGGTTGCAATACGTAGTTCTTGTATTTAAGTTAATGTTGAGGGGCGTAAGCTTAACTGAGACCATAGTTTCGTCTTCCATGATTGATTTCTTGAATTTTTTATAAGGTGTCCAAACTCCAAATTGTATCCGGCAAACTGTTTTTGATGCTGTTGCACTGGATTATCAATCGGTCACAGTGATAGTAGATGCCACAGCTGCTGCTACTCCTGAAATTCATCTTGGTATGGACCATCTTTCTTCGAGAACGTCACCATTGAGTACAATAGTAATTCCTGCTTCTTTTGCTTGAGCATTAAAGCTGTTCTGATTGCACCGTAGTTTCAGTTTGCAATGGCTGACTAAAGATGAATGTACTTTCTGCGTTTGTATGGGTGAAATTTGAATACTTCTATTGATATCTCATTTTCACCATGATGTCTTCAGTGTCCTAAATCCTCCAGGTTTCCCGAATGAGTTTATGAGAACAATGTTTTAAAATGATATGCGACATATGATTTCTCGTCAAACTTCATTAGAATGTTACTTGGTCCCTGATGGCTGTATTTATTTGGCTGACAAATGAACTATCAATATGATGTAATGCCAAAATCTTGAATGTTGCATATAATAACATTGCAACATTTGTTCTGTCCATTCATCGCTTCCAGGAAGCATCTTTTTCTCACAATGACTTCTGCTCTTCTCCAACAATCTTGTTCATTTTAGTAACGAACTTGTGACTATGTGGTCCATTTTGCTGTAGGCATGTACTATAAACTGTTACGTCTTTGTTGTTAAGTGTTGAACTTCCTAACATCTTTGATTCACCAACTGTACCCCTCAATCACTTGTCCTTGTTGATTGTTTCTCTGAACTTGAATAATAAATGTCATTTAAGCCATGACTGACATGAAGATTGTCCTTAATGTGCAGCAAATGTTGCTGACATGAACAACATCGGAGTTACTTCGCCTACACTTGAAGAATGGGCTAAATCAGATGCGTAAAAGCTGCACGCAGGTATATTGCAACTTTGTATTGTTATAACTTCAAGTTCTGAATTGCTTTGCTATAGAACACATCGGTTCCTATGTGGAAAGGCAAAGTCTGAGTGTCCGACTTGAGTACTAAGCACATGTTTTCCATGTTTATTGATATGTTTTTGTCTCTTCTTTTCAACATGTTGTTGATCTCAGTTCTCAAGGCCCCAACACACATACTCAGCACACACGCACACACTCGCACTGATTCCATTTTTCAGGACTATGCTATGATGCAGAGGAACTCATGTAACAACATAAGTTTTTGGCTCAGGTATAGTGCGCAAAAATCAGTAAATCATCAGAAAGCTGAGCCACGAAAAGTCATGTTGGATCACAAATCATGATGAAATGAAATTGGGCCTCTTATCATTCCTTATCTGAACTAAACTAAGCCTGCAGTACGAAATTCTCTTGATCATGGTTCTTCCTCTGCACAAATGTCTGTCTTATGAAGTGGTGGTCATACTCAATTCACATCGTCAAAGCATATTCATTGAGTAGGCCCATTTTCTTGGATCATTTTCTCTTTTGTGTTGGAAAAAATATGTTTGGGTCCCAAAAGATGATTCTCCAATAGCTAGCTGTTGTAGTAGTAGGCCCAACAACTTGCTGTGATTTCTCACTTTTTTTCTTGGCTAAAGCTGCCTTATGTAACTTTTTGTTGCTTAGATAATGTACTGTGACCCTCCAGAAAAAAAGACAAACAATTTCCATCTCACATTGGATAAAATGTTTTTAATTATTTCACACCTGAAACAATTTCTCTGACAACTCTTTTTGACAAATCTCAAATGAATCCTAAAACAAATCACTTTTTCTGCACATGAATGGTTTGAGTTCATGTTCTTGACCAATTTGGTGCTTTGTTTTCTTTTCCTATTTCAATAAGAAGGTTGAACTTTTGCAGTTGTTCAAATTCTCCTACCTTTCTAAATTGATACATGAAGTGCTATTAGCCGCATCACCACATGACAACCATAGAAGGAGCGTTTAAGATACTATCAATCTGTATCATTATTTGATGTCACTTGTAGATTTGTATGACCACTGTCTTGTATTTGAAATAAACAAAACTCTTATATTGAGACAGAATAAATATGAATAGCTGTGCGATATTTTTTATTTAAAAAATCAAGAGCGAAATTAGAATTTTAATTTTGGGACGAAAGAAATAAGCAAAGGCCAAGTCGGATAAGATGGAAGTTTGGTTTGTTGCTGGCGTGCACGTGCGGTAGGGCAAAGGGAGGAGTGGTTTAGGTTTAAGTAGTAGGGGGAGTATAGAGTGGGGAAAGGCATTATTATGATAATGAGGATGGATGATAGTGAATGTGAAAGTCAGGGGGGGTGGTGGTCTTGTCAAATGTCAAGTATGTGTTCCCATTTGTTGTTGGTGAATTGTTGTTGTTTCAATGATTCATGATGACTTTTTTGGTGTAAATTAATCAATTAATACTGTAATTCCCTAAACCAAGTTGCATCCATCATCATCCTATGAAAAGCGATGTGTTTTTTGCAATTAATTTGGTTAGACCTATGCAGAAAATGTCATGTACCCAACCTTGTCGTCAAACTCCCAATCCATTTATGTTTGGACAAATTCCTTGCATCCAAAAATTTCTACAGAAACTCTTTGAAGCTTTGCAATTTGACGTTGGTTGTGGTGTTGACATCGATTTTTTTTTTTTTTTTAATTACTACAACACAGTACACTATTTTTCTGGTTTAAAAATACGAGTGTTTCATTGAATGTTTTTCGATTCTCACCATAAAGGTTTTGTCTAACCACAAAAGGAACGTATAGTTTTTCAACTTTGTGAACATTCGGTAAACAAAACTCATTTAGCTAGACCTTGGCATGGTTTGTCCTAAATCTTCAGAGAGAGTCACAATTGCCCAACTTTAGCTTAATCAAAGATAAAGCATATTGAAGTATAATTAATCTTTACCGACACTTGTTTGGCCGAAATGGTAAGGTGTTTTGGTTCCCTTAAGTGAGGTCTTGGGTTCGAGTTTCGTGAATGAAAAGAGCAATTTTGAGAGATTTTTTCCTTTGAAAGGAGACCGATCCGGCTCGGTGCGGATTAATCTGAGTGCAATGCACTTAAGACACCGTGCACAATATAGAAAAAAAAGAAGAAATATAATTAATCTTTGGGTTGTTTTAGAAATTAGTCTCTTTATTTTTATTTGTATCGAAAAAATATCATTCCATATTGGGATCGGGACGAGGTTGGAATCACAGCTCTCAACCCCCTTTTATCAACTACTACTATGTTTTATATAGAAAATAAGTATTATTGTTCTGTTGGAGAATAGTTGTAAAGGAGTGAGTGACAATAGGGGGTTTAATCCAGGCAATCTGATGAAATGTATCTTGAAAATGGGTTGCTTTAAGTGGAAGAATTGGCTTTCTCATGTCACCTTATTTTCGTGACATGAATTATATACACTTTGACAGCTAAATTTAGGACCCTTTAATGCGTGTCGATATCGGCAATTATTGCCCCCATTCCAACTTGTTCCGTCTCCTTCCTCAAATACTATCTATCACAAATTAGTGAATTACCAATATTCAGAATTTTGTGGAATCAGATTCAGACTTCGCGCCATCACACGTATATGTACGTGTTGATCTTGCGATTACATTTGAAAGCAGAACTAGAACAAGTAATTAAGTTGATGAACAAAATTTGCATTTCGAGTCAGATAGAATACGTATACTTAGAAATTTCAGTATTTCTTATGTTTCCAAAATTATCGTTCAGTTTGGATTTTCGGTTTTAGTTCAATTTGTACAGAAAAATAAAAACTCAAACTGGATAATAATTTCTGGATGGAAGGGGTATAACATATCAAATCATTCATTTGTGGTAGAACTAGAAATGAACATGTTCTTTTTTCTATCTATATTCAGGTTATTACGTAGTTGGAGCTCCAAATGTTGCTTTCTAGTTTCTAGTAGCACGTTATGATCAAAAGTTTGCAATCATTGCAACTTAATTAGTGTCGTACAGACATTCGGTTGTATGTCTTTGTCTGAGAATGTCTTAGTTGTGGTTTAATAATACATTAATCTTGTGTTTCAAGTGTTGAATCATCTAGGTATATCTCAGTGTATTATAATTAATCCAGCGCTTGTTGAAAGTCGACCAGTTTAATTAAAAACACATTCGCAGTCGCGAACAAATTTCTTTAACAATGTACGAATTTTGATAGCTAGATTTTCAGTCCTAGAAGGATAGCTGGAAATTGCGAAAATGGGAACCAAACAAACAGGAAAGATAGGCGCACGGGAGAGGAATTTGTCAAAATTAAAGATTTTTGAGAGGGGTGGACAGTGGACACTGCTGAAACACAGGGCTAAAATGTGTAGGAGTATGGCCTCTTTTTTTTCTTACTCTCATGAGGAAAACCAAGCATTATGCTGCATTCCCTTGGATTTTGCTGAACCAAATCGTACAAGTAAACGTATCACTTCACGCAATCTGAGAGACTACACACACTCACACACTAACTTCATCTTCACCATATGGCTCAACAATTATGAGCCGAAGAGTGTCATTGTTTCGGTCCCAAAACCACTGTCCAATTTAAATATTTAATTTATATTCAAAACACAAATTTAAACTGAAGAATTATTTTGAAATAAAAAAAATATAATAAATGCATTGTGTGTATATTGCATTTTTCACTATTATTTCTTCCTCTTCTTTTCACCAAAGTTGGCCAGACATCCCCCAAATCCATTTGCCGGATTTTCACGCTAATGGTATAATCTTCATCTTGAATTCTTACAGTTTTTAAACAGTTCATATTTACTGTTATTATGATTATTTGTAACATTGTATAGATCATTAGAAGTTGGGGGAGAACTCGCACTTACCGCCATAATTTACAAACCATGACATGTGGTGATGAATCATGTTAGGCAATATATGAGTTATTCGAAATCGGGGTTATGTAATTAAGTTGGACTTATTATTATTTGGTGCCCTTTGCACGCTTCATTGGACAATCACAACACATTGGACGATTTTGAGGATGTAACGTTTCGAATCAGTAGCTTTCAGCCCTTTCACCATCTCAGTACTTATGAATAATTGCCAATAATGTCACTCTAGACTAGTGGTTTTATTATGTTACTTCAATATCACCTCTCCACCTCTCTCCACTATATCTATTCAAATCTCAAAATTTTGATCCTTTTTTCCTTTTAAAAGAAAAAGAGATCTCTAGTAGCTTGCCAATGTCTATCAATTTCATCCATCGTGCTTCCTTTTCAAAAAAAAAAAAATAATAATAATAATAAAAATAAAATAAAAAATCATCGTGCTTTATTTTTTTCCCCCCAAATTTCGAATGAAAAATCACAGTTTAATAAAATAGTCATGATAATTTAATAATAATTCTAACTACTCCCTCCGGTCCTTATTATAAGCCATTTTGATTCCGTTCTAAATTTAACTTAAAATGTCTTTTTAATTGGAAAAAAATCTCAAAAATATATTTCATATACATTATGTTCTCCTAATTATTATGAAATATTTTTAAGTTTTTTATTCCAATTAAAAATATATATATATATATATATCAGGTGAAAACTAGGACGAAATCAAAATACCTTATAATAAGGACAGGGGGAATAATTATAAACACCTCAACAAATAAAAGAACTCGCAAAAGAATTTAAATTTGTTACATGGTAATTAAGATGGTATTTCCACAATCCGATTTCTGTTAACGATGGATGAGACATCAGACATGAAACCCTTCAACTCAATTCTCTCTTTCTTTTTGTGAGAAATCTTCAACTCAATTCTGATATCATGGAATGCTGTTTTAAACTTTTCTTTTTCCACTTCACTTTGTTTTCCAATTGAGGAGTTCATAATTGTACCATAACTTTTCCGCGTTTTGTTTTGTTGCTAATTCATGGGATTCATTTGTTTGTTTCAATCAATGACGAACAGAAAGTGCTAATAAGTTATAAATCAAACTTAATAAATTAACCCCAAAAAAAAAAAAAAACGTTACAGGAATGATCACTGGTCAATGATCCAAAATAGAATTGACTAGTGTGAAGTGTAAGCTCGCCGACTCAGCTGAGTAAGGAAGAAGGTGGGATTTCTCTATTTATTTGACTGGACTGACCGACTGTGACTGACGGACGGACGGACGGACGGGTCTTTCAGATTAATAATAATATTACTAAAATATTTTTTTACTAGTGTGCGAGTGTGTGTGTTTGGTGACTGTTTGTGATGTAAGTCAGTCACTGCCTTTTGCCTTTGAGTTCCCATTTCCTCTCATCAGATCTTAATATAAGACATTTTGATTTGTTCTACTTTTCACTTAATACATATTTTTAATTAACAAAAAAAATTAAAAATATATTTTAACATTTTTCGTATTTTCTTGAATGTTACAAAATATGTTTAAGGTTTTCTCGTCAATTAAAAATGAATATTAAATTAAATCTAGGACAATTCAAAATGTCATTTTAAGAACTACAGGGAGTACAAAGTTTTTACAATTGCCTTTGCCTTGCTGTGGTGGACCCTTGACTTTTGATTTTGGAAGGGAAGTGGGTTCACTTTTCAAGGAGGAGGAGATGGTGGGGGCCCACTTTTTTTTTCCTTTTTTTCTCTAATCTTAAAAATGATTTTGTGACAATAACAATAAAAAAAAAACGTAATAATTTCAGAAAACACATGTACTAATACTTGTATTCACAACAACCATGACTTGTTTATCTTTAGTTAATTAACCTACCTTACTTAAGTTCTGAGAGGACAATTAGAACTCAATGAAAAGGTATTATGGTTCATCTCATTGATTACCACAGCTGAAGGGATTGATGAGTAATCAAATCATGACTCATTACTATCGGCAATCTAGGACGACAACATTGGCTACTTATATTTACAAAATTTCAAAACCAAAAGAAACATTTTTTCTAGCAAAAAATTAGTAAATATGGTAAAATTATGAATTAAAATTGATGAGTGCGACACTTGACACACAGTACAAAATTACACCTAATAATGAAAAAAAAAGTTGATTAGCTTGAGTTTTCAAGTAACATCAATGACCCAGTCCCATTTCCTCTTTAATGGAAATATACATACAACTTATTCTCTACATCTCATATCAACTGTTACTTTTTTTTTAATGAAAAAGAAAAAAGTATTTTGAGAATAATCTGTTTAGACTAGGGACTTAGCAATAATGTGGTATTTTAGCTTGGATTAGAAACGAAGTGGATAGGTGGGTTGCCAAAAGAAGAAGTACACATGGAATGTAAGCCACTGCATCGCATAAAGACTAAAGTGACATAAAATCCAATATCCCCCAAGAGGGTTGAATCATTACCGCACTTTTGCATCACCTCATCACCAACAAAGCTAATGTCTTTTCGGGTCATTACCAAAAGCACAGCATGATCCTTGTCTCCCCCCTCCATTTTTACAATCATCCCCCCCTCTCAAAAACTCACACACACACACACACACACAGTCTAATAATCTGCTTCGTAGTTTAAAAATATACTACCAAAATGACTGACAGATGGATTCTCAAACATGATCAAAATACCTTTTCAGTTTTAAAATACTTTTGTCAAACCATCGAATTAGACCAAACTTCCCATTCCACACTTAAGCCGTTATCTTGCACCATGCGATGGAATTCCTAGATTTACAGCAATCGAACAAAGTTGTCGGAGTGAGGTTTTATTAAATTTGATGAGGAACATGGTAAATGCCCTCTATCATTATTTTTGTACCAAGAAATAAGTAATGACGATATTGTACAACTCTACATCAAATAAAGTATGTGAAGGGTACATACTATAAACCTTAAAAATTTTGTATCATGAACCTATACTATTTTAAGAAGAAAAAGGATTAGCTATAAAAGTGTCAACTTTCAGTCTTTACTACGTAATACTTGGAAGTAAAGTATGTTGAAAATGAGGGGAAAAAGGTGTAAACTTGGAAGGACTTATTTATATATATAGGATTGGAGGGTTTAATTAAAAAAATAATAAGAAAGGATCATTAAATTAAGTTCCAAAGTCCCACTAATAATAAAGCCCAGATTCTGAAATTCTGCGGCTGCGTTCTGTTCTGTGCTTATATATATATTTACAACTACAAATACGAAACCTCCTCTGTGGCTTTTGCCTCATCCCATACTTGTTTGTCCGCTCCAGAAACCCAAATTCAGATGGAGAAAGGAACTCTGAATTATTCAGTATCAGTCCCCTCTGCTCCACCAACAGAATCATCCAAAATGGAGAACCAATTAGACAAGCATTTTTCAGTTGGTGATGATGATGAAGAACAGAGTGATGAAATTGACCCAGAAAATTCCAAATCAACAAGAAGAGGGAAAAGGGGTGGCTTCATTACCATCCCATTCATCATAGGTAACCAAAAGTTTTTTCTTGTCAATTCAACAGCTCTGCAGCAAGTATTGAATATTGATCTCCGATTTTGACTCTGTTTTTTTTTTTTTCCCTCTGTTTCTGATTTTATTGCAGCCAACGAAGGATTTGAGAGAGTGGCAACCTATGGTGTTCTTCCAAACATGATTTTTTACCTGATGAAAGGATACAATATGAGCTTTGCGAAAGGAAATTACGCACTCTTCCTCTGGAATGCGGCCAACAGTTTCACCCCAACAATTGGGGCTTTTCTTGCCGATTCCTATCTGGGTCGGTTTCTCACCATCGTCCTCGGTTGTTTCTTCAGCCTTCTGGTAAATTCACTCACTCTCTCTCTCTCTGTAAATTTTTTTAGCATGATCTTTTACTGTCTCAAAATTTCATCTTGAGTGATCATTTTAATGTCAGTAGTTTTTTTTTTTTTTAAAAAAGAAAAATTTGTTTTGGCATTTTACGAGTTGGATTTTCTTGGATACCAATTAACGTTTTTACTTTCTTCACATGTGTTTTTGAGTCAAAATCCGAATTGGGTTTTCTTCCTTCTTCCTCTTCTTCTTCATCTTCTCTCTTCCATGTGTGTAATCTGCAAGGTTTAAGGAAATTGGACATTAGTTTAAGAAGTAGTTGTCCATGTTAATCCAAATGCTTTTTTTTTCTTCCCTTCAAATGGGGAACATTTAACTGAAAATGACATTGGCCCTCATTAATTTAAAGTTCCTCAATTATAACGGTTCCTCGTTTTATTTTTTATTTTTTTATTTTGGGTTGTTTTCGCCCTTGTAATTGCGTCACATGATTTGGTTAGTTTAAAATCTAGTAGTACTTAATTGTTTGATGTGGTCATACATCATCATTAGAGTCACTTCTTTACTACTAGTCCCATGTTTCTTTTTTTTCTTTTTTTTCTCTTTATAAAGAAAATACATTTTTGTTTATCAATTTATCATCTTTTAGGAAAGTGTTAAAACTCTCATCTTACTAAAATCTTCCTTTTTCGACACACGCAAGGCAGCAACTGCAATAATACAATGCCCCCATTCATTTTCCCATCTAGCTTCCATATATTATTAGTATTATTATACGCAAAAAAAGGCCTCTTTTTCAGTTTTTTCTTCCTTTTTCCCTCTTTTCAGTGCCGTATGTAACCCATGTCGCAAGTCACACAGTAGTGTTTTGTTGTCTAATCAATGATTTTACTCTCCCTCTCCCCTAATAATTATTCTATTTATAATATTCGGTGTTATTTTAGTATAACAAAGCGTTACAATAAATTTCGGAGGCATTCTGTGTAACACATTACTCCTTGGCCGGAATTATGTAGAACGGTTTTTTTGCCCCCTTTTGGCCGGAATAATTTATTTAGTTCAAAATTTCCTGCCGACCCTATTAGTTTAATTTGATTTTTAAAATTTTTTTATTCTGCTAGTATCAATAGTTTAAACGAGTCAAACGTACGGTTGTCTACCAGTTTGTAGTGTATGACCACATTCCTACCTCAATCGGAGCTGTAACCATCAATGAGATTTCTAGAGTAAATTGTTCTACGATTCCAGCTATTTGTTTACGTCATCACCCATGTTCTTGCTTCTGCCTTTAACAATGAGATATTCAACAGTATCAAAGGCTTAAACTGGCAAAAAGTGCAGTTGAAACACTGAAGCAATGGTTATGTAAATGATTTTCCTGCTTTTGTGCTTGATGAATTAAGGTCTAAATAAACAATTTCAAAGATTTCAACCTTCTTATGTAATTCAGAATCTGTTCTTAATTGTTTTGGAAGATAATTGCATTCTGACATTTATAGATTTTGACTTCAGCGCAATGTGTGGGAAGGAAGACCTTTGACTATGATGTGTTAAACTAATATGTAACAAAATGTTTGTTTGGAATAGGGAATGATCTTGCTATGGCTAACGGCTATGATTCGGAAAGCAAAGCCTCTGTCTTGCAACTTCATACCGCCTTGTCAATCAGCTTCATCGTCACAGATTGGTTTACTAATATCCTCATTTGGGCTAATGTCCATTGGTGCCGGCGGGATAAGAGGCGCGTCCATAGCATTTGGTGCTGATCAGCTGGATAACAAGAGTAATCCTAATAATCAGAGGGTTCTGGAAAGCTATTTTGGCTGGTACTATGCTGGCACATTGATAGGAGTCCTCATTGCTTTGACTGGCATCGTTTACATTCAGGATCATATGGGATGGAAAATTGGTTTTGGTGTTCCTGTAATCTTCATGTTCGTGTCGGCTTTGCTCTTCCTCCTTGCCTTTCGTTTGTATATCAGACATCCGCCTACAACGAGCTTGTTCACTGGGTTCGCGCGTGTAATTGTCGCCTCACATAGGAAAAAGAAGCTTGCATATCCTCCTGCAGACTCAGTTAGGTACTATCATGAGAAGGGCTCCCGATACACTGTGCCAACTGATAGATTAAGGTATTACAAAATGTGACCTTTGTAGCTTTCTAAACATCACGCACTAGCAAATCTGGTTAGTTTCTGTATTTGTTGTGATGCCTGATTCTAATTCAATTGATTTGATTATGTGCTATATTAGGTTCTTGAATAAAGCATGCATTATACAGAATCCAGAAGATGTTACACCATCAGGGATCGCTGTGAATCCATGGAATCTTTGCACAGTACAGCAGGTTGAGGAGCTCAAAACACTCATCAGAGTCATCCCAATATGGTCATCTGGTATCATGCTCTCCATAAACACCACCCAAGGCACTTTTCCTGTACTTCAAGCTAGCACCATGAATAGACACCTTACTTCCGGCTTCGAAATCCCATCTGGCTCTTTTGGTTTGTTCATGGTCATAACACTAACGCTTTGGGTTCTCCTGTACGACCGCGTACTCCTCCCTTTCGCATCAAAGATCAGAGGAAAACCAGTCCGCATCAGTCCAAAATTACGGATAGGAATAGGCTTGTTTCTCTCAGCTATAACCATGTCTGTTTCGGCTATAGTTGAGCATGTTCGCCGAAGGAAAGCCATTGAGCAAGGATTACTCAACAATCCACAAGGATTAGTACACATGTCAGCAATGTGGCTTATACTACAAAATTGTTTAGCAGGAATAGCGGAGGCATTCTGTGCAATTGGCCAGATTGAATTCTACTATACAGAGTTCCCTAAGAGCATGTCCAGCATTGCAGCTTCGCTATTCGGGTTAGGCAGCGGCGTGGCTAACTTGCTGGCAGCTCTAATTCTGAACCTTGTGGATAAATACACCAAAGGAGAAGGGAAAGAGAGTTGGGTGTCAAGTAATATAAACAAAGGCCGTTATGAAAGCTACTATTGGCTTCTGGCCATCATGAGCTTTGTTAATGTGGTTTACTATATCCTTTGTAGCTGGCTTTATGGACCTTCTGCTGATGAAATAATCCAAAAAGATGAAAATGATGGTGAAGAAGAAAGGGGTTCCGAAGAACCATTCTTGCCAGAAGAATCGCCGGTCCGAGTAAAGCCAGCTGCGGCTTGATTTAAACTACTAGCTTGGTAGACTGATTGATTTTGGTGGTGTTCTTATCAGTATGGTTTGCATAGTTAACGTATACAGAATATATACCTATGTAATGTGTATATGCCTTCTTGTGTCAGAAAAATTTGGCGGGTACTTCAACTTCAAGCTATTATTTTATGAATATATCTTGATGATTTTTATTACAATTGTTGCAAGTTGAGAGAGCAGATTTAGAGCTTAACATGCCAAGGAAATAATCACAAACATAAAGGAACGAATCTGCCTAGATGCTGCCGTCCTTTTTTTTCCAGAAACAAAATTTGTTCTAGCCGTCCTGTACTTTTGTACATTTTAATTTAACTCAAGGAAGTTTTCTTTATCATTTTTCCTAGTAAAAGTTTCCAGAAATTGACACTTGACAGAGTTTATAATAAGAAAAATAATTAATTTATTAATGAAAGTATTCTTATATACTCCCTCCGTCCCATAATTATTGTCCAGTTTGGATTTTCATTTTTAGTTCAAATTGTACTAAAGTTGAAATCTCAAAGTGGACAATAATTTTGGGACAGAGGGAGTATTTTTTTTAGTAGATCAAAGCTACTGTTGAGTCGTCTAGTAATTTTTAAATATATGGAATCATCTAGTTTTGAAAACATAACTTCAGTGTTTCATATTTTGAGGAGTAAATAAATACTTCTTGGTTCGGTCTCATAATTATTGGCTAGTTTAGATAATCATTTTTAGTACAATTGGACGGAGAGAGTACAATTAGTACAAAAAAAAAATTTAAAAATGAAAATCTAAATTGGATAATAATTTCAGGACGGAGAGAGTGTTAAATATTTAATATGTTTGTTGATGATTAGCAATATTCTCCCCAGTCCCAACAAGAAATGCGAATAATTTAGCCGGTCTTTCCCGCCATGTTATCTTAGCTTAACTTTTTATTTAGGGGTGTGACAATGATGCAGATGTTTTCTTTCTTTCTTTCCCGGGTAAACTACAACTTGTCTAATAAAGATGATGAAAACAACAAAAATATTCAGTGAAAGTAATTAGTGACACATGTGAATTACACCAATGGAGATAAAGAATCTATCACTTGCAAAATGTGTGTCTTTTGAACTCTTTCAACATGAAAGCGGTTTGATGTTTCATGTTTCAATTGACATCAAACTTTTATGCTGACGAGCAACCAACACTTGGTACCAGTAGCTGAATGCATTAGAGAATTAGATTAATTTAATTATGATCAAACTTTGATATGGATATTTTGCATCCCTTTTGAAATTTGAATTAGCAAGAACTGTGACTTCGAAAAACAACAACAACAATCCAGTATATTCCCAACTCGGCCAACAACACTTGATGTAATATATGTGGGGGAAAAAAAAAGAACAAAGAAAATAAAAGCTTCATGTAGATGAACATACAATACGATAAAAGAATCATAACAACAAATATGAGTTCGCCGGTTTGCCGATTTTCACATTCGAACATTCCGTAAAGAACCAAATCAGGACTTAGTCTCTCTGCTTGGAGGATTTCTAACTTTTACTAAAACCAAAAAAGGGGAAAAATTTTATAGAATACGTACAATCAGAGATTACAGAAATCCATGTTTGTATTCTAATGTCAAAAATGCCTAAAGCGGTTTAGTTGGTTATCCATAAAATTTTGTAAAAACACTATCAGATTCTAAAGGGTTGTTTTCTCCTCTGGAAAAAATCGAAGGAGATCGATCATGATCTTGGTATACAGAAACTGTTTCTGTAAAAAAACCAAAACCTTAACCGTATTGTAACTTTCTTTTTTCTTCAGTATCCTGTTTCCTGACAGAGAGTCAATCGAGATGGAGAAGGAAATGGAATACAGTGGTTATTCAGCATCGTGTGAGCAATCTAAGATTGACATGGATAAGGGATATGAAAGTTTTTCAACATCTGCTGTTCATCAACAATCTAAAATTGCGAAGGAAATGGAGTTCTATTCTTTCTCTACATCTCAATTCTCTGAGAAGGAGAATGGGATGGCAAGTTTTTATTCAGATGATGATCCCAGTTATGAAGTGGAAGTGAAAACAAGGAAAAAGGGTGGCATCATAACCATCCCATTCATCTTAGGTAATTTTATATCCTTCAATAAATGTACAATCCAAATATTGAATATGAACTCAACATACGCATTTTACAATAGTATGTTTTGACCTCTGATTTTGGTGTAATTTTGTGACAGCAAACGAGGCATTTGAGAAGACGGCAAGTTATGGGCTGTTGCCGAATATGATACTGTATCTGATCAAAGGATATCACATGAGTTTTGCAGAGGGAAACAGAATGCTCTTCTTGTGGTCTGCTGCTACGAATTTCTTGCCAATTGTGGGAGCTTTTCTTGCTGATTCTTACTTGGGTCGTTTTCTCACCATTAGCTTGGGTTGTTTCTTCAGTCTTATGGTAATTTATCCATTTTTTCCTTCAATCATTTTCCAATCTTTTAACTGGTATCATTTGAAAGTTTGGGAGAAAAAACATCGCTGACATAATCATCGAGAATATAAACTCGACAGAAAAGTCGGCGGTTTCTTCGCCGACCTAATAATCTCGAACCCTGTGTCGACGACAATGTCGACGAGATTGTGGTCTGAACTCTGAAGCAGAATAATGATTGATATGATTTCTTTACTTTCTGCTATAATTCTTGAAGAAAATGAAGACTGTTAATAAAAAGATTGACATGATTAAATTATCTGAAAAAAACTTTCATTTCAATAGGGGATGATACTACTGTGGCTAACTGCCATGATTCCAAAAGTAAAGCCTCCACCTTGTGCTTCAATTCGTCAATGCAAATCAGCAACAACAGGCCAATATTTCTTCTTGATCTCCTCTTTCGCCGTCATGTCGATTGGTGCCGGCGGGGTCAGATCATCTTCTTTGGCATTTGGTGCTGATCAGGTGGACGACAAAAACAACCCTAATAATGAAAGAGTCCTGGAAAGCTATTTTGGTTGGTATTATGCAGCCACAGCATTTTCTGTACTGCTTGCTTTCACTGCAATTGTTTACATCCAAGATCACTTTGGGTTCAGAGTTGGATTTGGAATTCCTGTCATCTTAATGTTCCTCTCTGCTTTGCTCTTCTTTCTGGCTGCACCTTTGTACATCAAACATCGAGCAAATGAGAGCTTATTCACTGGTTTAGCACAAGTAATTGTTGCTGCTTATAAGAACAGAAAACTGGCTTTCCCTCCTCCTGAATCAGGCTGGTATCATCATGAAAAGGGCTCTCAATACACCTTACCAACTGATAAACTAAGGTAGTATGATCCTTTTATTTTTATCATTGTTATGATACATCATTCATTTAACATTACTTGAATGATGCTCCCTCCGTCCCAAAAATCATAGTCCACACTGAGTTTTGAGATTTGTACTGTTCTTAGTACAAATTTCAAAACTCTGACGTGGACTATTTTTTTGGGACAAAGGGAGTAACATTCAATATTAGTGCATACAAATGATTTGACTCTTTTATTTCTGCATTTAGGTTCCTGAATAAAGCCTGTATCATAAGAAGCATAGAAGATGTTACATCATTTGGAGTTGCTACTAATCCATGGAGGCTTTGCACTGTTAAGCAAGTTGAAGAACTCAAAGCACTCATCAAAGTGATCCCATTGTGGTCTACAGGAATCATGATGTCCATAAACACAAGCCAAAGTACTGTTTCTTTAATACAAGCAAACACAATGGATAGGCACATCATTTCCAGCTTCCAAATCCCACCAGGCTCAATCTCCATGTTTCTCATCTTAACAGTCACTATTTGGGTCCTTTTATATGATCGGGCAATCTTACCATTAGCCTCAAAGATCAGAGGAAAACCAGTGAAATTCGGCACTAAATCCCGGATGGGAGCCGGGCTTTTCTTCTCAGCATTGGCAATGACAGTAGCCGGATTCGTGGAACACATTCGACGACAAAAAGCAATCGATCAGGGCTTAGTGAATAACCCCAAAGCATTGGTAGGCATGTCAGCAATGTGGCTAGTGCCACAATTTATTATTGCAGGCTTAGCAGAAGCTCTCAATGCAATAGGCCAAATAGAATTCTATTACTCAGAGTTTCCAAAGTCCTTGGCAAGCGTTTCGTCGTCTCTCTTTGGAGTTGGAATGGGAGCAGCAAACTTGCTTGCAACAGTTATACTCAGTGCAGTTGAAAAATACACCAAAAAAGACGGTGGAGAAAGTTGGGTGGCAAGCAATGTGAACAAGGGTCATTATGATTATTACTATTGGCTACTTGGGATCATGAGTTTTGTGAATCTGTTCTACTTCTTTATATGTAGCTGGGCTTATGGACCTTGTGGTGAAGATATGAAGAAGGATGATGAGATTGAAGGGGTGGAAGGAGAAGGAAGAAGCATATTGAGAACACCAGGGACACCAATTAGGCCTGGCACACCTTTAAGAGTTATGGCAGCTTAATATTGAAGTTCTCAAGGGTCGGTCTGTTTATTTATTCTGCTTCATTATCATTAGAATAAAATTACGAGAATTAAGTTACTGCATTGACGTATATGCGAAGTTACAAAAAATCCTAAAAGAAAAAGCCTTTGTTTATCAGCTTTGAAGGTTCCTGTTTCATGTAATACTTGTATTATTATTCAATGAGATTTGTAATTGTATATTTCGCAATCCTGGAGCTCAAGATTTTAGCGGAATACAATGTGAGGAACATTTTGAAAAGACAGAATATCCGTGATGCATATAAACATGAATGCAGGAAGAAGGTACGGTATAAAACTAGAAGTTGCAGCAAAAAGGCCAAAAAGGTGAAATGTACCAGGATTGCTTTCATTGAGAGTCGAACTCAAGACCTCCCGCTTACTAAACGGGTGCTCTAACCAACTGAGCTATGAAAGCAGATGATGTTAACAAAGATTCTTAGATAATAAAACATAATACAAACAGTATTATCCTTTTGTTTCCCTTGTTCTCCCCGGGTACATTCTTCTTATTGTTTACCTTTTTCGTTCTTTCAACTTCAAATTCCCATCAAGCAAAAATCCCATGAAAGGCTATTTACCATCAAATAAGACGACTAATAACGCATACTTTGCCTTTTGCTTGAGTTTTACCTGCTCTGCAGTTATTGATGCAAACAGAGGACTTGCAGACCATTTCAACCAAGTCATTCCTCATTTATGCAAAAGAGGAGACCAAGTCGTGTTGTTTACAAAAGCACACATGGAAATTTCACCGCATGAAAATAACAGTCATATTACGTCACAGAATTATTATCAAGTTTGGAGTTTCATTTTTGTTCAAATTATACTAAAAATGAAAATCTAAACTGGACGATAATTTTAAGACAGAAAGAATACTCTCTACGTCTTAAAATAATAATTCATATTGAGTATATTTAAATTTGTACATTTATGCAAAAGGGAGTATAGATAATGCAATGTACTGATGTACAATAATTCAACTACGACTTCAATAACCTTATATATTTGCATTGGAGTATAAGGTGGGGTTGTCTAACATAATGCATTTGCTTCCAGATGAACTTAAGACGGTTCATCTCGTTGCTATAGGGCTTGGGAGCTTCTGCTGCTATAACTCCCGCGAAAGAATGAAATATCAAATTACTTTTAAGTTCACAGCTTCTCTATACTCCTCGTCTTTGTACTGATACACGCCACTCTAACTATTACAAGAAAAATCCTCGAAATACGCAAATTCCCAGTGCCAACTTTGCTTTTGAACCAAACAAGAAAGTATTAGACTCCATCCGCAGCTATTTTCCTCTTCAAGTCTTTCTTGTTCACCTGAAATTCATCATACATAGACCCAAAACCAACAGTCACTATGATATCCTCAACCTCAAGAAATCTAATGGGGCGGAAGTAAAGAAACAAATACTTACTTTTCCCATGGCATTACGAGGCAGTGAATCCCATAACAGCAAACGAGTAGGAAGCTGGATACAAGTCAAAGTGCGTTAAACAAGAACTTTACTGAAGGTAACAACAATCACATAAGGTCTCATTCAGCGAACACCCGTCATACATGTCACATTTTCCTCCATGAAGAATGTACAACTCCCATAGCAAGTAATCAAAATGGTGCAAGCATATCATACCTTGTATGGAGCAAGTTTCTCTTTTGCCCATGTTGAAAGTTCCTCCAAGCTTAGTGCAGGCTTTAGCTCTGCCTCCCTTTTTCTCTTGATTTCTGCATCAGGTACAACTATTGTGCACACAGCTTCTCCGTAATCTTTGTCAGGTAAGCCCAAAACACAACATTCTGAGATAGCCTGGTGCTGTAGGAAGAATTTCAATGACGTAATTAGGGGCATTCAAGTACGTTCTTCAAGCATAAGATTGAAAAAAGTCCTTCAGCATATTCATGAAGGGAAGAATGGTTCATCAGATTATCCACAAAGTTCAAGCTAAGAAGAAACCTCCAAAAGAACTGCTTCAATCTCCAATGCAGATAGCTTGTATCCACCAACTTTCATTATATCAGCATTAGTACCTGGAGAAGAAGTTATAGAGCGGCCAACCATTTCAGCAATGTAGATAACTACTATGTATTCCTTTTGTGAAACTTCCCACAAAATTTTCATAAACTCGTTCAAGAACGGGAACAACACAACAAAATAAGGCGGTTCAACATCAATTTTAGACAAGAAGAAATGGTAGTGAAACTTCAGGATAAACACATTTGGATGTACATGGCGTCTAGAGTTTTACGGTGAAATTAAATTGCAGCTCTCAATAATAATGGCATATGACAAAGTGACAAAGAATCGAAATACACCAACATATACTCACGTCCCAAAATGATGTAGTATCCATCTTCATCTACTCTAACAGCATCTCCTGTCTTGAAAAAACCACCATCTATAAAGGAATCTTCAGTTACCTAAAAGGTGTTTAGAAACTAGGATAAGCAAATATTTACAAAAGTATTTTATGTAAGTATTGATAACAGCATAAAGTACCTTAGGCAGTTTCCAGTATCCCTTGAACAATGAAGGGCTCTTGATGCAGAGTTCACCAACCCCTGTTTTGTCATCTTCAGTTCCATCTTCACCAAGGATCTTGACCTGCAGCAAAACTTGATTGAATGAGTGAATTACAAGTTCTAACCAAACAGCGAACTAATTCACCAAATAGCATGAATAATTGAATCCCCCATTCATAAAGCTATCAAGTTCAGTTCTTTTGCTTAATTCAAGCATCTGAATTCTTAGATTTCCACAACTTTCTGGTTTTCGTAGTTGCATTTAGCACTAGAAACTGATTGTCTTGTAAGAAAAATGAAAACTGGGAAGAAAAGAAAGAGAGAAAAAAGAAAAAAGAGGTTAAACTTGATACAGCCAAGGAATTTGGCTAACCTGCACTCCAGGAAATGGTTTCCCAACAGTACCACCTTTCCTCTCACCTTTCAACGGGTTAGAAATAGCCATGACAAACTAGCAGAATCGAAAAATACAACATTAGCATGTATAAACATTTTATATCAAATGCAGCAGTACATATACAGGGTTGAAAAATGCTTGTCCAGAGGTTAAATATACGCACCTCAGTCATACCATATCTTTCCAGTAGGCGATGCCCTGTTATAGTTTCCCATTGCTGCATGACTGGGAGAGGTAGAGCAGAGGAGCCACACATCTAACACATCAGAAAAGTAGACAAACTTCAACTCAATACACTAAAATGGAGTCCACTATGCACTTTCCCATGAGAATTCAAAATTATTCAGAACAAAACTAATAATAAATTACCATGAGGCGAAGCTGGCCAGCTCCTGCAGCAGAGACAGCCTGTAACTCGGGATCCATTGCTTCGTAACCTTGAATCAATCGGGTATACATAGTTGGAACCTATGTGTGCAGAAGTGGTAAAAAAATAAGAAAATTAGAATGACTGACCACTCACGATAAACCACAGTAAGGAATAAAAGAAATGACATGGATGAACTCCTCCTCCTGCTATTCAGGAACCTCTAACACATCATGCAGGCCAGTTCCAGTGAAGGCAACAAGCAAAAAACAGCATACGTTGAATAGGGATGTAGGACTGAAAAATATAGACAACTGTGGCCAAAGAACCCAACTGCAAGGGAAAAATAGCAGCAAACCAGCAAAATAGACATTCAGATTCTTATGTCTGACATGATCCAGAAGCCCCAACTTTGGCCCTAGTAAAGTTCAAACATGACACAAATTATCTAATGCAAAAGCAACTGCAGAATATGGTCCAAATACTAGAGGTGAGTTGGGATAAAATGAATGTCAATAGTGACCTAACATGTTGACTACCAAGACAGAAGTAAAAGTTAAGACTTACTCCAGTAAATACAGTTATTGCGTTGTCAATTTTAATGTCCTTTGCCGGGTATGATTCACGCCATCTTTGCCAAATTCCCCTAACACTAAACTTAGGCATGAACTCCACCTTTCAAAGCAAACGAGAATTATAAGGATCCAGCAACGAATATGATTCTAATAGGCTGGAATAACAAGAAACTTCAATCTAGTTAACACTAGAGTTTGCATGAACTTACAGCAGAACCTGCATATAGTGGTGCCAGCAAAGCATTGAAAAGGCCATGTACGTGTTAGGAGAAGTTAAGGACCATCGCAACACCAATAAACGCCTCTTCGATTTTCTAAAGCATTTCCACTGATGAAAAAAAACGATCATGGGAAAGAAATTTATTTATATTGTAAGGATATGATGCAGCGGCAAACAGTGCAAAAATCGATCACTAGCTGAGTACTCCCATTCACTTGCCAATATTTGAACCTGAAGTAAAACCAACAAATTAGGATATCAAATTTTGAAGTTAAATGGAGTAAAATAATTAAGCAGACAATCATAATTAATACTTCCATACCCCACAACAAAAAGCCTTTATCCCACTAATGATAGTCTAATTCGAACAGGGTTCAAGCCTAATGGAAGTAAACACCATAATATATTCACATTCTACATCCAAAAGGAGTATCTAATGCAGCAGCCAGTTTTTGACACACTTTTCCGAAGCTAATCTGCTATAGAGCAATTCAAATGCCAGACATTTGCATCCTTTAAGGAAACCAGCAACAAGAACACTATGAAAAGAGAATTGGCAGAAAAGAAGAATCTTTGAGAGTCTCTTATTAGATAAAATTACGTTAAGTGCAGGAGGATGCTGCATGCTTCTTCATAATTATTTAAGATAGATTTTTTAATTTAAAACCCGAACTCAAACACCATTGAAGTGCCCAGTTTACCTGAGCCAATATGCTTCTGTGGGTGTGAACAACTCCTTTGGGTTTGCCTGTTGTTCCACTAGTGTACAATATCAACGCTGGGTCCTCATCTGACCGAAGAACTATTGCAATTGAGTGTTTGACTTCCAGCTAACACAATACAAATTCATTCTATCTTGGTAACCTTGGCCTAACCTGGGAAGCTCCAATCCACATTCTTCTCTCCATTATGCGCCTCATCTGACTCAGTTGACTCTGATGTGCTGGAAACCAGAGGAAGAAGAGAAAACTGAGCAGCAGATTTAGCTGCTACAGTTTTTAAGGGTTCCTGATGATCTTCAGTACTCAAAATCATGGATACGTCCTGCACATGAACAAGAATTTCGCTGAAACATTACATTAAGAAAATATTAAAAAATGGCTATAATAGCTCATGCACTTCAAGGCATCAGAAAGATTAGTTCCACAATTAAATGTACTCAACATATGAACTTGATGAAATGCAATTATAAACGAGATTTCTGAGATGGGGCTATACACTAAAACCAAAGAAGTCAAAAGCGAAGATATGAAGTTAACCTCAAAATAATTAGAAGACAAGGGACATAAATAGATAGATAGTTCACTGGTGCTAACCGAATCATTCATGACGTGTAACAATTCAGCTTCAGGGTAGCTAAGTGCAAGAGGGACAGCAACACCTCCACTGAGCCATGTTCCCAGTATGCCAGCCACAAACTCCGGACTAGGTTTAGCTACAATACCTATTCTGGCACCAGCAAGATGCTTGTTTCCCTTAAGATCATCAACCTATCATAGTCCACAGAGACAAGATATCATTTCAATTTCAGACAACTATGAATGAATTTATCAACCAAGAAGAACAATGCTTAACCTTGCCAACAAAACAAAATGCATAAAATTAATACCGTTCCCCAACTCACAGTTTTCAAGTCACTGTTGCATAACAGATTTGACACTCTCCATGCAGATGAAATGAGTTGAAGATATGTATAACTTTTCTCTTCAGATCTTATGGCAATGCTCTGGCCTGTAGCTGCCCCTTTGCTGGCGACTGCTTTAACCAGCTCCATCAGCAAGTTGTTCCTTGATGCTACAATTTGACAATGTAGAGCAAGTTAAAAAAGGTTGTAAAATAATTGGGCAGTAAACTGCATTGTAGTTTGATTATTGAGCACTAAACACATTGTAGAGAAAACATTTTCGGTAAAACTGCATTTTGTCAGTATTCTCTAACTCAAAAGTTGCAGTTTCGCTGCACCTAAAATTACTTGCAGCAAAATTCATTCCGAAAATGCCAAAGTTTCAAACTTTTTCAAAAACTTGGTTCAATACTCAACCCCTCGACTACAAACTCCAATTCTTTTTATTCTTGTCATTGTTTTCGGCTAACTAATTTCACGTGATCACAGAATACAACATCAACATGGCATTAGAATTCCCAACCCCATAGAATAATTTTATCAAACACATAAAAATCACCCAAAAAAATGACATGAAATTTTGATTTACCAATCCATTTGAAGGAGAAGGCGACTTACCAGACGAAAATAACCGACCAGGTTGAGAACAACACCGATCCCCACAATAAAAAGCTGTGGTGAATAAAGAAGAGGACAAGCTTTGAAGGGGTGTTGTTGGCAGAGTGATGAGGAAACGAAGCTGGTAGCGGTTGAAAACTGGCTTAAATGTGCGCATAATTTTAGGTGGCCAACTCTTGTAAATTTTCACTACCATCAAAAAGAAAAAATTAAAATTCATTTATGGCTCTGGCCCATCTTCATCTTAAATTCCCACCAACTGTTACACAGATGAACAGATACAGAGGGTTTCAGAACTTCGATTTATTTCGTCACCGTTCATTCATCATCATCATCAGCAGCAGCAGAGAATTCTTCCAACCATTTTTTTTCTTCAGCAATAATTACCACATTAATTGGATATAAGCGTATGCAGTTGCGGGAAAAAGTAATTAAACTTGTTCGAATCTTCTTTTATCTGATGATTTTGGTTGAGGTATTAAATGGTTTCTATAATTGGTCTTGTTTGGAGAAGGAAATAAAGAGTAGAGACTGAATTAGCGGGCTGTGTTTCAGAAGAGAATTTCGGCTTCAATGGTGTGATTAGGGATGGATAATTACTATTATTACCACGTAGTTGGTGATTTTCTAAAAAAAGTTTAAATAGATTGTCTAGCCCAATTGTAAAAATGGTCCAAGCCCAGATGAGTATACTGCTCGAGCGTAAGATTCATTTGGACCTAAAATGGAGATTACCCAGCGGATGATTTTGGGCTCGGAATTATATAATGTTTACTTCCCGGCCTAAAAACACTCATAGAGAGAGTTCAAAATTAGTGCAGCAATCTTAAATACTTTTGGTCAGCTGTCCCACCTATCGAGGTGCCTACAATTCAGTGAGGAGGATTAGTCATTGTTGATAACGATGGACAGTGTAAATGTGAGGGAAAAAAAAAAAAATCTCATGAAATGGAAAATGTCATAGATTTTTCTTTCTTCTTTTTTTTTTTCCCCCTTTCTGGAAAGTATAGGAATGAAATGGTGGTCTAAAATGTTCAGAGTGTGATTTGAGAGTTCAATAAGTTATTTTCTCCAGAAAATAGAGTTTAAATTAAGAAGAAAGACTATCAGTGGCTCAAATAGTGAGCAAATCATAGGATGACAATTTCTATCAAAATCGACAATCATGTTCGTCATTAGAGCGTTGACTTATGAAGGCCCGTATGAACTTCAACGAGTTGCACTTTCCAATAAGGCCAATGTAAATCTTTACTGTTCTCGCTTGGTTTTACCAATTCTGTTCCGCAATGAAATAGAAAGAGGCACTGTTAAAATTGGAATGGAGTTTGATTAGATTGTAATCCATGAATTTGGTTAAGCTACTGCTGGTGGCTTGTCAGATAGGACATGCATAATTGGACTCTAATGCAGATCTTCCTGCCAGAAAACCACTTGAGGCCTTCATTTGAGGTCGTTTCTTAATTACTCCCTTGTGTTTTGCTTTCTTAGACAACAGTACTTGAGAAACAGCAAACACACAGCTCAAAATCTATATCAAAACTTGAACTCAAAAAAACTCAGAAATGTGAAATAGATGATATCAAAACTTGAAGCTCATAGAGTTCAAATACCAGATTATATGCATATTCTCCAAAGCCCACCACAGAGTTCAAAGTTGGCAACTAAGATCCACGGGCAGGTCAAATCATAAACTCGAACATTGTGTATTACTCTAAAACGGTTAGTTGAGCCAAAACACATTCAGGGGAAGTTTAATTCTCTAAAACAATTCCAAATTTAGGTCAGCCTCTAAGATCTAAAATGAATGCATCTACACTCCAAAAACTTATTAAACCGGCCCAGAAAATCTAGTATATATTCTTTAGAGAATATAATGATATGAACTCTTGGATTTTCAAAAATAAAAAATAAAAATTATTAAAAATTGAAAATTTGTAATAATGTTATAGGAAGTGGAAATCCCGGAGCCAAATTTTTTTTACATATAAGGAGCGCGGGATTTACAAAACTAACTAACAATTTTAATTTTTTTTTTTATACCTCCGTCGAGAAAATAAAGGACCCTTGGCTCTGTCACATAGATTTCTATTTCTTTCTTTTATTTACATATCATTATTGTAGTCAACCGACCATAAAAACCACACCGATTCGACTGAATCGGAAAGAGGGACAATACGGCAGAAGATGGTCTTCTTATATATTTTTTAATTGAAGAATCCCTCTTCCATATATAATTGAGATTATTAAAAAGAAAAGAATAAGTTAATAAAAGGGCAAGGAGGATGAGGTAAAAGCGTGGCCTGTCGGGTAAAGTACACACATGAGAGTCGAGAGACTTTGATATGATCAAGACAATCAACAAATGGCTCCAACTTTGGTACTTGAAGTACCATATTTTTCTTTTCTTTAGGTCACTGGTCTTGGTTTTGGTGAAAGAAATTAATGCGAATGAACCTTTCTCAGTAGCTTGTCATGGCCAATTCGGGCACGTCATTCTGCACTCGATATTGAATTTGTTGGTGTATGTTGTTTGGCTTCATATTCTGTGTCTCCCTCCATCTCAAAAAAAAAAAAAAAACCAGTTTACATTGCAAATTAATTCAATTATATTTAGTAGGTGTATAATTCTTCTCTCCTTTGCATGCTGCTGTAAATTAAGTTCACTTCAAAATCGGTTCATGATGCTACCATGAAACCGCCATAGAAGTATGTTTGTCTAACCAATATTACATTAAAAACTTTCATACATATACGGGCATCAAAAAAAATCTAAAAGTAACTGTAAGTGCTTTTCCTTGATACAGTGAAAGATGCTTTACCAGTGCAGCAATGAAGCTTTGCTAGGAATCTATTTCTCATCAGATAGTTTTGGATGGTGTTTCTGTCAACTGTACAGCTATGACTCACCAAAAATTGAACCTGAGATCAAATTATGGGAGAAGAATCTGCTTAACAAAATCCCCAAACTATCCTAGATAGAGTTGAGAACCACGGAGAGAATCCAACAGCCACTGATTGACTAATTCTCTACCAAGCATATTGACGAACTAAACCTCTTCACATGAAGTCACATAGAATGAAGTTAGACTTGATTTCTCGAAACCAGTGATTTTCCGGTCTGTCATCTCTTCTTTGGCGGCCCGGCGGAGGTTACCTTAAAGCTTCTCCTGAATCTTTTTACTCAGCAAAGAGAATAACCTTCACCAGCCAAAAAAGGGAAAGAAACAAAGATCATTTCTGTCCTAGAAACACTAGAAACAAGATCAAAGATACTTGAGCTTCTATTTCTACCATGATATATACCTTTAATCAGCTGGGAGAAATGCCATCTCAATTTCCTGGAGCGTCTTCCCTTTCGTCTCAATAATAGTCTTTTTCACCACAACTACTGCAAGAAGGCAAAAGATCCCAAAGATTGTGTAGAGAATTTGTGGACCAATTTGCTCCAGTAATTGCAGAAACAATAGTCCGACAAAAAAGTTAACCACCTGATTACAAAAAGCAATTAACAGTCGTCGGTTAAGGCTTAATATTTCGCCATCTGTAATGGCTATAAGTTCTACTGAAACAAATTTCACAAACATTTTTTTTATATCTACTTGACTCCAAAGAAAAAAAAAAAAAACATCTGTGACCTTAAATCAACAGCTTCTGCTACAAAAGGAAACCAGGAGCAGTAAGTGTAGATTCTAAGGAGATAGTCAATACCCAATGCACAGCCATACAAACAGCCATAGCCTTTGCTCTTATTCGGCCAGGGAGGATCTCCGAAAGAAGCAGACTGGGGACTGGACCAGCACCCAAAGAAAATGCCAACACAACCCTGAACAAGAACTTTGCATTCAGAAGGGTATCGTCAACAGCACTTGATTCTAATTCCATAAATGAAATCCTGATTATCCACAGTATTACACCTCAAACATATTTAGGAAGTTTCTGCTTGAATGGTTACCCTTGATCATCAGAATATCTCTATTAGTTATTTAACAAGGAATGAAATAAATGACTCTTTTCCAGCTGAAACTAGAAAACCCTCTAATGGATTTAATGACTTCACTACTTGAGAAGAGAACATCCCGATTTTCTTGATGAATAAGCAAGTTAATTTAGTAGTCACCAGAAAATAAATACAAAACTTAAAAGAAAATCTACTAGTTTTATGTTTATGATTTTGAAAAGAAAAAGAAAACCATCTACAGTAGACCAAGTATCATCCTAAGTTGCTTCTGAAACTGCTGTATTGTGTTTTGTTAGGGGTTGGGTAGATGACTTTTGATAGTTTTACCATAATTTGACATCAGAATTCAAATTGTGAAGGACTAAATCAGCTGTCTTTATTTTTCTTTTCATAATGAATCCATCTGATTCGCCTATCAAATTCAAGGAATGAGGCAAGATATTCCCTCATTCTCTGTTATATCATGATGGTCCAGTAAAGTTGCAACTTTGTGTTTATAACTAAATGATTTCACTCAGGATGTTAGGCTTGAAGCAAACTACTCACAGAAGCATGCCAACAACAGATAGATAGGGAACTTTAGATCCAGACAAAAGTGGACTTGCCCCAATCACTTGAAGCCCCATGGCCGATGCCTGCATGATTAAGCAATTTCAGAATTCAAGAAGTGAGAGAGGTTAATAAATATCACGTAGGCTGCTTCTTCAAATCTATATCGTTTCAAGAAGATTTTGAGAAGTAATAACAATATTGACTTCTAACCAATAACAGGCCAAAGTAAAGAACGCTTGACTTGCCATGCCTGAGAAACTCCAAACTAAAAGCATCTTCCTCCCTAACTTATCCATCAAAACCATTGCAACAATTGAACCTAAAAATAGATACTAAGGGTGAGATAGTGGATAATTAACTACAAGTGAAGATAAATGGTTGAGAACTCAATACCTGATAAGTTTACAATTCCTACGCATATGTTCGCTACATCTGAAGGTACGCCAGCACTTCTAAACACGGTTGAGGAGAAGTAGAATACAGCATTTATACCAGATAGTTGTTGTAATGCATAGAGGATGGAACCGATTAAAACCACTGCAAAGGTGGCTAATAGTTAATTCTACGCAAAATATTGTTCCTGGCGAGAAGCAAAGCATCAAAAACTAAGATCAGATTAATACTAAACCTCTAACATGACGACCGTAGAACAGGTCTGAAAAGTTGAGAACATCAGCTTCCTCCCCCCTCTCTGACTTTGTCAGCTCTGCCATTGAACTTTTGACATGTAATGGTCCAAAAAGCCTCTGAAGTTCTTCCTCAGTTTCTGCAACTCTTCCTCTCTGAGACAAATGCACCATACATTTTTATTGAACCTAACTTGTAGATAGGCAACTGTCCAGAATAACTGGCTTACGTCAGATACCAGGTCTAAAGAGGGCACCACATTAAACCCACCTTAAGTAGCCAATGAGGACTTTCAGCACAAAGTTGAATTAAGATTGCAAGAAAGGCAGCAGGAACAACTGAAACCCAAAAGCACATTCGCCACCTGTGCATGCGGATAATATTGAATAGTTATTAAAATTCGGCCACAAAACCAGTCCCAAGTTGTGAAGGGCAAAACTAACTCATGCTATCCATCTTACCAATCCGTGACATCTTTGGCTGGAGCACCAATTAAAAATGACGCAATAAGTCCAAGACATGTTGCAATCTGAGTAAAGCTTCCATAAGTCCCTCGAACAAAAGATGGAGACACCTGCTCAAGTATTACAACTGTCAGCATAATGGTAATACAGTTTTAAACAACTATCTTGTAAGATGAAAATACCATTTTTTTTACCTCTGCCACATAAAGAGCTGCCACAGGCGGACCAAGACCCATTCCAATTCCAACGAACAACCTCCCAAGTAGCATGCCCCCAAGACTAGTCGTAGTTGCACTACAAGTTATAGCATACTTCAGAATTTCTACTTTGTCAATCATGATTTAGCTAGACTTCACAAAGAATCACATCCGAAGAGTAAAGCATAATGAGAAAACATCAACATTCACCTCATGGAAGCGCCAATCATCATAGGTAAAGCACACAACTGAAAAGCCTTTCTGCGACCAACACCATCTGCTGTCCAGCCACTGAATATCGAACCAAGGAAAGCACCTCCTAGACATGTACTCACCACCAATCCTTCAATGTCAAGACAGAAAACACCATAAGATGGAAAATAAAGAACATGAGCACCCGTAAAACCAATAAAAATCCTTCAGACCAAGAGCGGAAAGTACCTTCAGCTAGCGTGTCTCCAGCAAAGCCTAGGTCCATAGAAATGCTTTCCAATGTGTCATTAACAACCCTAAAGAAAAACTCAGAAAAAGAAAAAGAAATTAACATGAAAGTATATGTACACATGGTAGATATAAATCAAGCATAAAGAAGAATAAAAGATCAAAGATATACCCTAGGTGATAACCAAATAAGAATGAAGAGATAGTTGCAACCAGTACATGAGGCAGGGGACGTTTCCATGATGCGTTTCCAATTTCTTTCAATGAATCAGTGTGGAATTGACCTAACGCAAAGTATGATAATCAAGTTAGCCATGGTAATCGACGCCAAATTAATACGCCATCAGGCAACAGTATGTATGTCATGTAAGATTATCAGTCCTCTAATATGGTTCATCTACGGCTACTATCAGGATGCAATTCAGTGCAGCAAAGCAAGGATAAAGTAACCGTGGATCAACTGACACAAGCTCTCTGAAGTTGAAATCTTGCATCTGGAAGTTATATCAGGAACAGATTTTTAAATTCGAAATTTATAACTGAAGCTAACTAATATGAAGGAAATTATCAGAACGGCATTGGTTGAAACTAATGCAAAGTTCTGAGAAATGTACCAAGTCCATCTTCTCTGGCAATGTCATCGGGATACTCTTTGGACGACACACGTTTATAGGTTGAATAGAGGTTGCGCTGACGCCCAAACATTATGAAATCCAGTATGCACCTGGTTCAATTCTGTTAAGGCCAAATCAAAATCAGAGAATAAACTAGTATGCATATGCCTATTTAAGTGCCATAAAAATCAGAGAATGATCCAGTAAGGCAGATATATACATATTGGCTGATTCTCTCTAAGAATAACATCCTAAACTTGGTAGATACAGTGGCTTTCGTGACAACGATCTGGATATATCACAAATGATCTCAATCAAAAACCACTTTGTTTAAGTTTCAACTGAAATGAACCCTTGGATTGAAGACACTTATTATAAAGCAATCCTGTATATATACTAAGTACTGAATCCAGCGCCCGAAACAGAGTAATACTACGAAGTTCAGCAATGTGCAGATGAAATTCAGATCTTAAACAGAAAAACAAAGAAAATTTCGAATCAAAATCTTAATACATTGTACGTACAAATCATAAAACGAAGGTATATCGGAGGATCGCAAGTTAAGGCGTAGTCCACTCTAGGAGAAAAGGGAAATACATTTTAGATAACGTAAATCAGTAACGTACTACACGTGCATAATTTTACACTTTACAATTATGGATTATTCTCGAAATTCACACATGCACACATGTAGATTAGCGAGAGAAGGAAGAGACGTACGAGGCGATCAAACCTCGAAAATGTACAGTGCTTGAGATCCGGCGGTAATGCAGGTGGGGTGGTGCAGGACCGGCGAGAACGGACGGGCGAGATTGAGTAGAAAGAACGAAAGAGAGTCGGAATTGGTCGGTGGAGGAGTGGAGACGGTGGCGCGTAGGCCTGAAATCACCGTTCCCGAATTCGGACTCTGAAGTATAAAATGCACAGTTGGAAAATGAGAAATAATGATGAAGTTGGCGTTCTACGGAGGTCGATCAGATTACAACTGATGACGAGAAATTGTTACAGCGGAAGGGTAGGTACTGTCATTGTCAACTTTACCCTTTTGTAATATGTAAAACCATTGTAAAAGGGAGTGACAATTTTTTTACCTTGTATTGTAACCGAAAAATATTGTAAGTTTGTAACTAATTCAAATAAGTTAATTTCTCAACCAAAAAAAATTCAAATAAGTTAAGTTTTGGTCTCTCGATATACACCTCATGTATTATTATTTTTTTTTTTCAAAAAAAACAAGAAGAAGAACAAAAACTATAGAACATTACAAATGATGTGTATTACACTGAAGGACAGGATTTTTAGTCCCTCACAAATACACAGGTATCACTATAGCATATGTGTCGTTTTACACTGATACACAGATACCACTTAAAAAAAAACTCTGTCCATTCATGAATTGTGGAATATTAATCAAATCAAAATAGGCCTTGGTACACTGGGAAAACTGAAGACATAAATGTGACATTTTCTGAAATGATGTTCATCGCGCAGCGCACAACTTAGTGAAGTAGATTTATGAACAAGTCAACAAACTGTTTGTTTTTGGTAAGTAAAGTAATCGAGGTGATTGATATAGCCCAACAAACACCCGGCTTGCTTAAATAAATCAACAATAAGAAAGCCTACTTTAGAACAAAAATTGTCAATCAATCTGCTCAGCAGGGCAATGTTCATCCCCATAGGCTTGCAAGGGTGCGCACTTAAACATCTTGGTAAAATTGCTGTTGTCGACTCGGCGCTGCATATAGCACAAACCCGAATGTTAAAACAATGATAGAATAACCTGAGGAATAAGCCAAGAGAAGATCGAATGACTAGAATTTCCTAGAGTGAAAGTCTTGGGAATTGATACTCACACATCAAGCAATTGATACCCTCCCTATGGAGGGTTAAGAGGATACTCACACTTCAATTTCAACTTTTCAATATTACTGTCTGATTAAAATCAGAAGAATGGATATTCGTGATTTACATAATCTAACTTATTCAAAAATGCGATATAATAGTATAAATGCTTTTAATTAATATAGGTACTATTTCAAAAAAGAGAGTGAAAGTCTTAATAAAATTAAGACATTCAGCCTTAACATACAGAAAGCATATGTACCCTTTCTAATTGTGTTTATGGGTGTCAATTTAGGTTTGGACCCATAAACCTGTCACGAACCCAACATGAAATTAACGGGTTTGGGTTGGGATTTTTTTAACCAAATAATAAATGGGTTGAGTCGAACCCAACCTGTTTATTAAATGGTTTGGGTTTAGGTTGACCTGACGGGTTACACGGGTTACTTGTTAAAATATGCATATAGTAACTAATTTTATTAGTTTTTTATAGGCATATTGGTCATTTTAACAAATATTGTATTAATTTCTTAGAGGCATATTGGTCATTTTGGTAAATATTTTATTAGTTTCTTTCGGAACATGTGATTTTTAGCTTTTGAATGATGTATTGTTTTCATTTATATTGTATTTTATCAAGCATTTGTTCTTTGGGGATATTTTGTAGATTTAGTTATTTTCATGACTAAAATATATTTTTAATTAAAAAAATCATCATTTTTACAAGAAAAAAATTAATTGGGCACCAGCAGAAAAAAAATAATAAAAATATTCGAATTAAACGAGTCAAATATGGGTAACCCGTGAAATAAACAGTCGGGTCCGGTTAAAAAATCTGACATGTTTAATATAATGATTGTGATAAAATTAAACAGGTTGGGTCCAACTCAACCCGTGTACCCAGACCCAATCCAAATTGACACCCCTAGTTGTGTTTTCAACATATGACACATTGACCTTGGGCCTGGCAGCCTCAAAAATGTTTTCCGAGCAGAATTTACGTAAAGCACTTCTTGGTGGAAGATTGCATCCCTCTGCATGATAATGCAGTGGGGGTAAAAAGAAAAAAAAAAAAAAAAGAAGTTAACAACGACTGAAAGGTGATTAAAAGGGAGACGGACATATATTACCAAAGTCTATATGTTCCTTATTTTGTGGCAAACAAACTGTCATGGTGTTAACTGTTTATAAAATTATACATTCAGCAACTTACCAAGTATCTCTGGAGGACACTCTACCAGCAATTCCATATATCTATGACATAACTCGTCCCTAGCTCTATCTGTTCGCAGCTTCTGTGGAGGATTTTCAGGGCACTACAACAGAAAGAAAACAAAGGGGAGAAATTAGTATATCCGAATCTGCCCTATCTGTAAGATGATATGCTCTCTAAAAATATACAGTATATCATAATCTGCTTCTACATCTTTCAAGATCATCTCAGGGTGAAGCCAATTTCAAAAAGCCAAATTGGTTAGGCTTAGCTGCACTTGTGTTTTACCCCACACAGTTCAATTTAGGAGCCCTAGCGAGATGAGACCCCAAAGATATTTGGGTGCTCAAATTAAAAAGAAAGCCATCAGTTCTGTTGCTTAATTAGGTGTATGGTAATAAAACCTCACCAGGCATCAGATCACACATTTAAATCCAATCTTTATAATCGAAATCAGTACATTTAGCACAAAGGAAGAGGTCGATTTCCTAAACAGTGAAGATATTCGATCACATTTGGTTTTTCTTCAAAACTTTTTTTGCAGGACATTCAACGAGTGCCTTTCTTGTAAAATGATAAAATAGATATTTGTAGTGGCTGACAACTTAAAATTTCGAATGCAGAATACAGCAAATAAGATTGATAATAATATTGATAATAATAATAGAAATGAAATTATCAGCAACAACAAGAAGGCACCTACCCATTCAAGTGCACCAGGAATAGCCATGTTCCACCTTTCCTTGGGGGGTACTCGTTGTACCATTCTTTGTAGTTGGGGCTGTACTTTCTCACAACTGCATAATGATCAGGATGGCTTGAATCGATAAATATTTTCTTATCAGCTTCCTCTAAGGGGATCCCCAGGAACGCCGCGGAAGCAGAATACCGGGCAGACAGCGCCATCCTTTAGTGCGGTGTAGTCATCTGAAATTGCGTAGTTGCAGAGTAATGGAACAAACCAACAATCATGAGCTTTTCTATGCATCTAACACACATGAATCAATGTAACATGAAAGGACTCAAGCAATAGAATAGAATAGAAGTATTATAAGGATTTCCTTAGGGGAGGAATTAAAGGGAGTACTTACAGCGCTGATGTCGACGCGAGCCAGCAACAGGTCCTCCTCCGGAAACCTTTTCTGCAGTGACAACAAAATCAAAAGCATAGATTAGTTAAAAGTCCGCAATTAGTATAACCCAGAAAGGGTGTTGAAAGTGGAGTTTTTTTTTTACAACAACATCAATCAATCTGGGATCCTATGATTGACGAGAGAGATTTTCTCACCTGGACGCCCACTCGTTCCAACCATGATGATTCGCAATTCGCCTGAGCTCTTGGAATTAAGCAATCTGGGCAGAGTGGAATATACGCCCGTGCCTGAAAAAGGGTATTAGAAAAGTGTCCTCTTTTTTTAGATATAACAATGTTTTCGCAGAACAGAAGATATATAGAAACTGCACCGAAAAAATCAACCACCCTATATCAAAGACTCAATGTGTCATGTTCCGTCCAGAAAAAAACAGAAGTTATGTGTTGGTTAATGGAATATTATCGAAACCCTTAATAAAACAACTCCTCAAGAAGATAAGGTTGTCTCAAACCACAAACAAAAAAAGAACGATTTCCAGAAACCTCCCTCGGATCCCGACTGCGCAGTCTTGGTATTCACTGAGGATTATATATTAGCGGGAATATTTGCCACAATCGACTTGGTTCAAATATAATTTGGTTATGTTGCATCGGAGATCCAACTTGGACACAAGGAAACTCTGTTTTTTTGGTCACTGACTGGCCTTCAATTTTGTCAGCCGGTTCTTGATCTGCTGCAATGGTGAGAGTAGGACATTCATGTCGGCGATGAAAATCGGAGGAAGACAAATAGCTTGGAGAGATTGAGCTTGTGAAACTTCCAGGCCGATTGCTCATCTTCGAGCTGTCAGGTGCAAACTTGGAACATTGAGATCGTGAAATTGGATTTGTCTGACATGACTTGAAACATTGTTGAAAACTGATGCATTTTTCGTCTGTGGTTGCAAGCCATGGGAGGTGATCTCTTGTCCGGTGGCTCAACCGGATTCAAAGAAAGTCGGCAATCGAGTTTACTACACCATGAACAGGGGAGGGAGACCAAATTGCATTGTACACTTACCATATTCAGGACGCAACCATTTCGGTTTCTTTGCTCCAAAGTAGTGTTACAGCTTACGTGCATTCCCACATCTTGGATATTCATTCCTAATGTTCTGGCACTAGCAAAGAACCGAGGAGGACTATCGCGTATCCTTTTCCGGTAACAACGTTAATGTTAATGAAGAAGAAGAAGTAGAATATCAGTTGTTATCTGCCAGGGAAAGAAAAAGCAAAAGACTAGGAGGATGAATTAACAGTGCTAAACAACAACGACAAAGAGGAATTGTCCACTGTTGTAAACCACCAAGTTTCTCTTCAGGACAGTCTATCAGCAATTCCATGTACTTATGACATAACCAGTAATTAATGTTATTCATTTGCAACTTCTTTGGAGGCTTCAACACAAGAAAAACAAGGGGAAAAGAAGAAAAGGTGAAGCCAACGCCTCGTCCTCCGCAAAACTTTGCTGCAGTGACAACAAACCAAAGTGTTGTTAGTTTTCGTCTGTAATTAATTAACCACCCCCCACAGAAAGATGCTTTCAGTTTTCCAGAAGAACATCAATCTGTAATTGTACGATTGACGACAGAGAATTCTCACCTCTACGGCCGGCTGTTTCCACCATGATTCGCGGTTGGCCTGGCCTAACTATAAGTCTGAAGAACAAAGTTTTGGAATTAAGCAATTTGAGCCTCTACTTTTGTAAGCACAAGCTCAGTTTGAGTTAAGATTGATTCAATAGTTTTAATTTTGTCGTAGAAAGAATTCATTGTGCTGGCTTCCCTTTGCTTATTTATGTTTGCATTATTCTCCCTCCGTGGATCCGTCCCATTTCAAAAGTTCTTTTGTTAAGCTAAATCAATAAAGTGGACAATTAAAATAGACCGAAGCAAGAACGTATTCAATGAGAGTTGAACTTAAGAGTACATCTGCAGGACCCAAATGAGCATGGTTACTGTGGGGGAAAAGTTCGTATAGGTCAGGAAAATCAATCAATACAAATTAATTAACAGAAGTTTTAAGTATATGAATCCTTGAAAACATTTAATTTCTGGAGGCAGAAATTCATTGAGAAAACAAAAAGTCACAATTAAATATCACGCTATACAGGTTACACAAATCAAAAGTCAAGTTAAACAAGAACGGAAAAGTACAAAATTGCTGCTGATTGCTTGGTTTGGGACTATGGAGTACAAACGGCCGTACCAATGAAGTTACTACAAAAGGATCCATGACATTTAAAATCTTCTATCAACCAGCACCAACGCTTGAACTCATTACCTGTATCTGTAGACAATCAAAAACAGGTAATCATGATTCCAAACCGAGTGCAAAAGATGGCAAGCCAACGCAAAATCCCTTTGAAATGCTATATAGTGAGATACCTTATTTACAAGCAAGTTTACTTGCTCTCTGTACATCTCTTTCAAATCAACAATATCAGCACGGAGCTCCTCTAACTGCACAGACCATTTCAAAAGTTAGCGTATGTCAGCTTCGCCGGTTCATCATGAAAATGCCAACAAAGAAAGATTGTTCTCACAGTAACATTCAAGAAATCAGAGATTTTTTGTACCTCTTCATCACGTTCACCCATCAACTCCAGTGCAGCTGAATGTCTCCTTCGTAATGCATCTAGCTCCGCCCGTAAGCCAGGCAGCAAAGCAGCTTCAGACCGTAGTTTTTCACACTGCATAAGATGGTTAATTTGAGAGGCAATGATAAAGACAGTTTTTGCAACATGAGAGCAATGATTAAGAAAAATGGGAAAATAATCTCAAAATAAACAACTCACCTGAGCCGTTAATTTTACCAACTCCTCGGCAAGAGAATCACGAATAGATTCCATAGATGCCTACAATGAGCGGTATTCAAGAGTTCAGAAAAGAATGCTCTAGTAAGGTCCATGAATAACCAAAAGAGATAGTTGAAAGTGAATGACATTTAAACCATGATTCTTTGCATTAATATTGGATAATGTGGGTTCACCACTGACTCGCACTCAGGATATACAAGCACCACGATGTATGGAACTAAAACACCAATAAAAAAATTTCATACCAATCTAGACATATATGAGGCAAGCTCCCCCTCCTTTTGCCGCAAGGCAGATTCAAAAGCGCCAGGTGTCATGCTCTTTATGTAATAGGGACTCAGACCTCCCTCTATAGCATTTCTACGCTCCGAAAAATTGTCAGATGAGTCTAACGAAGCTTGCAGAAAATAGCTCTCCTCCATGCTGCTCAAGCTGCTGGCACTTGAAAGTTTGCGGGTCAAAATTCCTGAAAGACAAATTATTATTGAATGACGATCAGATGAGTACAGGGTCATGCCCAAATACAGAATAGTGATTAGGACAACAATTACCGTTATCTGAACCAGGATTTCTCTTTTTTGCTGGGCTTTGTTCGGATGTATGAGAAGGTTGAAGGCGAGCAGCCCTTTCTTGATCCAAACGAGTAGCTTTCTCCTTCTCTAGCTCCTAAAAGGCAATGCGGGATTATATCACTAGAAAATTTGATGGGGAATAGTTCAAGCAATGTAGAAGAGAATCAGCATGTGCTCCAACCATAAATCTCATTCACATGCCTCAAAAAATGTATTACAAAATTATGATGTATGTCCTCCTTCTTTGATTCCTCTCACATACCCAAGTAATCCGTAAAAACCAAGAAGAGTATTGCCACTGATTTAAAATTAATTCCATCAACTTTTCATCAATTTCTGTACCACAATTGAAGTCTATGAACCTTTGAGCTGAATTTTCAGTTTCTTCGAAGCAAAATAAATTTAGTAATTCCAAAATAAGCATCTGAGTAACTCAGTGATTTACTCATAGCAAGACAAGGCCTTCCTTAAACATCTAGAGCCACACACATGCTGCTGAGAAAAAAGAGAATCAACTGTCTTACCTGCTGTAGGAGCTCCTGGTTAGCGATTGCTTCTTGTATCTCCTGCTTGTGCTTCCTCCTCAGATCTTTAATTTCTTCTTCAAGCTGTTTCACACGACCTTCATTTGTATCAGCTTCCTCCTTCAAAGCAAGATACTCTTGCCTATGTTCTGCAGCTCGTTGCCTTTCCTTCTCAAGGGACTTTGTGAGCTGCGTCTGCTCAGCCCTGAGACATGATATCTGCAATAAAATTCTAAAATCAGAAATCCATAGAATGAGCCAAAAAAAAAAAAAAAAAAACAGCAGTAAAAACTTAAACAATACCTGAGCTTCAAGAACATTAATCCGCGATAAAGTTTGAGATAAACGCTCGTTTATTGATCGTTCCCTTTCTTCTGCGCCAGCAGCTTTGCCCTCCGCTTCCTATATAAAGAAATGTGTCATTAGAAGTCATCAAACAAAACTTTATTTTGCTACAGAATACAGGCTATCCAAAAACCTGAAGTCGCAAATTCAGGGATCTCTCAACAGCAGCCCAAGCTTCTGCCTTTCTTGCATTAGTTTCCTGCACTTGTCAAAGAAAAAACTCAAATCCAAGCAACAAAGAAAGCCAAAACCTTTGTTCATAATGAACACATCAACCACAGAATACATTTAGTTCTAAGATAAGGAAGTACCTGGATAGCTTCAATTTGCCTTAGAAGTGGTCTGGTAGATTCAGGTACTTGTGTTATCAACTCCTCACACCGGCGCTCACTAGCCTGGAAATGAATGAAGAAAAATATGCATAAGGAAAGGCTAAGTAAAGAAGGAATTACATGCACATTCTCATTGAGAGAAAGAGAAGATAAATCAACTAACTTGATAACGTTTTTGCAGATCTTCAATTTCTCTCTGCAGCATATCTTCTCTGAATACTGCCTAAAAGAGAAAAACTTAATTTCATTCACCCATACAATAAACAAGCGTAAAACACAAGTGCAAATCCCAAGAACTGTAAAAAACAAGTGCAAATATTAAAAATGAAACACCTGCTGCTCCTTCCTTGTCAAAGTTTGTCTAAGCTCTTCCAGTGTTTGAACAAGCATGGATTCCCGTTCCTCAGCCTCCCTTAGACGGCTTTCTAGTTCAGTTCTGGCTTCATTGTTAGCCCTAGCCTCTGCCAAGGCCTCGGCTTCCTTTGCCTCATTCAAAGCATTTGTATAATAATCTTTCTGGGCTGTGAGTTCAGCTTGGTGTTTCTCGATTGTTTCCTGCAACAGTTTCTCGGTAGCTGCCTTGTCCTTCTTTATACTTTCTACTTTATTCTCTTCAACCTGAGTATGTCAACAGTCACACGTAAGGGATCATCTATAGTAATTAATAAAGTTATGGCATCAAAAGCATCTAAATAGCAAGACATTTTAAAATCATGCAATTACACCACAAAATCAACAATTAAACCGTGATCATCGGGGGCTTTTGCATATCCAACATTTGACTCCCAGCTATAACACTTAGAATGCCAGTTGCACCGGTGAGACAAGAACGAATCCCATCGAATGTGCAAGAGGTAGAGCGTTTAGCTACCCCCCACAAAACAAAAGACCACACGAACAACAATAATCTAGAACGAGAATCATGCTTGCTAAGCAAACCTAGGAAAGGCTTAGTCTGAGACCAGTAAGGATAACCACTTTCAACAATAATATACCAACTTCAACTCTTTCCAAAAAAAAATCAAGTTATTGACTATCAATCAGGATGAGATGAAAACAGAAGTATGTTTCTTGCAGAAATCCAAATACCCAAAACTATATTAAGCAGGCAATAGAATTCTAGATTTCATAGTAGAAAAGAAAGAAAAACCACAAACAACCAGTTCACCATAAGCAACAGCGTAAACAAATTGACATTCGATAATCTCCACTGGCTCGGACACACACAAATGCAGAGGAAGCTCATGATAACTGACATAAACATTCATGGTTACATCAAACTCGAGGAATGAATAAGAAATTACCTCTAATCTGGTAGCCAACCCTTTTTTCTCTTCTTCAAGCTCTCTGATCTAGCTTTCAAAACAAATGCCGAAATTGTTAAAATTAATCGTGTAAGAGTAAAAAGTAGTAGACTTCTAGGGCTGAGGGCAGGTATACCTGTGCCCTTAATTTTCTCATTTGTGCTTCTTGAGCAGCTTGTTTTTTAGAGAGTTGCTCACCTGTAAGAAAATAGGAAGATTCTATCAGCCAACCCCAAAATAGCTTCTTATAACTATAAACATGTCATCACTATCTAACGAAGGATAAAACAGCACAAAGTTTAGTGTTTTGCACCTTCAGCCATTACTTGTGTAATTATTTCATCTTTTTCCTTCAAAAGAGCAGCAGCATCACTTTTTTTATTCTGTTCCCTACGAAGTGTATCCCTCTCCCGTGTAAGAGCATACACCTGAAATATGATATGGAACAATACACAACCACACAATAAGACTGACAATTTCAACGCTTAAAAACCATTTAAAGGTTAGATACTTAAATTTACATCAATCATCTTAAAGCCAACAGTGGGAGGTAGCATATATGGTTTCATCCCTACATTTGCAAGTATAGAGCAAGGATATTCTCAAGTCCATAACCACCAATATAGAAAATAGTCATAACTTCCGAATCATAAGCTCTTAATCATATCTAAGGCATGCCACATGACTTTTTTTTCCCACAATATAAAACAGAAGTTAAAACACAAAGAATTACCTTTCTCTCAAGAGATGCTACCCTTTGATGATATTCTTCCCGAAGAGATTCAACTTCTGCGTCATTAGATTTTCTCTGAAAATTAATCAGTCATGAGTTATCATTTCCAGACCCGCTTCAATTAACTCACATAACATTAATGATACAACCACAGTCAAGAGAATTTTGCATATTAGGAGAGCATTCAGAATCAGTTCAACTGAAATAATATGATAGATGAAAGTGCAAACGTTAACTTACCCGCAAATCCTCAATAACACCCTTCAGCTGCTCATTTTCATTCATCAGGTTTGCAATTTCATCAGCTTTCGCCTGGTAAAGAAGATATGGATTTCCAACATAAACCACAAGTATGCAAATCAGGTACCTCAAATCTTCATATAATCAAAGTAACATTGCGCAACTTCAAGCATATTAAATTACAAAGACGCGCAAGCAGGGGAAAGAAAAGAAGTTCTACCTGAGCTTGCCTTGCAGCTCCTTGCAGTGCAGTTTCCATCATTTTCATATCCTTCTTCACCTTCTCCAATTCAGCAACATAATCGAAATTATTGGTTGAGCTGCAAGCTGGACTTGAACTTTGTTCACTTACATTAATCTCATCATCAGCTTTCTCAGTTACCTCGACAAATTTTGTTCTTGCGGCATTTTCAGGCAAATCTAGTCCAGATTCTGTAAGCGCCGCCTCTTCACTGTGATGAATGACAGGAATAATACTTTGGGATGACTCCATGGTCTTTTCAGTCTCCTCAGGTATAACAGAACCCGAAATAGAAGGCTCTTCCTTCTCAGCCAAGCAATCAGAGGTCTGATCTTGGGCTTCAATTGGGATAACTTCCTTTGAAACTTCTTCCAAGCTGTTCTTTTCATCTGTACTCTCCACGGAAACACCGAGGTTATCAAGTTGGCCTGGAGAAGCTAATTGATCTACTGAATTTGCAGATTCAGGTTCGACTGACCCTAAATTTTCGGAAGAATCTACTGGGAGCTCCTTTGAAGAATTATCTAAGTTCTCTTTTGAAGAACCTTCTAAAACCTCCTCTTGGATGTGGCTAGATGAACCTTCCCCTTCAATATGCTCTCTTCCCTTTTCAGACAGTTCAACGTGCATTGATGATACATCATTTGATGTTTCACTACTTGCTGCTGCTGGCAAATCTTCTTGCTCTCTAACTGAAACTTTTGCTTCTTTGGTAACAACTGCAGGTACAATGGTATCACTGGTATCTTCCTCCACTTGGTCTACATGTGTACTTCTTTCAGCACCGGGAACGTCTGAGCTATCTGGTTTGGCTATTTCTTCCTCTTCAGGAGATGAAATCTTTGGCAACTCTGATGTCTCCAGGGGCTCAGCCACACTCTCACCACCTTTTTGCCCCATGAAGGCCATGACTGGGTCAAATAATGCTTTCCTATCTGTAGCCACAGGCCATAAACCTGATGCTGCTGTGATTGGTTCCACAAAGAAAAAGGTTTCAGAGATCCAGGACTGACAAAACACTAAGTACATTTTCCACAAAAGTGTAGTAATCAGATAAGAGAGAATATTGATTCAACTTACAACAATAACAGTGCAAAGTTTCACGTTCAATATTAGCTCTCACAATCAGATTAAAGTTTGTGAAATTACAACAAACACAGGCCACCTTATATAACTGTTAAACTTTGAACTTCAAAAGTAGATCAAACAATAAGATGTCTCAACAGTGGCCTACAGAAGCCTGACTCTCATCAGCCATTATTGGTTCTCTCAAATTTGGTATTCCTTTATCATAGGTTCTTTTCATTGACAATCCTCAGCCATTGCAAATGGAGCTGGAAGAGTCATCATTGACAATTCTTTTAGCTATGTGCTAATAATGCACTAGATCAAAATAGCTCTGTTAAATTCCAGTGCCTCTTCTATTAGTGAAGTTGCTGGAAATAAATATACCAAATAACGCAATGTACCTTGGGTTGCAACTTGGGTCGCAACGGAAACAGCCTCTTTGTGTAATTACAAGGGTAAGGCTGCGTACAACTGACCCCCCAGACCCCAGAAAGCAGAACCATAAATTCCAACTGAATCACATCAGAGAATAGGGGAACTAACTGGTAAATCTACATATTGAATAGAGAACTCAAAACATCTCCCTTTCCTTTTAGTATCTTTCCTGTAATAGAGTTATAGAAGTATACCAGTACTATTTACATTCCATTTTTTTTCCTTTAAACCTTATATCCCGTTATGAGCTGTTAGGGTCTTCGAAATAAGAACTTCACAAGGAGAAAATCATGTGAACAGGCAATCATTTCTAAATGAATCACAAATTAAGAAGAAAGCACATCAATAAAGCCACTGTGCCAATTATACCTTTGTCGAGGCAATTTTTAACACCTTAGCTATAGCATATGGCTTTCTAATTCTTACAGCCATTCTTAACTTCAAGCAATGACATACATAATAACAAAAGCAGCTAAATCACAGTTGTATCAATGGGAAAAAAGAAATGATTGGAGAAACCCGAACCAAAAAGAAGTATGCAAAAGGAAGGATCAATGACAAACAGGATGCTTACCTTCATTGCTGCTACTGGTTGCATCGGACTTTTCCTCGAGGCCTAAAGCGCTGTCAAAATTCTTTTCAATGCTCTTAACTCCCTCACTGACTGTGTCACTAATATTCTTCACCGCCCCGGCTAAATCCGAAAAGTTTCCCAGGGACACTTTCCCACTAAACCAAGCCATCTATTCTCAACAATTTAATCACCACGATCAAATGAACCACCGCATGAACCTATAAAATTATTCAGATCAATTAAGTTCACATTCAACAAAAAAAGTTAACAAACTTCGTGGAAAGTTTTAAAATTGAAGATAACACAGATCAAATACAACCAGGCTACTTTCAAGTTTCAAACCTTTAATTTAATGTAAGCCCTTTTATCTCCAACATATGATGAAGCAAGAGTGAATTGATATTTAACCTCCAGGAACGGGATCAAATTGGAGTTAGGCTAGCAATTTGGCGTCTGCGGCACACGCCGGCGAAGGAGAAAACATAACAAATGAGTTCACGCGGAGTGATATTCGGCTGGAGCAGCCGGAGAGGAATGTTGAGCGGCAGCCGGTGGGGGGATCGGCGTTGAGTAAAAGCTGCCTGGTTTTTAGTCGGTGAGATTTGATTATGAAGAAAGATTAAGGAAAAACAGAAAACCAAAAGATGGATTGGGAATTTCGTTTTAATTTTTATTTCTATTTTCCTTTTATAAGCGATGTGAGATTGTGAATCTGCGACAAAATGAGCTGTATATTGGTTTTTACTAGCACAGGCCCAAATCCAGGCTTCTCTTAAGACCGTACTAAATTATACCCAACCCAAATGAATAAATAAAATTAAATTGTACTACCAGTAAAAAAGTCTTGCCTAGTAGTACAGTAGTATATTTTCTTCTCTTTTCTTTTTTCCAAATGAAAAAATGGCTATATAATATTCTTAGGTTTGGCGATCCTACGTCTCTAGATTAACAATTGACGAGGAATTTCTGCTAATTTAATCGTAATCTTTCCTCTATATGACAACATACTACTAAAAATCCTTTTGTTACATAAATTCAAGCTAATTTAATTAAACATTTACTCGATCTCACTTATAAAAAAATATTTCTTCGATAAAACAAAAGAAAAAAATTGAGTACTACAGCATACATTAACATTATTAACGAGCAGCACATAGTCAGTTTTTTGAGTGTATATGTATTTATATTACATTCTTACAAAAATTATCTTTAAATTCGTCTACTATATACTGTAGAGTCAATTTTCTTTTTTGGTTTACATGAACTTTAATAAGTCCCATTTCATTTTTGCGGTGTGACGCTGCAATACTGCAATTAGATCGTCATTAATTTCTTTTCCTTCGCTTATTTTTCTCGTGTATAAAAGACAAACATTTTCAAACTTTGGGAGCCAGAGATCATCCTTTCGTCACTGCGGGGTTCCTCTGAATTCCATCCTGCACTGTACGATCGCCGCTGCGCGCATCTCATGCCTATTCATCTACCGCCACCTTCGACCGCCGTACAGCGCCGCATTTTGTCACCGGAACTCAAGTAAGGGACCGCCTCGAAACAAAATTATTTGTTTTTTCTTTCCTTCTTTTGATTCAATTCCATCCACAATTAAGTTTTATCTCTCTTAATTTTAGTAATTACAACCTGAATTTTTTTCTGCTGCTGTTGATGTTTCGATACGGAAAACTCTACTGCTATCGTTCATCGGTTCATGTTTGATGTTCATTCTGTTAGGATTAAATCGGTTATCATTTCGCGACAGAGCTGTCGATATTGAACGGAGTGACATCGTTTTTCTGCAGCAGGATATCGTACATTTGAATGGAGAATAAAGTTAAGGCGTGGCGATTACCGCCAAGTTGCGTTCGTCCTCGGCAAATCAGCGAGCCTCCGGTTGGCTTCCAGGATGTGTCGCCGGAGCTATCAAACTCCTCACGGAAGCGAAAGACTGCTTCTCTATCTTCGGTTTACTCTCCACCCCGTTCTCCATTGGGAATAATGTAAAGGAACCAAAACTTCCTGCGATGTTTATCTGTGCATAAAACTGTCAGAGTATTGAGAAACTGAAAGGCATGAAGTAGCTTGATTATTTGTGTTGAGACCTAAGGAATTGGAAAATGCCTATATACTGTAAAGTGTTGAATGATGTATGATCAAAGACAAACAAGAAATCAGCTAGTCAGCAACAAGAACCGGTGAATTAGATGTTTAAGTTATTATGATTTAAATGACTAAAGGAAAACACATTGTTAGATTTATTGTAAAAAGAAGATGTCAATTGAGATATATGGTACAGAAACCTAATTATATTCTCACTTCTGAGTCCCAATTGTGTCGTAAAAGAATTATGTTCCTGAATGTGATTTGTCCTGGGCTCAATAAAATTATCCATTCACTGTGCACATTTATTGTTTCAGTTTGTCTTTGTCAGAAGGTGAATGGAATTTTTTGCACTTTAGGTTTAAGGTAGTCTTTCTCTGACCATCATATTGATTAATTTTATCAGAAAGCCCTCTCTGGAGATAGAGCTCGGTTGTTCAGAGTCGAAAGATGATTTTCCTATGAAAGAAAGGAAATGTAAGTGCAAACAATCACGTTGTCTAAAGATGTAAGTTGTTTCCTCTTCCTCCTTTAAGAACGTTGACATTAGCAAAAAACACCTTTTCTCACCTTCAGAAAAATATGAGATGGGCTACATATTGAGTTAAAAATAAAAAATAACATTATTCTGCTAACTCTCAAGGTCTTGTTCATCCTTTTCTTTGCTCCACTTCGTAAAAAGCTTTAGAAAATTACTCCCTTGTTACTTCAAATGACCTGGTATTGAAAAGACAACAGCCACTTCTTTAGAGATATGCAACCTTAAACTTTTGCCACCGTGCAAATGTATAAATTATTAGGTTTTAAATTGGTGACAAACTGAGGTATTTCGATACAAAATCTCATCCAAAACTCAAGGCACTGCTTATGCGGAGATGAGAAATTAAGTTTTAGGAAACAGATTTATAGTATGTATTTGTATTTACAAAAGGTAGCTTTTCTAAAATGTGTTGATTAAGACTAAAGGAAAAATGACTCTAATTCTCTTGGAATATGGTCAGGTATTGCTGGTGTTTTGCATCTGGCCAGAGCTGCAACGGTTGTTCCTGTTTTGATTGTCAAAATACTCCTGGGAATGAGGATGCACGCCAGGCTGCCCTGGGAAGCATTTTAGAGCGTAATAGTAAATCTTTGAGGAAAATGATATCAACTCCCAAGTTTTCTGCTTCCAATAAGGTAGCTTAGTTTAAGACTCCAATGAATTATCCTCCTAAGATGTACAACATTCTTTGGCTTTAGCTTTTTATGCTTCATGCAAGTTTCTTATATCAAGGACAATATGTTTACTACTCTAGTTCAGAAAAGTTACTGCATTATTAAATTTTTCAAACTTTGAGTTCCCCATTCATTATTCTTCAAAAGCTATTACTGTGATTAACATGGCAATTGTACACTATTGTAATTAACATGGTTATTGTGCAATAATGAACACAATCAGTAATGCTCCCTCATTATTTCATTCGCTGGCTACCTCTTTCATTTTAACTTCGGAATAAATTTCGAATAAAATAATAGCAAATGGGCAGTACTAATGTTAGCTTTTCTCTGGAAGTGTTTGGCAAAAAAATTCTTTGGTGAAACATAGTTATGTCTATTCACAGAAACCATCAAAGGAACCAGGGCACACTGAATACATGGTTGTCCTTTACTTGCTTAAAAAACCACAGATAGTTGCTATGTTTATTATACTGCAGACAATCATGCAAGGTTTTGATTTTGCCTCAATTAGAAGATGAAAGGTAGTTTGTGAAACTAGTGTGCGTCCTCGACACATAGAAATTAACCTTGTAGGAGGCGTATCCTTAAAAGATTGCTTATTTTTTCCTGTTTCAGGATAGTTGGAAAGAGAATATCATTTTGGTTAATGTAGGATGCTGCTGCAAGAAATCGCATTGTATTCAGGGGTATTGTGATTGCTATCATGCTAAGAAGTCCTGTTCCGAAGCTTGCAAATGCTGGAACTGTGAAAATGTTCATGGCTGGAAGGAAAGGTACGAACTCTTATTTTTGGAGATACTGGTGTTGTAGTTTCAAGGGTTTAGATAACTAATTTTGCTATATTAGTGCCCTTTTTACCTTGTCCGTGTAGATCCTCCTCGACACCGAAGAAGTTGGAAAATGAGAACTTTCTTGATTTAAATGGCGAGAATCCAGTGAATTATAAGATTGACCAAAGTTGGAAGGTAAACCCATCACATTGTTTTTGGTTGTATCATCCACTGGATGTATCCACTAGCTTTGTACTGCTGCCAATCTTCTCGTTCTCCATAATGTCTCAATTTGTTCAGTAACTCAGAATCTACAAATAAGATTGAAAGTTGCACGTCTTTCTTTAGATGCATTATTTATTGGGTTTTTCCCTTTCTACAAGGAATAAACTTCTAAGAATTTGGTGAACTTATAAAGGAAGCTTAAAGACATAAATGAAACTGGTTTTTCTTTGAAATAATAGCATCCCAATATCATGAAGGTGAAAATTGAGACTACCAAGGTTTTGTACAGAAAATCATTTTTTTTTTTTAAAAAAAAAGTATTAGGGGTTTTGAAGACTTCTACTTAACTGAAGAATCTAATCATGAGAAAAATGAGGAAGTCGTTTCCGCTTAGAGAGTAAAATGAATTAGATTTTCACTCTTTATGAAACCGTTGAGATCAATATTAAAGATGTGCAACCTTGTGTTTCATTGAGTCTATGTGCATTTGATGATATGATTCACTATGTTTGCACAGCTGGTTCACTTTTACCTTAAACTTGTTTGTTCCTCTTTCTTTGGTAGGTTGTCAGACAAGGAACAACCAGCCCCTTGAACTCCAGCCGCAGGTTAATTTTGTGCGGAGCTGAATATAGTTATCATATCGTATCAAAAAAAGCCTAATTGGTAATGCTAGTTATTGCTGAAGGTCCTTGATGGCAGACATCAATCAACTACAGAATTTGATGGAGTTTTGTGAATTGCTGATGGGAACATCTGAAGCTGTAAGTACAGGTCAGTTTCATTCTCCAGTTGCCTGCGCAGCTCCTGTAATGTTTCCCTTATCTGGATTCTTAATACTCAATTGTTTTTGTCAATAATATCTGAACTTTGGAACCTGCTATTTCCAGCAGGAATCTTGATAGTTTTCCTCAGACAGGGAATCAATGCTTCCATTTTGCATGTTATCTGAAAATATCTCTATGTTGATCCTAGAGGAATAATTTGAATTTATTGCAGTAAAAAGTATATATATACGACCATCTGTTCTGTGATCTGAAACTAAAACTATTATTAAGAAAAAACCTTCTGATTCAATCTTCGTTTCTTTCAATTTGAGGCCATTCTAGGAAAGTTCTCGACATTATTTTTTGATTGCTCCTGCCTTGCTCTCTTCCCTTGTCATAAGCGTCTCTCACATAAGACATCTGCGTGGGTTATTTCAGACTTCAAGATACTTTCCAGTTTGGGAAATTTGGATCACAAACAGGAACGGCAGAATTCTGTTGCCTTTGTGGATGATCATTTTGGGAGACAAGATTATCAGATATCTAAACTAGGCAACCACGTGAACTGCAATCAGGATGATGTGCTCTGCCAGGATTTTAACTCTGGTGACTTCACACCAAAAGAGAGGCCAATGTCCCCCAAAATTGCTTCCTTTGCAGGTGAAGAGAAAGATATGGTGTCTAATCCAGATGCTTCATCCAGTAGGATCCGAAGTAGTGGTTGCTTTTCAGAGGTTTATATGGAGCAGGAAAATCTTATTTTAGCAAACTTCAGGGATTTCCTGACCTGCCTCTTAGCTCGTGGTCGTGGTAATGCTAAAGGGTAAGTCTCTATCTCAAAGAATATCTTCAAAAATGATGAGCTATTTACAAATAGCTGGAGCAAACATATTCCTCTTTTCCAGCCCACTCCATTGTATAACTTCTTCAAGTTAGTGACATTTGTGGTTTCACATTGCTTTTTAAAATTGAAATGATTTTAGCCCTTTTCCTTTCGCTTGTTTGCAGATGGAAACTTATGTGATCGGAGTTGTGTCTGATTTTGTAGTTTGCATAGTAAATCACATATCCACTGAAAGCAGCTTTAGGCGACATGAATGTTCATCCCTGGCTGGGTTTCTACAATAAAATTGCTAGACTTGGAATTTGCAGCAAAAGCTCAAGGACAAGATGAGAGAGATACTTCAAAATCTGAAACGAAGCAAAAACTGCTCAGCTGGCATTGGTTGCTGCCATGTAGCTGCACCCATACGAACTGTGTAAGGTAAGGGGTTTTATTGTTTATAGGTGAAAGAATTAGTTGCAATGTGTAGTGACTTAACTTCTCTGGAAATTCATATAACAAAATGCCAATGCTATATTTTTTTAAGAACAGCTTCAGAGTTAGGTGACAGGCAGCAAAATTTTCTGCCTTTATGAATGTCTTTCTTTACATATACAATGTAGTCACAGTGCAAGTTAACATGAATGATACATCAAATATTGTACATGATTTGAACTCTACTGGCCCAAGATATTTGCTATTGACTTCTTGATGAAGCGAAACAGCTCTTCCCTGTCAATGAAAACCCACAGAAAGTGATAAGTGCAAAAGAAAAAAAGATTGATGGAAGGCAAATAAGTAATGTTGGAAAACAACTTACCTATCTGGTCTAAATAAGAGATAACGGTAGACGAACCACTGATAAACCAAAGAAAAAGGGTTAGTACTGCAGTATTAGAGCAGGAAATTGTTAGTTATAATACAGTACTACTATTAGTCTCTAAGATTATCTGTCGAGCTGATGGAGTGGTTAATAAACCAACGTTAGTGCCTAAGTATTATTTCCCAATCAAGCAAAGCAGTATTGTGGCAAAAAGTACTTACAGCTGAGTATAGGATGCCAACCAGTTCGAATGCACTTGGAATGACCGGGAGCTTGTCAATAGCCTAGTTATAGTTTTAGAAAATCTCAGAAAATTTTGATCCAAAGTTAAGTGTAGAACTCAAAAATACTATTCAAAAAAACAACTCATAAGGTGAGAAACTAAATACCGCGACAAGATTTGTAGCGGCCCAAATGCCAACAACGGCTGCAAATCCCAACCCAATTAGAGCAATCTTGTCTTCGGGACTATCCCACTGGGCAAACATGAAAACAAGAATCAACAATCTACAAGAAAATAGTCATGATATAATCATGTCATTGATGATAATACATGCATATTTTACGCCGCCTAAAACAGTCACTAGGGATCTCTTTGTTTTCAGCATTGTTCTAAGATTCATATTACGATTTTTATACTGCAGGAGAAAGAAAGTTTTATGGCCAAGTGCACCCAAAAGCTGTGGTGTAATACAGTCTTCTGGTTGACACTGAGATAGAGGACTCACGAAACTTTGTGTGGATTGCCCGAAACTCAGGGAGGTTGAAGATTCAGAGGTGTTTTGTGAAGCCTTTACAGATAGGGAAAATCTACCATGTCTTTCTGCAGAGAAAGATTAGAAATTGTGAATGCAAAGACAGAACTCAACATAAGCTTTTGTAACTTCTTTATCTAACTTTAATGGTCTTTCTGCCATGATGCGTAGTGCATCCTTATGTAGTCATCATGCAGCATCTCATTGGAATTCACTATCTCAACACTTCAAGAATGGTCTCTAACTTTTTATTTCTTCATTCAGTTTCAAAACATTAAAAAAAAAAATTGATTTATCATGTATGGTTGTCAAAAAGGTAACAAATCCAAATCAAACAATTCACTATCCTATCCAGATTTTACTTACAAGCTAATGAGCAATCTTGAATTTTGTAGTTGAACAGCCTATACTAATTTAGAGTCACCTTTATGTACATGAATTACTCCCTCCATCTGTCAAATTAAAATAGAACCAAAAAGTGGACTGTTTGTTCTGGGGCGATGGGGATTACAATTTACATTAATATGGATTGAAGAACATAAACTTCATTACTTATCCTACACACGAAATCTTCACCATAACATAAGCACTATTTAATTCTTTTTAAGATACAGTACACATACATTTGGTTACCAGAACAATGAAAAAGTAACATGAAAAGAAAAAAAAAATGATCAAAATCCACCGCCAGTTAAGTTTCCTTCCACGGCTCTCTGGAAGAAAGGGACTTACCACTAAAACCAGACATTGTAACATTCTGAAGAGTATGGCTGAGAAAGGGCTGCTTTCCGTTGATTGTTACAATCGGTGGAGTCGGCAGCTTAGCTAGAATTGAAGCCATCTCAGCTCAGCAGCAAATTTCTGTTAAAAAAAAATAATAATAAAACACGAAGAAAAAGCAACACAAAAAATTTCAAGGAAGAGGAAGAAAGAACTGACACTGACCACTAGTTTTTGCAAATGATGTGAAGCTCCGGTTGGCCTTGGAATTTTAGTGGGGCCTCCGAAATGTGGTGTCTTCTTATGGGCTATCTTTATATGGACCATTTGTCATTCATTAATGGGCCAAGGAACTTTCTATCTAAATATTCGGCCTAGTCCAATATTAAGGGGTTTTTTTTTTGTGGAAGAAAGCTTTCGGAGTTCCCAGAGAATGAGAGAATTTTCCAAAATAAGCTTTTGTTATTAGAAAAAAAGTATTTTCATTTGTTCTCCAAAGTTTTGGTACTGAGTCGAATGAATAAAGGGTTAGTTAAACAAGGTTAATGGGCATTTTATTGATTTTATTGGAATCTGTTTACCAATGATTGACAATAATAATTAAGAAAATACACATCAAATGACATTTAATTCATAAATCAAACAACTCACTAGGAAACCTAATCAGCAATGTCGGAATATCAAATTGGTCGCCGTATCGTGCATCAAATTTTGATTATGAATGCAACGATAATTCTTTTTCCTACTAAGTGAAATTGACGATATAAATAATGTATCGTTATTTTGTTCGATCAATACTAAATTCACCCTTCTAAGTTAAATCTTTCAAGTCATTGTTGATAGTCTAATTTTTTTTAAAAAAAAAATTTACCCTATCCTACGTAATTTGAATTTTTAATTTTGTAGTAATTTCTAATAGCCAACCAGAATATCCACCGATCTCCTACCCACATACCCAAATCATATCTCAAGTAGGATTCTTCTCTTTTTTTTTTTTTTTTGCCTATCGGCACTATTCCCACTTTCTTTCTAAGATTTCCAATCATATACTCACACGTCCATCTCAATATCTTCATTTCTGTTTTTCACATTTTTTTTTTTTCATTTTCATGTTAAGTATCGCTCTAATCTAATCCATAAAGTATCGTTCGCCAAATGACAATTCGATTAAAAAAAAAGTTTCTTTTAAACTCAATATTATCTTACGATCACAACAGATTGCCATTTGTTCCACCTTAGTTGAATATGTAAAAAAATTATTTCGTTGAAAGTAAGTATATATGGACAGTGATTAAATTAGATCCCTGTATATATGCATCTCGTTGATCATAAAGTTGGAAGAAAAAAGAAATCCGTTTATCTTGATCGTAGTTCATCTGTACTGATGGATAAATCACGATCAGAATATCGTAATCTACTTGCAGACTAAATTTAAGAATTTTAGGAGTCATTTCACTTCTTTTTTTGAAAAAATAAAATAAAATAACGAAAACACGAAAATGATAAGTACCGAAGCTCATGGGATTCCACCTCAAAACCAATTAGTTATGAGAGGATAACTCATAAAACTTGTATATTGATACTCAAAGTCTTCCAACACCGATATAGGATTGAGACTCTTTAATACTCCCCGCAAGCCCAACGTATTTTTTGGGTCGGACTTTCAGGACATGCACTGTCTCATATCTCAGTCCTATTTTTTTGTTGGATTTTTTAGAGTCCGAATGGTGACAGACTGGCTCTGATACTATATAGAAGTCCATGTGGTTCCACCTCAAAACCAATTGGCTATGAGTAGGGTAACCCATGGAGCTTATATATTGATACTCAGAGTTTCCCAACACCGATATGAGATTGTGACTCTTTAATACTCTCCAGCAAGCCCAACGTATTTTTTGGGTTGGGCTTGTCCTATTTTTTTCAGCTCAGGCACCGTCTCACGTCTCAATCCTATTTCTTTGTTGTGCTTTTTGGAGTTCGAATGTCGGCAGACTGACTCTGATACCATACAGAAGCCCATGAGATTCCACTTTAAAACCAATTGGCTATGAGGGGAGTAATCCATGAAGCTTATATATTGATACTCAGAGTTTCCCAACACCGATGTAAGATTGAGATTCTTTAATAATAAGAAATGGAATTGAATCAATCTGTTTCCTCCTTACTTCTCACGGTGAGAAGATTAGAAGGAAAAAAAAATGGAGAGTTTATGTATATATCAATTATCAATAATCCCATCCCAAAAAATAATATCATGATCATGATTCAAGTGATCTCAAATGTGAGGGATTTGTTATTCGTCCTAGGTTTAAAACATTGCTCATCATTGGAAAAATCGGTACGAACAAAATGGCTAACTAACTAGCTAGTTAACATGGTACAAAAAATTGGTAGTTGTGGACTGATGGATGTTTATTGTTATGTTGCCTTTTCTTTGGGGCACGACATATAAGAAGAGTATAATAATTTCAAGAGAGGTCCTCCAAAGATTCATCATGATTAGCACTTTTGTTTTGTTTAATTATCAGAGCTAGCTCTAATTAATTAAACCAAACCTTTATGCTACCCTTCCTAAAAGACATGAAAATGATGATGCAAAGGACCAAACTCAAAAAGGATCTTTCTCCATAAAGATTTTGTAAGGATGGACATTATTATTAACTAAATTAAAAATGATTTGGAAACTTTTTCTTATGCTTTTCTTTACTATACTAAATAGAATTTTCGAAATAATAAAATGGTTTAAGTTGTTCTTTGAGTATTTTCGTTTATATATGACTATTTTAACTTCCTTTGTAGTTTTCAAAAAAAAAAAAAAACCCTTCTTTGTAATATCTACTAACGAGATTTTCTTACAAATATACCGGACCATCTACGTGATTTATGCATGAACATCCCGTTTTGCAATATTGCTTACTTCCGTGCGGTGTACGTTATCTCTGAATATATCTTAGTCTCACTCACATTTTAGTTTATATACATTCCCACCTAACATTTTGGGTTAAACCATTTTAGACTTAACTTCATTCCATCTTCATAATATTCACTCCTTTGACAAAGTCTATAATATATATACTGTCTCTGCCACCAAAAAAGCAATACACATTAAATTTTAATATCTATACAAGTTTCAGTACAAATTTTAAAATTTAATGTGAATTATTTTTTTAAAAAAAAAACAGAGAGAGTACATTTTTATATGCATTAACAAAATTGTCAAACTACCAGTATTTGGCGACAGAAATACAAGGTAAAAAAGAAAAAGCAATTCGGAACTAATCAACTATAAAATGAAAAGCATGCAAACCGGCCACTAGGTACTGTTATGGTTCTACGGAAAGCTCTCAGTTACAAGGAGTATTATATTCAACAGGCCCTTCAATTGGTACAGAGAACAAACTTAAGAGGATTCTGCAGTTCGAATAAAATGTATCGATTTAGAAGCAAATGGATCCATCAAGTATACGGGAGAAATCGCTTTCTCGGGTTTTAATGTTAATTAATGAAGAAATTTTGAAAAGAGGTGTTGGCTTTATGCTAGTAATAGTTATCAATCCGCTACTTTTCCACAATGAAATGAGTACCAACTTAATTAATTAAGTTTGAAAGTAAATATATACTTGTTCTTGAGCATGGTAACTTAAGAACTAAACAATTGATTCATTACTCGGACAAGACAAACGGAAGTAAAGAATCCATTCTCTTAATGATTTCAATATATTAAGTGGTTGAACCCTTAGATGTTGACGGTGGCGCATATGAGTTTATGTCAACTACGAATTATTTCATTAGATGAATTTACTATTTTTTCCAAAAAAAATAAAAAAATAAAATGAATTCACTAGTTAATACTCCATCTGGTCCTTATTATAAGGCATTTTTATTTCGTTTTAGGTTTAACTTAGGATGTCTTTTTTAATTGGAGAAAAAACCTTAAAAATATATTTTCACATTCGTTGTGTTCACCTAATTATTATGAAATATTTTTAAAGGTTTTATTTTAATTAAAAAAAAATCTTAAGTTAAACTTAAGACGAAATTAAAATACTTTATAATAAGAACCAGAGGGAGTATAATAAATTTTTGGATATTTTTGGTTGAATGGAATACCTCTAAAGCAACATTTGCATTCATCAATGATAAGACAAAAAGAGAGTAGTACCGTCCAGAGAGAGTCCACAATTCCACATACTCATCAAAAGAAGTTCTCTTTTAACCAACCAAACCCTTCAAATTCAATTCATTCATAACTGCTCTTTATACAAGAAGTACGTACTATTTGCGACAATGAATAGCTAATGTTCACTTTAATTAATTACTACCATTAACTAGTTCATCCCTTTTTCTTCTTTTTTTTGGTGCAACTAGTTCATCCCTTTTTCTGATGGCAACTTTTTATCTCCTTCCAACACCTTCCACTCCTCTCATCTACTTTTCAACAGCTAATGGTCTCCTCTCATGAATTCACCAAAAAGGATGCTGAAAAAAAAGAAGAAGAAGTTCACCCCCAAAAAAAAGGGAAAAAAATGGAGGAAAATAAATAATTAAGGTAATAAAATAAGTTGTGATGTTCCATATAATCATAAATACTTTAGAATATGGATCATAGATGTACAATATAATGTGATGTAGTTAACCCAGTAATAATAGTCTTATGATCATGTATAAATAAGACTCTTTATTTTGAGACATGTAAAATTATTATATTTGTATAACACATTGTACGATCTCTTCATGTATCGAGAGATCAAAGGACCAGCTATTTTCTACTACCTATGTCCCAAAAAAATAGTTCACATTGAATTTTCAAATTTGTACTAAAAACAGTATAAAACTCAAAATCAACGTGGACTATATTTGTGGGACGAATGGAGTATTTAATTAACCCCCTTTGTTGATAAGAAGTTTTGAGTAATTTTCAGAAGGCAAAGCTACTCCCTCGTCATTAATGGTTTTTTTCTTTCATACCAAATGGAAAAAAAAGTTTTGGCCTTATTTGAACATCAACTCATTTTACATTTTCACTCATGTTATCTTTTAAACACAAAACCCAATGAAAAAGAAAATATCATTCAAATAACTTTCTGATTTACATTTTAGATTCTAACTTGAAATACTTTTTGTTAGTGTAATGATCATTTTAGAACTACAAATAATTCAGTGACAAATTTGGAAGGATTCGGTTGTTGAGTGATTGTTTTTAGAAAAGTTCTTTTTTGCAGTGAATATAATTGACAGTATTTAATTGTTTAGTGATGACTTATACTTGATATTTCAAAATATAGTTCAAAATATTTTTTTTCAAAACCAACATCCAAACAACATTTTTATTTCCCATTTAGTTTTCAATTTAAAACACTTTTCACTTTTAAGTGGCAAAATGAAATGTAAGTAGACCTCCAAACAATCACTTTACTTCTTCGCAGAATTGAATCAAACTCATCAAAGGTTATCATTCGTGCCCCTTTCTACAAAGCCTTGGTAATTAAAAATTCTTTGTAGGTGACACAAATACCATTAGCGGTGGCTCCAAGCTTGAATTTGCCGAGGGAATTAGGTGATTAAAATGATAATGATACATATATAGTCACTCCACCACTCCTTTTGAATACATTGCATATATTATATTATAAATGTTCCAAATTATTTTCCTAAATTAATTAAGATTCAAGTTACCGAACAAATTTTGAATATATTGGGATCCACATAACGAACCATTCCAGGGGGCCTCAAGTAGATATGTTGCTATGGAATTTCGATCTTAAAAATGAAGCTTCTTAACTTAATGATAATTAATTAATGGAAGGATAGAAATTTAGAGCTTACGTACGTGCCTTAGGATATACATGTGAGCTGAATGTAAGGCATTAATTTTAAATTATTTTCTGGGTATCAAATGATGGTTTCATTGACGACATGGAACTAAAATTAACAATCATTAACGCTGTGAATTGCGTTGGTTGGATTATGCTTTGGTCGCTCATTAGTACTAATTGTTGTTACAAATCCGAGTCAATGCTGAAATGATTAAGAAATGAGACTTTTATAAAGAAGAAAGAATATATCCCAAATTAAATTAATCATCGGCATATGGATTAATGAACTAGGAGGTAAAATTCCAGTTAAGCGGATTCTATTTGTCACCACTAGAGAATAGGTGGAAACTTTGTTTACCGCGATTTCAAATTTTGATCGTCGTTAAAAGTTGTGTGTTTTTCCGCTATTATTTGGAAGGAAAAAAAAATCCTTAAAATTGCTAGCTTAAATTAGGGCATTTGGGTTTGGTTCTATTAATTTTCTAACTAATAATCCAAACTCATAACCGGCAAATTTAAATTGTAATCTGGTCAAGACATTCTTCCCAACACTAAATATTTTATGATTAATTTCTATCCTAAAATTGTTTAAAGTAAACCACTTACTAATTAGTATTTACCTAACATTTAGCATTATAAGTAATTAATGATATAGATTCAACTATAAAATCAAATTAATTATGTTTTCATTAGTTTTAATGATATAGATATCAGTCAAAAATATCAAATAATTAATTGTAATGATAATCATACCCTCCAAATTGCCAACACATATAGTTGTCATATTATAGTTTTGTTTTCATTAGTTGTAATGATATAGATATTAATTGTGTGTGGTGCATGATACGCAATTACAAATCTTAATGAGTTTGCCAAAATATGTGTATTCTTCTGAAAATTACATATTCTTTTCAATATTGAAAATATGTATATTCTTTTCAATTATAGGGAACAAACCCAAAATTCTCTTAATTAATTGGAAGAAATTCTAAATTATGCTCCTATCATCCCCTACGTAACGAAAAATTACACATTCTCCAGTGATTGTCCCTCCTCTTGTACAATAATAATTTTCTCAAATTTACTGCTATATAGCTTTGTATCAGAAAAAAATTATATTTTTTAATGCTAATAATTTATTATTAGCAATTCGTCATATAAAAAGCGGCACATTCTATAAAGCAAACCCGTCTATATTAAAATAAAATAACATTATGAATTCGTTATATTCACCGTTCAAATTAAGTTACCGACAATATCTTACATTGTTATGTGAAAAAAAACAGAATGGTTGTAATTCTTTTTGGATACACTATGTAATAAAATTATGCACAACAATTCAAACACGTGTTACATACTACAATCTCATTTTGTCTTAGGGGAAAAAGTCTCAAATTTATGTGTCAATTTACTGTGCATGATGGATCATAAATGCATAAAGCCATAAAACTCTACGTAAAAATATAAAGGAGTAGAAGCCAAATTTTATATTGACCCTGTGGTACAAATTCTTTTTTTTTTTTCTTTTTTTTTGTGGTGATTGTTAGCTAATAAAACAAGTCATCTTCTTCCCCTCGTTCCAGTTACGTGTCTTTAGTTAGCCATCATCATTTATATTCCTTTGGTACGGCATTTCAACATCATCGCGTATAAATTCTAGCTATTTGAATCACTGAAAATATTTAAAAATGAGTACGAAATTGTTATTTCAATAAAATGGATTAGTTTGTATATCTATCAGTCTTGAGATCTTGAACCATAAACCTAGACATTGTCTTTTTTTGGGAAAAAAGAGAAACCTAATTTAAAGTTGTTGTCAACCAATGATATATGATTTTTTTTTTTTTTAAGATTTATCACATTTCTCTTCGATTAGTTACATCGTACCATTTTACATGGTACAACAACTATATGCAAGATTTATTCCTTTTTTTTTTAAATGATGACCAAAAGATTTTGGAATGGATTCACTATGGTTGACAGAAAATTATTGGGGTTGGATTGAGTATAGTTTTATTCGACCTGTATTCGTGGTTAATCCATTTTGGAGTATATTTTTCAGTCTGTTATAAAGTGTCATGGAATAGCTGAACAAAATAAATAGAAGACCCTCTAACGAGATATGTCACAAAACAATATCTTCTCAAAACACAATTATGAAGAAATCACTCTATTTATTACTCTCTCTGTCTCAAAATTAATATCCAGTTTAGGATTTCACTTTTAGTACAATATGAACTATAAATAAAACCTCAAACTAGACAATAAATATGAGACGGGGGGAGTATCTTTTTAAATTGAATCTCAAACGGATAAAAGTAAGTAAGTAAGCATTTGATGTTATTCATAGGGTGAGAATTTCATGTGCTATTCTAAACAACTCAATAATAGACAAATATCTACATATTTAGTCACAAAATCAAGTACAATATCCAAATTCACTTATTACCCTTTTGACCTTCTAAGCTGGACTCCGCTCCACAATCCAATTTTCTGATTTTCTCTACTTGGCAATGTGTGTAATCTCAAATCCTCAGTAGCATCAAATGAATTAATTAATCATGGTTCAACTCTGGACGGTGGTCGATGGTTCATAAACCCTGGTCCGTGATATCTCTAAATCACATTATTCAATTTTCGTACATTAAATTACCCCCTCTAAAAGTCCCAAAACTATATGCCTCACAAGTTGAAAAAAGACAAAACTGTACGTACGCCTCTGGAATTTTTAGATTCTTTTTTTTTTTTTTCACAATGCTTCGAGCTAATTAATTAAGAACCTTATGAAAAAATAAATATTCCATGGACCACACCTCCGGAAAAATTCATTCGTGTATGGCTAACTCGTGAGACCGTGACCACATAAAAAATAATTGCATGAAATTAACAACAGTATTCTATCTACATTATACTACCAGTACTTCACTGCTACAACCAAGTACGATAAAAAAAAAAGAATTAAAAAGTAAAAACTCAAAAAGGGCGCCAAGATGTAGGGGTCGGAAAAAAAGGGGAAAAAAAAAAAAGAAAAGTTAGTTGAGACTGAAATTTCAGAGCGAAAACCATATCTAACGGTCAACTTCTACCAGCCCCACTGTCGTCTTCGTCTTCTTTATTTCCTTCCTCTCCAAAAATTATTAACTCCGACGAACCATGGAATAGACTGAATAAATAATCGTCGTGTTTTCAGTACCCTTTTTTTTTTTTTCCTTTGTTTTTGTTTTTATATCCTTAATTCTTAGTTGGCCCCACTAACCCTTCACCTTTTTTTTTTCCCTTGCCCTTTAGTAGCCTTCTTCCCTTTGCCCTCTCAGCAGTCAGCACACACAGTCACACACAGACACACAGTCTCCATTAATGAGAAAAAAAGGCTGATAATATATATACACACAAAATCTAGATTTCATTCATAAATTTCACTTGTTTTTTCATCCCATAAAGAAGAGAAAGAAGAGAAACAAAAAAAAGGAAGAAAACCTTGGAACCCTATTCACAGGGAGTTTTTTGCCAGAATGTCTACTCCACCATCTTCTCAAACAACTCAGGAGTTCTTCCCTTCTCCATCTCCAGCTCTTTCCCTCAGCCTTGTACTGTATCTTTTTTATTCCATCCCATTCGTTATTTATTTTCTTTTTCTTTTTTTTTTTTATGTGATTCAGTGAATCTCTTCCCTTTATCTGTTTTTTTTTTTTTTCCTTTCTGTTGTGTTTTCAGGCTGGGATATTTCGAGATGGGGCTAAGGCGGCGGCGGCGGCAGAGGTGGCAGCAGCGGCAGAGAACATGGAAGTGGAGGATGGCGAGGAAGCCAGCGTCGGTGGAGGTGGATCAGGGGGGCGGAGAGAGGGGACGGTCGAAATAAGCAGCACAGAGAACTCCGGGGAGCTCAGATCGTCGAGGTCCGACGATGAATTCGTCGAAACGGAGGATCACGACGGCGGTGGGGAGGATCAGGGAGAGGGAAAGAAAAAGAAAAGGCGCAAGAAGTACCATAGGCACACTACCGAGCAAATACGAGCGATGGAAAAGTAAGCATAATTAAATCTGTTTTCTTCAATGTAAAATCTCATGGCATCAATGTTCGTTTTGTATAATTTTTGTACAAAACATTACAACAATCCGACTAAAATAAATGGTTTTGTAAATTTTGATAAAAGATCTTGGTTTTTGACACAAAATTAAGGATACTATATATATATGATGTGCTGTGTGTTTCATAAACTTTGGAAATTGATGGGTTTTATTTGATGAACACCCCCATTCCAAATCTTATTGAGAAATGAGTAAATAGTTACAGAGATATAAATCAAAATAAGAGAAGTGAAAAGACATGAATGTGGTAAGGGTTTTTGAAACCTTTTTTCAGTTGCCGCATATTTGGTAATTCATTCTAGTGTACAATGTACTAATTAAGTGTTCTCATTTCCGGTGATCTTCATGCACGTAACCGAAAAAATATTGAACTTCTTTCTTATTTTAAATTTGATTGGAAGGGTATAAATACCAGTAAAACTTAGATTGATACACATGTTTACGTACCGTACGTACGTATATTACTTCCGAGTATGTCGGCATGCACTGTTTGTAATACATTAACGAAACCCCTAATCGGTGAACGTGCAATTGTCCATTTTGTACTTGCTTGTATTTTTATTTTTATTTTTTTTAAAGAAAAAAAATCTTATCTTAAATATAAGGTTTCACTTAATGCTAATTTTCACGTATGGATTTGTGTTGTATTATGGCAGTTTGTTCAAGGAGTATCCTCATCCTGACGAGTACCAGAGACAGAAGCTTAGCAGTGAATTAGGCCTTCATCCTCGCCAAGTCAAGTTCTGGTTCCAAAATCGTCGCACCCAAATCAAGGTATACTACTTATTAAACCTAAATATATACGTGACATATTAGACAATGATTCAATGAATTGTAGTACTAATTAAATGCTGGAAACAAGTGAACTAATGAATTTCATATGTATCAATCACTCTGTAATTAAAAAGTTAGTAACTATAAATTACATCAATCATCGAACTAGCTAATTAATAAAACGTACATGGAATCGAATTTGGGGGGGTGGTGGGTTATTGCAGCAACAACAAGGACGCCATGAAAATGCATTGTTGAAGACGGAATTGGACAAAGCTCGTGAGGAGAATAAGGCATTAAGGGAGGCTCTTTCCAAACGTTGTTGCCCCGCCTGTAATTCTTCTTTGGCCCAGGAACTCGAAGAAGAAAAACAACTCCGTGCTGAAAATGCCCGACTCAGGACCGAGGTTAGTTTGTTTTTATTTTCCGGGGTTGACTACTTGACTTTCAATTGGAGGGAAATTTCTATTTGTAGTAGTATCAGTATGTATTCCGTATATCTGTATTTTCATCCTGTCAAGAGCGGGAATTTTAAATATCTTTCATTAATTTTTTTTCAAACAAAAAAAAGGTGAAATAAAAGAAAAATGATGAAAACTCGTAACTAATTTATTTCACATCAAAAGTATAATGTAATTTAGAAGAAAAAAATGATTTCCAGTAATTAGCTTTGATTTAGTTCCTATGATTAAGAGATTCTCTCCAGCAAATATATAGATGGCCCGGCTCAATTCTAAAAGCTATGTACTGTTCAAGAAATTGTTGATTGATTTCCTGAGGGAAAAAGAAAAATAAAGAGGTAAAATCAACCGTTTCATTTTCTTTTTTTTTTTTTTATATATTGCAGCTGGAAAAGATGATGAATGCCGTGGGGAAAATAACGTCGGAGGAAGTAGACCAGAGAAGCACGTTGCACTTTTTCAACGGCATCTTCGGCCTGAGTCAGCCGGAGGCAATGGCATTGGTCAGCCAAGGGTTGGAAGAGCTCAAGTTCATGGCGGTTTCGGGTGAACCAATGTGGGTACGGAGCTTAGAAACCGGTCGGGAAATCCTTAACTACGAAGAATACAAAAAGACGTTCCCTTTCAGGAATTTAATCAGCCTGTACGGCAAAGGGAGGTACCTTGAGGCCTCCAGAGCTACTGGAATTGTGTTTTCTGATCTCCCTCGCCTTGTTCAATCTTTCCTTGACGCGGTAAAAAAAAAATCTTAATCCTAATTAATTACTTCTTAAGTTGATTATTCTACTTTTGAATGCGTGTACGAATTTTTGCTAGTAGAATATAGAATAATTAATTTGCACATTATAAGTGAGATAGTATAAGATTTTGATTATCGAGACCAAAAAATACAAATATATATGAAGTAAGACCGGAAATCAATTAATTGAGATCCAGTCAATCAGAAAAACCCTTTAGTGAATGGTTCGATTGAGTTAATTAAACTAACCCTAACGTATAAAATTTTTATGTGTTATCTTTTGCAGAATCAATGGCAATCTATGTTCCCAAGTATGATAGCAAAGGCAGCTGTGCTTAACCTTGTAGCGCCAGGTGAAGGGCCGATGAAAGATGGTGTGGCTCAGCTGGTAATTAATCAAAGTAGTTTTTAATTTTCAGTATAATTAATATATATACATTTGATTGAAGTTGAACTGTCAATTTCTTCAAGAAGTTTTTTTTTTTTTTTTTGGTCCTCTCTTCATCACAAATGATTGAGCTTTAGGACCAGGAATTTTGTTATCATGGAAATAAATCAAGGTTCGTTTAGTCACATCATTTCGGTAATGTTTGTTTCCTCAAGTTATGATAATGGGACCTGAAGAAATAAATGCACCTGAAAACCTTGTCATTTCCCCTTTCATCATTCATGCTTATGGCCTAATTATTTGAATTCACTCCACGAATCCATTACCTTTTTGTACCATTATTAAGGGAAAGAAATGGGACTATATATGGTGGGGAAATCATCACAGTAGGACATATATACCTTCTTGTGGGAGAACATTTTGGTCCGAAAATTGAAGCTGTTCACTTTAATTATCACTCGAGAAATCACGGTTATTGGTTGGTATTATTATTTTTATATTCGAAACCTGTAAAAAAATAAAAATAAATATGTCTCAACTTTCTGGAATTTTGCAGATGTTTGCTGAGCTGCAGATGCTCACTCCAATGGTGCCCACCAGAGAAGTCTACTTTGTCCGCCATGCAAAACAGCTAAGTCCTGAAAAGTGGGCTATTGTTGATGTCTCCCTTGACAAGATCGAAATTACCATCGATGTGGCTCAGATTAAGTGCAGAAAACGTGGATCTGGGTGCATCATCGAGGATCAGCTGAATGGCCATTGCAAGGTAGTCATCTGCACCAATCAAATTTTCCAAAAATCCCAGATTTAACACACATTTGTATAATGATCTAACATGTTCTAGTGGCTTATCAGGTGACCTGGTTAGAGAATATTGAACTGCAGCAAAGTACCGTTCACCACCTGTTTCGGCCTCTTCTGAACAGTGGCATGGCCTTTGGTGCAAACCGCTGGTTGGCGAATCTGAAGCAGAGTTGCGAAAGGCTTGTGTTCTCCATGGCAACAAATGTGCCGACAAAGGATTCCATTGGTACTCTGATGTAACTCTTTCTGTTGATGCTTTGCCCCCGTGGTTTACTAGTATGAACCTTAACCTGAAACTTTCTGCATCGCTTAAACTAGGAGTTTCCACACTTGCTGGGAGGAAAAGCATATTGGAATTGGCAAACCGAATGACAGTGAGCTTTTGTCGCGCAGTAGGCGCATCCAGCCTCAATGTATGGAGCAAAGTCCCTACAAAATCTGGAGATGACCTCAGGTTGACTACAAGGAGGAATGTGAAAAATCCCGGGGAGCCTCTTGGGGTAATCTTGGCTGTAGCTACTTCTGTCTGGCTGCCAGTATCTCCCAATCTCGTATTTGACTTCCTGAAAGATGACAAACATCGAAATGAGGTATGGCTCCATTAGAAATTTGAAAAAATTTCAGCTATGGTTTAGACATAACCCCTTATTCCATCTATGGCTTCCACATTGCAGTGGGATGCCATGGCTAGTGGGAGTCCAGCTCAATCTATTGTTAACTTAGCCAAAGGACAGAATCGGGGGAATGCAGTCAGCATCCAAGTAAGACGTTTCTTACATCTTCCCTTCACGTTTACCCATTACTTATAGCTTCAAGCCATGTTTCCCGATCACTACTAAATTTAAAAATTTGATTGACCATGTTGAAACTCTACTCATGTTCCAGACTATCAAGAATGGCAGCATTTGGGTGCTCCAAGAAAGCTGTACAAATTCTCAAGAGTCCATGGTTGTGTATGCTGCAGTTGATAACATGGCCATGGAATCTGTGATGGCAGGTGGTGACTCCAGTAACGTCAGCCTACTTGCTTCCGGTTTCTCTATTCTTCCTGACGGAGTGGAGTCAAGGCGTCTGCTTAACACATCAAAGCCTGATGACAAGAGTACAGAAGGAGGATCTCTGGTCACTTATGCATTTGAAGTGCTAGAAAAAAACTTATATGCACCACAACCTGCTGCTGAAACAGTAGAATTAGTGAATTCTGTTATGTCAAGTACCTTACAGAAGATTAAGGCAGGTCTAAACTGCACAAATGAATGATCATTGTGCTAGCATTACCTGATTTTAGAAACTAAAAAGGATGGAAATTTGTTAGTTTCAGATTATACAAATTATCTTGCTCGTGCCTCCAATGGCCATATTCGCTAGTTTAGGATTTAATAAGTTATTTTGCTCAAATGATCGTCCCAAGATCTTTTTTATGGGGCTAGTTTTCATATAATAATAAAGAATGCAGTTTATAGACCATTTTTTTAAGGGTTTTTTTTTTGTTTTTCCGGTTTCATCTATTTCTGTTACTCTGAATTTCTTTTTGATGCGTTCGTATACAATGTAGGTTGCGAGAGCGGTTCCCTTTGCTTTGTTCTCCTTATATTCTTACAGTGGCTACTTCCTCAGAACCATTAGTAGGAACAGAAGTTAGCAAATTTGATGGTGTACGACCACCAAATCTGCATAATATATGCAACTTAGAAAGCTTCCGCAAAAGTTCCATACAACAGGAAGGCAAAATATCATATACAGGAGACGATTAACCTTGGAAACTACCTAGTTAACAGCTGAGTAGAAGCAATGAGGTAAATAGAAACAGTTTGAAGCAGGTTATGAACCAAGAAAGAATACAAGCAGTTGAGCAAACTTTGCTGTCTCAAGTAGAATTTTGAGCCCTTCCCATCAGGCTCGCAAACATCTCATCAATCTCACAAGACTTGATCAAATTGTAAGTATATAATTTAGACTGTACTAATTAGTAACAAAGCAATTCCACCATCAGGGCCATCACAATCCATCAGAGAGAAATAGAGGCAAATGAGCAAATAATCAACATCAGAAGTTCATGAATATAACATACTCCCTCCGTCCCATAATTATTGTCCAGTTTTGGATTTCATTTCTAGCTCAAATTATACTAAAAGTGAAATTTCAAAGTGTACAATAATTTTGGGACAGAGAAGTACTTTAACTAATAATTCAGCTCGAAAAGCATCCAACCTAGCTCGATTGAAACTTCTTATATGCAAAATTCACCAAATGTAATTTTACTCGAGAGCTTAATTAATACTATAAACAACATAATAATAAGAATTCCAACAACAATGAGCTAGCTATGGATATAGAGTTGGAAAATCCAAAAGGCATAATCCATTACATTACATGAAACCAAGGCAACAACAAAAAAAACATTGTAATCTCAACTGTGTTAGGATCTCTTTCAAGCAGCAGCAACAGAGGCCTCAGTTTCGTCACTTTCCGGCGGCTTTTGTTGAGACTCCAACGGAAGACCAAGGTCGGCGGGAACCGCGACTTTAGCCTTGGGAACATTCTTGGAAACAACGGGAACAGCAACAAAAGCCTTGGTCTTGCTGATGGGGCGGCTCTTTTCCAGCTGAACAAAGTCCCCAACTTTGAATTGATTGGAAGGGTCATGAGCTTGGTACTTCTTCTTAATCCTGACACGCCTCTTGTACTTGGGATGTGGGGCCAGACGGGTGACTTCCACCGCCACGGTCTTGTCGTTGGTGGCACAAACCACCCGGCCCTGCATTGATTTCATGGCCCGGATTGGAGGCAGGATTGCCGGCGGCGAAGAGAGTGGGCCAGCGATTGAAGAAGAGGGCTTGGAGAGGAAGGAGATTGGAGTGGATCCATGGAGGAATGGGGTGGCCAGGGTCAGGGATTTGAATTGGGAGGATAAGGGAAGTTGGAGCACTGCAGACATTTTTTTTGAAGAGATGATAGGAGGAGGATAAGAGAGAAAGGTGTTGATGAGGGAAGCCATTTTTTCTCTAACTCTCACTCAAGACAAAAGTTCTTCTTTCAATCATTTCGTGGATTTTGTGCCACCAAACTGGATCCGATACTTGTTAGCCCTTTGGGCTTTGGCCCATGATTATAAAGATTGAAGCTTTTGTGGATAACCCAACTTAATAACAACGTTACAGAGCCTTCCAAAACTGAATTAGCCAATCCTTAAAATTAGATTTTAGTCAACCCGCGTGGTTCTTTTATTTTTTTTTTTTCCTTTAATTAAGGTACAGTGCCATTGAAACCTCGGTTTCCGATGGAGAGTCGATTTGTTTCATTTCCTTCTGTTCAGAGGTGAGGTGGAATAGGATGAATCATCAATTTCTATATATTAGAGCACCAGGGCCTAATCATACATATTTTTCCGTTCCTTTTCCATTCGAAATCTTATTTTGTCACTACCACATAGTAGATCCGGTAGGTTTCTTTCTCTTTTGCCGTATAAATGAGGAAGATGATGAAGAAGAAAAACAGAGTTTGGGCCAACAACTCTGCTATGGTAACGGTGCCCGACGAGTTGATGCTTGACATTTTATCTATGTTTCACGGAGGCAGAAAGCAGCGGCGGCGGCTGAGTTTGGAAGGAGGAAGGGATCAGAATCTGGGCGGCGTACAATCAAATTCGGCGGCAATGATGCTACTACCAGACGACGTGATTTTGGAAATTCTGATGAGGCTTTCGGGTCAAAAACTGATGCAATGCAAGAGTGTCTGCAAGGCTTGGCTGTCTTTAATTAAAAGTCCTTCATCGATGAAGATTTTCCGAAACCGACTTCTACCCAGCCTGATATTGCACCTGGCAGAAGACAAACTTGAGGAGGAGGAGGAGGAGGAGGAGGAGGAAGAAGAAGAATTGAACATAAGGGACAAGTGTTTTCACTTGTTTTTCAAGGGCAACCACTCTCAAGTCCAAAGGGTTGGACAAAGGCCCTTTGATCATCCAAAGCCCACGGGTAAATACAAGTCACACGGGTAAATACGAGTCTTCGGGTTAGTCAAAGCCCAATATGGGTAAGTTAAAGTCTTCGGATATAATGCTGGTCAGTAAAGCCCAATACGAGTAAAGTCAAAGTTCTTGGATATACTGTCGCGTCAATCAAAGCCCAATACGGGTTAAGTCAAATTGGAGAAATTACCGGATCGGTCAAAGTCTACTCATAAAATCTGCAGATAAAACATGCCCTGGTACCATCTTGAAAGCCCATATAAGCCCACATGAGTAGGCTTTCCAACTCCAATGTGGGATAAGTAGGTTTCCAGCTCCTGGAACAAGTGTCTTTCACTTGTTTTTCAAGTTAAAACTCGTTTTTAAAATTCAGTTACCTTGTCCAAATTCTGATTTGGGTAACATAAATGATGGAAGATTGACCGAGGTGGTTAACGGTCTGGTATGTTTTTATGATCAATCGAATTTGAGGCTGACTCTCTTTAACGTTTGTACAGCCGAGGGTATGAGGATTCATGTCCCTAATCATTATCATACCTCAATTTCCTGTACCCAAAGATTTCATCTTGGATATGACCCTTCAACTAGGATGTATAAATTGCTGAGGTATGGCATACAGCCCGTAGGTTGGCGTTATCAGATGCAAGTGGAGATACTGACCTTGATGCCGCCCTCTTTTTCTGGTTCATTACCCACATGGAGGAAGCTGGAGCTGGTAGACAATGACACGAGTTGTGTTTATTACAATACAAAAGATTCACTTATCTCTTTCGATTTCAACAAGGAGAAGTTTAAAGTGATTAAGCTTCAATGTAATGTCGCAGATATGGTACGTACTCATAGCTTCAGTTTAATTCAATCAATGGGATGCCCGGCCTTACGAATTGTGCCGGAGCCAGATAGAGGTTCCAGATATTTTAGACTCTTTCTGTTTGAAAACTATAACAGTAACATATGGAAGACTCATGATGTACAGTGGCCGCAACACTTTGGGATAATGGATGATATTGTAGATATCATGTTTACAAGATGATGGTAGTCTTTATTTACCGTTGGATGATGTACTAAGTAGTGGTATGGTAGTAATGTGATGATATGAATTTATGATTGAGGATTTCCCACAATATTGATGGGAGATGGCCCTCTTTTTTTCTTTTTTTTTTGCTGTCAGCTGAATCTAGATGTTGTTTTACTGATTCTGCTAATTTGTTTGAAGTTGCATTAATTTTTGTCATGTATCAATCCATTTGTTAATGTAGATAGGGGTATAATTTTTGAAATGTAACTAACGGGCTGTACAATTTCGAAGGACGCACTAAGCTTAGAGACTTACTAAGCTTAGAGACTTAACTATTTGATCCACCAAAACAAACACAAAAATTGCCCTTGATCCTGAAATTGCAAATATTTGGAGGAGGATCTCATGAAATACATGACGTACACACACAATACGTGAGTGATTTCCGATCACTGAAGTCTGAATGATTTTTTTTTTTTTTTTTCTTTCTTTTGGCTGAAGAAAAAAGTTGCAGACATTGTTGGTGATTAGCATAAATGAGAAATGGCGTTGAGTAAAGCAACTTTTACTGCTCATTTAACATGATGTCAAATTACCAAAGTGGATCCAAGGCTTCTTCGTTATCTGGGCTTTGGCCTATAATTATAGAATTGAAAAGCTTGTGAGGTCTGTGTGGAATCCATCCCAGCCCATTGCTCAATTCTGTCTTTTTTTTTTCTCTATTCTTTTCGCTTTTTGGGTCATTTAGAAATGTAATATCATATTTGTAAGACTTATTTTTTTCTCACAATAATAGTTTTACTGTATCGAATTGCCTGATTTTAAATATAATTTTCTTATATTTAATATTCCATTTCCTCTTATAAAAAAGTACAATTTTCTGTTTTGGAGGTGGTGAGATTTATAATTTCTTTTTTCTTTTTTACAACGTTTAAACTGCGTGTCACAAGTAGTCCTAGAGAGAATATATATTGCTCTGTTGTATAACCTTAGACATTTCCAATGTGGTTTCATTTGAGAACAAACGAGAATAAAATCTAAAACATTAAATTAATAAATTTATGCAAATGGAATTCAAAATCACGATGTGTTTAAATTACAGCTTAATACTAATAGTGCTTAAACACAAAGTTCAAACTTACGGAATATAACTATGAGGACTCATTTTCTTATAGAATTTCAATACTTTTTTTATTTATTAATCTTAAAGTAAATTCCAAAACCAAAATTAAACACAAGTATCCCAACTTTCGTTTGGCCTTTTTTAACCTTCCTTTCCCCAGTTTCCCTTTTGTTTTGGGTACTCCAAATAGATAGGGTTATCCAGCTCCAATCCACATATTGCCTCTCAAATGGGATCCCATATCTCTCTAAAGAAGCCGAATCTGCCACGTGTAAATTTAAAAAAAAAAAAAAATCCAACCCACAAATATGAAAGTTTGTATTGCATGGACGTCCACATTTTAATCAAATTGCCAGATTTTGTATAGTTCGAAATTGTTCTCTTAGTTCAGATTTCAGATTGAAAGAACAATGGCATCTCTGGCAACCTTTGCTGCTGTCCAGCCAACTGCTGTTAAGGGTCTTGCAGGAAGCTCCATCACTGGAACCAAGCTTCACATTAAGCCTTCCTCTGTTGGCCTCAAATCCTCTAAAACCCGGTAAGCAAAATTCAAACAAATGTTCAAGATCGGGTGTTTTATTGTAATTTGTTCATGGATATATAGTTTTGTTTCTGATTCTAATGATGATTTGGTTTTAATTCAGGGCTGGTCCTGTGGTTGCAAAGTATGGCGACAAAAGTGTTTACTTTGACTTAGATGACATAGCCAACACCACTGGTCAATGGGATTTGTATGGATCAGATGCTCCTTCACCATACAATGGACTCCAGGTGAGCTTACCCTCTCAATGAAAAGAAACTTTGCATTAGAATTGATAATGGGTCGAGCCCTTTCGAAAGATTCGATTGCATTTTAGTGATAAAGATTCGATTTTTATATGCAAAATTAGTGATTGAGTGAATATTTGGTGGTTTGCAGAGCAAGTTCTTTGAGACATTTGCAGCACCATTCACCAAGAGAGGATTGTTGTTGAAGTTCTTGATCCTTGGAGGTGGCTCATTGCTTGCTTACGTCAGTGCCTCTGCTTCTCCGGACTATCTACCCATCAAAAAGGGTCCTCAACTTCCACCAAAGCTCGGCCCAAGAGGCAAAATCTAATCTACTTTTGTTGTATTTAAGATTTTGTTTCCGGTATTATGTATGTGCTCCATGTTGTATCTGATCAAGCTTGTAAGTATTGTTGGAGCCAACTCCATGCGACCCTCGCTTGTTATCATGAAAAGGAATTTAGAATTTCAAATGTTTTGTGGTATTCTTCTGCTGCTTATCACTGAATTGCTGTCTTGAAAGCTAGAACATAATGAACTGCTTACTGCTTAGACATTCCAAGATCAATAAATTGTAACAAACTGATCTCTGACCTACAAGAGTACTGTATTTCCTGATGTGCTTTTTTGAAGCCAATAATACATAACTCTAGTTGGCTTTTTTCCATATTTACAAAAGGTTTAAAACCTTAGGGAAATCCTATATGGCTTTTTAATCATCTGATACTAACATATAACGTTGATCATCATTTCTTGATGCTGGAAACTCTCTGCGGGTCGGTCAGTCAGTCTTGGTCTACAGTTTAACAAAGTTAATTAATTTGGTAAATCTGGGAAACAACATTGAAGGTTAGTGTCGTGCTGTTGGACTTCTAGAACCACCTAAGGTCTCTAGTCTTTCTATGTAGGAAATTCTCTTGTTGGTCACAACGTTAGCTGGTTTGCTAGATAACTTCATGTCAGTACTGTCAGTATCTTGGTTGGGATCTTTCTTCAATTCTGCCTCTGCTTGATCCAACGACCAGCCCATGAAATCCGAAAGGGTCATTGAATTCGGTGTTTCTGCTGCATTTAGCCTCTCTACTTCTTCTTTCGCGTTAGGGAATTTCTCCATTGTAAAAGGCGATGTCTCCCTTTTCAGGGACCTCTTTTGTAATCCAGCTGGCGCATTTTGTGCATTTGAATCAGCCTGTATAACATCATCTATTCTTGACATGACTGTGAATGCCAAGCTCTCTATTATTCTTGAATAACTTTCCAGAATAGCTTGGCCTACATCCTGTGTTCACATAGAAGAAAAAAAGGTTAAGAATACAGACGAATTTGGACCTCTGCATCACTTATCGTCTTGCAGTCCCTATAACAATCTCTTTAGGTTGCAGATTGAAACTGAAAGGGAGATGAAAAATTAAACTTTAAGCAGTTCTTACACGATTATATTGTATTTTGCTGATGTCAAGTGAGGACTGAGGAATTCCAGGAAACCGTTGCTTAAGAAGAAGTAATATAGTCTCTGCTCTCTCTTCGAATATCTCTCTCTTCTCCATACTCACGCCTGAACTCCAAGATGACTTCCCATCTTTTGCGGTCATCTTTCTCCTCCAGATTATAACAGATGCCTCGATTCTGTTCTTGAGGTCGAGAATTTTGTGTTCTGATGATAAGTCCATTGAGGAAAGAAAATAATCAGGATCAAAGTAGTCATCAGTTATGCTCTTGTAGATTGAATCTCCTAAGCTTGCTCTTCCATTCTGACAAAAACCAACAAGGAATAGAATGTTAGGGTACACACTTTAGGCATCCAAGTGAAACAGTTATCAAACATTGTAATTCTGATTCTACCTTAGGGAGTGACTCTATGTAGTTCTCAGGTATTTCCATCTCTAAAAGAACTTGCGCATTTATCGCCATTGCTGCTTTAAGTACTTGATTAACTGAATCCTTCTGAAACTGCAGCCACTTCTTTGTGACTTCAGACAAGCCGTTAGGAGGAACTTTAGGAGTAGGTATCCACCATTTGTCATCTTTCCTGTTATTATTCCCCTTCTGAGAGTCATCAGCATCTTTCGACACATAGTAGAATTCATTTTGATCTTTAAAGTTGTCTAGGCAATCCTGTAGATATCATGTTTTGCATATAAATTCGCCTGAAAAAACGATGATTAAGAAAAATATCAGCGGGAAAAAAAATCTGATAGACTATCTTACAATAAGCATTGCATCCAGCTTGCGCAGGGCCGGAATGTTCATATGAAGGTCAGTTCTCTGCCTTGTTGTCATGACCTGTTTGAAAAACAAAAAAGAAAAGGTATTATTTTGAGAACACAAATGCTACATTTTTTAGCTTCTTTAGAGAAGAAATCTTACAGGCGATTGCAATACAGAAAACCTATTTAAATTTTACCTCCATGTTTGTTCCATCTTTAGACATTTGTTTTGAAGGAACAAACTCAACAATGTGATCTGTGACAGACAAGAGCCAATCGATCTCTTTTCTCCACCTTGCTCTCATATCTGGTGACATGGGCTCTAATCGCTTTTGTTCTCCGAACACAGAAGCTGCAGTGATCAAATGATTTGTAAATTAACACCAATGACTCTGATCATAATTAACCAACACAATCTTCTGCTTTTGATAATTGTACCTGCCAGATTTGTGATTGCATTTGACAATGCCAAAGCTGATGAAACTCCTTTTCCTCCCCCAGACATATCCTCGCCTAATAGCAGCTTTGCAAATTTCTCCTTCATCACCTCCATATCTAAAGCAGCAATAATAACCATTTAGTTGATCAAGATCACAAAATGGGGGATCATTTTTTCAGAGTGGCTAATCATCAAAAATAATATTTGACTCATCAGTGGGCCATTTTGGGCTTCAACCCAACAAATTTGTAACAAAGTATCAACTTTGCTGCTTCCCTTTCATGTCATTGCCCAAAAACAACGTTGATATATATGTCAAAATAAGAACTTTCACATAATTAACAATGTTACATCAATTATAGAACTATTAAAGATTTAAAAAAAAAAAGAAAGTGATATATGCTCTTGAAAATTCAAAGGGAAAAAAGAAAGGCAAAAATTGCAACTTTTCTATTATGATACACCAAATTTCTGGCTTTTACTTAATTAGCATCCATCAATTTTTATTTTTATTTTTGGCAAAATGTGGAGAATTCCTAAAATGACGAACATGAGAGCTAATTATCTAAAGCATTTCATCATATTGACAATTTGTAAAATAGAATGATTTTTCTTTAAGGAAAAAAAAGTCGGAAGAAATATTTTTGGGGCTTGCCTGAAGGTTTCCTTGATGCGGGATCGTCGAGACGGGATTTAAGAACATCCGAACGGTTGAGCGGTCTTCCGACACCGCCTTGCCTTTCCCCATCGCCGGAATGATGACCGGATACATAGCTCCGGGAGGTCACCTTTTCATTATCCATGGCGTCTTCGCCATTTATGTTACCCTCAATGATCATACTTCTCGTCGCTTGCCGTCCATTTGCTTGCTGCATTTGTTTGAAATGCGTCAGGCGAGACTTGTAGATTTCCTGTTCTTCCTCTATTGCTCGAACCATTTTTCGCAAGAGATTAATCAAAGGGATTTTTTTAAAAAAAACACTTTTGTAAGCAAGAAAATTGGAGAAAAATGTCAGGAGGGGAAGAACAGAATATGATTATAGTAGAAGATTAATCATGGGTTGTTGTAATGCATGGTGGAGAGAACAGGTTTGATTGTCGCTCTTGTTTTTCTTGTTGAGAAGAAAACAAAAGAAAGAGAAAAAGGAAATACCAAAGAAGGTAGCGCAAATTCTTTCAATTATGATCATACAACAATAGCTTTATTCAAGAGAACACAATTTTTTGTTTTGTTTTTTTTTTTTTGTCTTTTCTTAGGAGACAATAATATGAGAATAGGTATTGGACTGTGCTATTTGTTTAAATTTTGTTTTTAAGTCTTGTTTAAGGAACGTGGGGTGCATGTTTGAGAATATGAACTATCAAAACAGGTCAGAGCATTGACTCTAGCTAGGTTAATCATTTTTATTTTATTTTTTTTAAAAAAGAAATTCTTCTTGATTTTTTTATTTTTTTTGTAACATGTCTAGTTGTCTGATTGATGGGTTTTACCTAATTGTATGGTTGATGTGTGGCTGGAGTAGCTAAATGCTTGGTTTTAAAAGTGGCATAAACGGATGATTCTACCTTCACCATTCTCCTAAATCCTAATCCGCAAGATTGCGTACAAATTGTACATTGGATTTTCCTGCTCCTTATTATGTCCCAAAATTTAAAGTCTTAGTTGTGTAACTAAAACGATTCCACAAACATTTTTTTTTTTATTTAGAGACAGAAAATTTGCCAGTAATAATTAAAAATGAAAAGAAAAATGTATCTAGCTAGCTCCTCATCTTACCATTTACACAAGTAGTGCTTCACCATTCTCCCATCCATACATTCATGCTCCTCATCCAACATCAAGCCTCTGATTCTTTCTTTATTTTAAAACATCATATCATATCTCTCTAAACAAAGGTTGTTTCATTTTGACAAACACAATATTTTCTTTCTCTATGGACTTTTTTTCTTTTTTTTTTTAAAGGGATTTCTCTGTGGAATAGAACTATCAAATCGATCACAATAATATTGCATTCCTGTTCCGTCTCTATGGAAAGAAATTAATGCGTGGAATTGGCCATGTGTTACGTTTATTTTCCCAAATAAACTGTGTTTCATACTTCTTCTATTCCAATAGAACGATCGACATAGAAATTTAAAAATTGGTATTAAAATAATTGATATTAAATTTTAAAATTTTTACTATGTATCTCATCTCAAAACTTAATAAAAAACAAATATTAATAATTTTTAATTTCAACTCTTAAATATAATAAAAATAAAAAATTGAAACGAAATCAACAAATTCTGGATTCACCGTTGTCCATACTCTTTGCAAGCGGCCCTTTTTCGGCTATAAATTTAAATGGGCCTGACATTGCCGGCCCGAATCAAAAAGTCCGATCTTATTGGGAATTTTGCATGAATGCCATCAGCCATTTGTATTAATTTACTCACTTTCCACACTCCCTAGAGTCCACACTGTTGGGTTCTCCTCCAGAGTATAACATCATCTGATCAAAAAAAACCCACAAAAGTTTTCAACGGAAGAAATGGAATCAATCGGAGTTCTGATGATGTGCCCGGCGAATCCCTACCTAGAAGAAGAATTAGACAAGCGTTTCAAGTTGTTCCGGTATTGGAAACTTCCTCAGCCGCAGCAATTCATCAAAGAAAACTCCAATTCAATCAAGGCTGTCGTCGGGAACGCGTTTGCCGGGGCTGACGCCGACCTGATTGAATCGCTTCCTAAGCTTGAGATTGTGTCGAGTTTCAGTGTGGGTTTGGATAAGATTGATTTGAACAAGTGCAGGGAGAAGGGGATAAGGGTCACCAACACTCCTGATGTGTTGACTGAGGATGTTGCCGACCTCGCAATCGGGTTGATGCTGGCCGTTCTGAGGAGGCTTTGCGAATGCGATCGTTATGTGAGAAAAGGGTTGTGGAAAAACGGCGATTTCAAACTCACTACCAAGGTTCACTCATCACTCCCTATCTTTGATGAATAAGGATAAAAACTGGTCTTTTATTATTTAGTTCTGTTAAATTACTGTTCATTTTTTTTTAATGCATGGTTCTTGATAATTCTCATTGTGGTTAATCCATAAGTATAAATTGTAAGTTTGTCACTCCAATATGATTATTCTATCCATCTGCTGTGCTGATCAATTGTGTGAATATGTAACTGTCTACTCCTTTACCACGGATTCCCTGCCCCCCCCCCTTAAGAATAGACCTGTTGCGTCCTTTTATGTGTTTGTTTAATTTTCATGGTCTGTCATCCCTCGATGTCGCTGGAATGTGAGATTCATGTAACTGTTAAATTGCTCTTGCCCTTTTTGGTAAGATGTTAAGTCTGAACTGAGCTGTTAACCGTTTTGTCGATTTTCTAGTTCATGTAGCTTCCCAATCAGGGTTATTATCTACTTGGTGTAGATGAAATCTACGTGAAGTTAAAATGCCTCAAAAGGCGGGTTAATTCACTGAAGTAATACTATAGCTGTTCACTTTAAGCAGTTTTTAGGAGAGAGAGCAGGGCAAACATAATAAAGGCTTGACATTCCCATGTTATATCTCACCTGAGAACTATTAATGAGCCCATTCATCTCTACTTTATTGGAACTATGTTCCTTTGGAGTGGGGTTCCGAAGGAGCACTTTGAGCTCAGAATTTGGATATATTTGGGTTAGGCTTGAACTTGTGAAGTGTTTACTAATTACTGCAGGGGTTTCTCCTCTTTAATGTTTTCTAGCCAGTTTGTTGGAATCCGTTCTGACACTGTTACATTATTTCTTGCCCAGTTCCTGATTTGATCCCAATTGAGGGTTTTTTTTTTTTTATCTGTTGATCCTTTTTACAGGAAATTTGTGAGTGCTCTTTATTCTTTTAGCCTTCTGTTCTTTGATTTTTGCTTCCGGATTTCTTAAGTATGGCCTTTATACTTGTAGATGCAGTGACGACAGATATATTGTTGCCTTTTCCAGGATACTGTGAAAAGCTTTCTGAGATGAAATAAGACTGTTTACTTGGATAGTGTTAGGGAAGAATTACATTATAGAGCTTACTGTTTATTACCGGAAGTTCTGGAGATAAGGTTCTAGTTTCTTTACTAATGCCATCATGCTTATTATCCCCCTTTTTTCCCACAGTTTACAGGAAAATCAGTGGGTATCATAGGTTTAGGGAGAATTGGCACCGCAATTGCTAAAAGAGCTGAAGCATTTGACTGCCCAATCAGCTACTACTCAAGATCAGAGAAACCTGACACAAAATACAAGTATTATCCAAGTGTTGTTGAGTTGGCTTCCAACTGCCAAGTTCTTGTCGTCGCATGTCCACTGACTCCTGAAACTCGCCATATTGTCAACCGTAAAGTAATCGATGCCTTGGGACCAAAGGGAGTTCTCATTAACATCGGAAGGGGCCCCCATGTTGATGAAGCCGAGCTGGTTTCTGCTCTTGTTGAGGGTCGATTGGGAGGAGCTGGGCTTGATGTGTTTGAAAAGGAACCTGAAGTACCTGAGCAGCTCTTCGACCTGGAAAATGTAGTCTTACTGCCCCATGTTGGCAGTGGCACAATGGAAACGCGCACCGATATGGCGAACCTTGTCCTAGGGAACCTGGAAGCTCATTTTCTGAGCAAACCCCTGTTGACTCCTGTAGTATAGATTGTTTGTATGTATAGGTATCTCTTTGGAGACTAATCATTTATGGTTGTGACCGAGGTTCGTCCTGCGGCCCTGCTGCCATCTATTTTCTTTCCTTTCAGTATTACAATATCTTCACCTTTACTTGGTGATCTTCATCATTTAAAAAGATAGGATCTTATTGTTCCAGTAATCATTTTATGTTTTCTGTTTTTCTCTTTCAAGTGCTTTAATGGGATAAGTGGAAGGTAATGGGATTATTTATACAAGAGCTAACATATCAAGTGCCTTAATGTAGTGAAATGAATCAAATCAGTCAATGGGACCAAGTGCCTTAACCTAGGGAAATGAATCAAATCTTTTGCCATAAAAGATAGAACATTCTACTGAAGAAGAATTCTCCTCTCTTTCTACAAATCTTCACTATTGAATGGAACTGAATTAAAAAAGAAGCCCAAGAATTTCACTGGATACCCAATAGCCCAAGAATTTATATGGTCTTAAACATAAGGGGCTTTATTATATTTGCTTGACTTCTACGAGGATTAGGTGCTGATGATGCGGTTCTCCTCGCTTCAATGGCATCGTTGATGAGGAAGAATGAGGAATCTTGACCGTGGATTGCTCATTGCTATTGATGAACTGATTCTCCGGGTAAAGTTTTCCTGAATGATTTTGCTCATGAAGTGCTTGTTATATGCTCCCCTCTCATTCAATCCGTTAAGTTTATCTTTCTGAGGAATGAATTACAGCCGACCTGCTATTTCTGATTCTTCATTTTGGCATTGCTTCTTGTTTGGAATGATGGATAATGATAGTATTGTTGTATGGATATCATGATTGCTGCTGTCAATAATGATCATGAAATTTATGAGCCCGGGTTTGTTTCCAGTCATCTCCAGTTAGGTTGTAAGAGCCCAATTTTGGGTTTGGAAATATTGATATACTAGGATAGTGGTAATTCTTACTGAACGAATCTTGTGAATCAACTGGAATTATTAGTTACTCCTTCACACTGCATATGGAGAGCATAAGTGTACTACTGACATGCCCAATGTCAACTTACCTACAAGAAGAACTTGCCCGCAGGTATAACCTAATAAAAATTTGGGAAATTCCTTCTTATTCTAAGGACTCCTTTCTCAAGCAACACTCCCAGTCTATTCGAGCTGTGGTAGGAAATGGGGTGCACGGGGCTGATGCCGCCTTGATTGACTTACTACCAAATTTAGAGATCATAGCAAGTCATAGTTCTGGCTTGGATAAGATTGACTTAGTTAAGTGTCAGGAAAGGGGAATCAGAGTCACATATGCCCCGGGTTCTTCAGCCGAGGAGGTAGCCGACTTGGCGATACTACTTGCAATGGCAACTTTGAGAAGAATTTGTGAAGCTGATCGCTTTGTGAGGAGTGGGGAGTGGAAGAAACGTGACTTCAGACTGACCTCTAAGGTTCTGTTTGTAGCTTCATTGTTGTTTTTCTCCAAGTAGTAGTTCATCAGTTTAATTCATCTTCTGAAGTTTTTGTTGATTGGCCATCTTTTATTCTTTCTCGATGTTATGCAGTTTAGCGGAAAATCAGTAGGTATTGTCGGTCTGGGCAGAATAGGCTCAGCCATTGCAAAGAGGGCTGCAGCTTTTGGCTGTCCAATCAGTTACCATTCACGTTCAGAGAAAAAAGATTCGTGCTATAAATACTATCCAAAAGTCATCGACTTGGCAGCCAACTCCCAGATTCTTATGCTTTCATGTGCATTAACGAGTGAAACTCGTCACATTATCAATCGTGAAGTTATTGATTCACTGGGTCCAGAAGGAGTTCTTATTAACATTGCAAGGGGACCTCTCATTGATGAACCGGAGCTGGTCTCTGCACTCCTTGAGGGCCGTTTAGCAGGAGCAGGACTTGATGTGCTTGAAAATGAACCTGATGTACCTGAGCAGTTTATTGAGCTCGATAATGTAGTCCTTTCCCCTCATGTTGGAGCATGCACAGTGGAAACGAGAAAGCTATTGGCTGATGTTGTCATAGCAAACTTGGAGGCACATTTTCTGAAAAAGCCACTACTAACTCCAGTTATCTGATTTTATCTCAGATATATGGAAACCAAAATTAAGTGCGATGCTTGATCATCCGCTTTCGGCGGTTCAGTGTGTGGTTCCAGCAGATATTATAACTCAATCTTTGCATAATTTGAAGTTATAGACAGTCTGATAGCGCTTATTTGCATTGTACTGGGAGTACAGACCCATGTGTTTTATCTCAGTAAAAGAGCCAAAAAGTGTTTGTCCCTCTATTGACATAGTAGTTATTTATCTGTCAAATGCTTACTCAATCCGTTTGAAGGATCATAATGATTTAATTAAGGGGCATCATAGGATACCCTCCTCAAATACTGCACTTACAGAGTTTTATTAATCTAGCTTATACTACCTGCCAGTTTAGGGTTCATTTGTTTCGACTCTTGTCAGGATCTAAGAGATACTACCAAAATGATGATTATTCATCGACTGTTGAATATTTGATTCTTCTCCATGCGGTGATGGCCGCTTAGATTGCTATTTTCGCAGCCGTCTCCCAAAAGAAGAAGATGACAGGGTTTGGACGCAAATTTGACAGAGTTTGTATTTGCCAAACAAGATATCTTCATCAATTGTTTGGACGCAAATTTGAACAGAGTTTGCATTTGCCAACCGCGACATCTTCTGCAATTGTTTGGACGCAAATTTGAACAGAGTTCGTATTTGGCAAACGCGACATCTTCAGCAATTGTTTGGACGCAATTGTTTGAATGCTCATTTTCAGAACATAGTTGATCTTGTCAATTGCAAATTTGGAGACTCATTTTCAGAACAAAACACTCTGAACTCCAGTTCTCTTCTTCTGCTCAAACATATTTGAAAAGCATTGTCTTTTGTGAGAAAGCCGACAAAGCACAAGTTTTTCTTTGCACAACATTCAACTAGGGGCTCATTTTTCAGGAATTTCAAAGGGTCGTTTAATTAATTCTAGTAACCTACTTAATCCAAAACAGAAACTTATTTAATCCGGGTATCCGCAAAGTATAAAATTAATAGGTCACCGGCAGATAGTTCAAACATATATTGAAAGAAGACGACAGCAGTACAGTAACATTACATAAAAAACTTGCAGCTGTGCAGAACATTGTTCAATATTACCAAAGAAACTTAACACAGAAACATCAAACCCTTGCAATATTTTGGTTTCACCCCAAAAAACATACGGAGAAGACTTACTGCATCACCATCCTTTCCCAATAATCTCGAACCTCGTCCTTGGGACTTTGATATGCTCCTGATACCATTCTTCCATAGAGTCCTTGTGTAGCTTTTTGCACCCGTCAATTCCTAGGTGGAAAGCTTTAAAAAAGAAAAGAAGCACACATCAGGGAAATAAGAAGAGAAACAGACTAACAAGACAAGAAAGACATCGGCCAGGAGATTGAAAACCATACCACTAACAACATCCCCATAATGAGGAGCATTATATGCAGCAATGCATATAGACATTTTGGCCAAGTTTGCAGCTTCGGTTACCAGTCATTCTGGGTTTGCGCTTCCTACTAAAAAAAAACCATAAGGCTAGCTTAGCTCGTATTCAAAAATTCGACAGGAAAAATAGCATCCAACACAATGTAAATGAATTAAATAGGAGTATAAGAGAAGGGATCATACTGGGAGCGCAGGCTGACGCCTCTCTCCCTACAAGAAAAAACAGAAACGCGTTTGTTTAGCTCCCAACACAATTTAACTAATTAATAGGAGTGGGTATAGGAGAAGGGGCATACTCGTACACCATGGCAGCAGCAGGACCTGAACCAGATCCGGTGTCAAGTACATCACCTTTAATAACTTCCCCATCACCATTCAGGCCTTTTTCCTGGACACAGTTAGAAACTAGGAGGATATGAAAAGGTATACAAAAATATGGTAATAAGAATAATAAATTAAATATTAAAGAGAGAAGAAGTACCGATTGGTTCCACACGGCAATCAGTATTCCAATGGACAAAGGTTCCTCTATACAAGCCGAAAGAGACTCAGTCAGACAGTTCAACACCTCTTCAACTTTAGTTAGGCGCCTCTCCTTGTGTTCTTGTAGCTAGGGTGCACTGCAACACAGAGCGACCAATCCTTTCTTAGTTTTCATTTCTTAATTTTTTTAGATGAAAATGTCAAGTCGCATTTCCTAGATTTGCACCATGAAACAGTACAAGGCAAAACAGGGCTCTTGGAGCAAAAATTCGCTCCCACCTGATATTGTGGCCAGCATGTGAGAGAATTCAGTTACAATGTTCGGAGTCTTCGACACTAAATTCAACAGGGAAAGTTAGCAAGGTTGGTACTGTACACAAGAAACATAAGAATAGCGAATATATATAGATAATGATAACCGGGTAAACAAACTCACATTTGCTAGAATGATCAGCAGCAACCACAATTCCTCCTTCTTCGAGAAGGAAACCCAGAGCAGTGTTTCCCTTCTCGAATTTAGGTTGATCAGACCTAAAAGACTACAAGAAAAAAGGAAAATAAAAAAGGTAAGTTTTTCAAGAGAAATAATTATTAGTGAAAAACACTATTACACCATCCTTCCGTAAAACAATTTTGGGGCGATAACTGGAGGATACCTTCAATCCAGGCAAAACCAACAAACAACTAAAAATTGATGAGCGTTCTGGCCTACTATTTCTAAAGCTAATAAGATCAATAAATCTAGGAATATACTCCCTCTGTAAGAAAAAATGTGATATGGAGGAAAAATTAAAACGAATTTAAATAAACAGAGTAATGAAATCAACCCTGAGCCCAACACACACACGGAAAGAGGAGACTTTAAGGGACAAAGATATAACTTTAGCAAACTAAACAAACAAAGGAAAACACCAAACCGAAATGAACAAAAGGAAACATAACAACGAAATCAACCCCAACATTATCCCAACACCAAGGAAAAGGAGGATTTGAAGGGACAAAGATATTACCTCAGTAGTGGTGGAGGATTCGCATGGTAGTAGACTAAACTTACACTTGTGTAAAAGATGGTTTTGGCCATTCAGACACAAATTCTGCATTGTTTAACGCACAATTGACAGCATTAAGACAGGGGAGCCTAAAGGGGATCAAAGCAGGAAACATAGACAAACACCAGTTGCGTTACTATGTTGAAAATTTAAGTTTCCGAAAAAGTGGGAGCACCCCGGTTGAGTCCTTATCTTGCTTCTCTCTTTGTAAACTCCATCACTTGTATTCAGCCTTGAAACTTTATCAGCACCAAAAATATTCTTCTACTTACAAAAACTAATGTTCTTGTTACTCATCACCCGAATTCTACAGAAACCACAAACATTATATCCATTACATCAACAAATTCAAACTTCCAGGCAAGTAACAAAAGAATGGGCTGCAGGAGAGATAATATGGATGGATCATCGGTGGAGCTATACATATCAAAGCAGCAGGCAACCTAGAAGGGTCTAGCCAGGAAAAAAGAGTGGAAACTGATAAAAGTAGTTCCATAAAAAGGTATATACATCATTTTTCCACCTATCTTCCTTGAACAGGGCCACTGTATACTTAGGACTTGTTTGTTTGTCCTCTTGTTTTGCCTTTTGTTTCATTTTCCCTCTTAAATACAACTGCACTATCCAAACATCAATTAATTTACTTTTTAAAAATTAGTTTAAACATTATTTTTACATGTAAATCTAATTTTTTTCGAGAGTTGGAAGTTTCAAAGTTTGAAAATTACGTTTCAGGAGCAAAAATATACATATGAACTGCTAGTGAGTAATTTTGTGAACTGCAAAAACCAATTTAGTTATTATTTGATCCTTTGATTTTAAGATTTTGGTCTCATCTCATCAAAATATTGTTTGCCCTTTTTTAAGTTTCTTTTACTATGAAGGCGCGAAATAGACTTTATTTTGCTATTAAATTGCCTCTTTACAAATTACGCCTTTGCAAAATTTCAAAAAAAAAAATAAAATCGTTATTTCGGAAGCACGCCTTCATACAAATGCCGGTTGTTTTCTTCCACTATCCTTGTCGTTTGAGAGTCAAAACGGAAAGGGGCAAATTCTCCGAGCACCGTTCCTGGAACTACAAATGGAGACCAAAGGTGTGCTAATGATGTGCCCTATGTCGTCGTATCTGGAACAAGAACTCGAGAAACGATTCAAGCTCTTTAGGTTCTGGGAAAATCCCTCCAAAACTGAGTTCTTGAAGCAACATTCGGAATCAATTTCGGCCGTTGTGGGAACTGCAGCGGTGGGTGCTGGCACGGGGCTCATTGATTCACTTCCTAAATTGGAAATTATATCCAGTTACAGTGTGGGCTACGACAAAATCGATTTAGACAAATGTAAACAAAGAGGGATTTCTGTCACAAACACTCCGGATGTGCTGACGGGTGACGTTGCTGATTTAGCCATTGGTTTGGCATTGGCCACTTTGAGGAAGATTTGTGTAGCTGATGGGTTTTTGAGGAGCGGATTGTGGAAGATTCGCGATTTTGATTTGGCCACAAGGGTTTGTGAATTCGTTCCCTTTCTCTCTGTATTTGCTAATATGGATAAAGAGTGACTCGTTTGTGTCTGTTGTCAGTACTACTTTTGTTGTTTTCCTTTCTTCTGTGCTTATTGTTGTAATTGAGAAAATGATTGCAGAATCAGTGTGAAACTTTGAATCTTTTGGAATAAAACTGGCAATAATGTTTAGTTACTTGTCTGTGAAATCAATGATGGATATGATTTAGTCCTTCTAAAATTTGTAAGCCATAATGTTCTGTTTTGATTAGCTCATTCTGCTCTTTATCTGGACATTTGTATCATGTTTAAGGTGTATCAATGGCAAATGTTATTGCTGTATGCTGGTGCTTACCTCCATTTGCTGATTCTATATATTCACCTAAATAGAATGAAACGAGCTTGTATGTGGAAGAAGATAATTCCTGCAATTTGTGGAAGTAACGAATTAGTTTTGTAAAATTTTACTACTTGAAGGGGAATAAGCATGCCACTAATCTCTTGATCTGCTGCCTTCTCTTCAGTTCAGTGGTAAATCAGTTGGCATAATTGGATTGGGAAGAATTGGTTCAGCCATAGCAAGGAGAGCTAAAGCATTTGGTTGTTCCATCAGTTACCACTCCAGATCCAGAAAAGACTATCCAGATTACAAGTATTATCCCAGTGTCGTGGAACTAGCTGCTAACAGCCAAATTCTCTTTGTTGCGTGTTCATTGACAGACGAAACAAGGCATATTGTCAACAGGGAAGTAATTGGTGCATTAGGTCCTAATGGCATCCTTGTTAACATTGGACGGGGAGCTCATGTTGATGAACCTCAACTTGTATCTGCATTAGCCGAAGGCCGTTTAGGTGGCGCGGGGCTGGATGTATATGAAAACGAACCTGAGATACCTGAGAAGATGTTTGAACTCCAAAATGTTGTTCTTCTTTCCCATGTTGGAACCGATACTGTTGAAACATGCAAGGACATGGCCGACCTTGTTCTTGCTAACTTGGAGGCTCACTTTCTAGGCAAACCGCTATTGACTCCTGTACGAATGTAGCATTCTTATTTAGGAGGTATCAAGTTGTATTGCTACTCCGGGTTATAGTCTCTGCTTTAGGCTTTAGCACAAGAAATTTCTTTTGAGCCGAAGCCGACTGTTTATGATTATTGAACACAAGTTGGATATGTTCCACAAAAAATTACATACACCATTTAATCACATCTGTTCAATTACATATTGGGCTTTGTCGGATGTTATTCATCTCCATAACTTAGAAGGAAGAGGTAAGCTTGAGCTCATTTCTTAAGCTCTGTTACTGAGCTTGCAGGTGTACAGTGTCACATAGCTGAGTTCACTAGATTAAGCATCGGATGTAAAATCAGTGTCTTAAGACTGCTACTCGTGATGGATGATTGTGTTCATGTCTTCTATTGTCAGAACTGAAAAAGATTGATTTCCTAATTTATTTACTCCGTATTGGCAAATGGCAATTAGTACATGAAGCTGCATAAACTTTTAATTTCTTGAACCAGATTCAATCATAATGCAATCTTTTAGTACCACTGAACCCAAAACAGGAACAAAGTCATGAAATAAGCCAGAACTCAGAATGAAGAACCTAAACTCGGCCTGAAGCATTACCAATGTACAAGTGCCATATACATAAACGGGGAATCCAAATGAATTCCTCAGAAAACGCATTACACCGCTGATTCTAACTTCTGAGGTGGGGAGCTGCTACGGATTTATAAACATCCTAAGCAAGAAAGAGCGAAAAAGAAAGCAGTGCCTCTTCTGCTTCAAACTCAGCAGTGGAACCCAACAAAGATGGAAAAGCATATTAAGGAGAAGAAGCCCCTTTAAAGATGAGAAAGTTTAAAGTCTCCAGGGTAAAATAGATGAACGTTCCTTTGGTATGAGTGAAGAAACATCCGAAGTTTGAACCCACCACGCATTGCCATCCACCTCCATAGATCTTATCAAAGTCCTGAAATCCCACAACAATCGGTTCAGAAAATAAAAGATTTTCAACAATTTTTTCACACGCACACACACACAAAAGAGTTGGCAGAGTTTAAAGTTACCTTCTTGATGTGGGCAGCAATGGACCTGCAGTCAACAACATCATAAAGATCCAGAGCTTGATAAGCAGACTCCATGGCTTGAGCCTGCATTTTCATAGGCATATCTGTATCCTCCACCAAAGCTTTCCCTTCCAACATTTTCGCCAAACAGAGAGAAATCAAAAGATCCCAGATGAGATTTGATTGGATAAAGCTTGAATCTTGAAATATCAACTAAAAGAATCTCCCAGAAACTAGAAAGAACAGGGTTTTTTTATATATAAAAGAAGTAATTCCCTTTTTCTGATCTCCCCCTTTTTTTTATATATAATTTAATTTTAAACAACTCTCTGACGTTCAAGTCCGTCCTCGTTATGCTTTGCAATTCGGCATTTTGAGGTCTCACCCAAATGTAAAAAAGCCATTTGATAGGAAATTTCGTGCTGGCACCTTGGCACGTAGTCCAATCCTGGCATTGTCGTTTCCTCCTCACTTTTAGGACTACTTTTTTTTAGCCCTTTTTGGTTTTTTGGGCGTTTGAATCTTCTCTCTCTGTGTCATGTTCATGTGGATAACGACGTGTCTGGATAAAGCTGGTGAGGTCTAAATTCATCATCCTTCTTCACATTGTCCTTCCATGGATTCTGGATAAACTCCATCATTTCTCACATTTCTATCGTTTTAACTTTTTAACTACTTCTACTTCTTTTTTTCCTTCATTTAAGGAACATACACATATGTTATTTCGAGGTGTTGATTGTATTCGTAAGCAACAAGGAAAATGGAAGCGCTAGAGCTTGAAAAACGGAACGATAAAAAAAATTCCTGATTTGATGCATCAAGAGATATCCCTTTATTTTATTTTATTTTTATTTCTCAAAAAGAAATTAGTTGGATTTAATGTTGCATCAATGAAATTGACACAATTTGTTCTGTTTAGTTGACTCGTACACGGTTGAGTTCACTACGGAAGATTATCATTGAACGTTAACATTTGTGTAGAATTTTCGAGCAAAAAAAATTCTACGGAAGATTTTTATGTTTAAAATCTTTTAATTTCAATTAGATTTTATTACGTGCATCTGGTCTATCTCTTAGCACTCATTTTTGGCTAATTTTTTTTTATAAAAAAAAAATCGATAAAAATTTGAAAAAATGAATATTATTTAGTACAATTTAAACTACAAATGAAAACTTAAACTGGACAATAATTATGGGACGAAGAGAGTAAAACGGTAAAACGTGTTAGCTAGCTGTGATACCAAAAAGGAAATTTACTAAGTAGTCCCTCCGTTTTAGAAAAACCGTCCATTTTGTTCAAGCAAAACAATATAGAAAAGTGGACTTGTTTAGAATCATAAAATAATAATACGTATCATTTGATTAGTTTTTTTTTTTGGTTACAAGATTCAGATGCGTGTGATTGAAGTGAAGACAATATTTCCCATATATCTTCGTCGCTTTATAATTTCTTTTGGGCTCATAAAAAGCAGAAAGAATGAGAGATAGAGAAAACTGAAAAGAAGGAAGAAGAGACAAGTATAGATTTTTTCTGAGGATTAGAAGCATCCAGAACGTCACCAGTCACTACAGCTGGGACGTTTTCCGGCCAGATACAGTACCTGCAATGAGTATCCGTTGAAAAAAAATGGACTCATGACAATAGTGAATAGTCCATAATTTGGCTGCTCACACAGGTTATGGCCCAATATTCTTATAACAACCAACCCAATAATCAAATATCAACGGGCCTGATTATACGTATAGATCAACAAGAATTGGTCAATTTAATTCCTTACCAATTTTGATCTGGAATAAATAATAGAGACGATGACTTTATATATTAAAATTATAAAATGATTTATTTATTAACTCACCAAAATATTCAGTCTTGAAATGATTGTTTTATTTGACAATTACTCCCTCCGGTTCTTATTATAAGGTATTTTGATTTTGTCTTTAGTTTCACTTAAGATGTCTTTTTAATTGGAATAAAAACCTTAAAAACATTTTATAATAATTAGGACAACATAACGAATGTGAAAAATATATTTTTAAGATTTTTTTTTCAATTAAAGACATCATAGGTTAACCTAGGATGAAATTAAAATGTCTTATAATAAGGACCGGAGGGAGTATTTAGGGAAAAAAAGAAATGTTCCTTATTTCCTAAAAATTTTTTATATAAATCTAGAAACTCAATATAAACTATGTTTTTTGAACAGAGATATCATAAAATAACCAACTCAAATCATTTTCATTTTCTTTCTTAATATCATTTTCTTTTCAAGGGAAAATTTCTTATGCAGCTCTATATCATTTCTTTACTAGCTTCATTTCAGAACGTTCAGGTTCGAGTCAATGTCACTGGAATGAGCTTCGTTACAAAAATAGGCACCAAAATTTACTTGTCCTTGTGGTATAAAAGTGGAGTGGATGATAGGTCAATTCCTTTTTCTTTAATTAGTAGGTCCAAAGAGCATAATAGTGGAAACCTCTATTTCCTTGTCTTGATGATATAATTTCAAATTTTTTAATCATTTTATGTGACACGAAATCTCTCGTTTTACACATTTCAAACTAGCCGATTTGGCGTATTTTTCCATCCAACCCCATAATCCCAAAAATTATACAACTCAAGAATAAATTGTCGGTGACAAATGAAACTAATGGCCATCATGACCCAACATAAATTAACATTTTAGTACTGAATACGTGATATTAGTAATGGAAAAAAGAGATTATGATATAATTTTATGAACTATTGTTATTTGAACTATTCAATTACGACATTATCATTCTCAGTCGAACCAAATTTTCACTCTCCTTTTTTAATCTTTTTAAGTAGTGGGTTGTTTGTTGAGTTTGCTGAAGTGTGTTTGTTACCGCATGCTGCAAAGAGCTGGCTCTTTGCATTTGGCTGCATGTCACCAAATAGCCTAAAACAGTCACAAGTAAGCATGAACTGGAATTCTCTCCTTCACTACATATTACTATAGTGGCTTTGTCGGTAAAGTGGGAGTTTGTTTAATCCTTTAAAAAATTATTGAGTACAACTGCTGTATCTTGGTTTTTAGTGCCGCAAGTATTAGCACTCTTCCTATTTTTGTGGTATAATTTCCGTAGAAATTATTTCTCCTCTCAAAATTACTACTTTACCCCTATTATTGTGTCTGGCTGTATAATCTTACGTGGTACAACAAATGCACTGAATAATTTCTCTACTCGTTATCGTTATCGTTTGGTACTTACAACATTATTGAACCGAATAAGAATCTTTCGTTAGGTAACTCGTAAGACCTAAAAGAATCAAATTAGCCCCGACTTTTCCACTCTCCCAAATCCCACATACTATTACCAAATCATTAAAATTATGAGAGTAGACTCAAATCCAGATTAATACTCTATACCACAAAAAAAGAAGTAATAAAACCAATAAGCGTAGACTTTGGTTTGTTGTTATGAAATTGTGAACAATATCTCCATTATTTTTTGGTCCCTCTCCTGACAATGACAATGGGCTGCCGACACTTATTTTAGTTATTTACAAACCAACTTCCCCTCATTACTCATTAGCCCTTTTCTTTTGTGGTCACTTTTTTTCTTTCTAAATATTTTTTTTTAGCTTTAAACCAAAGCTGTGTGCAATCTTGGCCGTTTATATATGTGACTGATATTATACAGTAAATGGATCCACTACAAAGCCAAACCAGCTCATGCACTACTTATCATTTCTGATTCATATAATTCTAAAGTGACCTCAATCTCCCTACATTTTAATGATGATGACTTACACACAGTCACACACTGTAGAAGGAGCCTAGTTCCTGCTGATTCTGATTCATATGTTTTTGTTTTTTTTATTTTTTCTAGCTTTCACTATATGGGCTTCAGCTTGTTTTGACTCTAGTATGATGTTGATAAAGATGATGATGATGATGCCATTATCAACCGAATTGTACTAAATTCCAAAACTTTGCCGAACTTCTTCTTCACCTTCATCTTCTTCAATTGAGAACCAGTTTGATAAATTTTTTTTTGATAATTTTTATCATCCCCTGTTTTTACCAAGATGTTGCACGCGAAATCAGAGTCTGATATTACTAGTTTAGCTCCATCCTCCCCTTCAAGATCACCAAAAAGGCCAGTTTATTTCGTGCAGAGCCCTTCAAGGGATTCACACGATGGGGATAAGTCCACATCCATGCAGCCAACTCCTGGTTTCAATTCTCCGATGGAGTCACCTTCACATCCTTCCTATGGCCGCCACTCCAGGAATTCTTCGGCCAGCCGTTTTTCTGGGATTTTTAGGTCTTCTTCCGGGAGGAAAAATGGCAGGAAGAGGATGAATGATAAGGGGTGGCCTGAATGTAATGTGATTCTTGAAGAAGGGAAGTATGATGAATTTGATGATGACAAAAACTTTACCAGAAGGTGCCAGATTTTGATGGCTTTTTGTGGATTTGTCTTTCTGTTTACTGTCTTCTGCCTGATTATTTGGGGCGCTGGACGGAATTACCGAGCAGAAGTTACCATAAGGGTGAGCCTCGTTTCTATCTGTTCTAGTTAGTCACAACATTTATGGCTTTCTTACAATAATTGAACTGCAAAATTAGTAGAAATGAAAAAGGTACCTCTTTTACAGCATATTCCTTGGCAAATTGTTTATTTCATGTTATTGTCTTGGATTTTGAATTTTGTGTAAATTGATAGAACTTTAATTTTATGCTGGGTGGCATTTCTGTACCGGGTTAGTTTGGATCCTAAAAGCTTTGAATTGATATTCTTCAATGAGCAGTTCCCTTTTACTGTTTCTTTCTGAGGATAAATGGTTTTCTTCCTTAATCCCTGCCAGAGCCTTGCAGTTCATAACATCTATATGGGATCTGGCGCCGACTTCACTGGTGTTCCAACCAAGATGTTATCTGTGAATGGCACATTGAGGATGAATGTGTACAACCCTGCTACCTTTTATGGTATTCATGTCAGCGCTTCACCTGTCAATCTCGTCTATTCCGACATTGTTGTTGCAACTGCTCAGGTAATGCATTCTGCCAAAGTTCCCTGTCTCATCTTCCTTTATTTTACCTTTTTTCCCCAATAAAAAGTAGAATTGTTAATATAAGAATGAACAGGAGTGTGTTGGCATGTATGTAATATTCTAAGCTGTTAACAATAGCCTCCATGGAACTCTCTAGACTAGTGCTCGCACCTCAATGCAGGCCATCAAACTCTTCAAGGTTGATTTGACTCTAAAACTGTAGTTTCAATTTGCCATCCACAAATGCTGCCCATCAAGACTCTTTGAGGTTGATTTGACTTTAAAACTATAGTTTCGATTTGCCATCCACGAATACCGGTTCTTAGAATCTGGGCTGAGTTTTTATTTTAGTTAATTTAAAAATCAGTCAGTCTTATACCTTCTGGCCATTTCCATGCATCATTCCAAAGTATAATCTCAGATACGATTGACTTCTTCGTACAGCCAAAACATAATAATTTTAGTGCAGGGCAATGTTGAGGTCCAGATAGATGATACCGAGGCATAAAGTTGTAGTTTCCAAACCCCCAACCGCTGAAACTGGTTTTATTGATCATTAGACATACTTTGATATAGACATTGTTTGAAAACTACGACTTCTTCTATTCACATTTGAGCAATCATCGTCTTCCTGCATTTGCGCCCATTAGCTGAGGCTAGACTAAATGACTCTAGGAATGCTGATCATGACATGTTGTAAGCAGATAAATTAGCAGAAGTGCACGATTGTGTCCAGTTATTTAGTTATTGATGATTTGCTATTGAACCCTGCTCAGAATGGTAGATAAAAATGGTTGAGAAATCAAATCTTATCTCATTACTGACAACCTTATGCATCTTAACTATCTATTTTTCTGCATTTCTAGCAGTCTCCACCTTTAGATTCCAGTAATTAGTCTGAGTCATTTTCGAACTTGAATGCAGCTGAAGAAATACTACCAGCCCAGAAAAAGTCATCGAGCAGTGTCAGTAACCATTGAAGGCACCAAGGTTCCCATATACGGAGCTGGACCGAATTTCGTACCATCCCCTAATGGCGTTCAGATTCCGTTGACATTAGATTTCGAAATCCGATCACGAGGGGATGTTGTTGGTAAACTGGTGAGGACAAAGCATCGACGGCACATTTCTTGCTCCTTGATCATAGACTCCAGTAGCAACAAACCAATCATGTTCCGGAAAGATAACTGCACCTACAGCTGATTGGGAAGGAAATATTGTGGGTGATGGCTTCTTCAATTCCGGGTTTATCTTGATTCTAGATCTCTATATTTGGTAGGGGGAGAATTTTTCAGTGTTGAGAATGTAATAATGACATTATTAATATATATGCTTTACAGTACATACATATTGAAGTGTAAATGGCAAACTATGAGGAATAAGTTATACACAAAACACCTTTCCCTCCGTTCTTTGTTGTATTCTCACTCACTCATCAGAGTGGCATACTGACATTGTCAAAAGAAGACATTTACCTCCTCCAACTGACTAATACCCTCTTATCCTTTTTCGGCTTTCCTCCCTTAAAATTTTCAGCGGAACCACCATAGGTATCTTATACCTTTGGATCACTGACTTCAATTTTTTGATGGTCCAAGGGTATTGGTTCTTTGTGGGCTAATAAATACACGATTGTAACTACAAAAATTTGCAAATATGAATTTTATTTTACTTTATTTTTTTTTGATGCCATTCATATGAGGAGTATAACGATAAGCATTCATAAGATTCTTCTACACCTAGAGTTAAATGAAAGCGGAATGGAGATGGGCCAAGAAGGAATATTCACAATGAACCAATCCTCCTTCTTGGGTGAGTTTGAGCAGGGATCATCATGCGGGTCTAATCTCTTGGTCTGAATGTTGCACGACACCAATTCTTTTTTCTCCCCCAATTCCAAATACACAGTGTGTTCGTCCAACGGATGAAACGACACAAATTTGACATGCATCTTGAACTTCTTCTGATAAAACTTTGGAATCACAAAATCCGTTAAGAGTGATTTTATGTTGAATGGTGGCCAACGTAATGGTTGGAAAGACGGTGTGGAGATACACAAACGGCGAAAGGAAGGATCCGAGATGAAAGCCAACCATTTTTTTGGAGACGCACATGAACCTAAACACAAAATCCACTCCAAATCGGCATAGCAATTCCAGTAAAAACCACCCCGGTAAATCACCATCACTATCACAATTTTGATTAATGTCGTGGCGGCCATCTTGCGAGATTGCATGTGCGGTTTGCATCATGGGAGTTCTGGCTTCGAAAATCAAAGGAATATACATAAATCATAAATAAATAAAAAAAAAACTAACTAAATTATTCAAATCCAAGGGTCTCGCTAACATAGAACAGGAAAACCCACTTTGTTTAAACAATACTAACTCTGTCTGGGAAAAAAAAATCATATTGAATTTTAAAATTTATATAAAAAAAAATTTACAAATTTTAAAAATTTTATGGACTTTTTTTTTTCTTTTTGAGCCTGAATGCATGATTCAAGAACGATTTTTTTTTTTCTAGTGACATTCAAAAATAATTTAGTACTAAGGCAAAATCAAATTTAAAGAGGAAAAAAAAAAGAATATTACCTTTAGGCTTTAGCCAAATGAAGCTACGAGCTCGGAAATATGCCTTTTGTTTCAGTAAGAAATTCTTTGATCGCTAATTATGCCTGAGAAAATAAAAAGAAGAAATCCACAGAGACTTTCGTCGTTAGAGTCTGCTTATAGATCGAGGGAGGTTACCTTTTATTTTATCCCTGTGGTTTTCGGGAGGGAACAACTATCCTTAATAGGAAACGTAAAAATCCTTTTTCTCGTGGAATTAAATTTTACACCTTTTTGGTTTTATGGAGTTCCAAGAGAACAAAAGTATCAAATAAATTAATTTTTAGTCAAATTAGCAAATAGCAATTGCAATATTTCATGTGGCAAGTTGCCCAAAAAATTTGCAAAATATCAAATTAAAACATTTAAAAAATGCCAAAAAAAAGGATTTAACGGAGTAAACATCGGCGTGACTGACGTCGCAGTGAAAACTGAACAGCGATCGAGTCTGCTCTCTGCTGCAGTGTTGCTTATTATTCGCCCAGTTAAAGCCAGTCTTTCATCAATTCGGCCTCCATAATCCATACGTCTTTGATCAATTTCCCCTTTCCATTCCTTTGAAATCCATTTTCAAACAACAATTGCGTCACCCTTACTTCTTTGCACGTTTTCTATTAGATTGAACTCAGAATAATCGATACAGAGCCGACTGAGATCTCCCTCCAAATCATACCTTTTTTTTGCTCTTAATCTTCAAAGATACAGTCTTTGCTGTAATTAAAAATGTATTCAGAAAAGCCCACTTCAAGATTACTTATTTTCTCCATAGTTTTGCTATCTTTATTGAGCTTTTTTATTACTGAAGTGTATCCCGAGTCGACCTCAGTTGATGAAGATGGTGAAGATATGGAGGGGATTGAAGAACTCATGGCATTGGATGAGGAAGTAGGTGTACAACAGAGCCCAGATGGGATTCCTCATCAAGGGACGGATAAACTATCCGGGGCTCAGGTTTTAAGCAAAGCTCAAAGAATTGTGCTTGAGCTGAATGTTGATAATGCCAAGAGGGTTGTTGCTGACAATGAATATGTCATGGTCTTGGGGTATGCACCTTGGTGTAGCAGGAGTGCTGAGCTTATGCCAAGGTTTGCTGAAGCTGCAACTACTTTAAAGGAATTGGGAAGTCCAGTTTTGATGGCAAAGCTTGATGCTGAAAGGTATCCTAAAGCTGCTTCTACTCTTGAGATTAAAGGCATCCCAACTCTGCTTTTGTTTGTCAATGGGACCCCTCAAACGTATTCTGGAGGATTCACCTCGTAAGTATCATTCCTCTGCCAGTTTCCTTGTCAATTCGTAGTTATTAGTGTCGGTGAATGAGGAGTTATTATTAAATATTCTGTGCATACATGTTGGCTTCCAATAATGGGGAGCAATTTGCGTACACTTGTGTATATAGATGTGGTTGATCATAGCTTGTCTACAGGGAAGACATTGTAATCTGGATAAGGAAGAAGACTGGTGCTCCTATCATTCGAGTTAGCTCAGTTGACGAGGCAAATGAGTTTTTGAAGAAGCACAGCAAATTTGTGGTTGGGCTATTTCCAGGATTTGAGGTGTGTGGAATGCTTCCTACTATGATACAAATCCATTATCCTCTTTACTGATATTTTAGGAAGTCCATTCCGTCCATGCTACCGTCTGTCTTAGCAAAAATGTCTCTAGATCAGCTAATAGGCCTGAGTGTGAGCTGAGCTAGAATAAGTTGCTGAACTAGAATCTGAATGCTAGCAGAGATCTCCTCGTATCTTTCTGAAACTGGTAATCTTTCTTGGCCAGGGATCTGAGTACGAAGAGTTTGTAAAGGCAGCGGCATCTGAAAATGAACTTCAGTTTATCGAGTCAAGCAGCTTAGAAGTTGTCAAGGTTCTCTTTCCTGAAGCAAAGCATACCAAAGTGTTCATTGGTCTAACTAAAAGTGAACCGGAGAGATACAGTGCATTTGGTAAGTGTTATGAATACATTAGACACGTACTTTGTAAAGTTTTGGATATGTCTGACTTTTGACACTATAAAAAATGTAGATCAGGGGGTTGTTTAATTTGTGTCCTTTTGGAAAATAAGGTAAACGCATTAGCTTCTGATTATAATTTTACAGTCTCAACGTACTTTGCTTCTTGTAGATGGCACCTTGACTGCAGAAGAAATCTTGCAATTTTTGGGCGATAACAAATTTCCTCTGGTCACTGTCCTCACGGAACTCAATGCTCCCAAAGTTTACTCCGTCACACAGAAACTTCAGGTGGCTGTCATTGATCTGTCATTTGCCCTCTTACTATTTTTACACATTTCTTGCGTATCAAATTTGAAACAGGTTTCAACGTTACTATTACATAGTTTTATCAGTTGAGAAGTAAGATGATGTATGAAACTGATGTACCAATCTATGTTCTTTTTCTTGTTTTTTTCTGGACATTATGCTTTTCTACGTCGTGATGTTAATCATGCAAAATACATGAACAAGCATCGGTTTCTCTCAGGTATTTGTTTTTGCTGATGCTGACGACATGAACAAACTAACGGAAACCTTGCAAGGTGTTGCTAGGAAGTTCAAGTCAAAGGTATTTGCGTATAAGACCTACTGGAGCTTTTCATCCTGTTTTATTATCTTACCTGGTTTGTGATATTTTGATGTTGCAGATAATGTTAGTGCTTGTTGATATTAGAGAAGACAACCTTGCGAAGCCCTTTCTCTCATTGTTTGGTATAGAGGGAGCAGATGATACAATTGTTAGTATTCTAATAATGCATGATAATTAGTTATTTAAGTTTTTACCTTGCTGATTACTGAGGAGGAAAACATACCTGTTGCTTCTATGTAGGTAACAGCCTTTGACTACCACAACAATGTCAAATATCTGCTCGAATCAGATCCTACCCCAGCTAATATAGAAGTAACTACTTTTTCCTATCCAATTGAAATTTTTGCATTTTAACAATGTTTTAAACTTGGTGTCTTTGTGGCATCTTTGTGACATCTGCAGGAATTCTGCTTGGGACTTTCTGATGGAAAACTGTCTCCGTTCTACAAGTCTCAGCCAGTCCCCAGTGACGTGAGTTTCCTGATCATGGACAATAAGAAACATTTTTAGCACAGCTCCCTCTCTCTCTCACATACACACATTTTTGTTTTTATGTAGTCTTAATACAGTTACCCATACATTCGCACTCTGTGCTTTTGGGATACATGTGACAGTGAGTGGGAGGGGTAAATTGTGAGATTTTGCATCTTTCGGAAATCAGAATTGAGAGCTACCTTGTGGTAGACATGATTTTTTTTTATCTGGTACCTTAAATACTGCATGGTCATATTTTTCTTCACTATATGGGTTCCAATCCTTTACTTGATTCGGTCAGCTCCTAGGAACATTGCACAGTTCAGACTATTTCAAGCTCTCTGCATAGCAACTTGATAATATCCATTTCCCAATTGTGGTTTTGTAACTCATCCGAAATTGTGAAAATGCAGAAGGGCACTGATGTTTTGGCAGTTGTGGGTAAGACATTTGATGATTTGGTTCTGAAGAGTCCCAAAAACATTCTTTTAGAGGTTTGTTAAACTACAGTAGACACAGTCATAGTTGTCTCTCTCCTCTTTGATTGTTGAAATTTACATTATCTAATTAAACGTGTCGACCTTGGTTTTGTTTAGGTATACACACCATGGTGCATGAATTGTGATGCAACTACCAAGCAAGTGGAGAAGTTGGCTAAGCATTTCAAGGGGCTGGAGAACCTAATATTTGCAAGAATTGATGCATCAGCTAATGAGCATCCAAACCTACAGGTCTAAGTTCTGACTTATCATTCTAATCTTACATCTGTGCGCGTGAAGTCAGTTTGCATCATTATCCACGGAACACGATCTTGATTGTTGGTTCTTGATATTATGCTTTTCTTTGGTTGCTATCAGTTGGGATCAGGGTAGTTCATTTGGTGATCATGGACCAAATGGTGAATTAGATGCATTTATATGAATGCTGAAAATAAGGTTGTGAGTTTTACTTTTGTTGATGCAGGTTGAAGAGTATCCGACCTTATTATTCTACACTGCCAAGGATAAGAAAAACCCGGTACTTACTCTGGACATTTCATTTTATGTCATCACTCAAATTCTCTCTCTTTTGATATTCTTATCCTGACATTCATCTCCACAGATCAAATTTTCCACGAAATCAAGCTCAAAAGATATGGCAGCACTCATCAACAAAAGTCTAAAAGAACAGGATGATGTTACCAAGGATGAACTGTAGAAAATGTTAAATTATGCTGAAGAAGATCAAAGTACGGCCGTACCAGTGTTTCTCCATTTCTTTCCTAAATGTTTTCTCTTGGGAGGAAAGTAGGGAGGGCAACAAGGTGAATAGAGAATTGAAATTGACATAGATAGTAATTATATCACTGAGGCAGTGATGCTAAAGGTTTTGTGAACGGTATTCACAGATAGCAAGAAGAAATAGTTACACGTATGGATCAAACATGTACACACGTTTGGTGCAGTATAAGGTTTTGTCATTTGTACAATGAGTGCTTCCCCAATTTCTTCCACTTAGTTGGGCTATGTGATTTGCAGAATCCTAGATAACAACTAAACTTCGCAAACCTGACAACTCACGATTAATAATCTGTTCTCCTTCAAACAAGAAATTACATATTTTTTTAATATAAATCTTAATGACTAGTCTTAACTTGGGAGCAGGGCTCCTGAAACTGCTACCTAGTTAGTATCAGAACGATAAAAGAGTTCCAGCATCTGGATTTTTAACGCGAGAGGTAGCTTGTCAATCAAGGGCCTTTCCACAGCAGTAGTAGTACCTTTAAATGGCCAGGCAGATCTCACTCATATGCACAGATATCATCAAAACCAATGTACTCTTTTCCAGCAATCTTGGTAATAAAGCTCGATATGCCAACTCCACCTGTCAGCAAAACAGTAAGTCTTCCGGCAAAATATCAATCAGTACATCATAAGAAACCAAATAAAACAGATCTATACTTGCCTAATGAAATTGCGCTGATAAGGATTGTGAAGGCCAAAATGAAGATTATCAGAGATGCTCTGCCTAGTACACTAATAATCTTCCGTACCACGTGTTGCCCAACTAGTGCAGCTATTGTAGCCACTGCGACAAAATATAATGCTGCAAGACGAAAAGAAGCAGAACTTACCCAAAGCTTAATAGAAATTCCTCCCCTGGAAGAGCATACTACACAAACTGATCCCAAGCTACCAATGGAAAAAACTTACCATATGGCAGTGGAAAACGTCTCAGAAGGTGATATTGCAAAACAGACATGGATGAGGAAAACAACATGGCAAAGGTGGCAGTGGCACTTGACACCTGTGGAGGAACTCCAAGCTCAAGGAACAGGGGGCCTATAATAAATCCTCCGCCAAGTCCTAGAAGACCACCCACTATACCAGCCAGAATCCCACAAAGACAACAAAGAACCAACTGATGTATGCTCCAAATGTTTTCAGTTTCACCCCTAGATTCTATCATCTTCCTTCCAGTATATAAGCACATAGCCTCATACGCAGATGCTCCAATGGCAATAGGAATCTATGTCAATGCAAAAGTACTTTGCTTGATTAGTGTAATTGTTATTATTTCACATGGTAGTCTTCTAGGTCATCATTCTGATATTTCCCTCAACAGAGGAAAGTCCAAAAGAAAAGCATGGCCTTAATGGGGTCAGGAAGCAGGTTTCTAATCTCATGATCTACAACAGACCCTTGACCAATCAACCCTATCCCAAATGCTCATGCAAACCAGAAGAAGTTACTTCAGAATCATGTGGAGGAGTACCTGTAAGAGGTTTAGTATCCAATATGCCAAGGAACAGGTTTTGGTGTAGTTCTGTAATATAGAGTCACTATGAGTTTCGCTCAAGATTGAACAGATGCAGAAGAAACAAATCAATCAAAAACCCAAAGCTTCAAATAAGAACTTAAATACCTTGGAAATGTGAAGAAAAAGAATGGTGGCCCAAACACTAAATAAAATGGACAGTTCCTTCCAACGTATATTGTCAACAATGGCAACCTGAAAGCGTGCAGGAGAGAATAAATGAACACAGAGACCCAACTCTTTCATGGGAAACTTGCCCAGATGTTAGTTACCTCTGATGCCTTGTTTAAATCAAACTTCATCTGGATACTAGTATGTGGTCCATCAGGCAAAATTTTGTAGGGGATTGGTCCACTAGTAGTACCTGTTTTTTCAGCTCATAATATCACCTATACAAGCTAAACGCGAAACCGTGAAACTCATTTGGGAGATTTCAAAAGGAAAGATTACTCACCATATGGTGCCATCAATGTAGCAGCCTCCTGGAAACCAGGAGTAGCAAGAAAATGCACAAATTAATAAATATTTATGGGAAAAATACTTAAAACTCAAATGAAATAGGATAAAATACAACCTGCTTCATTATTGTTTCTTTCTTCCATGTTTCCACCCCTTTGATGAATGCCTTAGTCGATGTACCTAGAGATCGATCACCAGTGACAAACTGACAATGATCATCTTAAGAAAAGAAAGAAAGGGAAGGGTGAAATCTGCAATTACCTATGAAAAGAAGGATTAACAAAGCTGTCACCATCCATTCTGCAAAAATCACATTGAAAGCGACTCCAATACTAACTCCAAGGACCAGCATCGGTTGGAAAAGAAGGGCTAGATCATAATCGATGATGGGCTGATCGAGTGTTGGATGCCGAAGCCGTAGATTGTAATAAACAGTTGCACCTGCTGCTCCAGTAATCATACCTAAGAAAACCAGCAAGGAATTCAACCTTTAAGCAAGAAGTAATAAAAGATTCCATGGAGACGCCCTCCTCTCTTTAATCCAACAGCCTCACATGAGAAAGAATTTTTTGTCTTCGAAACTATTAGTGACCAATTTTGAGGGTGGGACATCTTCTTCACTTACACTTGGAGATGGCTGTCGATGATTTGGGATCAAATCCTATGATCAAGGTAAGCATAGGAACAAAAATCCCCCCTCCACCAACACCACCCACACTTCCAAAAGCCGCAGCAAAGAAACCAATTATCGTCCCAACAACAATCTGCCAGCTGAATTTCATCTCCTAATATTCCATAATTCAATTACATCTACTTTGCCAATGAACACATAAAAAGATGTGGAACAAAGAACGCTAATCTTATTGAATTTTTGCAACTTATCACTACTTGGGCTTATCTGAAATTTGACTTACTGGCCAAACATGATGGTACATCAGCTTACTATTCTCCCATGAATAACCTGATGGAACCTCTGTCGTCCCCTTTACCCTTGGGACACTCTGCTCCTGTCCCAGTTCTGCAGAAGCAGCCACCAAAGCACCAAGAATACAAATAATCACAAATCCCGCACTTGATCTCACATCCTTCCACGCAATTTGATGCTCAGACATCGTAGTATTGCTGTATCAACAATCCATACAAAAACAATTGTTTTAAGGAAATTCAATAGGGGATTCCAAACCACTTTTACATAAGAGGAGGAAATCCAAGTTCAGATTTCAACTTAGAAGCTCTTAATGCAGGTAACCAGACCAAAAGAAAAAGGGCACAAAAAGTCAAATTTAAGAGAGAATACCAAATAGCTAATCAGCTGATGCGGAGATTCAGAGAATCGGAGATGGCCCCAGAATGGTAAGCACGTTGGTCCTTCTTAGCTCAAGTCCTTAACTCTCTCTTCCTCTGTTTTTCTCCTCAGTTTCTTTCCCTCAACTCGGTTGTCCTAATTCTGGAGGGATCTTGGCAATAAATGTTCAAACAAGAAGTGAGTAAAATGATCAACTTAAAGACTGATCAATGGGTCTGTAATAAAGATCCAACTAAACATATGATTTGTTTATAATTGATTCATTAGTATCTCAAATTCTCAATTAGCTGTCCTGTCCAAGAAAGACCACACTTTGACTGTCTGGATCAGTTACTCCTTAGGCCCACTCAAACTTAATGCAGATTAAAGTTGCTGGTATAAATCTTATGCAAAACATTAAAGTCATGGTATAAATAACTTGTGTACAAGTAACCACCATTTTACTCAACCACCCACTCAAGCAATCTAACACTTCTTGTTTAGACAAAATTGACTCCTAAAACTAAAACTGAAGCAACAGTAAAGAATATAAATGATTCTAAAAACAGTTATCTTCATTCACTGAAATGGTTATATAAGCAAGTTGATGATACAAGTTTAAGGGTAGTACATAATTTAAGCATTCTACACAGTAGGAAAAGCCGAAAATGGTACAAAATTTAGCAAAACAAAAGTGATACAGTGACCCCAATAAATTACAGAGAAACTACAATTTGCTAACTTTTAGCTCTCAAACAGTAGTAGCGAAGCTTCATACGTAATCTTCAGTCAAGATGGGGACTTCAGAATCTTTCTCCTCACTGTCATCGTCATCTACATTGTTCCCTTCCCCATCGCTTTGCTTCTTTCCCAATTTGCCCTTACTCTTACCTCCAATTTCCAATTCCAATCCTTGCAATCCATCAACGCAGGCCTTTTCCCCACCCTCGGGTACGGTGGGGCCCCCGGTCACCAACTCATCCACTCTCTCGTCCTCATCTCTAACCGCAACCTCATCGCCGGTCACCTCCGGCAATCCGGCGCCTTTCTCGTTCGCGCAACTTCCGGGAACTTCGTCGACTCCGTCCGTGATCCCGACGAGTGTATCGGAAGAATCTCCGACTACTGGCCAAGGATCGTTAACGCAGTGCCCCTCTGCTTCTTCATCGTCCGATGCTGAGATAACTGATCGGACGGCGGTGGCGGCTTTCGCGAACGCTGCCTTGATAGCATCCGGTGGCAAGGCACAGTCTTCGAGTCCTGCGTCTTCCAGTCTGGGAGGAACGATTTTGCCGAAGATTCCTTTCGCTTCTTCAGTGGCTTCCATCTCCGATGATACTATTAGCAAATCGAATCCCTAAAAATTTCAATCGAGAAAAAAAATGAATCGGATTTTGAATTGAACCACTGGCTGCGGGTAAAAGCACGCTTAATTTATTTCCAGAAGTGACTAGAAGTCTAGATTTACAGATTGCCAAGGGTAAATGTGTCAGAAGATGATATTTTTAGTAACCGACTATAACGAAGTCGGTCGTTAATTCGTTTTTCCCTTCTTTTTAATTTATTTTTAGTTACTTCCCTATGATCTTTTTAGATAACTTATTAAAGGGTTAATATCAAAAACACCCCCGAGATTTGATCGTTTATCTAAAACACCATTACTGTTTTATAAAATATCAAAAATCCCCTTTGACCGACAAGACCCAATAATCCACAGATAAAACAGATGAAATGACAACAAAACCCCTGCAGCCAGCTTTTATTTTTTTTCTCTTTTAAATGAAAAAAACAAAATGTAAAAAGTGTGAATTTTATAGCAGTTTTTGTGCTAAAAATTTGCTACGTATGTATTTTCATTGAGAAGCTCCTGACATTTATAGCTAGGTTGTGTTTGTGGAAAGAAGGAAACGAGTTAAGTCTTGATTGTGGTCAAATTTACTATAGTTAAAATGCAGCAATTGTGAAGGAACTTTGCAAAATAGATGAGAGTTTCATTATAGGAAGTTATAATGAGCTTTCAATTTGTTTTAAGTATCATCGGATACTATATCTTTGTTTATTTGTGTTAATAAACTCTGTAACTTGTTGGATGATGTCTCTCATCATTCAGCTCTGTAACTCGGGTATATATATATAATTGGTTAGCTTTCAGACAAGGTGGCTTGCTTAAAATTTGTTCAATTTCTCCCCTCCTTTGAATCGTATCATGGCGAGCTCAATTTGGAGAGATCATGTGCATCACCAAGCTTGGAAGAAAAGAGTTTAACAGGATTTGCTAATACATAGCAAAATCATTTATTGACAAATTCATTTATGCAAGTTGTACCTAAATGTTTCATTCTTGATTTCGGTGGCATTTTGCATCATTCGTGATCTGATGATAACATCAAAGAATTTGTGTTCATTGACTTCTCTTGGTTAAAGGCCTAGCCTTGCTATTACGGCCATTGCTCTGTTAAATTAGCTTGGGATTTTTTGATTTTTTGAGTTTGAAATTGAAAGTCATCGCTTTATTGTGGGTGAGTAGCTTAAATAAGAAAAACTTAGTGGATAGCCTGTCCAACAAAGTACATTTTAATAGCACTTTTTCCCTTTTCAACTTCAGAACATTTTGAACAATGTTTGTTTATAGAATGTATAAACTTTATAAATATATGTGGTTTCTTCTTAAATTTCAAGTTTATGATGATGCACTTGAGCAGATTTTGAAGAAGTTATGAAAACTGAAAAAGGGAAGAATGATTACTTTATCCATCTTACATTAAACTTTTCGACATAATAAAAACCATAATCCGGGTTACTTTACACTCATGACCGCACCTCGTGCGGTCCACCACCAGCTAGTTAGCTAGAAAGGGGGAATGGGGATCATTGCTTGACTTCAAGTCTTTTTTGGTAAACATGAGATCATTGCTTCAAGGCTTAATACGAAGAAATCATTTTTCAAAAAGTCTTGCCTAAGGATTATTGGGGAACAAAAACCTTACGGTTTACTCATAATATTGTTTGCTACCTGAAAGTGTCCCAACCATAAAATGCTAGCAAATTTATTCAATATTTTAACCATAAAAGCCTAGAAAATTTATGCAATTTCTGAAAAATGACTTAGCAGCAATGCAGGTTCTTTAACCAAATCGTGTTTTGTCAAGCATATGATTAACTATAAGTATGCCAAATCGTGTTTTTCAAAAAGTCTTGTCTAAGGATTATTTTCAAGCAAAGTAATAGGCGGTGATGGCCAATTTATCTTTAATGTCAAACTGCCTTATCTTTGGATTTATTCTCCAAATGGATGTATTCCGAAATTTCTTAATAGAATCTTGCCGATTACTTCTTCTCATCTATGATTTGTTTGTTGTACTGATTATCTCTGTTCCATGCAATTGATAATAATTAAAATAAAGAAAAAAAATTGGTCAGTTACTTTGATTGTGTTAGTGTATGATATTTTACAGTCCTTATTATGTGTATTTTGTGCTATTGTACTTCTCTAAATGAAATAGTATTAAATTAGTAGTTGCTTAGAGTTTGCCAGAAAATCAGAATTATGCAGATTGAACCAGCCAGTTTTGTGTTTAAACTTTGTCTCATTACGTATTGTTTCCTTCCAATTTTTTAGGTTTCTATTATATTATGTAAATTGCCTCTGAAAACAAGGTTTACATATCAGATGTGATAAAATTATGTGAAAGTCTTCCCACTAACTTAGATGAATGTCTGAGCCGTATAATGCATTCTACCTGGATTTTGAAGCTTGGTAAGCAGAATTTTACCTCATGTGAATACTTGATAAAACTCTTCTCTGTTCCATAAGTTGCAATAATACTTTATTTTATATATTCAAGATTTTACAACCAAAGTCCTATAATCTTGTTCAATATTGCATTCATTTCGGTTTGTTTGTGTAATGGACAATGGACAATTGCCATCCTGGGTTTGTGATTAAAATAATACCGTTTTCTTCTGCATACAGAAATTTGTTTGTGCCTTTCTATTGGCACCTTTTATAGCTAATTAGTTTTCGGTTTAAACAAACACATATGAAATTGTAGGTTACAACTTTGAATGTGATGTAGAGTAGCTTGCTCAGTCGTATCCAGAGTTCCAGTGCATCAAGCCGTATGATACTACTTGATATCCAGAATGTATTCATGGAACCAAAGGGAGGTCTTTCTAGCCTGTCAAAGGTAATGGCTAGGTCTTTGGCCGTAGAACTGCAAATTTGATGGATCTTATACCATATCAAAATTCCTCTTCCTTCTCTTAACTCATGTCTATTGTGCCGAGATTCAAATTTCCTGATGGACTTTGTTAATACTAAATGAAAACAGAAAGTACTGGGACGAGAATTGAAAAAAACAAGATGAAACAGCAACTGGGAGAAGGGACCTCCAAATGTAAATCAGGTTTGTGCTTTATACATGATTATCATCAAGACCTTCAAAAAGTTTCATTCAAAGTTATATATGATTGGAACTAAGGTTTCTTATATCTACTTGCGGCGACTAAAACTTTTACAGTTGAAATATTCTGCTCTTGATGCTGTCGTGCTTTGAGAAATTTTCCAGCATGTTCGCGACCATGTAAATCCTCCCGGTGTTGCCAGCGAACATAGCAAAGTGGAATGAAAATCTCACATAGTAAGTATAATCTTACAATGTCATGTTAAACAAGTTAGCTGAACCTTTCCATTTCTTTGATAAAGGTACTGACCAATACATTTGCACAGGTTTCCCATATCGACAGAACTAAAGGAAACAAAAAAAGGCGCCGGGAACAGAAAGCAGTGTTCTTCTGATGCTGATCACTGATGCGTCTCCATAGAGCAAGAATACCTTTTGATATTTTTATCAGACAGACTTCTTGGCTAGAAATAGGAGCGGTTAAACTATGCTTCATCCAAATTCAAGCAATATTACTTTGGGAAGTTGAGACGTTGTCCTTGGTCTGAGTTAGACTTTCAACCAGAGACAGAGATCATCAATGAGCAACTTGGCAACATTAACCTAAAAACTTTTCTGATTATAAATAGCCAACCTGCGATATTTTTTTATTAGACATCCTCTAAATAATCACTCAAATAAGTTATATATTATATGATGAAATAAAATTCCATAATTTCATCCATTTCTCACTATTTACCTACTTGATGTCTGAAACTGAAGGACAGGAATGAAGGAACTTGCTCAACAGTACTGGTCAATGAACTACCTATTTCTAGCCTACAATTTGCCACAAGTCATTGTATACAACTTATTTAGACTGGGCCTAATCACACAACCAGTTTTGTGTTTAGACTGGGTATAAATATGTTACACACTTTACTAGTAGTACTAGCATATGGTTCACCGCACGAGGCGCGGTGGCTGGTGATAATTTTCCTGGTTTAATGTTAGTTCCTATTTGATCTCCAAATTAATCATCTATACTCTTCTACTTACATATTTGGTACGCTTCAACAGGGCAAAAAAAAATAATAATAAATAAATACATTGGGTACTTTTTTACATGTAAATATTATTACTATACTAAGTTATTTGATAATAAATTCATGAAATGTAATATTTTATTATTTAAAAAAAGAACAAGGAGTTCAACCTCATCAAACTAAGTGGAAATAATTTTCATTGAAACAAAAAAACAAACAGGTAGCATACAATTATACAGACACGAAAAAGATCTCTTACAATGGCCACTCTATCCCCAAAGTTCACAACAATGGAGCATCCATTGCTGTCTTCAACTCAACAACTCCAAGTAATAGTATTACAAATCCGAATCAATACCTATTAATGAAACACATCTTAATACGGTAAGTTCTAATCAATTCCCTCCTTATTACTTGCATTTTATAAAAATTCAATTCACTAATGCAAATTATGAAAGCAATAGATGAAATTATGAAAAAGGTTGCTTTTCATTTCTATAGTCCCTTCTGCTGTCAAACTGCTAATTTGTTTTTCTCATAAATTTACCATCAATTCCGTCGTCCATTGTGTGGATATGAGGAGGAATTTTGGAGGAAATAAATATGAGATTAATTAACGCATAGTCAAGTATTACCGTGAAATTAATTATCGGTTAACTTGGATATATCTATCGGCATCTGAATAAAAGCTTTATCTTAAAATGAAAATGTCGAAATAATTTTTCTTTAAGAAATCACACTAATTAATTTTTGCATTCATGTGTTATAAGGTCGATGTCTTGAAAAGATTGAGTAAAATGTTAAGGATATTAATATGCGATTCAAAAACTAATTTAGAAAGAGTTAAAATTTTGACAAAATATTCATAAAGAGAGACAAAATTTCGTAACAATGTGAAATTATTCAACTGAATAGATGAAACAATAGAGTGAGATCGAAATGAAAAAACATACTATACATTTTTGTTCGAATTGCCTTCGATGTCTCAAATCCAGCAGTTCTTTGAGAATGGAAAAATATGTGCATTTTTTTTTGTAGTTTGGATGGCGTTTATCTTTGGAGTTAATTGGAAATATAGTGGAGATCTATTAAATCTTTGATTTTGGCTGAAATGGAAATTGCTGGGGAGTTAAACAATCTATCAAAAAGAGTACCAAACCTAGAATGGCACTGAAATTCAAAGGCTTAAACATACATACCATTCCATTCCAAATTAATTGTCTGATTTAATAAACTCAATTAGTACCGAAAAAAAAGAAAAGGTTTAGGACACAGTAATAACAATTTTTTGATCTACTTTGTACCACAAACTGGAAGCTGTCTCTGTGTCTCATGGGCAAAAGAGAAGAATTTCAACCTTGAGACATTGAGCAAAATCCAAGTATTGCCTCCAAAATCTAAATTTCAAAAGCAGAATCAATTTATCTTACATCCACCATACAAACAAAGCTGAATTACAAAATCAAAGCTGACAGATGTTCGTGCTTAGCATTTCTGTAAAGTTCCACAGAGGCGGATAAAAATCAAATCACTATTGCCAAGCCTCAAAGTGAAACCTAATCATAGCAAGACCACCTCATCGCCTCTTGCTGTGCCTCTTCTTAGCCTTTCTCCTGCTACTTCTTTCTTCAGAATCAGATTCAGAATCTGAATATGAATCAGATCCAGACTCGGACGATGAACTATACTTGCGGTGGTGCCTTCTCTTCCTTTGCTGATGCTTCTTCTTCTTCCTCTTTCTCCTCCTTTCTTCCTCTGAATCTGTAGATGAACTATCACTTGATCCGCTCTCAGCAGAAGAGTAGTCGGACCCCGTGACTGATGATGCCTCACTGTCAGACTCAAAAACCGAAGCCTCGCTATCAGAACCAGATTCTGTATCCGATTTATGCTTCCTCTTACTCTTCTTCTTGGATGACTTAACGCTCTTCCCATCCTTTTCAACATCCTTATCATCCAAATCATAGGAAATTGACACCTTCATCCTTAATTTGGGGTTCTTCAACTGCTGTGTACGAGATGGGCGTGATATATAAACCCGTTCATTTTTACATTCGTACGTCCAATGCCCAGTTTGGAAACACTTCTGGCATTGAGCAGCAGAACCAGGAGCAGCCAGCGAACCTTTAACGGCCTTTCTTTCGCCCAAAATTACTTGTTTCTCAGTACTGTTCAGGTACATTTGTCTCTTAGCTTCTTTCCTTTCTTGCCATCTACTCGGCCCTTCTTCCTTCTGTCCATAGGCATTCACATTGCGTGCAGCCGCTGCAGCTGCGCGCTCTGCCTGAGGCCGGCCAAGACCCTTGGCAGCAGATAATGCCGCAGCCTTGATTCTTTCGGCAGCATCCTGAGCTGCTTCTTGTTTAGACGACATGTCGTTGACCTACAAGCTAAAACAAGGGGAAGAGAAGTCAAAAAGCAGTGGAAAAGCTAATTTGGTCACATACTCAATGCAGAAACTGATAGATTAAACCATACTACCAGAAAAAAGAAATCAGATCCAGCAGGGTTTAGCAAAATCAAAATATTGAAAAGAAAAAGAAGTGAGACACAAGTTTCCAGCTTCAGTTGAATAAGGAGAAAACTAAGTTGGTACTTGAAAGAAAGATTGAAAAGCATCTAGTTATGTCATTAAAAAACACGGGTTCATCACCAACTGGGATTAACCTACCAAGTAAATGGCACTCAATTCAGTATAAAGAAAACTCAGAGATCCTACTGTTTACAATCTCTAATTAAAGGGCAAATATGAAAACAGCAATTTTTTAGATAAAAGCATAGGAAACCAATGGTAGCGGGGTAGAAGATTGGGCGAAGTCAGCTATAAATTGGCCAAAAGTTCCATTTTCTCACCACCTTTATGGTCCAAATAACTTTTGCAAAACCTAACCTAACTTTCTCAAAAGAAAGGCAAAAAGTTCAACAAATTTTTCAAAACCCTGACATAAATTGAGCATTTCAATTACAGGAGTTTATCACAAGAAGAACTAAAGCAAATAAAAGCATCTGCTAAAAAATAAAAACAACTCAACAAGTTTACTAATGAAAGTCTCACTTTCTACTATAAATCCCTATGAATTCAATATATGGGCCAAATTTAACAAAGAAACTATCCATGTTACAACTCAGTTGTATTATACATGATCAAGGCAAACACAGATCATCTTGAGGATAAATCACGCAAATGTGAAATTAGAACTATAACTCTGTTCAGTACATCTCTTCTCAATCCCAGAAATCATTCATTTGGCAAAGACATCCAGGTAAAATAAAGATCCTCCACCCCAAAAACCTGATTACTTCCACTTTGCTTTCACACTATTAAACTCAATCTAGGCCGGGAAATTATTTTTTTAAAAAAAAAAAAAAACTAAACCTTCAGAATTCATCCACAATCCTAAACCCAAAAATTTCATCCTGTCCATTAATTTTGCTTCGGTTTCAAATACCACTCAAATACTTAAGCAACTGCCTGGGTTTCACCTAGTAAAAACTCGAAAGTTTCAAGTTTAGCTTCAGTTTCGCTTGCCCTAATAATTCTAAGAAGCTTCAGCACGCAACTAAAGAAAAGAAAATACACACAACTGAGCGCGACCCCAAATCAAATATCTTGAATCAGAGACTAGACATAATATACATTCAAGGCATGAATTTGTAACTTCATAAAAAAAATATATATTACAACTTTTTTAGCAAAAAAAAATTATGAAAAGAAAGAACAACAAAAAGAGAAGATAATAGAAGGAACAGCTGATTATCCGATCGGTTTCTGAACCGCAAATCAAAAGAACTCTAAATTCAACGAAAGCATAATTATAATTCAGACAATTCTTACCAATTTCAGCAATTCAGGAACATTCAATCAATTTCTGAACGCAGGAGCGGACGGAGGTTTTGGAGAGAATCCTATGAATCAATGGCGGTTAGGGCCAACAGATTTGGGGGAAAAATACAAAAGCTGGCAAAGAATAAATCGCAGTATATACAAATAGTTTTCAAAATTCCATATTCTATCCTTGTATTTCTCAAAATTTTCAGATAGGATCCGTATTTCATTCTAAATTATACTCTCGCCCCCAAATTTTCTCTATTCTGACTTCTGAGAGATATTGAATTATAGATAACTACTAAGTAGTACTGCCTCCGGTCCTTAATATAAGGCATTTTGATTTTATAATAGTTTTCACCTAGTATGCATTTTTTATTGATGAAAAAACCTTAAAAATATATTTTCACATTTGTTATGTTCTCTTGATTGTTAGGAAATATTTTTAAGATTTTTTCGTCCATTAAAAATATGACCAACTAAAAAAAATCTATATATAAACCAAGCCAACAATAACTTAAATATTGAAATACTAACGTTAAAAAAAAGGTATCTTCGGAATAGAATACAGAACTAAATCCCTAATTATATATTTTTACAGATTTAACTATATATTAGAAAACATACCTGCGTTGCTATAAATGACAAAAAGCAAAAAATTTGTTTCCTCTTTTCACACAGCAAAAAACAGCAAGCAATCCCAAATAGTATCACCGGAAGCTGGAAGATAGTAAAATGAATTATAACAAGAAATCACTAAATTTCTGTTCACAATCAAATAAGTATACATACTATGGAACTCCATTCAACTCTAGGAATCGCAAACTAAAAGATAAGCTGCAAGCACATTTTTTGTGAATTTTTGGTGCATTATAAAGACTCAACCTCTATTAAGTTGCAACTCGTAAGGCCTCACAAGGGAAAATGGGTTACTTAGCATACACTTTTTAAAGAGCAAAATGAACTTCACTATGAAACACAAAAGCAGACACCTAGAACACATATACTATAGGTTCCTCAATAATCATTATAGACAAAATTTAACCTTGTTGTTACCCTCTGTTACTGTTGGTGGTTCGTTAACTATCAGCACTTCTCTTCTTCGATACAAAAAGAAACAAAGACCTGTGAAGACAAAAGAAAAAAGATGAGGAGATTATAGGGCAAAACCGACGGCTGAAAAAAATTTACCGAAGGAGACAATTTAGGCTAAACACAATGATTCTAAAGAACATGAGCACCTAACCTATTATGTCTTCAATTCAAATCTGGAAACATCGATTTCTTGACCGTACACCACGTTGGATTCCAATTAAGGTGAAAAAGATTGAAAGAAAGGGGATAAGATATGGGTAGAAATTAACACCTAATTCTTTTCAAATCTGTGTGGAAGGAAGAATCGAAAGTCTGAATGCTGCTGGGGCGAATCATGCTAACGGAGGAAGAAAAAAAAACCGAATTGCATATGAAATTGAAAGGTGAATATACTATTAAGTACTACGTTTCATTTTATTGGTCGTTTTACAGTGAAATCAAAATTTCTTTTTATTGTCGCATTTCATTTTCAATGTAGCATTAAATACATTTTTTTCTAATTTCACTTTTTTATCTCTCTAGTTTTAATAATATATATTAATGATAATTACTTATTCTTTTACTTTAATTTCAAATTTTTGTAGAATTTCAATTCTTTTAATCAAGGGCAAGAAGGAAAATACACTTAAAAATTAAATCACCAATCATTATTTCCTTAATAGTTATACAAACCCTAAAACGACAGATAAAATGAAACGGTAGTATGGAGTATTAACCTCAAAAGGGGGAGAAACGGAGCATTCACCGTACTTGTATTTTTCACTCATTCTCGTAGGGTTTCCTCATTGGTTTTTTTTTTTTTTTTCTAGGGTTTTAGTTGAATTTTAAGAAACAAAGCTATCATTTTTATGCTCTCCCTCTTTAACTCGTGGAAACTATTTTAGTTAGATTTTTAACCTCTTAATAAAATGACCATTATAATTTTTCTTTTCATCCGACGATCATAATTTATTTAACTACATCCTCCCACCAGAACCGTAAAAGACACTATAGTAATTCCATAATTATTGTACTTATAAATTTTATTTTCCACGTGGCAATGTTTTATTGGATGGGTGACAAATATTTTCACTTTAAATTTTACATCCTACTCTATTAAAAACAAAAATCTCCCTTTCAAACACCTCATATGATTGCCACGTGGCATGTAGAAAATATTAAATTGCCCTTTTGTCTAACCATAACTAAATTACTAAATCTCCCTTTGCACTTTACGTGATACGTTTTCTTTTTTAATTTTTTCTTTATGTTTCATTCGACTAGAGTGGTTTTTTAAATTGAATTGATCAATTAGGTTTTTTGTTACAAAGTGTCAATTTTGTTTTAAGCGTATACTCTTCGGATGAAACTTATTACAAAGCTATTAAAAATCTCCAAAACTAAGTATTGATTTGGCACGACCAATAGAGAACATCAATAAATCATCTTATTAATATTTAAATTTATTAGGATGCTTTTATATTTTATCTAACATTTACTTCAACACATATATTCGATTAAGGCTATTTATATTTAATAAGTAACACTTATAAAACATTTTTAAAACATACATGGAAATATACAATTTTTTTTTTTTTTTTTGCGAAATACAAATATTTCTATGATCACACTTATAAAATATTTCTAAATCCTTCAAACATTTCTAAAATATATCGCTTCAAATACAAAATTTTATTTTTTTTCAAATATAAACATTTCTAAGATCTACAGATAGACTAGGCCAGGGTCGCACATTGCGCGACCAGACATCACTAGTATATGTATATATTATAATTAACACTGCCTCTTAAGGCATTATTATTAACTTCTTTTTCTTTTTCTTTTTTTAACATTGTTAGTTAATTTTAGCGGTAATAACTAACTTCAGTGGTAATAAAGTTGGCATTTTTCTTAAAGTAGAAAAAAGAAAAAGAAGAAGAAGAAAGGTGAGCAAAAATTAGAGAGTTTGGGTCACAAAAAATCTAACCATCACAGTAAAAAAAAAAAAAAGAGAGAGAGAGAGACTGAAAACTAGAAAAAAAAAAAAAAGAACAATAAAAGATAATAAGAATCCCTAAATCACAAAAACAAAAATTAAAATCATCATTATTACAACAGCGATAAATGAAATCCAAATTAATCATCTATACTCTTCTACCTACATATTTGGTACGCTTAAAAAGGGTAAAAAAAAAAAGGGTGCTCTTTTTACATGTAAATATTACTATACTAAGTTATTTAGATAATAAATTCATGAAATGTAATATTTATTATTTAAAAAAAGATTAAGGAGTTCAACCTCATCAAACTAAGTGAAAATAATTTTCATTGAGACAAAAAAAAAAAAAAACAGTTAACATACAATTATACAGACACGAAAAAATATATCTTACAATGGCCACTCTATCCCCAAAGTTCACAACGATGGAGCATCCATTGCTGCCTTCAACTCAACAACTCCAAGTAATAGTATTACAAATCCGAAATACCTATTAATGAAACACATCTTAATACGGTAAGTCCTAATCAATTCCCTCCTTATTACTTGCATTTTATAAAAATTCAATTCACTAATGCATATTATGAAAGCAATAGATGAAATTGTGAAAAAGGTTGATTTTCATTTCTATAGTCCCTTCTGCTATCAAACTGCTAATTTGTTTTTCTCGTAAACTTACCATCAATTCCTTCGTCCATTGCGTGGATATGAGGAGGAATTTTGGAGGAAACGAATATGAGATTAATTAACGCGTAGTCAAGTATTACTGGTGAAATTATTCATCGATTAACTTGGATATATCTATCGGCATCTGGATAAAAACAAAGGACATGAGAGCCTAGAGTTAACTGCCGAGAAGCCAAAATTAATCTACGTACTGAAGGTGAAACAATGAAGCAAGAACAGAGATAAAAAAAAAAAGAATTCAAGATACTGTCCACCGAAAAGAAGAAGAAAGAGAAAGGAAGCGACTTAAAGCAAGAGGCGGCCTTGGCAAATCTTGGCACGGTTTCTTCCAAGTTGCCTTCTGCTTTTGGTGACGTGGCGGAACGTGGTTGGACCTTCAGTTTTTTTCCCTTGGGCGATCGTTTCTTCACTGCAACGTTTTCTTTCGATTGCCAGTAACCTATGGGTACTCTTCCTGCACGTTGAACGGAAAGCGTACCTTTGTTCTTTTTCAATTACTGCCACTAACTGTGTTTGTTCAGCCATCTCCCTTCTCTACGTGCCTAACCTTTCTACACCTCTTCCTAAATTCACCGTGGGCCAAAGGTGTCAGCAACGGGAGAGAGGAGCAGAATTAATTTGACAACGGAGCCGGCCATCGGTGTACAGTAACGGTGAAGGGGAGCGAATTGATGCTTGAGATTTACATTGAAGATATAATAGGTAAAGCTTCCATTGTTTTTTCCCTTTGAATCGTAGTGTTCGACCTTCAATTGTTTCTTGTTGCCAATTTTTGCTCTTTACAAGGTGAACTTGCTTATCAGTTGCAAATAATCTTGTTCCTTCTATACCAGTTGGATTTAAAAGTTTGTAATTTGGTTTAGACTTGAAGTATACGTTTCAATAAGATTTGTAACATTTTGGACCTTGTAGTACATTTTTTGTCTGGTGAATTTTCTAAAATAAGAGTGAAAATACCCTTGTTTATTAGGCGTAGTCAATCGAAAAAAATACTTATGTTTGGTTTCCATACCACGTGTTTGTTTGCCTAAACAAACTTTGATGAGGACTTAGGAACTAAAAATAGTTTTTTTGTTATGGCCGGCTGAAGTTTTTGATAGCCCAAGTTTGACAACATTTTTTGACTGTTTTATGAAGAATCATGAAGGGAACATGAGATCATTGCTTCAAGGCTTAATATGAAGAAATCATTTTTCAAAAAGTCTTGCCTAAGGATTATTGGGGAAAAAAAACCTTACAGTTCACTCATAATGTTGTTTGCTACCTGAAAGTGTCCCAATCGTAAAATGCTAGCAAATTTATTCAATATTTTAACTATAAAACCCTAGAAAATTTATGCAACTTCAGGAAAATGACTTAGTAGCAATGCATGTTCTTTAACCAAATCGTGTTTTGTCCAGCATATGATTAACTATAAGTATGCTTTAGTAATAGGTGGTGATGGCCAATTTATCTTTAATGTCAAACTGCCTTATCTTTGGATTTATTATCCAGATGGATGTATTCCGAAATTTCTTAATAGAATCTTGCCGATTACTTCTCCTCATCTATGATTTGTTTGTGGTACTGATTATCTCTATTCTATGCAATTGATAATAATTAAAGTAAAGGAAAAAAATTGGTCAGTTATTTTGATTGTGTTAGTGTTTGGTATTTTACAGTCCTTATTAGTGTATCTATGTGCTGTTGTACTTCTCCGAATGAAATAGTATTAAATCAGTAGTTGCTTAGAGTTTGCCAGAAAATCAGAATTATGCAGATTGAACCAGTCAGTTTTGTGTTTAAACTTTGTCTCATTACGTATTGTTTCCTTCCAATTTTTTAGGTTTCTATTATATTATGCAAATTGCCTCTGAAAACAAGGTTCACATATCAGATGTGATAAAATTATGTGAAAGTCTTCCCACTAGCTTAGAGGAATGTCTGAGCTGTATTTTACATTCTACCTGGATTTTGAAGCTTGGTAAACAGAATTTTACCTTATGTGAATACTTGATAAAAAATCTTCTCTGTTCCACAAGTTGCAATAATACTTTACTTTATATATTCAAGATTTTACAACCAAAAGTCCTATAATCTTGTGAGTTCAATATTGCATTCTTTTCGGTTTGTTTGTGTAATGAACAATGGACAGTTGCAATCCTGGGTTTGTGATTAAAACAATACCGTTTTCTTCTGCATACAGAAATTTGTTTGTGCCTTTCTATTGACACCTTTTACCGCTAATCAGTTTTCGGTTTAAACAATGTCTTTCTATATTGACACCTTTTACGGCTAATCAGTTTTCGGTTTAAACAAAAACATATGAAATTGTAGGTTATAACTTTGAATGTGATGTAGAGTAGCTTGCTCATCGTATCTAGAGTTGCAGTGCTTCAAGCCGTATGATACTACTTGAATTCATGGAACCGAAGAGAGGTCTTTCTGGTCTATCGGAGGTAATGGTTGGGTCTTTGGCAGTAGAACTGCAAATTTGATGGATCTTATACCATATCAAAATTTCTTTTCCTTCTCTTAACTCATACCTATTGTGTCGAGATTCAAATTTCCTGATGGACTTTGTTAATACTAAATGAAAACAGAAAGTACTAGGATGAGGATTGAAAAAAACAAGATGAAACAGCAACTGGGAGAAGGGACCTCCAAGTGTAAATCAAGTTTGTGCCTTATACATGATTATTATCAAAACCTTCAAAAAGTTTCATTCAAAGTTATATATGATTGGAACTAAGGTTTCTTATATCTACTTGAGGCGACTAAAATTTTTACAGTTGAAATATTCTGCTCTTGATGCTATTGTGCTTTGAGAAATTTTTCGGCATGTTCACGACCATGTAAATCCCGCCGGTGTTGCCACCGAACATAGCAAAGTGGAATGAAAATCTCACATAGTAAGCATGATCTTACAATGTTATGTTAAACAAGTTAGCTGAACCTTTTCATTTTTTTGATAAAGGTACTGACCAATACATTTGCACAGGTTTCCCATATCGACAGAACTAAAGGACACAAAAAAGGGCTCCGGGAACAGAAAGCAGTGTTCTCCTGATGCTGATCACTGATGCGTCTCCATAGAGCAAGAAAACCTTTTGACATTTTCATCAGACAGACTTCTTGGATTGAAATAGGAGCGATTAAACTATGCTTCATCCAAATTCAAGCAGTATTACTTTGGGAAGTTGAGACGTTGTCCTTGGTCTGAGTTAGACTTTCAACCAGAGACAGAGATCATCAATGAGCAACTTGGCAACATTAACCTAAAAGGTTTTCTGATTATAAATAGCCAACCTGCGATACTTTTTTATTAGACATCCTCTAAATAATCACTCAAATAAGTTGTATATTATATGATGAAATAAAATTCCATAATTCCATCCATTTCTCACTACTTACCTACTTGATGTCTGAAACTGATCCGGTCACCTTACACTTTCGACCGCACCTCGTGCGGTCTACCCCATCTCTCTAGTTTATAAATGTGTGGGGGGTTTTTGATTAAATTTTTAGGTATTTAATGAAGGGTATAAATGTCCACATAGTTCTTTTTTGTGCTGATGTCATAGGTGTCAATCTTTCCGACGCCTGAGGACATATTTGATAGTTGACTCGTCGGTCAAAGTATGTGTTTGATATTTTTTCAAACAGTAATGGTGTTTTAGGTAATCGATCAAACTTTGGGGGCGTTTTTGATATTAACCCCTTAGTAAAAAGTACTAGTATATTGTATTTAACTATATACTAAGGGCGGATCCACCGGTTGTGGCCTCCATTTTTTCTGGGTGAGACGGTCACGATTTTGCCGGTCTCTTTGCCCCCAGTTAACCGGCAATAAATGCTTCCCGGTTATTACTGCCGATTACACTTTAATTTACCGGTCTTATTTCTCTCCCAACAATCATACCCTCCAGTCACCGGTCGCTCCTTCTTTCTCTTTGATCCCTTCACATAACGCGACTTGTACGGTTGTACCTTCACCTTCCGGTCTCTGGCTGTACACCAGTTTACATTTATTTTTGAAACATTTTCTACCGAGAGGGCGTTCTAATTGTCTCATGAAGATGCAGGAGGAAAATTGGTGGATTCGAAACCAGCGATAAAATTAATCCCAATCAATTGCAGCTATTATCACCAAACGAGGCACAAACGAAATTATTTGAGTGGCTCAGTTCTTGCCAAACTAGGGTGTTGGATCGGGTATCACATGGCAGCGACGCCCCGCTCCTATAAGCCCCATAGATGGCTTGATTCTATATTAATTTAGTTTGTGGTTGGGAAGTCTGTTTTTTTTTTTTTTTTTGGCAGGGTGGAAAGCATTGGAAAGCTTAAGGTGTTGTTCATAAAGATGGTAATTATTTTTGCATATGAAGTGTTTGTTTATTTGCCCAAGAGAATTCATGGAGAGTGAATTTATGGCCTCGACTAAGGTTGTATTTGCCTCAATTTACCTTAGCACTAAGGTTTTTTGCATTCGCATTGTGATTTGTGAAGACCTTTGCTTTTTTATTTTCTTGAAGCTAAAAAGCATTTGGGATTTTTATGGTAATAATGCCCAGAAGCGTTTAGTGTGATAGTGGTTAACTAGAGAAGCAATATAGGACTCAAGGTGTCCTGTAGTTTGCTTTCAACCTTTGGCATGTTTGTTGCTTATGGTGATGAATCGAAAGAATTGTGTTCTGCCCTCAGGCATTGGAATGGATTCTTTACTTTGGATACTTTGCTAATGTTATTAGTTGAAGGACTGTTTTTTGTTTTTCTAAGTGGCAGTAAGTTTCTTGTTCGGATTAATATTAGTGCAAATTTCAAACTGTATATCTGGAGAATCATGTTTATATCCCAGTATTATCAACTTGCATGAAATTAATTTTAAACTGCTCAAAACCATCATTTTTCCTGGTCTTAGGTTTTGGTTTGGAGCCTAAATTTGGCCCAATAATAGTCGACTACATCTCCATTTATTCAAACAATATCATGATAGTTTTATTCTTAATGAAATTTAATTACTTAGCACTCCTCAGATTCCTCGGGTCGACCTTGTGCGGTCCCAACGCCAACGCCTAGTATACTACTATGATTCTATTCTATTACTAGTTTAAAATAATTGAATTCCCCGGGTCGACCGCACCTTGTGCGGTCCCATTACATTACTAAAAGGAGTAATACATTACTAACTACCGTAATTTTTGTTTTCAAGGCAAATAGTTTCTCATTTCCAAGAATTGAGAAAATTTTGGGACAATTCTTATCAAGCTTTTTTTCTGCAGATGTTCGGACAAATTATCCAAAATCTGGGAAAATCTTGCACGGGGTAATTAATAAAGTAATCATCGCTCTAACATGGCAAAAAAACGGGTTTCTGCTGCCTTTCAAGACTTACAAAGAACTGAACACTGATCACCAATATTCATAGTCACAGACTCACAGGATAGTTACGAAACATCAAACCCCCATAAGTTACATTTTAAAAGTTGCAGAATGCAGATAAAATAATCAAAATGTATAACCCCGACCAACACTAATGATTTTACTCATTCAGTTGAAGATATCCGATTAGGGGAAATCCAATTTTCCAGTTGGAAAAAAAAGAAACCCCAACTCCATGTCCTATCAACATTCGCAGCCTGTAGATCTTTGTTGCTGTCCGCCAGAGACATCAATGGTATCCGGAAGGTATCTGCAGTATTCAAAAGATGCAATCAGAATGTAAATAAGTGCATTCTCTTACAGCAAATTGCAAACAGCAGTTTTCTAGAGAATCCAGATACAGCCTAACTTCGTCAATGAAATTGAAATATTATGCCATCTCATCTCAATAGGCAATGATGAAGTTGTGAAGATTGTATACTTGCCAATAAACACTAAGACAACATGAAGAGAAGTTAATCTTCTCCTTTCACATTTATGCCAACACACAAGTGGTGTTATGTATTTGTATTAGTGATTACATCCATCAGTGACAACACTTGTCACATTGACTATAGCAACCTAGTTGAGAAGTCAGAAGTCCGATGACAGAAGAAAAACACTAATCCTGAAGAACTCATAAGATTCATGAATTACAGGAGAAGTTGAGAAATAAAAGGGAAAGCCAAAAGTAGAATTACAAGAGTGAAGTTTAGATTCAGTGAAGTGGACTCACAATTCTTCTTCAGGTTCATTTTTGAGAGCGTTTCGGGCAATACACTGGAAAGCAGCTTCCACATTGAATCCTTCTTTTGCTGATGTCTCAAAGTAAGGTATATTTCCCTTGGAGGCACACCATGCCTTAGCTTTCTTCTCAGAAATCTGCCGAGTGGAAGGATTTAAATATTTCATAACTGGAGCAAAGAAAATGGAGGAGAACAAAACAAGAACAGTATTGCAGTGAGAAAGTAGAAATACTCTAGGAGAAACATGCGTACCACTCGACTATTGCCACCATCAATGTCCACTTTGTTTCCCAAAACAATAAATGGAAAATTTTCAGGGTCAGAGGGGCTAGCCTGAGAACAACATCCAAATCGTCAGCAATAACGACTTTCACAAATAACTTGAAGAAACATGCTATCAAAGATTAATCTTTCATAAGCTGCTACAGTGTTTGAAGACTGGAAGGGACCTGTAGCAAAAATTCCTCACGCCAGTTGTTAAGATTTTCGAACGATTTCATGACATTAACATCGTAAACAAGAACACAACAGTCTGCTCCACGGTAAAATGCCACCCCAAGACTTTGAAACCTCTCCTGACCAGCTGTATCCCATATCTACAAAAAGAGCTATCAGTCAGCTTCATATGGTTATTTCATCTTAAACAGTTGCGTGGGAATTAAAAATCCGCCAATCAAATCTACCAAATTCCATTAACAACATTTCAGTCACACGGTGCAGCATGACAAGATAGACCTCGTACGCAATATTAGTTCCCGACTTAATTAATACAACTTAAGCCGGGCAATTTTTATTTTACGAAATTTGGGCAAATATAGCTTGACTTTTGCATATGACATAGGGCCGGAAATTCAAATAATGGAAACCGGCTCGCGATGATCTACGGCTGAGGATGTCATGCCCTAATGGCCTACCCCTTCCCAGACCTGCGCGTGAGGCAAGCTTCCATGCATTGATCTGCCCTTTTATTTTGCATAGTCATATTTCCTTAAAACTAAAAGACAGGGTGACTGCCCAGACATTGACAGACTTATCACTAGAAGGTTAATTTGTGATGTATGTGGTACTAGAACTAGTTTATGCAAGCGTGGCATCATAGCCAAATAAGAGAAAGAAAAAAACTTTGTAGAAATTAATCACCAGAGATAACTGCAGCACCAAAAACAGGTTCCGACCCAAATTTAACTAATTCTAGAGAAGACAACAGCACGCACTATTACACAAACAAACATGATGAGCACCGGGACCAACCCACATTCAGTTCTCAAAATGAAGTCCACTGGTTGATGAGATTACGAAATAAAAAATAAGCAGCACAGTAAACTAGATAAAACTAGATACAGAGCTATGGACTTGACCTGCAACGTGTACAATCTATCTTCAAACTGAACTTCTTTGGTCAAGAAATCAGCTCCAATGGTAGCTTTGTATTGGTTGCTAAACTTGCGATTCACATACCTGACAAAAACAAAAGAAGAAATCTCAAAATAAAATGTTGGGGGTGGGGGGAGAATAATCTGTATAAGAAATTGGACAAGAGATTTAGGCGAGAAGGTACTGGTTCATGAGCGACGTCTTGCCAACCCTTCAAAGATAAGAAAATAAAATCAATGTCAGTAACCCAACCATATGCTGCAAGAGATGCTAATAAATTGTATAATCACACCCAAAAATAAATAAATAAATAAATAAATAAAAATACAGCCAAGCTCCCCGAGGGAGGCTACCGGATAAAAATTTACACAATCATTGCCGAAAATTCAACCTTTGAATCGTGACTGGCCCCAAATTTCAACAACAAAAAAGAAGAGTGTCTATGTACGATATCATGAATGCAAAAGGTTTACTGATTCATCTCACTCTTTAAACCATATAAGAACACACATACGAACATCCGGGTTTTTGGATTAGATGCAGAAACATGAGTGAAAAAATCGAGCTGGGATAAAATCCAAAACAACAACAAAACTATATAATTCAGCAGTTCAGCTAATTGATACCCAATAATGCAAGAGAATCTTACCTTTAAAAAAAATCAAAAAAAAAAAAAAACAATAGAGTTTGATATCACGTACCCGCTGTCGCCGAGGATGATGACCTTGAGAAGCATACGCCTTCTGGAGGCCATTCTAAAACACCCAAATTGAAACTAAACCCAAATATAAAATTTTGGGATGGGACCGGATCGGAGAATACGATTCCGGGAATCTGCGGTCGGATGAATTGTACCGCCGGGGGACAGAGATTGAATGACGGAAATTCTGCGATCGATAAGGGAGGAACCAAAGCTAATGACAAAAAAATTACTGAAAATTTGAGTAGTTAGCTTACGCTTAAAGGTGGTACCCCACACGAGTTGGATCTGATTAAAATATAGGAATATTTTGAGTTAAACTTTAATCCTAATAACTTATTGATTAGTTTGATTGCAATTTTATATATTTTATTTAGGAAATTAAAATCACAGAGCGAATTGATGACAGCCAAGTAATCACAGCTTTCTCTTTTTGGACAATTGTACAGCGAAGATATGATTCTCCAAGATTCCTCTCCGTATATGCGAACGTTTATTCTAGTAGAATTTTTGGGACACTTCTATTTTTCTTGGTCCCGGATATTAGGGGTCTAAAAATTTTGACACTTTATTATCCAAATTTTCTACTTTAATTCAATGGTTTTGATCTCTATATATACTTACGGCATGTTTTGTTTTGTTTTTTTAGTGTGTTTTTAGGTGTTTTTCATATTGAGAATGTAAAAAAGTATGTTAAAAATGTAAAATAAACTGAAAAAAAAATCATAAAAAATCAAATAAACAGAGCCTTAGTGATTTGTGATAATTTGGAGGAGTAATTAATTTGAGAAAAAGAAATTGTCATCAGTAGGAGTATAATAGTGTCCTGTCCGACAAGCTTAGTAAAACGATGGATTACATATTTCGGATGATGCAAAAAGATGTCTTACAAGCTTAGCAAAACGTGCAAAGTTAACAGGAAATTCATTCCTTTCCCAATATGGCAACTTCAAACAACATTTGATCCAACTATATATGTAACTATTTTTAACACACAATAAAAACTGTAGTTAGTATATTTGATTAGGAGCAGCCAAGATGGCTAAATCAACAAATCTGCCTGCAGATCACGTTTTTCTTTTCATTGGATTGCGTCTCTTGACTAAGTTTGTAAACCTTCACTGCTGGAGGCAGAAGGTTGAACACCTGAGTTGTTGTTGGTTACCCTGCTGCTGTTAAGCAGGCCGGAGTTGTTGGATTCTAATGCCATCTCCCTGAATTTCTGCAAGTCCTCTTTGTATTTGGCAGTTTCATATTCAGAGCTTGCAACAGAATCATATCTTGAACTGTGTCCAGGTCTCATCCCATCATTTAACTCCTCCAGAGATATCTTCCCTTCTAAAGCTCGAACTATCTGCAATGAGAGAAGTTGTATCATAAGCTTTCTTTTTCATGATAAAAGAAACAGAAATGGAGCAAGTTTATTTACAAAGAAAGGGAGAAGCTTCAAGGCTAAAGTGGTTTCCAGAAACCATCAACAACTTATGGCCGATTCGATGAACCCAAGCTCACTCCTTGCACATAAGATTCACCTCAAGGATCCAGTTTGTGCATTATACCATAGCTTAGATCAAAATGTAATGTAACTCATGCACATCTTTAGAACATTTTTAGGAGCATGAATGGTAATGCAACATGTGCGCATTATTCGATAGACTGCAATGCTAAGAGTATGAGCAAGTTTACCTGACTCATTCGTGGCCTTCGACGAGCCAAGTGACGCACACAAACAGCTGCACAGACAACCATCCGACCCATCTCTATATAATCATAATCCTTTTGTAGCCTAGGATCAATTAATGGTTCAAAGTTGCCATCCTCCAATGCTTGTGTGAGCAATGGCCTTGCCTGATTTCATTGGAAAGTAAATGACTTCAAACCATTTACTCTAGAAACAAATATGCATTATACCAGAAACCAGCTTTAGTGGCTGCCTGAAAATTGTCTAAAATAAATGTTTAAATTCTCACAACAAGAAACACGTAAATAAAGTCTCCATCTTCGTATTAAAGTTGCCAAGGGAGTATCTTCTGTTTACCTCAAGGTCCTAAATGATACCACTAAACTGAACATTTAAAGTTCATTCTTCATTAACAAGAGAGTTTCACACGAAATACACTTTCAAAGCAACAAGAATATAACCAAATAAAACTTCTAACATGACATGCTCAAAAGTTTCCACCACGATAAAGAAATTCCTCACTCAAAACAGATGGGTGTAAAATTCAATGCCAAGTCTCACCCAATCAACGATATTATCGTCGAGGTAGTGTTGAGATCTATCGATGGGACGACGTCCAGTAATCAGCTCTAGAAGCATAACCCCAAAAGAGAACACATCAGATTTTGAAGTCAATTTTCCAGTGAGGGCATACTCTGGGGCCAAGTAACTGCAAGTGGGCATACACATGTAAGCACGAATAAGAAGTAATTCATGTCAAGTATAATTAGCAAAGCAAGGGGTCACTGAATGTATGCCAGCAACTCTTCCTGAGACAAACAAAACCTACCCAAAAGTTCCCATTACATGCGTGGACACATGAGTATCAGTATCGGGATAAAATCTTGCAAGCCCAAAATCTGCAACCTGGAAGTAGCTTTGAGATTAACAGTAATGTTTATTAGAGCAGAAGAATGAACCAATATAGTTCTGAAAAATAGCAGAAAAGAAGATTTGATCAAACAATAACGGCTGTTAGTGGAGGAAAAGTGGATCACAAATGAGCACTGAGAATGTAGCTTTGGAGGAGATGATGGGTGAAAGTTATGAAACAAAACATAAAAAGATATATGATATATCTTCATCAGGCTCTCTCCTGAATCCAAATGAGATGAATTAGCAACTTCATAGCAATGCAATTGGGGCACAAAACTGAAAAAGGAGTGAAACCAGTTCCTGTTGAAGCTTGGAAAATAAACAACTGAATTGCATGTCAGGCTTTCATATACAAACACCAAATAAGATATCAAATGAACTCAGTAAGACATGCAAAGGACAGGCCTGTACTGTACAAGCCTCAGAGAAAGAAAATGCACAAAGTGAAAATTTCTATGGGAACAGATGATTTCAACAATGATATGTGCAAGAATTATTCTGAACATGCCGGATCAACATCAATCACAATAACGGCGATAAGAACAAAAATATAGTAACCAACAATATACTAAGTTACTAGAGCTCTAATTCATTTCTCAATGAAACACTTATTGTTATCCAACAATATACTAAGAAGCGGGAAAAAAAAAATCCCATAATAGTTTTATTAATAAGACCAAATGAAATTGTGAAATTCAACCTTCGCCTCAAAGTCGTTATCAATCAGAATATTGGAAGCCTTGATATCTCGATGAATGATTTTGGGGTGACCTGCAAGTTACATAAATCCTAAGTGAGCATCTGTCCTAAGGTACACAATTGTTGGGAAAGGACTGATGTAATAGAGAAGAGGTTGAATGGAGAAACTGACATTCCTCGTGCAGAAATGCCAATCCTTTTGCAGATCCCAATGCTATTTTAACCCGACATGCCCAGTTTATGGGAGAACAGTCCACTCCTGAATAATAAATTTCTCAAATAGAAAAAGAGTGCACAAACGAAACAGACACCAGTAAAAAACCTTACTATGGAAAAATTATTCCTCTTCAAATTAGAAGTAACAACATATCTGATACATCACAATGAATAGGTTTTCCATGAAAGTCATTCACCCTTGAACAGAAGCTGAGTTCGGCAAAAATGATTTGAGTAAAATGCAGAGGATAACATCACAAATTATTAATTTCATTTTGAATTCTGAATGAATTGTAGTGATTCACTTCATTCTTGCAGTTTCCCTCTTAAGCATTAGCAACATGACTATAAAAATCCAATTAACAAGATTAAAAGACACTACTTTAAGACTCACCATGTAAATGGTATTCCAAGGTTTTGTTTGGAACAAACTCATATACCAACAATCTCTGCTCCCCGGATGTGCAGTACCCAACCAGTGAAACAAGATGTTTGTGATGTGCATGACTAATAGTCTCAACTTCAGCCTGAAATTCACGCTCTCCTTGTCCACTTCCAATCTTTAGTTGCTTGATTGCAACCTCTTTTCCATCAGGCATGAAACCCTTGAACACATATCCAAAACCACCTTGACCAAGAAGGTTGTCGCTGGTGAAACTATCAGTGGCAAGTGCTAAGTCAACATAGCTAAATGTCCTTGCCGTGACTTCAGAAGATGACTGTTGCAATGGCCTCTCGGATGACAAGCTGCTGCATGAAGAAGGTGGAGGTGGCGTCGCTGAACCATCAGAGAACTGTCGCGAGTTATGACTCACAAGTCGGGGACCATGATTATTGAGCTGTCCACCCACATTACCTCCTGGCAGAGGAGTATTCTGCTTCCATTGATTTTCTGGATCAAAATGATCACCTGAAGAAAAAAATAATAAGCAACTAATTACATTGCATAGAGCCCTTTTTAATCCCCCATCTAACAAACCAATAGAAAAGGCCCAAATCATATAGTTCCATGAAATTCGATGCCAATAAGCATCCTTAGAAACAATCAACGGAGGAATAACTTGATGCCAATCGAATACATATAGCATTATAACTAGTAATTGCACAAGAAAACTACCGAATACTAGTGATAAGTTTATACAAATTCTCTACTCTTTTTTTTTCCAAAACACACACACACACACACACACACACACATACTGACATATAGATAATAGATATAATAACCATCAGCATATCAGCCAAAAAGCTTGATTATGAAATTCAAAGCCCAATTAAACATTACAAAACTATTTAGTCCCTTGATCAGTCAATATAATCATTTATGATGTAGGAATGAACCCAAAAAAAACAGGTTTAGGAACAAGAATTGGAAGTCAAACAGTCGAAAACCTCTCTTTCTTCCCTTGCGCAACACCACGTAAGCGCATACGATTACAAGCACAACTGCTGCTCCGATCCCAATTCCCACTCCCAACGCCACCAGAGTCGTTGACTTAAGAGGACTCGAGTCAACGGCATGAGGACCCGATGATTCCGGCGCTGGAATCTCTTCCGCCGGCGGTGACGACATTAACACTGATTCAGAAAATAAATTACTAACAATTATTTTGAATAATTCAGAGGAACCCTAACGCGGCGGAGAATGTGACGAACGGGAAAGACCGAAAGAACAAACATTACGACATCGTCTATAAGGGAATTAATTGCAAAGACGGCAGTGAGAGCAATTTTTGGTACACTGAATTTGGGTTTCGCGCTCTGTTATGGAAAGAAACGTTGGTTACCATTTTCGGGCGGAAATTTTTTTGAAAATAAACCGTTTGTAATTGCACTTGCGGCCCCTATTTTGTGATAATTGTATTTTCTCTCCTCCTTTTCTTCCTCCATGCAAATTGCAAATAACACTTGAAGGTAATGTGTTAACTCTATCGTTTTTATTTTATTTTTTTATAAATCCCTTACCACGTTACATAAAACCCATACCAACTTTAACTTAAAAATGATAAGGTCAATCTTATTTACATTCTACTATTACACCTTCACCTTTTAAAAGATAATAAATAGTAATTTCTCAATTATTTCTAACATGATCTGATACTCATTATTAAAAACAAAAGAAACGGTTTACTTCAAGGAAGAGTACTTCTCCTCATCACATTCTACTATATCAAAATAATACCTCTGTCCTAAAATTATTGTCCAGTTTAAGATTTCACTTTTAGTATAATTTGAACTAAATGAAAACCTAAATTAGATAATAATTATGAGATGGAGGGAATACATAAGAGTAGTAGTATATTTGTAACTATTTGTAACTATTTCTTTGGTAACCTATTCTCATGAATTTTTTTTTTTTTGAAAAGGATTCTCATGAAAGTAGTGGAAATGCAATGTTACTTTTGTAGCATAAATAAAAAAATTAAAAAACCAGCGATTGGATCATAGATTTATTTGTCTTTGTTTATATATATATATATATATATTTTACATACAGGAGAAGCTTTTAAGCTTTGATTACAAAAGGCCTCCTGGGTTAGGAGTGTCAAAAGTTAGTTCTGCTATTACTTTGGAAGGGAATGTTGCCAAAATATGAACCCTTTCCGGTGTTGTATGGCCTATTTTAGCTAAGCTATCTGCTACTTTGTTTCCTCGGCGATCAATGTGCAGTATATCAACTGACCATGGACGGTCCATCATTTTGAAGAGCCTTGGAAGTACGTTGCTTGCTTGGGCCGGGCTAGTTTCATTGTCTTTGAGTGTTGTAAACGCTGCAAGCTATCTAGTTGCAATTGGACTTTTCTGAAGCCCAGTTGCCAAGCTATGTTTAGTCCATGGAGAGCTCCCCAGAGTTCTGCTTCTAGAGTTGAACAATCGCCGATGTTAGTCGTGAAACCCATTAACCAGTCGCCGTCGTGATTCCTGAAGACTCCTCCGACTGCCGATTTAGGGGGCGACGGTATTCTTGATCCATCTGTGTTGAGGCGGATCCATTGGTAGGGCGGCAGTTTTCAGAGGTGTTCCATTTCCGTCAGGGACGCCGGTGAAAATGACGGTTTGGGCTTCAGGAGATTTTTTTTCATATATTTGAGTGGTGTCTACCATCAACTGAGTGTGTGACCAAAAATTTTTTTGGGTTCTTGGCTAGATGAATTCTCTCCTAGCCCATTAGAAAAAGTTTTGTTCTTAATTCTCAATGAAACAAACATTTTTATAATGGGTTACCAAGGAAGCCGTACCTCTCATTAGAACTAGAAATGCCTCATCTGAATTTTCCAGGCTCATTTTACAAATTTTTAGTCTGGATAGGCCCAAGTCGTTGGTGGCCATACTTCCTTTTGGATCCTTTATGGAATGGCAAATTTCCCTTTTTCTCATTAATACTCGAGGACCCTATGATAACAGCTAATGAAAAAATTTGCTCAAAAATTCATTTCACAATTCTCAAGTATTTGTGTGGTGATTGGTGAATTGTAGATCATGTATGAAATCTAGTCCTTTATTTCATTTAACTCACACAGTCTATATCGTTTTAAATGTTTATGTACTTACATATAAATTGTTTCACGCGCACATCATTATTTCAAAAAAAAAAAAATGTCTTTCCACGTCATTATTTTTAAAAAAATTAATAAAAAATGCACTTTTGACTTTAAGTTTAAAGCATCAAAAATTAGTCAAGGAAATTTCAACATTAAGGAGGGGAAAAAAAGAACAGAGAGATATATTTGTAAGAAATACAATAATTGTATCGATATACCGGGTAAGAAATACGAATATTATAAATTTGATTTAAATACCAAAATACGATGACCATTGTATACGTATTACACATGTTATAAATTTAATATAATAGTTTTTCAACACAATAAATTAAGTATGTTGGCGAACAAAGCATACGTATATAGACGTATAAGACAATTACTTATCTTTTGTAATTTTCACGTTAGATTCAAAATTTAACAGACATTGAATATACCGTGCGATCCACGCAATCTCTTAACAATACATTAATACATTATATGCATAAAATAAAATATAATTTCCACATCATGAAACCTAAATCGGATAATGTACATGTTACATCTACTACAAACTTTGACAAAAGATAGTCGACATGTGAAAACCAAAAAAAAAAAAACGTCTTTTACTACATTCTACACAAGCTCTAAGCAAGGTGATAAACCTTAACATTGGATACGCCTTAATATTTGATTCGGTGTTAGAACTCAAAATATGTCAAGAGATAATAACATATCTTATTAATTATTATCAGTCTTAGGTACTAAGTGAAAAAAAAAAAGGAAAATTAAATTAAGACACGTTCGTTATTTAATTAAAAGGAAAAAAAAAAAAGGAAAAGAGAGAGAGAGAGAGAGAGAATGGACAAACAGGTGTGTCCTTTCTGGTTGAGCAAACCTTCTAAATTCTTATTAAGGGAAAGTACAGAATTTGGAGCGCCAAACAAAAATTCATTTTTATTTTTTACCAAAAACGACGAACAAATTTGACAGCCGTTTCACAATGACTCGTCAGCATAACGAATCCAACAATTAATTTTCAGCACTCAGACTCTCTCAGGGCAGCGTTGATATACCTACCAGTAAATCTTCCCTCACTTCCCCCCAGCAAAAATCAGCATCTCTTAATCAGCACACACACTCACACACTAGGAGGGAAAAGAAGAAAAACCTAACGGTCTTAAGTCGTTGGGAAATCAGAATTCGAATTCGCAGCTTTGTGCAATTGTTCTGGGGGATAAGCATTCCAGTGATCGCCAGGATTTTTTGGCAGAATGTCTGTAGCTTCCGAGACTTGATTGACTTAGAATGGATGAGAATTGGTTGGGGGTTTTTTCTTTAACGATTGTTTGTCTCTGAAGGTAGTGGAGGAGGAGGATTGTCTTGAAATGAGCAGCGGAGATAGGCCGCCGGTGCCGGCGGGTGTTACGGTTAAGGACCTGGTGGAGGAAGGGAAGAAGCGGATTGTGTTTTTGATCGTGTGCTTGTTTGGACTGTCTTATCTGATGTCATGTGAGTGTTTTTCCATAATCAGAATTCGGTTTCTAACTTTCTTGCTCTTTGTTGTTGTTGTTGTGTTCGTTTGTACTGTTATTGAATTCCAGTTGTATTGTTATTGATTAAATAGTTGATATACGAGGAAACTTGAAATGCTGCATTAGTCCAGCTTGGGCTTAAGGTTTGAATTGATTAGAACACACCAAAAGTCGATTTCGTTCTGCATTTGGCTTATGCTAATTTGTTGACAATTTAAGTTGGTTACCCTAAAGAATGTCCCAGCTTATATGAAGATTTTATAGTGCTGTTTCACTTTAGGTTATTTATTAATCAGAGATTATGTTCTGTATTCAAGGAAATGATGTTTTGTTAACGTAAATGTTCGCTGAGTCACAAGTAGGGCTAGGTCATTTCATTGGTCTTAACCTAACTACGGGATAAAGTATTCTTTACACGGCACGATACTATCGCGGAAATAAGGTAAGTCATATATCATTTTTAGAAGGAGAAACTACCATAAAGGAATAGAAGGTAAAAGGAATTAGTTTCCGAACTTTCCATGCTTTTGTAAAAGACTCGCTCACAATTTGATGAGGATGATATCTATAATTTTGTGTGAAATGCATCTGAATTATTAGATGTCATTTATATGGTTAACTCTTCTCATGGTTTTACTGACGTCTGACGTTGTGTCTTCTTCTTTGTTTCTTTGTCCCCATGTTGATTATCTGTCAATGCCTGCAGTGACCAGCTCGTCAGTTTTAGTAAATGTACCTGCGGCTGCAGTCATGATAATCGTCTTTAGGTATTTGTCTCTGGATTTGGACATGCGGAGGAAAGCTGCCACCTATAAAAGCGCACCGTCCCCAGTTACCACACAGTTGCAGAAAAAGCCTTCTGAAAGTTCTGCAGTTGTTATTGAGAAGTCAGATTGGAGGCGAAAAGTGAATTCCCCTTTAGTTGAGGAAGCAATAGATAATTTCTCGAGACATATGGTTTCTGAATGGGTTACTGATCTGTGGTATGGTCGCATAACTACTGATAAGCAAGGCCCACAAGAGCTTGTCCAGATCATGAATGGTGTAATGGGGGAAATTTCAAGTCGCTTGAGAAATGTCAACCTTATAGATCTTTTGACAAGGTTACAAAAGACAATTCTGACCAATTCTCTTAACTTTTGAAATTTGACGCAATTGATGCAGATTATTTGGTGTGACATTGCAGGGATATGATCAATATCTTATGCTCTCATTTGGAGCTGTTCCGTACTACTAAGGCAAAGATAAAGACACAACACGCCGGACTTTTAACCATAGATGAAATGGACAAGGAACTCAAATATGTGCTATATACGGAGAATAAGTTGCATCCATCTTTATTTTCTGCCGAAGCTGAGCACAAGGTTGCTTGTACTTCCTTTCTGGAACTTCATCCTTCTAATACTGCATTTATGAAAATAAAATATTTAAACTGCACAAAAAACTTCTGGTTTTTATGTTTGTCTTGGCTCCTTTGCAGGTTCTCCAGCGTCTTATGGATGGTCTCATGTCTCTCACATTCAGGCCCAAAGATTTGCAGTGCTCTTTGTTTTTTTATGTAGTTAGGGAGCTTCTTGCTTGTGTAGTAATGAGACCAGTGTTAAATTTAGCTACACCCAGGTTTTCATTGCTTTCATTTTTTATTTTATTATTTTGGTTTATTTATTTATTTTTTCCCCATTCTGCTCTTTAGATTTTCTACAAATCCTATTTTGTTTACTTTTCATAGAACATTTTGACAGGTTTATTAATGAGAGGATTGAATCACTGGTCATTTCCTTAAGCAAGACCGAGAAAGGAACTGCTGCAGCTGAATCAAGTTCCCATCCTAAACAAAATGGATCCACGAAGACATCACCTGATCACATTTCTCATTTTCTTGACCCTTCTTCCAAGGGAGTTGAACTTGTGCAGTTGAAGAAAGATCAAGTTACAGAAAGTGACCAGAAGCGTGGCACAGAGAATATGAATGGTAGCATAGCCGCAAAAGATCCACTGCTTTCCATGGATGCACGATCTACTCGTTCTTGGAGTGCTTTACCGTCTGATAGTCAGACTGGTGAGGGAAAGGGCATCCAACGTCATCGATCTGGTGGGGAATGGGGTGAAATGTTAGATGCGTTTTCCCGAAGAAAAACTGAAGCCCTAGCTCCGGAACATTTTGAGAACATGTGGACGAAAGGAAGAAACTACAAAAGAAAGGATGATACTAATCCTTCAAGTGATCAAGCACGAGATCAGTCGAAGAAATCTCTGAAACAGAAAGAAGATGTAGAACACAAGGTTTCTGGGGTCAATAAGGGAATTGTGGCGAATATATCTTCTTCTCAGAGTGAAAGCCATCATTCCCGAAGAGAGGAATATGATAATTATCTGATGGACTCAGATGAGGTGGAATCAGTGAGCAGTAGTTCTTATACTACTGATGATGAAGAAAATAATGCTGTTACAGGTCTTGATTCTCCTGGGGTCAGAGTTTGGGATGCTAAGAGTAGAAGAAATGTCGCGAAATTTCATCACCCACTTGAGACAAGAAAGGTACGCAAGAAGAACCGCCATTCTCAAAAGTTAACTAAAACCCTGTCAGGGAGAAAAAGGTCTGGATCAGTCAATGAGAATGCTCATGTCTGGCAAGAGGTTCAAAGGACAAGCTTTTTACTGGGAGATGGTCAGGACATATTGAATTCTTCTGTTGGTGATCGCAAACATGATGACTTAAGTGATGACTCCGGGGGAGACAAGTTTGCTAGAATTTCTAGCGGATCAAATGCTTCATCATTTATGTCCTCAACATCTTTACCGGAAAGTTATATGTCAGCCATCCCCACCAAAACTTCCATAATAGCAGAGGCGTTTTTGACGCTGAGATGCGAGGTAATTAATGACTTACCTTCTCATATATGGTCCACTTTTAGTTTCAATCTCACACTAAGATTCTGGTATCAGGTATCAGGTGCCAATATTGTGAAGAGTGGCTCAAAAAATTTTGCTGTGTACTCCATATCAGTTACAGATGTGAATAACCATAGTTGGTCCATCAAAAGAAGGTATGGGTAATTATAACCAGATAAAATTTATCTATTCTTTCCGTTTTTACTATTACCATGCCTCTAGTATGTACTGCAGAAAGACTTTGGTATTGTAATGCTTGTCAGCGCCTTGGGCTATTTGTCGTAATTAGGTTTCCTGGCTCATGCAATTAAAGTCTTCTTTCGCTTACAGGTTTAGACACTTTGAGGAGCTTCATCGGCATCTTAAGGAGTTTCCTGAATATAATCTTCATTTGCCTCCCAAGCATTTTTTGTCTACTGGTCTTGATATTACAGTAATTCGAGAACGCTGCAAATTGCTTGATACATACCTGAAGGTCATATTTACATTAATACTAGAGAATGTTAAGTTTTGTTGAAACGTTCTATTCCTGTGTCATTTTCTCTTCTGGAGTTTAAAGTATAGAAACTTATAAGGCCGTATTTCATATCTGTTCTTTCATTCTTTGATTTGTTTGGAATGTTACACTGGTTTTATTGTTCTTTACAGATTATGTATGACTGACTCCTTATTTTCTGCTTCTCAGAAACTCATGCAGCTTCCTTCTGTTTCCAGCTCCATAGAAGTCTGGGACTTCCTTAGTGTTGATTCTCAGGTATGGCACCCTGTGTTTTCAATTCACTAAGAGTTTCTTTGTATCTTTTTCTTTTTCTTTTAAATGTTGGATGCTACATTTGGGTTTTACCTATTGCAGACTTACATTTTCTCAAATCCTCTGTCAATCATTGAGACAATATCTGGTAAATCATGCTCCTCATCAACAATCTTTAGTTGTTCTTGATTTGGTACTCATGTATTGGTCTTTGATTTCAGTTAATTCAGATGATACAAAGCATGAAACAAATAAAGAGTACCGGACGAATGTTGGGTCGGCCAAATATCCTGTATATTCTGGAAAGGCAAATCCAAATGTTGAATTTAAGGAACCGGCATTGCAGAAGAAACATAATTCCGTGCTGGAAGGATCAAAGATTTCAAGGAATGCAGCAGTCTCTGCTCAAAACAAACCTGTTGAAGTGGGTAGAAAACCATTGGAGGATTCAAGTAGTGACTCTGATGGTGCAATGCAAAAGATTTTAACATCAACCAAGAACTTAGGCAAGACTTCAGACATGCGTGAAGCTGGTTCGCACTCTTCACTGCCAACTGATGCTGCTAGTGATCCAACTCTCCCAAGCGAGGTAGTTGCCAAGTTTCAGCGGCCCTTGATTTGAACGAGACAATTTGTCATTTTGTAAATAATGGTTATCATTTTTTACTTTTTTTTTTTTGGTTAAATGTCTTTATGGAGTATCTGATACCCAAAATGGTTTGAACCTGTTTCTTTGCCAACACAGTGGGTACCACCAAATTTGAGCTTGCCAATATTCAATTTGGTTGATGTCGTTTTTCAGCTACAAGATGGTGGATGGATAAGGTACCCTGAATGATGATTGTGAGAATATTTATAGTATATTACATCCGATTCATTATTTGGTTTATGCTTGTTTTGCTCCAATCTAGCTCTCTATCTGTAATATTTTTTTAATTGTTATGACTTTCAAATGGATAACAGGAGCAAGGCTTTTTGGGTAGCCAAACAGGTATTGCATTTGGGGATGGGGGATGCTTTTGATGATTGGCTTATAGAAAAAATCCAACTTCTGAGGAGGGGTTCAGTGGTAGCAGCAGGCATTAGACGACTTGAGCAGGTTGACTCCTTAATATTTCTGGGCCAATTTAAATTACATTTAGATCTATGCTTGTGTGCTTTGTTTGTGGAATTAAGCAACTTCTATCTGACCAGTGTATAAATCTCTCTAGGATTTGTGGCTTTCTCATTCCCACAAGACAATCTCTTATTCTAACTTGAATAGTTGAATACTTTATTTTACATTTCCAATGTATATCAGTTGAGATCTCTGTTTTTTCTGAAACATTAGATGTGGTTGAGAGTATATTTGTCTATCACTCGTCCTTTTTTTTTTCTTTTCCCTGGTCTTACCCTTAAAATTGTAAGGATGTTGGACATTAAAAGGGATTTTATAATGCTGTAAGTCTGTCGTTTTAGATCTAAATGTGGCCTGTTACCTATCTGCAGATTCTTTGGCCTGATGGGATATTTATAACAAAGCATCCGAGGCGCCAAAAAGCTAACCTCTCTGTCAGCCCATCTCAGAACTCTTCTCATAGTCAAACACCAAGTCCTCTATCTTCACCTAAGATAGAGAATGTGCAGATGACAGATGATTCACAAGAAAGAGAAGCATTACGACGAGCTAAATTGGTTTATGATTTAATGATTGGTAATGCTATCCTGCTTGCAACTGTTGTATTCTCTCCAGGAATTTTTGTTGATAATTTGATGTATGCATCCTGAACAATAAAATGCAGATAAAGCGCCAGCTGCTATCGTAAGTCTTGTTGGTCGCAAGGAATATGAACACTGTGCAAGAGATCTCTATTTTTTCCTTCAGGTGATCACTTTGCATAAGAGGTTTAGTTATTTAAGCGGAGAACTTTGATGATCTTTCCATTTGAACCTTGAATACGTCCCCGATTATTGCACTATAACACCTTGTAGTTCGATTATGAATGATATGCAACCATGTTTGGTATTAGTTTCTTGATTAGGTGTAACAGTGTAACATTTTTGTTTTTTTGGTTACAATGTGTAACATATTTCAATTTGTTTGTCTTGCTGAACAGTCATCGGTTGTTATGAAGCAGCTAGCTTATGATATTCTTGAGCTGCTGCTCCTGTCAGCATTTCCAGAGCTGGATCACGCGTTCAGAGAATTGCATGAAGAGAAGGAAAAGTTTGGACAACTAAAATTAGATTAGATTATATAATCAGTAGATCCAGACAGCAACAGAGATTCCTTATCATCTTGGCATTTTCTGTTTTCTATTCTTCATTTCCAAACGTTGGGGAAATTTTTGTCCAGAGATACAATTGCAGCAATTCTGCTTCTGCAAACTTGGGTGGAGCAAATAGGTGGAAGGTGGATACAGATAGTAAATTGTAACTTTGGTTGGCTTTGGCCACATTGCGGTTGTGTGATGTAAATGTTGAGGTTCTTACTAGCTTTAGTGTTGTCAAATTATAAGGTGACTCTACCTGTAGGTGTAGAAGTGATCAGCCACCTCATCGTTGAAAACATGTAGTTTTTGTTTCCTGCACCATATGTGATATGAGTGACATTACTCAATTGATATTTCACCATAGGTGACAAACTGCAAGTTTTCTGTCTGTTGAAGAATTAGAGTTTTATCATTCGCCTCTTAGATTACTATATTTTAATCATCTCACAGATGGAGATTGATGAGGCGCTTTGCTTTTCTTCTAGATGGTGTGTGTCTGACTTTTGGAGTTCGTACGAACATTGAACTACTGATGTTCTTCCAAATTTACTGATTTTGGCTCTGTAAGTAGAGAAATGACGATTTCTTTTATGCAAGTACAAGTCAGTCGTCACTCAGTGCGGCGTGCAGTGGTTAAAGCATTACCCACGAAGAAGGAATCAAGCAGGGGATTCCTAAATCAGAAACCAGAACGGTAGGAGAATCTCTTCACTAGGTGTCCATCTTTGTACACCAACAAACTTCTGGAAGACGCGTATGGAATGGATTTGGAATCGAAAGAACAAATATGGATTGCTGGTTCATAACTGCATATCATGTGGCATATTTGGAAAGTGGAACGTCAGATGCACGTATCCACACATAAACTTATTCAGGAGGACAACAATCTGCAGTGACAACTTGTTGCCAAGCTCATTAAATGAAAAAGAAAGGACTAAGAGAAGACAAAAATGGAGGCAAAATTTACATCGGTTCCACTAGTAGCGCAGCCTGGGAAATCTTTTTCCCAAATATTACTGGAACAAAACTTACCCATTGCGTGTCTTGAGTTCGACGTTCTTGTAGTTTATTTTAAATTGTATATGCAAGTCTTGGATCTGTTTTCTAAATATACTGTCAAAAACCTCTGAGAATTTGATCAATATTACTGCTACTAAACTAACTCAAAAATTGATATCAAAAGCAGTCTACCAAAACTAACAGATTACTCTATTTGATATCGAAGGTCTAGCAGAATTTACGGATCACACCCCCTTTCCTATGCAAGCCCCTCTCCTATGCAAGACCGCACAAGACCACCACAATAGTCGCCAATCAACACCAAAGCACAGACTTTACAAGATAGGAAATTCCCAAATATCAATCTATCAAGGCGTTTGAGCAACTTTTCAAAGCGACAAATCACACAATCAGATCATAAAACGTTGCAACGAACTACACACCATTGTCAAAAATAACTTGTATGAATAAAACACCACTGCAACCAAATCTTGAGTAAAAATGATAAAAAATAACAAACGGCAAATGATTTTCAAAGCAACTAATTACACAATCACAACCCCAACAACCCATTGACCTATTGTAATCAAGGAAAATAATGATGCAACATGGCATACAGCAGCACCACATGCCTGATTTTAAAACAAGTTTTAAGCATCTACTAGACTACTACCTAGCTAAACCCTATGCAATGTTACACTATAGGCTCGATGCATGTTTTGTTGCGGTCATAGAAGTTTCTGATTGATCAATAATTACAAATACCCAAACCAAAAAGTTTTGTACAAGGAGACAAACTAAATAACAATCAAATACTAATATTTCTTTCCTCATTCTTATGTTTAATGGCAACACATATCCAAACAATCACCTTATCCAACTTCCTGAAGAAGAAAGAAAGAGATGTTCAAAAGATTCACCAACAAACAATACTTGCAACACAAACATACTATTAAACAATAGAAATAGAACTGAATTAACTAATTGCTATGGTAAGAATGCTAAATCACAATCAGTAACTAAACCATATTAAATATCAAAATGTAGTTACAAGTGACAAAGCCAATGCTACAGAAGGAAATGACAGCCATTAGAAAAAAAAAACAAGCGCATTGCAGTAGCTACTAAATCCCCCAAAATGAAACAATTTGCTCGAGAAAACATTAATATTCAACTAAGCATCATGCACTGGTATCAAAGATCCAATAATTGAAATAGTACATTCCACGAAAAAGTAAATAATTCAAACCAGGAGTTATAAACTCTTGAATTACACTGTTCCAAAATTTTAACTTGTTCGAATACTAATAGAGTTCGATTCCCAGCTAAAAACTCTCAACAAACTCACTGCTCTCAAGCAGATGCTGCTGCAACCTTCTTCCTGGGGGCAGCTTGAGTACCTGAATAATCCAAGAGGCCGAAACTTACATCACTGAAAACCCCAAAAAAAGAGGAAAATATCATCCTACTAACACAAAATGAAATCAAATACACACCTTCTCTGAAGTTTGTCTTAAAGCGACGGGGAACGTGGCGGAGGTACCTCATACGGCCAGTTCCGGTGGTCTTTCTCCTGATGGCCTTCACACTCCAGTTATCTAAATTCATCAAACATTACATAAAAATTAACATAAATGAACAGATCAACCAACAAAAAACAAAAAAAATCAAAACAAAGATATCAAATAACAACGAAATGAAGAGTGCCGTACATGTCCTCTTGCGGGCGGCAGGGTAAGCACAAGCGGAGCAGCGACTCTTCTGAAGATGGAAGCTCCGACGCCCACATCTCACACACAGTGTGTGGGTCTTGTTCCTTCTCTTACCAAAGCTTCCTGTTCCCTTACCCTACAATTTCCAACACAAAAAAAAAACCATCCAAGAAAATATAAGAATGGATATAACACGAAACGCAGAATCGACGATTATCCATTTGTGTGAGGAGTAATGAAGAAGAGTAAAGAGGCTTGGGATGAGGAATCACCATTGCTGCGCTAAGATGCGTAAAACCCTAGTTCTGCTCTCGCTTCTGTTCGGTGAGAAGAGAGACAATGGGAGTTTAAGTCCTTATATACGATCAATTATAATAGGCAGAATTAGGGTAACGGGAATTTGGGTTTGCAGTAATGGGCTTAAAATATGGGCCAGATGTTTAAACTGGATTAGTGGGTTTTATTTGATGGGCTTTTGTTTCATTTCTGACGTGTTTGGAAAATGGATTAAAAAATTGTTATTGTAGAAGATTAAAAAAAATGAATTAATTCGTCTTTTAATCACCAAATTTATGGACGTTATATTTTTTTTGCTATTATTAAATTTGTTCATCTTAACTTGATTAGAGAATTTTTGTTAGGTACAAAGAAATAGGCAAAAGTCCAAGTACAAGAGATCATGATGTGCCAATTAGGTCATCCTCTAACCACGGTTGAATTTCAACCGAGGATTTTGATTAGAGCATTTGTTTGAAGGATCAATTACTATTATTTTTATTTTTTTACAAATAAACCCAGTTGATTGTGAAAATCTTTAGTGTATGAATTGAAAAAGTAAATAAATTTTATGATGGCTAATAAAATATGCATGTTATGTTAGTAATCAGTTGTAGGGATATGGAAAAGAAAAGCTAAATATTCAGTAACGCCTTATAAGTGCTCGAAATTAGATAATGATTGTATTGTTCAAAATTAATTTAAAATTTAAAGTTTTCAACTTTTCGGAAAAGATAAGGAAATTGTGACAAAATATTTCTTTTTGGGATCAAAATAATTTAAAAAAAAAAAAAAAGAAAAAAGAGTAAATCTAATGAGGCAATGTAAGCAATGTAAATTGTAAAAGGGCCAAAATTAGTTTCCATCAAATGCAAAGGACCATTTGCACAAAATAGACATTTGGATATATACAGCGGTGATGAACAACTATGTGAGATCAAACTAAGCGCGGGAAAATTGATGCAATTACGACCCACTAGCCGCGCTTTTCATATAAGTTCTGTACAATTTTTCCAAATTTAGTCACTGAAATAGAGATTGGTTGCGGAAGGATGCCTGAAGAGGGCAAGAAAGAGCCCAGAATGGCGGATATAAACGGCGAAATGGAGTTTCCGGCGTTTCCCTATAGACCCTACTCCATTCAGCTCGATTTCATGAAGGCTCTCTACCAATCCCTTGAGAAAGGAGGAATTGCTATGCTTGAAAGCCCAACTGGTAAGAACCCTTTTCAAGAATCATTGTCCCAATAAGTGTGTCATTTATTTATGGTTTTTTATTAGAACCAGAAGGGAAAGTTTTCAGTTTTTTTTTTTTTTAAATTTTAGTTGATGTAGAATAGTTGATTTTACATACAGGAACAGGGAAAACCCTGAGCATAATTTGCAGTGCTTTGCAGTGGCTAGTTGATAAAAAGCAAAAAGATCAAGTTTTTAAACCTGGGTCTAATTTGGAAAAGATAGGACAATCTGAGGATCTTCACATTTCTGATGATGAGCCAGATTGGATGAAAAATTTTACATTGAATGATGAAAGTAAGACCCCTGAAGATAGTAGTAATACTGGGAAGAATAAGAAAGGAAGGGAAAGGGCAAAAGGAAAAAAAGAAGGCAATAGTGTTAGAGATATAATTACTCAAAATGGAGGAGATGGAGAACACAATGCTGATAAGAGAAGGATGAAAGCCTTGAGACCAAACAAGGGAGTTGAAGATGTCGATGATGGTGAATTCTTGATGGATGACTATGAGAGTGAAAACGAAGATGGCATACCAAAAAAAAGGGGCAGTGGGGGTTGTTCTTTTGATTCATCAAGTGATGAGGAAGAACAGGAACTTGATGTTAAGGAGAAGGAAGAAGAGGCAAAGCTAAAGATCTACTTTTGCAGCCGGACACATTCTCAGCTTTCCCAGTTCATAAAAGAGTTGAGGAAGACCAAGTTTGCCTGTGAGTTGAAGGTTGTGAGCTTGGGGTCAAGGAAGAATTTTTGCATCAATGAAGGTATAATGTCGTCTCACAATTTACCCTTAAAGTTATAACAGTACTCATGCTAACTAGGTAATTTCCATTACCTTAAATGTGGTATCTTTGCTTATGCAGAGGTTCTGAGACTAGGTAATTCCATTTCCATAAATGAGAGATGTTTGGAGCTTCAAAAGAACAAGAAAATTGGTGCTTCCAAAATGGCGGTAGGTTGATCTATCCTACAACTTAACTGCTATTCTAAGTTGATTTTTCTTTTCTTTTGGTAGTGTTTTTCACTAAGCAATATTATTTATGATTCTGGCACATCTTTATAATTTTCCTAGTCCAATATGTACACGGTTCATTATTTTTAGTGTTCATGCAACTATATTAGATAGTAAAAAGATCAGAAGAAATTTTTAGTATCAATTTGTCAATGAAAGGAAGAATGGCAGGACTGTCAAAATTGATTGTTTCTTCTTTTTAACTGAAGCTACAATGCTTATGTGTAGAATTTGGATGCTGGGAGAAGGGTCCGCAGGATGAAGGCACCTTCTAGATGCCCAATGCTTCGAAGTCACAAAATAGTAAGAGAATATAGGAGTGAAATCTCTCAACAGGGTCCTTTAGACATTGAAGATCTCGTTAAGGTTGGAAACAAGCTAGGAACTTGCCCTTATTATGGTTCAAGAAGTATGGTCCCTGGTGCTGATCTTGTTATTCTTCCTTACCAATCTCTTCTCTCAAAATCATCACGAGAATCACTTGGTCTAAATTTGAAGAACAACATTGTCATCATAGACGAGGCCCATAATCTGGCTGACTCGCTCATAACTATGTATGATGCCAGAATCACTTTGTCTCAGGTAAACTATCAATTTTGAAACAGCTACATGATTCAAATGTTTTTTTTTTTTCAGATTGTCAATGGTTGATCTAGCTTTAAGGTTTTGTAAGAAGTTAAATAATTAAAAGTAGCTTTTTGTGTTGCAGTTGGAGCGCATCCATTCCCACCTGGAGAAATATCTGCAAAGATTCTACAATCTATTAGGACCAGGCAATAGGAGATATATCCAGACACTGATGGTCCTCACAAGCAGTTTCCTACGTACTATAGCTTCCACGGAGGAGTCAAATTATGTGAATGCCCTCTGCAGTGGTGATGATCGGAGTGGCTTTGATTTTTCTATGGCCTTAAACGATTTTCTATTTTCCCTCAACATTGACAATATAAACCTGATTAAACTACTGAAGTATATAGAAGAGAGTAATATCATTCACAAGGTATGTGCCTATTCTTTCTTAAAAACAGTTCTACAATTTGACTCAGTAATTTTCTGCGGTAAAGTTGTTGAAATAATAGCTTTCTGGATATGTTAGGTTAGTGGATATGGAGATAAGTTAGCCTCATTGCAGAATGTTGTTGAACTTGTGGGAAGCACAACGGAAGGAAGCACGTTATCTGGCTTCCGTGCCTTGTTTAGTATACTGTCGTCATTGACAAATAATGATGGTGATGGGAGGATAATAGTTTCAAGAGCAAGAAATACATCATCTGGGCAACAAGGTGGATATTTGAAATATGTAATGCTTACCGGGGAAAAAATATTCTCAGAGGTTTGTCTAAGAATTTTTCCTAATCATCTTGTTTATTATGGACTCCAGTTAATTATACTGAAACTATTATTTACTGGTCTTTTCTGTTAGATTGTGCAACAAACACATGCAATCATTTTGGCAGGAGGAACACTACAACCTATAGAGGAAACAAAAGAACGACTCTTCCCATGGTTACTACCTGAGCAGTTTCATTTCTTCTCCTGTAGTCATATAGTCCCTCCTGCTAATATTTTACCTATTGCTGTTTCCCAAGGGCCTTCTGGTCAGTCCTTTGATTTTAGCTACAATGCAAGAAACGCCTCAAACATGGTAAGTAAATATATCTATGTGGTTATTTCTTATGGAATTGTCCAGTTCTTCCCATTATTTCTTATCGAATTGTCAAGTTCTTCCCATATTATGTATATTGAAAGACATTGAATCTCTATTGCTTTTGAGGTTGCTTTCTTGTCTATTTTTACACTGTCCACTACTAAGTACAAGTTTGAGTTAAGACAAAGATCCTTCTAAATCCTATGGACTTGAAGATTTTATTCTGAATTAGGTGGTTATGTATTCACAGATTGAGGAGCTAGGACTGTTACTCTGTAATTTGGCAGCTGTTGTACCTGAAGGAATAGTTGTTTTTTTCTCTTCATTTGATTACGAAAGTAAGGTCCATGATGCATGGAAAACATCAGGTATCCTTGCTAGGATCATGAAGAAAAAGCGGATATTCAGAGAGCCAAGAAAGAGTACAGATGTGGAACTTCTCCTGAATGATTACAAGGACACAATCGATAAATCATCGAGTTCAGATGCCAAAAGCAATCCTGCATCTTTCAATGGGGCAGTGCTCTTTGCTGTTGTGGGTGGAAAGGTATCAGAAGGTATCAACTTTAGTGATGGGATGGGTCGATGTATAGTCATGGTGGGACTTCCATTCCCTAGCCCATCAGATATAGAGCTGATGGAGAGGGTGAAATACATTGAGGGACTTGACAGTACATTTACCAGTAAAAGCAAAAGGTTGGCTGGAAGCAGTGAAAGCAGTAATGGAAACATTCAAGCTGGTTTTGACATCCTGAGATGTTGTAAGCGCAGGGGGCGACAGTATTATGAAAATCTATGCATGAAAGCCGTGAATCAATCCATTGGTGCGTCTCTCTTCTAATATCTCACTGTACTCAGATGTAAATTCCTTGATGTTATTCACTTTTTGAATCCGTCCATTGCTATAGTCTCATTGGTAGTGCCGACCATGTGAAGTTACTCCTCCGTCCCTATGTAACAGTCAGTTATCCTAAGTTAAAACAACTGCAGAACAAGACTCTTAGTATGGGACAGCTAGCGTAATAATAATTGCAAGTTTGCACTAACTGCTGATGGCCTAGTTCTGAAGCTGTATACTATAGATTCATCAAACTATTTTTCTTTTATCATATGTATGATTTACTTTTTGTACATACATTTATCACTTCTTCTGACATTGTATTTGATTCTGTTGCAGGTAGAGCAATTAGGCATGTCAACGATTATGCCGTCATATTGCTGGTTGATGTAAGATACACAGCAGATCCTTCAAGAAGAACTTCCTCCAATTTCTGTGACAAACTGCCTCAGTGGATCAGAAGCAGTCTGGTTTCTTCACTGGAGAATTATGGCATAGTCCATAAACTGTTGCACCAGTTCTTCAAGTTCCACAGGACGAAAGAGGGGAAGCAATAGTAAGCCTTCAGTCAACATGGAACTGTATCAACAGCAGGTATCCTGTAGCCCATTAACCAAGTGTATATTATACTTATAAAACATTGTATCATTACCCTCAGTTTTGAGTGAAATATAAGGCCATTGTCTTGTGCCCTTTCTTTCATTTTTTTTTTCTCACTAGATCGATGTGGTTCACAGTGAATTCATCAAGTGAATCAAGTTGTTGAACCTTTTCCTATTTTTAGTTGGAAGGCTCAAATCATTAAACTCTGAACCCTAACATTGGCACTCTGCTGAGCTGCATGTTGCTGATATCCATTTTAGCTTAACACCCTAATCTGAAATTTTGTGACCACTTTGCTAAAATTGTGAAAAGTGAATTCATGATTCATCCAAGTGAATTTAGAGTAATTCAACAAGAAAAAAAAAAGCCCATTATGAGCATGATCGGTTCAGGGAAAACTTTCTTCACCTAACCTGCTAACCAGTCCCTTCAAAAGGCCTCTCATTTATCCACCGCACTCTTTTTAAGGTAAGTCTGCACCAATTAGTAAGGACGCTATCTCAAGTCATTAATATAAGGTTGTTCAATAGATTCTCAGTCTTAGCGAAAAGATGACACTATCTTTCTTTCTTTGTAAGTACTCCTTCCGTCCCAAAATAAAATCATGTTGTTGAAATAGTTTAGGACAAAACAAACATGGCTCTTTTATTGGAGCAAATGGAGTCTTAAATTACATTCACCGTTCCCATTGTAAAAGAAAAAAAAGGTTGTAATTCTGATTTAAAAATCTGATGGAAAAATCATTTATAAGGTTGAGGTATTATCACCCCCCTGACTGGAACCCTTGTCTGCTCTCAGGGTAAGTCGAACAACAACAATGTTGCTGGAACGAAAATGACTTCACAAGACCAGTTAATAGAACTGACGTCCAACGCTGGTTTTCATAACTTAATAGTATTGGTCCCTTTCCTTATCCCTGTTCACAACTAAAACTGGTGCCACCGTCTTAATACATTAGGGTCCCAATTCCAAAACAACATTCCCATTTAAACGCAGTCTGACTCTCTTTTTTTTTTAACGCAATTTCTGCAGAAAAGTATTAATAAAGAATATGTGATGAAGACCCAATACAATCATATGCTTTGATTACACCAAAGTGAACTTTAATAAAACAGTGGTTATGATGTACCCACAAAAAGAGGGAAATTTCGGCTTGAGCTGATTGATCAACTCGTGTTTTATTGGTCCCATTACTCTAATTAAACTAGGCAAATAAGTACAGTGCTATTATGTATACTCGCATTTTTATAATCCAGTTTGTTAAAAATGTTCAACAAAATGGACAAATAAAAAAGGAATATCAGGTTTATGAGCTTTACCCAACCCACCACTAGAGCTTTAACTTTCTTCCTAATCAATGCTATTGCATTTTAAGCAGCAACAAGTCAAATATTATCATTGAAGTTTTAAGCCTAAAGTGCTTAACAATTTGGAGCTATATGTATATGTTTCTTTCTTCTTGAACAAAATAGAGGGCTATTAAGAGGGCATTCGGAAAGCAGGATGAAATCCAAAATGCTGTTGAGAACCCTTCACAAAACCAAACATCTTGTTCATAAAACATTGAAAAATTTCAAGTGTTTTCTCTTTGAAGAATACCAGAAGCTCCCTAAAGCCAATTTCGCCAGAAATCCCTTTTTCTCATCTGGGAATAGCAGTAGAAAGATGCCGGAAACGGATGATTACTACCGAGTTTTCTCTGATCAATGGGCGTCTAATATTGAAGAGCAGCTACACAAGGGAAAGGGAGAAGCTAATGATATGTTTTCATCGGAAGATGGAGGCTGCTGTCAGACAAATGACCAAAACTCAGTGGAGAATGTGCAGATTAACACTCGAAATGCGAAGGAGAAAGGATGCAAACAACTCGAGGGAACTGGCCAAGAATCGTGTCGCCAAAGTAAAAGTGGAAGCAGCAGAGTCCTAGTACACAGGATGAAGGAATTTGAGATGTTTGAGGTGGATGATGTTGATCATCAGCTGGACATAGAAGAAGTGCTGCACTACTATTCTAGGCTTACTTGTCCGGTATACGTGGATATAGTTGATGATTTCTTCATGGACATGTACTCTGAATTTCTTGTTCCCCAGCCTTCTATCAGTGTTAACAGTTCGATGCGAAGACTTGGGCCAGTAAAGCTCTAGAACTGTTTGTATCCCATAGACTGTGCATATGAGTTTCTCTGTGACAACCTCTGTACTTTTGTCTTTCTGTGTTCTAGTTTTGCCTAATAAAATGTTTACCTTCTCATCATTCTTTCTTTCTGATTCATTCAACCGTTAGTTCCTTAAGTGCATCATAATTTAGTGCATGCAAAAATCAGCTTCTTGGTAAGCTAAACAACAGTTGATAGACAGCAACTTTCTGTAACAGGTTTTTAAAGGATTTTCGATTCCTTGAATCATGATGTACCAAGTGTGCATAAAGTCGAAAGGCTTGAGTGTGACTTCTACCAAAGGAAGAATAGTGAATGTATATGGGGGTTCACTCTACAGCATATACAGCAGATTAAAACTTGGGTCTAAAACCAATTCTAGAGATGACCTATTTCTTCATGACAGCTGCATTAGACCTATTTTCTTAGGCAACTTTGCGACAATCAGATCGAACTTGACCCTTTGGGGCTGTCAAAACTTGGTAACTGGAGAGCTTCATCATCGCCATGGCAAAATCCTTCCCAAATAGGGAAGCATCGGATGCATAACCTCGAACCCAGTTCTGAGTCTCCTCACTTGCTGTCAGTTGCTGATCTACAAAAAGTATGCCCCTATTTTGTAAGAGACTGCGGTAGTACAGTGTGCCAAAATCTGCGCGTGGTCCTTCATAATCCATTCGCATCCCTGGTTGCTTAATTAAGGCAGATGATAAGGCGCTACTGGGCGACGATGGGGATGGTGATGGGGATCCAGATGGTGACCTAGATGGTGATGCTGATGTAGAAAATGAGGCTTCAATACCGGTACACTTTGTTCTAAGAGTGTTGAGAAATTCAGGATCAATGGAAGGGTCAGGCTTATGAGTACCACCAAAATTGTACAGCCGGTTTGCAATGAACTTGCAGTGAATCACCCCAGTGCTGTGGGCACCTGCAGAGCAAACCCTCAATCAAATGCTGGAGCAATTATAGACAAAACTTTCTGTATGAGAAATTAGACCAGTGGACAGATGCACGATGGGCGCAAAGGTGGATGTTTAAGGCGCTAAGCAACAGGAATACCCATAATCAAAGGCAACAGTGACTATCGTCTAATAGCCTAACCAACATCGAGCCTATCATCCAGTGCAGTTGTTTAGTTCAAAATAATACTAGGAGTACATGAAATCCAGATCTATTTTACTCCGCTAACCCCAGCGAACCATCTCAAGCCATAGAAGCTACTCTACTATACCACAAAGAACTAAGTAGTCAAATGTCTGTTCATCATTGCTTCATGTCAATCAAATATGACAAAGCTCACAACCAATTCATTTAAATCATACCAAGAGGAACTGAAGCTAAGATGCTTGGATGCATGATAAACCACTTACTAATAAGCTAACTAACTTCAGAAATCCATAAGAATGTAAGTTCACCACAACTACTAGCAGTCACAGCAAAGTTATGAGAAACGAAATTTACCTAAAAGACTGACTGTTTCTCGAGAGTCAAATCCTCTTGATTCAAACAGCTGAACCATCTTAATAATATCATCATCTGGACTGGGAAGCTCAAATGTTGCTTCATCCGAGAAAGAACGTGTACTGTCCTTCCTACCAGTGTACAGAGGGTAGAAAGGGCCACCAGCCTGCAATAAACGAATTGAATACCATTAGATTTAATTTTACTTAAAATTTCTGGATTTTAACATGGGGATTGGGTGTTTGAGATGGGGAAAGTACCAGAATAACACTTTCCCTCGCAGCTAACACAACAATATCAGCACAAGAAACAACTCCAGGGCAGACTTCCTCCAATTCTTCTTTGATAATATCAATCTGATCAAAACCCTTCAGGGACTCATTTGGGGGAGAATCTTTCTCGCTGTGAATTTCTTCAGAAGAATCCAGTAAAACTGAGGCATCACATCCCTGTTTCCAATCATTAATCAACTTAGAACCAAGAAAATATCCTAGAATACTAATTCAATTATACGAATTTGAATCTCATCCATAATTACAACTCAACATTATATAAGACAGCCACTCAAACACGGACCAAGACAGCCAAACCAAGATTCAGGATTCAAGATTAACAAAGGAAAAGAGCCGGAGGTTGAATAATAAATTGCATAATTCAGATTATTCCAAGGAACCTAAAGCAATCCGTCAGGAAATCAAGCTTGAGTCCCCCAATTTTAACACGAATGTAAACGAAATTGAACAATAAACGAAAAACCCATATCAAAAGGACGAACACTACTCGTTAAAACCCGGGTGAAAAAGTACAAGAATCGAATCGAAAACCCAACCTGAATAAAGCAATCGTGGAAGACCAGCCTTAAGAGCTCAGGAACTATGCTGGGGCGGAGATTGTAGAGTTCTCGAACAGTTGATCGGATAATTCGCTCCGCTCCAGGGCAGCTATCGCTGTAGTAATCATACCTCAGAGATTCAAACCCAGAATACTGAAAATCTTGGGTATTCCACTCCAACTTGCTTGAATGGTGAATTGTGGGTCGAGATTCGAGTGGGGCCTTCGAGAATGGGGACGAATAGGATGAAAACCAGTTCATGTTCAAAGAACCCTTGTTGGTCTCTGCATTTTGATTCTTCAAAGAGAAAAGCAAACACAAAATAAACACCAGAAAGCTCAATTTTCTCGTGAAATCCATGTCTAACTGGCGAAGAACAAATTCATGGAATATTTCTTGACTGGGGGGAAACGAGGAGAGAGAAATGGCGGATGGAATTGAAACTTTTGGAAGTGAGAAGAAAAAGAAGCATCAAGAAAGAGACCGAGAGCGGGAAATGAAAAGCAGAGATAAATGTACGCTGCCGTAATGACAAGAATGCCCTTAGCCTCCCGACCGACCGACTCTCAGGATAAAAAAAAAAAAAAAGACAATTGGGCTTTGTTTCGATTCTGTAAATTATCGAAGCCCTCGAGGTCTGGTTTTGGTTAGGATCTAGAAGGAAGTGAGGCCCATTAAGAAATGTACAGTAGTATTTCTCGGCTCATTTCAACCGTCAACACTATGATCATTCGACAACATGATTATTTTCTTTGAAGAAAATGGAGTTGATGATGGATGAAACTATTAGTTCTAGGGGAGTTATTGATTTTTTGGTTTCATCTTGCCCTACATTTTCTAGAATCACGAGTTGTCCCAAAGTAGAAATCAAAGTTAAGAAGAACTCTACTTATGTACTCCACCAAACCCTCATAGTACTTTGTAATATTATTATATGAACTTATGACAGTATTTTTTAAGTGGAATGACAAAAAATAGAATCGCTTACGAGTCAACGCTTAAGTAAGAGAAAGTCAGGAGAAAGTCAGTTATACTGCTGGATCGATTCACAACAAATCAACGAGTCAACGCTTAAGCGGGAGAAAAGCCAGTTATACCGCTGGATCGGTCCACAACAAGTCCACGAGTCAACGCTCAAGTGGGACAATATAAAATCATCACATGCCACATTCGGCCCAAAACTCCACCACAAGCCCAGCACGCTCTGATACCATGTCAAATTCACCCTGGGCTTCCATCTCAAAACTAATTAGTTATGAGTGAGTTTACCTTTGACACTTATAAACAGGTGACAAATCTTTCACGACACCGATGTGGAATTCTTTGTCACAATAATTTTCACCCTGAATGAGCGCTATAAACGTGAGATTTATGTGTGAATTCCGCAACGCTTGATTCAATGGCTTGGATGAATTTAAGGTCCGTTAGATCTATTTTGTAACAGAAATAAAATATTAGGTCCCAAAGAATGTTTTCAAAATCGGGATTTCACACATAATCGTTTTGCCGTCTCAGGATCGGATTGGATTCTGAATCGGTGGGATCGTAACTATTTAAAATATTATAATAATTCTGAAATTGCAAGTTTTTTTTCTAAGGAAAAATTGTTCCGTCGACTTTTCCGTCGATCTACCGACATGGACGAAAAAGCCGACGAGCTCCAAAACTTTTTTTTTAATCATTTTTTTTAGTTTTTTAATCTTTTATGATTTTTAAGCATTAAAATTGTGTATTCAATTTAGAATATATAAAATTTTTATTATTTACATAAGTTTTTTTGTCCACAAATTCGTCTTTCCAACAAATTTAACGGGGACGAATCACGAGAAAAGTCAACGGAAACTAAACTTCATTATGTGTTATGATTTGAAAGAATCATACATGGTAGTATAGACATTAACCAATTAAAGTGTCAACATTTTAATAAAATTCAAAAAATCGTTAGTTTTTCGAGGAAAAGTTCTTCCGTCGACTTTTTTGCCAACCTACCAACCTCGACGAACTCCAAAAAATATGTTTTGTTTTCTCATTTTTTTAATTATTTTATGGTTTTTAAGCATTAAAATTATGTATTCAATTTAGAAAATAAAAAATAATTACTATTTGCCTAAGTTTTTTTTGTTCATTTATTCACCTTTTCAACAAATTTAATAGGTACGAATCAAGAACTATACATGGTAGTGTAGACTTTAAGCAATCAAAGTGTCAACATATTAATAAAACTCAAAAACTTGTTAGTGTTTTAAGGAAAAGTTGTTCTTTCAACTTTTTCGCCGATCTACCGGCATCGACGAAAAAAGTCGACGAGCTCCAAAACTTTTTTTTTATCATTTTTTATTCTTTTGTGGTTCATTAACCAATCAAAGTGTCAACATTGTAATAAAACTCAAAAAATTGTTAGTTTTTTAAGGAAAAGTTTTTCCATTGACTTTTTCGTCTACCTACCGACCTCGACAAAAAAGTCGACAAACTCCAAAAAATATGTTTTTTTTAATCATTTATATATATATATATATTATGGTTTTTAAGCATTAAAATTATGTATTCAATTTAGAGAATATAAAATAATTACTATTTGCCTAAGTTTTTTTTATTTACTTATTCGCCTTTTCAATAAATTTAATAGGGACGAATCACGAGAAAACATTTTAGACTTGATTTTCAAGAACTATACATGGTAGTGTAGACTTTATGCAATCAAAGTGTCAACATTTTAATAAAACTCAAAAAATTGTTAGTTTTTTAAGGAAAAGTTGTTCCGTCGACTTTCCTGTCGATCTACCGACATCGACAAAAAAGTTGACGGGCTCCAAAAACTTTTTTTTATTCTTTTATGGTTTTCAAGCATTAAAATTATGTATTCAATTTAGAATATATTAAATTTTTACTATTTGCATAAGTTTTTTTGTCCACAAATTCGTATTTTCAACAAATTTAACGAGAACGAATCACGAGAAAAGTCAACAAAAACTAAACTCCATTATGTGTTAGATTTTTGTTAAATTGGGCAATAATTTCGTGATAAAGGGGGTATTTTTTATTTTTTTTGGGCTCAAAACAGCTTTTATGTATTTCCTATAGGTAAAAAAAAATCTCATTTCTACTAACTAGTGGGAGTCTCCGTAACATAATTATCGGAAACAAAAGAATTTGATATGTATATTATGACTGCATCGGAATTGTGGGTGAAGCACTCCATGTTACTTTCTTCGCTTCCCTTATAAGATTAAGGGAGAGTTAAATTTCTACATTGTGTTATTATATGTAGTATTCATCTAGACGAAATTAGTAAATTTTTTCAGTTTCATTAAATTTATCATGCACAATTACCCTAGAATAATTTGTCAGTTCATCTTCACCATCAGCTCTCTCACTTATCGGGGTACCTACTAAAACGAGGGGTATTATCCAGTATTGTCGACGGTGGACACCCTGTAATATGAAAAGAAAAAAAAAGAGAGTAAAAATACTCAAATTATTATATGTATTTTCAAAATATATGTATGTAAATATCTACAAAAGTATATAGAATTTGTTTTCGGATAACAAAATCATGGTTTTGAATTTCCCACCATGAATTTCTTTCTTTCTCCAAGCGATAGTATACACAATTTAATTTTGACTTTGTATTGTGGAGAAACCCATCCCATATACTTCCTCCGTCCCATAATTATTGTCCACTTTGTCTAAAATAATTTTGTCCCAAAGTTATTGTCCAATTTGACTTTTTATGGATCAAGTTACATATTTGACTTTCGTAAAAAACATTATCCATAAAATCTTAGTGGTTAAACAATTACTTATGTAGGGTATATCCGGTTGTTTAAGGTAAAATATAGTTAAGTTTGACCAAAAATAAAATCTTTCATTTTAGTAAAACTGGACAATAATTATGGGACGGAGGGAGTATAAAATTTGAGATAGAGGTCGTTTGTTTTTTTTTTCCAAGATTTGTATACTCGTACTCTCGAGTCTCAACTCTCAACTACCAACAAGCTCTAGAGAAGCATCTTGATACAGTAGTTTCTATGTTGCTTGTACTAAAATTAACTAATTTAGGAAGACAGTCCTCGTTCTCCCTTGCTTTCCTTTGTAGAATTAATCATTGGACATTTTAACCTCTCCGAAAAATAGTGACAAACGCTGCAAATTGCAATGTTGGCTTCCTTTTGCTTTTAATAAACGTCAATGTATCAAATCAAAGTATTAGCCTAAACTGATAGAGCCTGAAGCATTTTGATACAGTATTTCCTATTCTGCTTCTAAAAATTTAGGAAGACAGTTCTCCGTTCTGCCTTGCTTTTTGTTCGTAGAATTAATCATTGGACATTTTAACCTCTCCAAAAAGGGGGAAAAAAAAAATAGTGACAAACGTTGCAAATTGCAATGTTACTTATAAAGTTGGCTTCTTTTTTTGCTTTTAGTAAACGTCAAGGTATCAAATCGAAGTATTAGCCTTAACTGATATAGCCTGAAGTTGAACTGTAAGCTGAGAAATTTTGCCTAACTTCCAACTCTACCTTCATCTTCATCTTCATCTGAATCCGCCAATCATCCCTTTGACTCGTGGGAAGCAGATTTCTACACTGATTTGCGTGATCCGAATAGATTCATGGAGGCAGGCAAATGGCGCTGTGTCTGAGAAAACCAGAGCCCTTCAAGACTTCTTCGGTTATCACAACTCTTCTGGGATCAAATCTGCGCCGCCAAACCAATGCCGGAGCCCCGTTCATCTCCTCCGACGCCTCCGTTCATGGCGAAACCACCTCGGGGATTCGAGGAGGAGCACAGACCCGGCTTCCTAACGGTAGCTATGTGCCCTTGTCTTTATTGTTTAATTCTCTTACTGGTTGTGACATCTATCGTGCTTACAATCAAATTCCATTTATATTGCCACACCCCTCTTCATTCTTTGCTGTTCAAGAAAAGTTGTCATTCATAAACCTCCGGAAACTTAAATTCTGTAATGTTATTGCAATAAATCCCAATAGTTTTAGGGGATTTTGTAGCCTTACTGATACCCCTGACGAGGTCGAGGTCGAGGGGTATCAAGATGCTGAGTTTGAATCTGAATCTGAAGGAGATAGTGGTGGTAATAATGCTGAGAAGGCAATCTCCAAGGCGGATCCTGACGAGGTGGATAGAGTATGCAAGGTGATCGATGAATTGTTTACTTTGGATCGGAATATGGAGGCCGTTTTGGATGAAAGTGGAGTAAATTTAAGCCATGATTTGGTGGTTGATGTGTTAGAGAGGTTTAAACATGCTAGAAAGCCAGCATTTAGATTTTTCTGCTGGGCTTCTCGGAGGAGTGACTATGCTCATGATTCGAGAACATATAATGCTATGATGAGTATTCTGGGAAAGACAAGGCAGTTTGAGACTATGGTGTCAGTTCTTGAAGAAATGGGTGAAAAGGGTTTGCTTACTATGGAGACTTTCATTATCTCCATGAAAGCTTTTGTAGCTGCCAAGGAGAGGAAAAAGGCGATCGGAATGTTTGAGCTCATGAAGAAATACAAGCTTAAAGTTGGAGTTGAGACCGTTAATTGTTTGCTTGATGCCATGGGAAGGGCTAAGCTCGGAAAAGAAGCACAAATCATGTTCCAAAAGTTGGAGCATAGGTTTACGCCAAATTTGCAAACTTACACTGTTCTGCTCAATGGCTGGTGCAGGGTGAAGAACTTGGTGGAAGCTGGTAAGGTATGGAATACAATGATCGACAAAGGGTTTAAGCCTGATATTGTCACACATAACACTATGCTCGATGGATTGTTGAGGGGTCATAGAAGGTCTGATGCAATCAAGCTGTTTGAAGTCATGAAGGCCAAGGGTCCAGCTCCAAATGTTAGAAGCTATACGATACTGATCAGGGATTTATGCAAGCAGAAGAGATTGAGAGAAGCTGCAGATTACTTTGATGAAATGATGAAGTCTGGTTGCGAACCGGATGCTGGAGTCTACACGTGTTTGCTTACTGGTTATGGAAATGAAAAGAAGATGGATAAAGTTTATGGACTGTTGAAGGATATGAAAGACAAGGGATATCCTCCTGATGCACAGTTGTTTAATGCCTTAATCAAGTTAATGACAAACAGGCGAATGCCAGATGATGCAGTCAGGATATACAAGAAGATGATCAATACAGGGATTGAACCCACTATTCACACGTACAACATGATGATGAGATCTTTTTTTGCCAATAGGAATTATGACATGGGTATTGCTGTTTGGGAAGAGATGAATAAGAAAGGCTGTTGTCCTGATGATAATTCATACGTTATCATCATTGGTGGGCTAATCAGGCAAGGTAGATCGGCTGAGGCTTGCAAGTTCTTGGAAGAGATGATTGCAAAAGGCATGAAAGCACCTCAACTTGATTACAACAAATTTGCTGCTGATTTTTCTCGAGCCGGTAGACCTGATATACTGGAAGAGTTGGCGCAAAAGATGAGATTCTCTGGGAAGTATGAGGATTCTAAACTCTTTGCAAGGTGGGCTGAGATGATGAAGAAACGGGATAAAAGCAGAGATCCCACTGGAAGTGATACAGATCACTGGCGTTCCTGATTCAGTTGCATGCTACCCGCTGTACTAAAAAAAGAAAAATGCACACGAACTTGGATGTTAGATTTGTAAATCTTTTTCTTCCTTCAAAATTTTTTATGTGATTCATTCTAGATCTGTGTTACTGTGTTTTTCCTTTTTACTTGAATGTTTTGGCTGTCATTCATAGGTTTCAGAGAGTGTGTATCCAATTATGTACTTCAACTTCCATTCTAACATGAAAAAAAACTTTTTTTTTTTTACTCAAAGAAGAACATTGACACGGAAAAGACACAATGTTCATGTTCATTTGATCCTTAAACGCCATGCGGGGAGTCTCCTGACTCTAAGCACATGAACTTTGTTAGTTGATGTACCAAGACTCTTCTAAATATATTTTGTGAAAAGATACAAAGACTAGGAAGTCGATAAACAATAAAGAATTCATAATGTAAACATTGCCTTTCAGGCACGAGTTTCACTTACAATATTACAAAGCTGCCACAGCTTTACAGTAGCCATCTGCTACATGATATGGCTTTCTATATATGGTAAAAGAGAACAATGAATATGGGAGCTTTCAGCAGAAACTGTGGACAAGAGGAGGCGATCCAACAAAATGTACTTGCCTACTAGAAGTAAGAGTATTTGAGGAAACGAGCAAAGCCATATCATTCTGGGATTGCTCATGCTCTTGAAACAGATATTTCCACCAGGAATCTAATATGCTCCCAGTTAATTTCATGCAGTTGCAGAAACCAAACAAACCAGCGGATCCACCGATCTATATGCAAAACACATTTAGTGGCCCGCAGACACCAGAACATTATGTTCCTTGAGGCGTCTTTGAAAATGAGCCAAGCGATTCTGTAACTGCAGGATACCAGCAGCTTTCTGGGATAAGATTGCATTCAGTTTGGAAATGTAGTTATCCAGTTGATTACCAGGTTGATCAGCCTCAACTAGCAGATTCATTTCCTGTGAACAAGTTCATGAGATTAATTTACATTTCATTAACATAACAATGATGATTGATAACAACCCAGCATCCTCAAAGAAAGCACAACAGCACGCAAAACAATGACATACCTCTCTAACTATGTCCATTGTCTCCTCCACTTGTTTTCTGTGAGCACTAACAAGGTCCTCCTCTTCCTAGAAACATAAAGAAGGCATAGAAAAAGGCACAACGTGAGCAAGTACTATTCCTTGAACCTTTGGGATTGGGAGGTCATACTTATTGCTGAGTTACCTTCAAAAGAGCATTTAAATCATCATCAGGATTAGAGTATCTTGATTCTGATCTAGATGGTTCCTTCCACTTCATCTGATCCTTGACTCTTCTTGATTTATCTTCTGTGTTTGAAAAGCTGGACACTTCAACTTTTCCGTTCTTCCTCCAGGAAGGCTTTTCTTGCTCATAAAAATCCTCTTCATACTCATCTTTATCAGTTTGTTCAGGCCACGAGTCACCTGTGTCATCTTCATATGGTGATGTCGGGGGTAAAACCGAAGACAGGGCCACAGTTGTAGACTCTTTCAAGTTCAAAGTTGAAGATGCAACATCCTTTTTGGAACTCCCACTTTTCGAAAGACTCTTTACCCTGAAGCCAAAAGAACATCTCAGGATAGAAACAAGGCAACAAAAGGTTAATGACCTCGAATTCTCATGAAGATTAAAATTCAGTACCTATCAGCATATCTCAAAGTGTTTAAAGTATGTTCACAGGACCCTGAGCTGGGTGAGATACAGGATATCATAACAGTACGTGAGTTCCCAACGAATGAGTCCCTCAGTACTTCAGTCAATTTACTGCCTCGGAAAGGTATATGAGTCTGATCATTGTCAAGAGCCCTAATGCATTCTTTTAGGGCTAGCAAACTTTTGTTGATTTCAGCTCCTTCCATTCTGAATGCATTGAAATACCACCGTGTCAAAAGTGGGAACAAATATACACACCAGATGAGTAAAACCCTAATGGCAGAACTGACTACAAAGGGTAATGGTGAAGCCAAGATAACTTCAACACAAAAATTCGCATGGAATGACAGTTTGATGGGCAAGGTATTCTGTTTGAGCTAGAGTTCACTAAGTAGTAACTGAAATGTGAATAATCATTGCCCTAAATTTAGATACGATTCCTTATTATAAGAAGGCTAGGAGACACCTTTAAAAATTAAAAGCAGACGAAACATGATACAGGGTTGTCATATTTCATCCTTATGACTTCAATAATTAAGACCAAAGCATGGCGGGAAGCAAACTTCAGACCTTTACCAGTGCTAAATCTTAGAGCTAATGAGCAAAACAAATTTGGGCATGCAAGCAAACTAACATCATGGTATTGAAAGATCATTCCGGAAGATCATGTGAAAACAGAATTTCAGTGGGCAACTAACCATCTTATGAACCCATAGCATATTATTTTAACTAGACTAGGATACTGTCATAACATGATTAATTAACATGTACCAAGTAGATTTCATTTTAGACTATACATCATATCCATGGCTGAAATCCACAGCTTCCTCTAGGCAATGATTCCATTGGACTTTGCAAATCTATTTCATCCCGAAACCTACCAAGTCTTGAAAGAACAAAAGAGACAGACACAAACCTTGTCTGCTTATCATTGTCAGTGGTGTCTGCACCCCGCTCACTTCCAGCCAGATCAATGAAGGAGAGCTTTCCAATAACTCTAGCAGGTTTCGAATCACTACCATCGGCTGATCTTTTAATCGCAAGCTGAAGTATGGCATGGGATCGAGATGATTCCTCATTTGCACCTGTGGTACCGGTACTTCTTGTTGCATTTCCTTTCTCAATGAGCTCTTTAATTGTTTCAACTTCAGCCACTCTGTACTCTTGCAAACCGACAATGCAAACTTGCTGCTTGCCATCCTCTCTCATGCAAAGTTTCCTGATGAAGAAAAAGGGTTCAGCTTTCTGTAATCCAAGCAAGAAAGAACACAAAACCAAAGTTTCAGTTTAGAATACTATAGGACTGCTTACTTTCGGTCATTGAGGAGATCAAAAAGTTTTCCTCCGTATATCTCAAAGAAGCTCACATGTAATTGAAAGCCCTGGTTCCTGTAAGTATGATGCATAAGCCTCAAAATATCTCGAGATGCTCTGAGAGGAAGGGGTTTCATTGTATAAGTTTTTCCACTTCCTGGGAGAAAAAGAAGGGAAAAGGTTATGTTGATTAGACCATACCAAAAAAAAACGTCAGAATTTTCATGCCTCCGGAGAAGGAGAAGGAAACAGTTTGTTGCCATTCTATGAAGACCATAGATCTCTATCCAAAAGACAAAAGAATAAGAGAACAAGGTAGTTCGCACATGTAAGAGAATAAGTGCAGATCCAACAAAGATATTAGAATTGTCATTTCTTCATAAAGGAGAAGGATTAAAGTTACTTCGTTATTATTTTATGAAGGAAATATTTTGTAACTTCAATTGACAGTTGATTAATTGCAATTCTACAGAATGTAGTATCAGTCACAAGATCACAATGAGAGGGTGAAAATAAAAAGGAAAAAATTCGAATCATGATCTCCTAGATAATCTAACATTATCTGTGCTGCTTTACCAAAGGCAACGCAATTGTATACATTAGAAAATACAATGACTTTGGCTTTGCCGCGAAAGCTATGATCAATTCAATTACATATGTTAAATGTTCAGTACTGCATAGAAACTTAACACCGACAGACACTAGCTGAAATTAAATGACAGTACTGGTCAAAAGGACAAAATGCAATCACAAGACAAAAAAGAACTTGTAGGTAACTGAAAACATATACCACATCAAATATTCTTTAAAAATTGAGTTTATGTGGAGATACACACACACACACACACACACACACACACACACACGCACACGCACACACACACACACACACACATATATATATATTTGTTAAAAAGAAGAAAAAAAAGTTTGGAACCAAAATCTTCATGATTGAAAGTCAGTCAAATACCTGTTTGCCCATAAGCAAAGCAAGTTGCTTTTGTGCGCTGGAAAATAATAGGAACAATGGGTTCCACAGTTTCACGATAAACCTGGGAGATGAATTTAAATATTGAAACTAATAAGGTGCCAAGAGGCCACAAATAGAGTATGATATGCAATTAAGCAGAAAATACTAATTGACTATTCTCATTACTTCATCATTTGAAACCTCCTCATCCAGCACTGCATCAAAGACAAATTCATGCTTCTCCACATATTCGGTCAGGTCAACCTGCAAAAATATTGGAATAAATAAGTCCTATTAAAAATAGATGCAGAAAGCTCCAAGATGTGAAAAGGGAAGTTCTATTTGTTGTCAATGAACAATAGCAGACTCATTGGACGTTTAAAAGAAGAGCATAAAACAACTCAGCTCAAAAATTGCTTTGCTGTCTAAGTGGCTCTCTTAAAGATTTCCCAACATGAAGACACCCAATTTGAAATTGAGAACAGTTTCAATGCATCCAGCAGAAAATCTTCCAAAATGACATATGTTACAATAAGAAAATCTTCTATGCAGAAACTACAATTCCAATTCATAGATCAACAATATAAAATGAAACTTAGACTTCTTTTCATTTGAAAATAATTGCCGTTAAGTGACAAGAGCATCTCCTAATGATTACATAAATAATTCATGCAGAGCTATCTGACAATAATTGTATACGTAATCCCCACTGTCACATACCTTGAGTTTGGTCTCATGGACCACTAGAGAGTTGGACTCTGTCTCTATAATGTCCTCCTCATTCTTTGCCAGCTCCTTCTTGTTTAGAGGTCTCTTGCGCACCTGCAAAAACTCATTATGAGCAAGTTCAAACGAGAAGGTTGCATAGCAAATAGTTGTGTCTGATTCCAGAAAAAAAAAAGAAAAAAAAATTGATAATAAGCACATCCAGTTTTAGTCAAATAGAAAGCAATGTAAATCAATCGACTCCCACTATTACTCTGGAGCTTCCAACATGCAATTTTAGCAAAACCAAGAGTAGAAACTGATAGCATCTTGACAGGATAACATTGGATAATATCAGGAATACTGACCACTACTTTGATCTTTGCGACATTACTAGCCTTCTCCTTATCCACAGAGAAACTTTTCATAACATTCTCCTCGGGCAAATTACGAGACTTGCTGCTCTGTTTATTGTTTCCAAAATATGCCTCAGAATCATCAAAGCTTCTTCCCCGAGTAAGATTATGCATAGCCGAGGGGTCATAGAATCCAGGAACAGGAAGCTATTACAAATTCCACAAGAAATGGGATTAAACTCATAGTCAAGAGTATCCAATAGAAATAACTGCATCCAAATATTAGACATGGGAAACTGTTTTGGGTGGGGGAGGGGAGATGGATTCTAGTATCGTGACAGAATCAAAAGGAGGAACATCACATAAAAACATAATCAACTTAGAAAGTAATCCATCAATTATGTGCACACACGAATAACTAGCCAGTGAAAACTTAGAAAGACAGTAGTTGAGTCTTTACAATTATGTGTTTATATACGAACAACTTGCCAGCGAAAACTTAAAAAAACAATAGTTGCATCTAGATTTACCATTTAGTACGAACATGCAATCAACTATAGAAAAGCAAACGTTATTCTTTACTTAGGAGTAAAATCTTGAAATTTGAAAATAAACACTTATGAAGCTAGTTTTACAGAGCATATTGAATGCCACTACAGAACACTAAAGTAAGAAATATGACCACCCTTCAGCAAAAACCTAAGTCTCTTTCCTTGAACAATTAATAGGGATAAAACCTAGGACATTGTCCAGGATAGATAGTCAAATTTTAAGAGAACACAAATGAAATCTAGGGCAAAAATTTGGGGCCTAATTTCATCCACTATATCCTATAAAGCATCACTCAATAGTTCTAGGTTAGAACAAATCAGCATTTTAAGATTCGCCAATGCCTTACTTCTAAATTTGTTTGGTTTGCTTCATGTCATAAGTTTAGAATACTGCACCCCCAGGGAGAATAAAGTCTGGAACTTGAATAGGAAAGAGGTTTGATGTATAAAAGAGAAATGTACCTCGGTAAGAAGCTCGGTGTCGAAAGAATGCAGATCCAGGAGTCCAGGACTGTATTCATTGGGTGATACCCCATCGTCTTCCCCATTTCTTCTCCGCGAATTAGCCGCAGGCGGCGTCAATGGCTCCGCAAATATATCACTTCCTCCACTGAAAGTTCTCTGAGCACCTCTATACATTCTCGAACCCTGCGCTCCACCGTAATACCCAAAATCCTATCCCAAAAAAAAAAAAAATGAAATCAAAATCTGAAAATCACATTTCACAAGAATCAGATCTAAAAACGAAAAATGCAACAGAATCCACAAATTAGATACCTGTGAAGGAGGCAGCGAGTTGCTGTTAGACTGGAGATGCTGCAAACCAGCTGATTGTAGCCATCTGCCATTAGATGAAGCTTCGAGATAGTTATCGGAGTACTGCCGCTGATGATGCGCCGCCGGTGCACCAGATCTTTGTCGCCCTACAGCATTCATCCTTCAATTTACTCTAAACACAGATGGTTTTTTAGCGCAGCTCCGATCAAAACTCGCTCCTCTTTCTTAGAAGAGCCGGCTATCAAATTGGGCAAATTAATTAATCAAAATTAATAATTATTTTATATCATCATCGCTACAATTATTTTATAGGTTCAAATAAATGGAAGCAACGAAAATGAATCGGAGTTGAGTCACAGAGGAATTTGTGTCTAGTGTGTGAGTATGTGTGAGAAAATGAGGATTGGCGATGAAATGTTTTAGACTACGTCGCGGTGAAGCTTCGGTGTTCAACGGTCGTGATTTCAACTCTGCTTTCACCGTCAACAGTTAAAAATATTTGAAAGTTTTTCACTGCCGGTGGAGGAGCTTATACAGACTTACAGTAGTGACAGCGAGACTGAGAGGCCGAAGTGTCAAAGCCTTGCAAGTCGCGCCGGCCACATTTTACCTCAAAGGTAAAACAGATAATTTACTCTTGCATAATTACTAATGCCTCCCATGAATTTCGTTAAATTGCATACGGGGCCTTCAAGGTGTAAACTGTTTGATTGTTCAATTTAAGGATTTAAAATTTTAAATGTCTTAACAAATTATAATAAGGCTGTGTAATGTTTGTGAAATTTCTTTTGTGTTTACTTCATCTTTCTCATATATCTTTATCTTTTTTCTTCATATATGACATATGCAAACAACATTAAGTATGTTAATTCATAGTTCTTTATTATAAGAAATGATCGGTCATATTTTTTCGACAAACATGTCAAGACCCCAATCAAAATAAACATACTATTCATGCGATCATTTTTTTATATGAACAGCTATAATTATATTTCTTTTAAATAAAGTGAAATTAAATAAACATATCTTTGGACTGGATAAGAAATTTATCACACTCTAATTACTGAAAAAAATGTACTGATTAAATGATCTTAAATGCATAGTAATTAGCGTAACGGTGAATCCAATAGTGAATCTCATGAGAATAGATGGTGAAAAAATACTCATTAATTAAACATATTATTTTCATAAGATTAAACATCCAAAAAGAAAATTCATGTTTTTTATTTAATACTTGATAAGTATTGAAAATGAGGATAATTGTAATAATTTTAGTATAAGGAGAGTAATGTTTCACTGTATTTGAACTAGCTAAATATAAAGCCAATCAAGTCCATAAATCCTCGAATATTTAACAAATTTAAAGTTTAATTAGAAATGAATTTCAAGATCTTATTTGTTTATGGAAATAAGAAGAATGTTGTATTGAGAGAAATTAAATATAAACTATTTTTTATTGTTCTCCTTTTTATAAATAGATTCAATTGCAAAATAATAAATAAATATAAATCTAAATAATGAATCTAATTAATGACCAAAATTTGCAGACTTTGACAATATTTTAGTGCAAAATTAATTGGTCAAATGATTTGGCTTGAATGTATCATCATTCAATAGATGATAAAGGTTATATCTCTTATGTCGAAAAAATAATCAGAGTAATATTTTTGGTTTTTATCACTTTTTTGCCTCTCATGAGGAGGAAATTCAAAAGAAAATATCTAAACAGCCTCAATTGATGTAAAGATAATAGTGTGGGGACTGTTTGGTGAATACACACCGCTGAGGTTAAAAGATGTAAAAAAAGGTGAGCATTTAAATTTGAAGAGGTTTGGCACGTGGACGGGAGAAGAGACGCGTGTGGTGGGTTGGTTTAAACTTTAAATTTAGAGAGACGGCAAAGTAGGACCCAGTAAGTGAGCCAGTCCCGTTTCACATTTTCCACTCACATGGGGGTGGGGGCTACGTCGTTTTGCGCATGATTTTACGCTTAATTTCCCATCACAGAACGGTTTGACTAATCCCCAGCCCGCCTTTTGGCTCCTTATTTGAAATTGGTGTAAACTTTTTAGTACTACCACAACTACTTAATTAATATTATACAATCCCCATTGCCTCCGTTTGTTGAATTGCTATTTTACTGTTTGGGAAAGTTTGTTACGGTTAGTTTTTTTTTTTTTTTACAAGAACCAACTTCGAGTGTTTAAACTATTATATGGGTAGAGTTTATGAGAAAGAAAATAGCTTTTGAATAGAACATTTAAGATTACGTCAAACAATTAAAATTATTTTTAAATAATTATTTTTCTTTTAAAACTATAATAACTTATCGAAGGTATTATTGGGGATGTTTCACAAAAATGGTCGGGATGATTTTTGGGAGTCAAGATGATGTATTGAAAGGGTGAAAGAAAAGAAGAAAAGGAATTATAATTTCATTGTTGAATAAACGAAGCAAAAGTCCAAAAGAAAGAAAAAAATCATGGATAGAACCATAGTTTACAATTCGCGATCCTGGATCGTAAGATCGCCCGATCCTACGATCCCATGTACCTAAATCAATTCTGGATCAATTAAATTCGAATTTAGCAATGGGATCGGAGTGGGATCAATCAGGATCGTACATGATCGTAGAATCAGGTCGAGTATACTATTCATCAATTACAAAAAATTAATTGAGCTTATTGAGATTTTTCTTTTCTCTTATTTCTTTTGGTTCACATTCAATTGAGACTAATATTATTTGAGAAAACTTTTATTGCTAAGAAAAACATATTTTAAATTTTTTTCTAATAAAATGAAAAGAATAACTATAAGAGAAGAGTTTTTATCTGAAAATTCATACAAGGAAATTGAATTTATACATTTCTTTTAATTTAAATGTTAAATACTTTATGTAAAGATAATTGAAATCTAATTATCTAAGGAATTAATTATTGTAACATGTATAGTTAATTTTATGATTTTACTATTTTAATTTTACCGATCTCATTTACGATCTGATTCTATGACCCCATTTCGATACTACGTAGGATCACGATCCAGCAAACATTGGATAGAACATAGAAGTTAACAAAATCAAGATTTGAATGAAACCTTAATTTAGTGGCATCTTAGCCAAGGTTGGCATCACTCTTGTTCCAAATAGTTTGCCACAATAATTTGTCTAAATTGTACCGACAGACTAAACAAGGGCTTCAAAAACCCTGTAGGTTAAATCACCAAGAATAATAAAAACTTGGAGTGAGAATTGAAAAAGTGCATCCAAATTCTTAACTGCAAATGGCATAGATTTCAACTATATTAAGAGCTATATAAACTGAAGCAGACTAATATGCAAAGTTACGATTCGGCAAAGCATGCGACGATCAACAGTTAAAACTCATGAAATCGAATTTGCAAACCATATCCAATCAAATAAAAATATGAGAAGACACATGTTTTGCAAATGTGGCAAGACAGAACAACCTAATGCGTCCTGAACGATGGGAAGGAGTACTTTTATGAAGCTTAAAAATCTTGTTGGCCGTACATGTTCCGTGAACCAAACCGTAAATACCTTATATAAGCTTGTTTAAAAAATCGGTATTTTAATCGGATTATCGGCATTCTCGAAGAACAGGAAAGAAGAAGAAAAGCGGAGGAAGAAGGAAGAAGCAAAGTGGAAAGAATAAGAACTAAGAGTAGAGGACAAAAGAAGAAGAGGAGAGGAAGCAACGAGGAGAGCAGAGGAAGCAAGGAGGAGAGAAGAGGAGAGAAGAGATTTGGACAGTATGTTGGCTATTCTCCGGAAGCTTGAAGCCACCGTCCTCGGCGGCAGTAGCGGTGTAAGATGTGGGCACAGCGGCGGTATTAACAGCATCGTGGGCAGCCCAGAATCGCCACTCCTACCCCCTAATATTGGTAAAAAAAAATATTGTTTGGGACATCCTTGGAAGTTTTGAACGACTAGCCTTATCAAAGATTCCCAAATTAACATTTTCATGCAGATACGCTGAACAAGGACTCAATGCCTCCTGGGACTGCTGATGGAGAGGTATGTAATCCATTTCTTGTTCCATATGTGGGATATGAATCTAGGATATTATTTTATTACTGTTGCTCAATAACTTGTGATGTAAATAGGGAGATCGCTATCCTTAATTAGCTTCAACAGTTCTGCTTTCTTGTTTGTTGGGACATAAGCCCTGCTATGTTCTTCTCTTAATCAGGACTTGATCCCTTGAAACGTCAAATGGTTGGCTTAGATGGTTGTTTCGAAAATTCTGTATATTATATTGATTTTTTGCCTGAGGGAGCAACTTTTAACTTATCTGTTGCAAAGTTAGTCCTTCTTTCTAGGATAATTATGGAGCTACAGAATAAGGTTACTATCCTCCCTTTTGCCCCTTAATTCATTTAAACCATACACTGTTGCCTTTAGTTTCTGTGCTATACGGGGCTTATTAGGAGTACAGGTGACAGAATTATGAGAGTTTCATTCTCGGTTATATATTTTATAAGGGGAAAAAACAAGATGTTCTGATTTAAAATCATATTGTCTTAGCTACATAGGAAATGCATAAGAAGGGACAGAAGATGAACCATTGACGCAAGTTCTTGAATTAAAAGGCTTATGCTTAAAGTTCTCGAGATTCATGGAAACAAGTTATTGGCAGCTCGCAATTGAGAATTAATGTCTCGGGGAAGATTTTCCTTGCTCTGCATAATTGTCCCTGAAATTGGGTTCTAATTTGATGTAGACACTATTTGGTACGTCGAAGGTCCCATATTTTCCAGGATTTAGGTTACTGGTCAAGTTACAAAAGAACTTAGTATTGGCCTTTTAACATCTATGTGGTCTCCATTCGGAGATAAGTTTCTATTGGTATAAGTTTGATTGGCATTTACCTGCCAAAAATTTAATGCAGTTATTGGCAAATTACTACACCTTGCATACAGCTCGAAGATTGTTATCAATGCTAATGACGAATAAGTTCACTCAAAGGTTTTTATTTCATGTGGTTTTAAGAGTTGAGGCAAAGCAGTCTTAAAATGTGGTAGCAATTTCAACTTCAAACCCAGTTTGTATCTTAAAGCCACATGAAGCATCCTAAAAGTATTTGTCCTTTTGTAATGTGTTTGGTAGTTTTCTTTACCGTATTATCTTGGTTCTCCACCACACCCTCCCGCCCCCCGCGGTAAATATCTTGTGGAGACGATGTTCGTAAAATTTAGGTCCTAAAGTCATTCAGAACTTGTCACTAGTTTACTTACATAAACTGGCAGAGCGAACCTATCAGTTATGGGAGTTGATGTTCTGAAACTTGATATTTTTAATGCTCTATCTGCAACAGGTCGAGATATTTGGATGCTTCTTTATTATTGTTCCCCACCCTATTTATAAGTGAAAAACTGATTTACTAGCTGTGCATCACCTTCCTTTTTCAAGGAGATCATAAGGCTTGAGTTATTTGTACGAGTGATGTTTAGTTCCCTTCTCAAAAGTTTGATGAGCAGTAGTATTCTAGTATTCTTAAGAAATGAATGAAAGGAACAATCATTTCTTTATTTGGCAGATGAAGTATAGAAATATGAGGGAAAGGAACAATCCTTTCTTTGTTTGGCCGATAAAATGTAGAACTACGGTTACATAATCAGATCAATTTAGGTCCTTAGGAAGAGGATGGGGAATAGGAGGAGATCAGTATTATTATGAATCTCCAGTCAACCAACTTATTGTTTATTATGTACAGTCATCTACACAATGCTTTCGTAGTGAAAAGAAACACATTGTTAGCAACAAAAAGTTGAAGATGGTTTACTGGTCTTGACAATAATTTTGGGACAGAGGGAGTATTAAAAATGTAGAAGATATATAATATCTATAAAATTTATATTACTATATTATTTATATGATTAAAATTAAATAAAGGTGTAATTGAGAAAATATATGTTATTCCTGTATTGTTTGCTCACTTTTTAAAAGTTTTCTCACTTGACGGACCTGATGGATTAGTCTGTAAAATTTCAATACATTTTTTTTTTTTGGCAAACCAGTTCAAATAGCCAGTTCAAAATTCAAATTAAAAAGTAAACTCTTGCAAAACAAAATATGAATTTGGTCGATCACTTAAAACTTAAAAAATTAGAATGCCCTCGGTCATGTTTGTTTAGTTTTGTAGCACCCCTATGAGGTTGGTGGCAACATAATGAAATATAGATGAGAAAATTATAACGACTTACAACCAGTTAGGACTTTAATTAAGAAGTCAAATTCTACTTAAATTATAATTGATTAAAATTATGGGGACTTTTCTAATAATTACACTAAGTTTTTTTTATTGAATTAATGAGAAATATCACATAGAATAAGATCACATGTGATACTCTAAGATTGATTTTTTTGTTTCTCTTTCTTATTTCTCTCTTAGAATATACTATAGATAGATAGATATGGATGGAAAGAATTGGGATTTCCTCTTAAGACACAAATGTGTGTAATTATGGGAACTTGAACTCTTGAAGCATCCTTTTGTAAGAATTTTTCCCACAACGAATTTGCTGGAAAAAACAAAACGACAAATCCCACCCCCCGAATGAAATAGTCTCAATAAGCACAATGTTCTTTTTTTTGTCTTACTATTCCCAAACCTCCATAAAAATCTCTTTCTAAATTATACTGAAAATAAAAATATTAACTTCGCAATTTTCCTTTTGAAATAAAATGAGTTTACCATTACGGTTTCAACAAAAATTGAAAAACTCTCCATAAATAGTCTAGACTAAATCACAAAAAACGTCTCTTACATTTAGGCAAGATATATTTTTCTTTTGTACATTTGAAAACACTCATTTCATCCCAATTCTTCCCAAAATATGAATTTTACAACTTTTTATGTATCAAATCATTATTTCGCCCAACATACCATCAAATGAGATGGATATTTTTAGTAGTTTGGCCGACTTGTGATGTCTCTCTAACTAAGAAAAAATAATAATTAAAAATAAAATGAATTAAAATATTTTTTTTAAAAATAATAAAATGAATTGAAATATTTTTAAATTCAAGAAAAATCAAAAATAATTTTTTTGTTGTTTTATCCAGTGGCATCACGGTAATTTTTTTTTGTTTTTACAGTAAATTATAAATATAATAAAAAAATTCAAATTTGGAAAAGATTTAAAATTTGAAATTCAAAAACTTTAACTCCATTAAACTTTGAAGTCGAACTTTTATCTATCCATATGGTTTTTCAAGACAGTATGTACACTTTTCCTCACCTAGACAATATTAAAGACAAACTCAACAATCTCAAGAACAGTTGCCATTAAGGGAATTCACTGAAAAAAAGGAGAAAAACAATTACATTGAATTAGGTTGTCTTTCTTCAAGAACATAAAGAACAATAAAATGGTGGTTGATTAATTTAATCAACTTCCATGAGGCCATTGAAAATTCTAATTTTTCAATACTTGATTAATGCCATAAAATAAAGAAATATAATAATTGAGGAAAAAAAAATATTTAGGATCTTTTCTCATTGCCCAAAGGTAATGTAAAAAGATATAAGGGTTATTTTGTCAATAAAGAATTTAGTCATGAAAATGGCATTGATTATATAGAGACTTTCTCTTCAGTATTATTGAAAGACTCTTTTGAGATTCTAATGACATATCTAATACATTTTTTATTTTTTAAATTTCATTAGATGGATATTAAGAGAATATTTCTTAATAGCGACATTTTGAGACAATCTACTTGGTGCAACCAGAAAATTTTGCTTGATGGTTTGCAAATTAAAGAATTCCATCTATGAGCTTAAATAAGTTTCATGTTAGTAATTCAAGTTTCATTAAGTTTTCATCTCATTTAGTTTTGAGGTGAATTTTGTGATGATTATACACATTACAGTTTCAGTGGGAGTTTAACGTAGTAATTAAAAAAAATTATATTTAGATATTTAGTAACAGTTATAAGGTTACGCGGAATCATTAAAACATTAAAGATACACGCTCACATATCGGAGTTCGGTCCAGCTAGAGATCATTCAGTATCTCGACTTCGATTTTGTTTAGTTGTCTATATTGTCACAATGCTGCAAATACAGTATGGTCTCAAAAGACTACTTAAGTTATAATGCGACAATAATACAACAATTCAAATACTCTAATAATAAAGAACATTAAGTTTTTAATTGTTAGATGTAAGTTCAGAATGAACAGATTTTCTAAAGAGCACATTCGGACAAACTCCAATATCGCAGATTACTTTAGCTAAGGTCTTCATTGAGTATCTTGCTCAAATGAGTGTTGTGTAATTAATCTGATGATTTGACGGTTTAGTGTGAGTTTGTAATTTTGTTTTTGTTTTAAGGGTTCATACTTTTATGAACATTTGGCTATTAATACTGCAGTATAAAATATAAAGTGTAAGTAAAGTCTAATGTATAAGGTTTAAAGTTTGCAGTGTGCTTACATTTTGAAATTTCGATTGATCTCATTAAGGTATAAGGAAGACCAGTTGAAAAAGATTTTTCTTATTGAGTTGCTACAATAGATCTTAATATTAATTATATTAATTTTTTTTTGTGTCAGAACAGAGATAGTAGAAAAATTTATGATAAAGAAAAGTTGAATATGGTAGCCGAAAAATAATTAAAGTACTTTCTCGACAAAAAAGAAAATTTATTTTAATATAATTAATATCATGATTTACCGTAGCAACTTAATAAAAAAAAATTCGTGTTTGCAATGATCCCCACAAGATTAGTGAAGCCAATTTTGTTCGAATTTTATTATATTTATAATTTACTGTAAAAAAAATTTAAAAAAATTAAATAAAGAGTCTACCGGGTAAAAATAACAAAAAATAATTATTTTATTTTTAAAATTTTAAAATATTTTTAATTCTTTTTATTCTTATTTATTTTTTTTATCACTTAATTAGACAAAAAGCACAAACTGGTCAAACTACTGAAAATATCCCTGTCCTTTGAAGATATTCTGAACAGTGATTGGGGATGTAAAAAGTTGTGAAATTCAAATATTGAGACAAAATGTGATGAAAATATACATTTTCAAATGTACGAATGAAAAAATATTTTTGTCCAAATATACGCGACGTTTTCTGCGGTTGAGTTATTAACCTTTTATTATAAAGCTAACCCGAACCATATTTCAAAAAAAATATAAATAAAATACAAAATCATAACCTAACCATTAACTTACGAATGATAACAAAAGTTAATTTCCTCGGAGGAGTTCATTATGGATACATCCAATAATTCTACTCCTTTTATTCTTTTTTATATGTCGTGCTAGGGTTTAATGATTTTTTTTTAAATATATGTCGTTTTCACAAACTGAAGTACATTTGACCCATTTTTATCAAAATTATCCTTGCATTATAAATGAAACAGTGTGTATAATAAATTTTATTTATTGTGATGAGTTATATGGATAACAAATAATGATATTTTTGTATCTTAACTACATTAATTAATGTTTTATTGATTTTGATGAATTATCTAGAAAAACTTATAAAAAAAGAATGGAGGGAACAGCTTATTGTGTGTGCTCTATCTTATAATACTCCTTTTAGCCCTTATCATAAATAAAGTTTTTTTAAAAGATTTTTTTGATTCTTTAAATAAACATTTTATGTCATTAATATTTCATTTATAGGGTAATTTTAAAGTTACACCGCTACTTAAGTAAACTAAACTTTAATCTGATAGATGTCTTATATTTTGCCATGAGGTGTTGGGTTTTTTAACATGTAATATAGGTAATTCACTAAAAAAATAAAACTAAATTACTACTTTTATTAGTTCTTGAAAATTATTTATTTTGCTTTATATTAGTTCTTGAAAATTAATTATTTTGCTTTATATTAAGGACAACTAAAAGGAGTACTAGAAAGAGTATTTGATGAAGTTAAAAAAAAAAAAAAATTGTATTAGGAAAGTAAGACTGTGCACTTGGAAGTCTAAATTATTATTTTCTTCTATATTAAATTGATATTGTAGAGGAATAGTAGTAATTATTTTGGGATACATAGTAAGACTTTATTTTATTTACATATATATAAATATTTTTGATACATAGTAAGACTTTAATTTTTAAGTAATTAGTTGGAAATTTGTGAATCTTTGTTTGATATACTAGACCTATACTGGTTTACATCTCATTTTACTCAATCTAGAAAGTAAAAAATGCAACTATGGCAAGAAAAAGCTAAAAGCATCTCTATTCCCTTGAAGCAACGAAACATTCTGCCATTAACACAGTAACCTACCCGAAGCTTCTCGAACCATACACTCCACCTCATCACCATTTTCCATCTTCTTCTAAGGTGTTCGATTCACTTTACCATTTATTCCCATCTCAAAGATTCTGAACACCTTAAACACTCTTAGCTCATTTCCGTTCAGTTTCAATCAATTTAATTTTCTTCCCGTTCAGGCATTTTCACAAACGGTTTACGGGATGGCCGACGACGGCGTCGTTACTGTCTACGGCGGCAGCGCCATCACCGACGCAAAGAAGAACCCTTTTTCGATCAAAATCGGGATGGCCCAAATGCTCCGCGGGGGAGCAATTGTGGAAGTCAATAACGTCGATCAAGCTAAGATCGCTGAGTCGGCCGGCGCTTGCTGCGTCATCGTTTCCGAACCCAGCAAATCTGGGATTTGCCGAATGCCCGACCCGTCTCTAATCAAGGAAATCAAAGGGGCAATTGCGATCCCGACTGTTGCCCGAGCTCGAGTTGGGCATTTCGTTGAAGCCCAGATTCTTGAAGCCGTAGGAGTCGATTACATAGATGAGAGCGAGGTCTTAGCCATTGCAGATGAAGACCATTTCATCAACAAGCATAATTTCCGGGCGCCTTTCATCTGCGGGTGTGTGGATCTCGGAGAGGCCTTAAGAAGGGTGAGAGAAGGAGCTGCAATGATTAGGTTCCAAGGAGATTTGAAGGGCTCCGGCAACATTATGGAGACGGTTCGTGTTGTGAGAAAAGTGATGGGGGGAATAAGAATCTTGAACAACATGGACGACGACGAAGTATTCGCGTTTTCTAAGAAAATCGCTGCTCCTTATGACATCGTGGCTCAAACAAAGCAAATGGGAAGGCTTCCGGTGGTTCATTTTGCAGCTGGAGGAATTGTTACCCCTGCTGACGCTGCCTTGATGATGCAATTGGGTTGTGATGGGGTGTTTGTTGAATCAGATATCTTTAACTGTGCAGATCCTTATAGAAAAGTGCGTGCTATTGTTCAAGCTGTCAGGAACTATAATGATCCAATAATATTGGCGAATGCAAGCAGTGGATTGGAGGATGCTATGGCTGACTTGAACCTCAGTGAAACCAGGGTTGAGCATCTTGGTGCTGGAGGTAGCTATTGAATCATTGAATCTAATGATAGTTCTGTCTGTAGTTTCAGTGTTTAATTTTGTATTGAGCTGTGTAATGCCTTTCATAGGTTGTCCTTTTTTTTTTGTTTGTTTTTCCGGTTGTTTTATGAGCTTGTTGTCTAAATGAAAAGAGGGAAAGCTGTTGTCTAGGATCTGATTTTGATATGAAATAAAGAGTAAATGTTCTCTTTTATAGCAATAGTTAAATCAGAGCAGTATGCATCAGTACGTATGAATTTGATGTTATTTACATTGTTCTCCAACTAAATGGTATTGATCTAGATGTATATTCTCAAGTTCCAATGGCGTTCAGCTGGTCACCCATATAACAATGGTTAAATGCTGTCTTGCTTCTTCTGCATTTAGCTTTGCACTGATATCATTGATATTGAATCTGGGATGTAAAGTATGAGAAACTAATCCAATGCGATTCACATAATGCTGCATTTTTGTAGTTGTGCCATGATAATGCTCCGTGCTTCTTTCTCTACATTGCATTTTCTGTTTGCATGGTTGCGGGGCTGTTGTTGGTGTACAAGCACCTTAGAGCTGTTTCATAGGCTGTGAAAATGGCTCCATTTACAACAAAAGCTCTAGCAACCGCAGTTCCTAAACCGCGCCAGAGCACTCTGTACCCTTCTTCCTTCACACTTTGCCTGAAGCAATCAACTATGCCTGTGTATTTTGCTGAGTTCTGTGCCTGGAACCTGGTTTTGATGACATCCAATGGGTAACAAGATACCCAGCTAGCAACACCGGCTAGTCCACCTGCGAAAAGCATTGTTCTGAAGCTCTCCTGGCCATTCTTTCTGCATCCGGGATGAAGCTGCTCCCTCATGTACTCGTAAGTCCAAAAGTAGACTCCATGAGCGGGAGCATCTCTAAGGACAGTGATCATTAACCCACGATACATGCCTCTCAAACCTTCAGTCTTGAGAATGCTTCTTGCAAGATCCACAGGGCCTCGATGAATGTTTGTAGAACTAATGTTCCTCTGTAACTGAAGACGGATTTTCACCAACTCAACAGGGCTAAGCAACAAGCTCTGTATTGCTCCAGTTCCAACACCTCCAAGATAGACGCCTCTGTAGGAGGGTGGATCGGTCACAGAAACATCATTGTCAAATGCTCTGGAGAGTATAGCGTAAATCTGGAAGACCATTGCATTCTGCATAGGATGATGAAATGGTAGTTAATACAATATTTCCAAGTACTAGTAAGGGATTCCAGCGCTCAGGAAAACCATTTTTCTCTGATATGGATTAAGAAACAGCAAAAAGAGTATTATGCTGGCTGTGTCAGACTCGGACATCATAATCAGTTGGTAAATTTTAGCAAAGCAATTATCATGTCTTGGCGCGTAGAAATTGTGGACTAATCTTCAAGACCAGCGAGATTACACAGCTGAAAGTTATACTACCAAATTAGTAGTATCAATTAAGACCGTCGTGATTAGTATTGATGGTCACAGATTTTGTTACGTAGAAGCAAGAAACTCTTATTGAAGAATGCAGAGAGCCTTTTTTTTTTTTCCATGTCGTCGAAACTCACCGAACTACGTTATCATTTTCACAACGAGGCATCAGGAAAAATATTGATTTTTGACTATTTGAGAGGAATTTCTTGAACTGTATTTAGAATATCTTATTTTACTTGAAAACTAGTCCTGAAACTTGGAAAAAAAAAAAAAACCATGCCAAGTTACTAAACAGCTTAAGAATCATATATAGAAGGAAAATACGGACATACTTGGAAAGTAACAGAAGCAAGAGGAGCAGCCATGCCTCTGTAGAGGGCAAGGGGTCCTTCTTTGGAGACAACATGGCGGAAGATGGTGGGGGCTGAGCCACCTTTGTTGGAATGTTGCTGCCGGATTCTGATGGTATCAAGCGGATACCCTGCTACAATGCCGGCTATTCCTCCAATCCCTCCGGCCACAAATTCTCTTCCCCAGCTGCTTGCGAGAAACTCCGGCCAGAAATCCATCTGTCTTTTCTCTTCCTGCTCTCATTCCACAACCAAATATACAATCATATAAAACAAAAAACACGGGAACCCTTTCCTTACCCCAATCTGATTCAATTCCCTTGTTCTTCGTCCTCTCTCTTCAAGGAACAAAACTAGTGCAAAAAAAGAAAAAGTAGCAGTTTTCTTGTTATTGGTGATAACATAAACCAAGGATGGATTGTGGATTATGTTTCGGGATGTCTGTATCTGTTTCTGAACAAAAAAAGAAAAAGAAAAACTGAAAGTATGGGTCAAAAAATTTTGCCTGCAATTTTTCTCACACTCTCTCTGCCTCTTCTTCTGGTTGTTTTCTTGCTTCTTCTTTACAAAACAAAGGTCTGATTAATCGGAGTAATAAAGTTTCCAAATTCTCTCCTTAAAAAGAGAAGGGAAAACGGACGCCACCCCAATGCTATTTTGTTGGGACTCCATGTGAAAGTTATCAAACCCCAACCATCTCTTTCATTTCGAGCACACATCCGCCGCCACGTGGAATTAACACTACATGGGATTTTACTATTTGTCTTAATCGGGTCACGACCTCACATCCCATTTTAGTTTAATTTTGGTGTAATTTTTTTCGTGTCAGAATTAAACAATGTTGGAAATTTTCTGACGGACTATATAATAAATCCGCTATTAGATGTTATGTACTGCCTCCATTTCCAAAATAATTACTGTATCATCCTACATTTTGCACATAGTTTAAGAAATTCTTAAATATGGTAATAAAATTATTTAAATACTCTCAATCAACTCCATTAATAAAATGTCCACCAATAGTTTTAGTTCATTCGATGGTAATTTTAAAAAATTTGGACAAAATATGCATTGAAATGTGAGAACGACACTTATTTTAATTTCTTTATTTTGCTAAAACGACACTTATGCTTAAACGGAGGGAGTAACATTTTAATGTCACGTTTTGCTTTTAACAGTTACTCCCTCCATTTCAAAATGTACTAGGTCACTTTAGGCTCTGCACGTAAACTAAGAAAATAACTATTTAGCAATTACTTTGTGTGTCAAATGTCTAATTTACGCATCGTTAATTGTTTTAGAATTATAATCAAGACTAGAAGAAAAATAGTTAGCATTATTTATTGAGGACAAAGTTTAGAAAGTAATCAATAATTTGCTTTGAAATCCTAAAACGACTTACATTTTAAAATGCAGGGAGAAACATTAGTTACACAAATACACGACAAATTATTTAAAATCTAACATAAATATTGCGTTAAAGGTTCTTTTCAAGTGTTTTAAACGAACACATGTCACCGGTAATTGTGTCACGCAAATTGAAATTTAGTTATCAGATGAAACTGACAAGCCAATTTGGTCCTGGGGTTGCTAGTGGGCTGTGTTAATTTTGGGGCAAATGACATCAGAGTGGTTCGGTCCCCCAAACACAAAAAGGAGCTTTACCACTGAATCGTTTGTGCGGTGTGACGGGTGACCCTGACTACCTCTTTTTGGGGATACGAGGAACCAATCATGGGTAGATCCGTTTTAGATTCATCCTCCATTTTTATTTCTATTTATTTAATTTCTTTTTGGAAAACTTTGATCCTCCATTTGTCTTGAGCCGTCGGCTGAATTTTTATTTGGCCGGTGAGTCGGGCTGTCATTTGTTCGTTGTCTAATTCGCCGTATGATTGGGATCTTAAACCTGTGTTTATACGATAAACAAATGTAAGCGTACTAAATTAAGCACGTTTGTTTTCCACACAATTAATAAAATGGCAGTACATTATAACGCAGGGTTATACAGGCAAACATGATTGGTTGGTGGTGGTTATAGTTTAAGTTGGCTTAAGCTGGCTTTAGTTGTCCACTACAAATAAATACTTCCTCCGCCTCAAAATTATTGTCCAGTTTGCGATTTCACTTTAGTACAATTTTAACTAGAAATGAAAATTCAAACTGCACAATAATTATAGGACAGAGGGAGTATAATTCTTGGGAAGACATGCTTATGTTAGACATGCTTATCTTGGGAGTATTATGCAAAAATGGATTTGACTTAGTGATTAATCTTAATGACTCGTACAGCAAGAGTATCAAAGATCAAGTAGCACTAGACTTGCGTAAACTTAAGAGGGCGGCGAGTGAATTTGCATTTTGCAAGTCGAGAGAGTTAATTTCGTAGTTTACTAGTAACTAAGAGGGGTTCTCTAGTCCACTCAATATCGTGCTCCATTAACTCCAAAGTAAATTTATTAATTTTTGGACAATTTTATATAATATTTTGGTAAATCTACATCACTGCGCATCATATATTGCAATTTAAATCTGGCTCGTCATGAAAGAAATGAACATGTGATCGAGAGAGTTGATGTAGATTTATTGCACTAAAAAAATCATTATAGTTTTATAAGCTAGTACTACATTCTCATATGTTTATATTAAAAATAATGTAGTTCTCACCAAGTTTTCTTTGAACTAAAACAATACACTCTTTTTTAAAAAAAATAAAAAATACACTAGTTTTGATACTTATTTTGAGATGGAGGAAATAATATAATTCAAAAAAATTATTTCCAATATCTTACTCGGCACACTACAACCATAATATTAAAATTTGCAAGTGTGTTACTTAAGGATTTTCTTGGTGCTCTGGTACTGCCCATCTAATATCTAATATTATCTCCAAATTTCTTGCTGCTTGTAAAATATTCATAAAAGTAAGAAAGGACTTACAATGTGATGAGCTATGACTAGATAGCTACGATGTTCCAATGAAAACGATAATGATCTGAAAAGTGAGAACTCCCCATAATTTGCAGTATTATATCATTTCGTTAAGCTATTTCTAATTGGCAATTTGCCATGATACGCATTAATTAGAAGACCTTTTTTTTGGTACAATGATTAGATCACGCAATATCTTATGGTGTTTTCCAATTCACCATCCATCCATATGGTAAGGATCTCTTGTAGAAAATTTTTTCTACTCACCAAAACGTACATATGAAAATAACATCAGACGTTACTTCCTTTATCACAAAATAATACTCCCTCCGTCCCATAATTATTATCCAGTTTGGTTTTTCATTTCTAGTTCAAATTATACTAAAAGTGAAATATCAAACTGAACAATAATTTTGAGACAGAGAGAGTAGTAATATTTAATTTTTACTATGTTCTCTCCCGTGCGTTGCACGGAATCTATAAAAATGTATTATTTAAATGATTATTAGTTGTAAATAAAATATTACGTACTCCATTAATGGATGATTATGAAATAGAATCTAAAGAAAAACGGATCATATAAAGAATAAGTGAAAAGTAAAAAATTAGATAAAAAAGACAGTGTGAAAATTAAGTGGCATTAATATTATTATAATTTAAAGTTCTTTGAGTTTAAAAATAAGACTAATGTTTTACATGAATTTTTTTCGTAATTTTACCCGTTAAATATCAACATTTTTTAATAAGATGGATATTACAATGATTGAGTTTGAATATAAGAAGAATGCCTTACTTGGATTTTCTTGTCACTTTACTCGCGAAGTTTTACCTTCTTTTTTTTTTTTTAAAAAGATTAGTATTAGAGTTATTTAATTTGAATGTAAAAAATATATTTTGTTTGGATTTTTTCATAATTTTATCCGTGAAGTTTCAACATTTTTTTCACCATAAACGATGTCGGTTCTTTTTATAAAATATTAAATTAGAGTACACATAATTAAAATTTTTCTATTTCACAATAGAATGAATTAATTTTTATAGACATTTATATCAGAAACCTGCTTTAATGTATATGGTTAAAGATTTTTTTGGTAAATTAATACAACGTAGTTTTGACTTAAGGTGTTTTGGAGGGAAATTTTTTAAGTACAACGTGACACCTTAGTAGTTTTCTTCTCTTGGACTTCTCTTTTAATAGGATATATATTTCTTCCGTCCCAAAGTTATTGTCCATTTTGGATTTTCATTTTTAGTTTAAATTGTACTAAAAGTGAAATTTTAAACTGGACAATAATTTTGGGACATAGAGAGTATTGATTTATCATACAATCTGCACCTAGGGGGCAATAGAGCTCATTTGGGCCATATAAATCTAAATGGAACAATTTTTTAAAAAGAAGTATATAAAATCTTTAAAATTTAACTATCACTATTTTGAGTGTTATGGAACCATTCGCTATAGAGTATGAAGTACAGACACTGGAAATAAAGTTTTGGCAATTTATAGATCATCGTATAATATATACAGCCCAGCCTAAAAATCATAAGAGCATTTTGGGTTTAAACGAGTGATGAGTATCAATTTGGCCCAAGTAGAAGTTAGACCGATCCAAATTTCCTAATCTATAGCCCAATGTCAAGCCTGCTCAAGTGGGCACCTACCATATCTTTCTCTCGTGACAACGAGAACAAGGGTCGAAGGCGGTTGGTGTGTGTGTGTGACTGTGTGAAGACTCTGGCGGAGACGAGGGGAAGCTTATAAGCTCCCAAAATAATAAAAGGAAATAAACCCCGAGAATTAACGGACAAAAGGGTTTCGTTTTAATGGCGTTAATTTCTTCGTCAGTTTGTCTATCTTCATGTGCTCCGACGAGTTTGCCGCCGTTGCAAAGCCGGGAGAGCTGCTCGTCGTCGATCGTAAACCGCCAACCACATGTCGTCTGTTCCTTTCTGCCGCCGCCGCCGCCGCCGTCTTCTTCTAGTAATTCAATAAATGGTCTTCTAAGGCTGCAAAGTCGGCGGAAAGCTCTGCAGATAGTCCGAATGGCTCCAGAGGAAGAGAAGATGACTCGCCGTTCTCCTCTCGATTTCCCAATTGTAAGCTCCTTTTTCATTTTGTTTGAATTTCTCTTGGAAGCTTGGGGTGTTTTTCATTTGCTTGTATTTCGAATTTTATGTTGAATTTAGGACGGGGATGGATTTCATATATGTTAATTCATCCTTTGGGTTACTTGTCGCATTTCTGGCGGAATTTTCGATTTTCTTTATCCTTTCGGTTTTCAGTTCAGTTTTGTTGAGTTGAGAGTGATTTACATTATAATATTGCCCTGTGCTTTTGGTGGCCATTGGATACGGTTGGTTCAATAATTAGAGCTTAGGAGTATTTGTTTTGAGTGGTGAATGTAGCTCACTAATGGAAGTATCTGTGTCCAGCCTTTATCTGTGAGTCTAGGCTTCCCCAACTCATTGTGTGAAGGAGTTTCAATGGCAGGATACTAGATGCAACTTCAAGCTAGTACTTGCTTATTAATACCTCGTTTTAAAACCACCAGAGAGGAGCCTCTACCATGGAGTTTAAGGATTTTATCCAATGTAGTGTTGGAACTTGTCGTCCTTGGAGTATTTCAACTAGATAATTCATTTGAAAGTAAGGGTACCTTCAATATATGAGAAATGAGAGAAACAAGATAACTTTAATACTCCAGAAAAGTGTCTTGGCTCTAATAGATGAGAAATTTAGGGTATTACTTAACGTGTTTCGACATTTGTGTGGGAGGTTTTGGATGCTAAGTAACGCATTTAGAAGATAATACACTCATATTAAAGAAAGAAATACTTGGAGAATAGCTTATCAAGAAAAGGATGTGGATGTGTCCAAACCTAGATAAGAATGTGGGAACAAGAAAGCAAGTCGCCGCACATAGTACTTTGACTATTTCGATGATTTAGGTTGAGCAGCTTTTCAAAATGAAGACTGTAAATTCTGTATATGTTATGTTACGTCAAAGTGATTCTCACGTTGGTATCTTGAATGTTATTCATGCAGGTAGTTTTATCATTTAGTTTTGTGAAACTATTATGATCATATTCTTGTCCTTGTATTTGAAAGTGAAAGAGTGTGAAAGCTTCTCAAGCACTATTTACTTGCGCTGTAATCTGCATGAGTGCTAAACAGTTGTGAAGTCCCTGTGGCTGAATGCAAAATTTTTCAGTTTCCTCTTTTGTGTTGCTGATTTATATGTGATTGTTGCAGGAGTGGGAAAGGCCAAAACCAGGAAGGAGGCCAGACATCTTTCCCCAATTCAGTCCCATGAAAACTCCATTGCCACCTCCTCTACCAGCTGATCCTCCCGAAGAAGATGAGGAGGAAGATGAAGAAAAGAAAGAGGAAGAGGAGGAAGACCCCGAAAAAGAGGAAGATCCAGAGAAGCCTGATCAGTAGGGTGGAGTGACTGAGAGCTTGCTATGTTTAGTTTGTGGAACATTGGAAGAGCATGCTTTTTCTTCAGGTTTGACAATATTGGCATAATCTCCCATGGTTTTTATGTCAAAGGATGTCTATGAGCAGCTGTAGTATATTGCCTCCTTGAGAGTCATAAGAATTTACCATATATTAGAAGATAGGCAATTTATATCTTCTTGTGTTGACACTGCGTTTTGTATGCCACTGGCAGTTGTAGCCCAGTTTTCAGCGTGGTGGATGAGTTATAATGAAATCTTGAAGCTAATTTTGTTTTACATGTATGTTGTGTCATTCACAATGAGTGCTAAGTTATAATGAAATCTTGAAGCTAATTTTGTTTTACATGTATGTTGTGTCATTCACAATGAATGCGAGATTGCGCCGTCTTCTGAGGATGCACATATGAACACCTCCCTCCCCCGTTTATAACTGTGTAAGTGTGCCTGGTTTTTTATGTGCAAAAAGGTTCAGGCGATGAAGATGACACGAAAACACAGATAGAGACGATAAAGCATAAAGGCACTGAATGCACTTCTGTAGAAAGTATAAGGGGTGACTTATGTAGCCAGGGTCCAAGGATGTTTATAACTTGGCACTTCTGGTGTATATGTTGGATAGTGTTTGTAGATAGTGTTTGCCAATGCAAACATGATTGGCTGTGAAGTTTTAACATAGAGCAGAGCAATACATACACAAAGCAATGACATTTGAATAGAAAGATACTTCACATTATCATGACTCAAAATCATTGACGGCACGTCAAAAGCAAAGAATTTCCCACTTCTCAGATCATCCCCCGGTTGAGGGCAATCAAGCATTAGCATACTTCTTCATTAATCAAACTGATACATCGTCGAAAGCAGAAAAAAAACAAATGCAAAACCAACACAGCAGATAGAATGCTAACAAAGGCGAAAGACTGGCATGATTCTTGATCTCACCCAGTTTTACACGAAATATAGTTAGAACAATAGTAGTCAATTAGCAACCACTAGTAGCAATACAGATGATAAGTCTTGAGTAGAAAGAGTGAAACACGCATAGATAAGATTTATTTCTAAAGATAACTAGTTCACTTCTTTCCGCTCTTCTTCAGTCCAGCGCCTCCAATGGATCCTTTAGCCGCCTTAGCCTTGAGCTCTTTCAGGGCCTGCCAAACACAATAAAACATGAGAAAAGGGCTCACTAGAACTAAAAACCCGAAGACACCAAGAAAGCAAAAAAGGCGTAAGTTAGAAGGCTTAAAAGAAAAAATGAATCCACCTTTTCCTCCTCTTTCTTCTTTGCAAGAAAGGCCTTATCATTCTGCAAATCAGTAGAGAAAATAACGAATCATTCTCCAACAAAGGTCAAGATATAGGAAGCAAAAAAGGCATGTTCCCAATCCAAAAATGTTGCGGCAAGGTAAACTAAAAGACAAAACACTATTCTGGATATAAAATCAAGCTCATCAGACAAATTATCATTCTCGACAAAGTCAGGTGAAGCATTATGACGGCAACCAGCTAAATGTCTTCATAAGAATTCAAACTATTAAAGAATAGGCCAACAACAACTAAAAGTGTCCCTTATGGGCACAAAAACAATCAGGAATTAGCTCAGGTTAAGCATAAATATAAACATCATCTCTGTGTATCATATTAGAACAATAACACTACCCACGAATCAACCTCCAAACTATGGAATACTAACAGGAAAAAAAAAAAAAACATAATATCGATCATGAAAAAGACTTCTAGACAGGCTGATCAACAAAATCAACAAATCAACTCAAATTCGGCAATCCTAGATTAAAAATAACCAAGAAATCCTAAATTAAGGAAAAAGGTATACATCGACCTAAGTAACGTACCTCATCGTATTCTTTCTTCTCAACCTTTGGTGCCTTCAAAGGCTTAGCTTTACCACCTGCAAGAAGAACACAGAAAGCACGCGAAATAAGAACAAAAAGGGAGAAATTTCCAGCTCTCTTACCTCAAATTATTCGATAATCAAAACAACAAATTAAGAGAAGATAATAACAAGATCGATGGGAAAAAGATCAATAACCTTGCTTGGTAGACATGGCTGAAATCTAGGGCTAGGTTCAATTTCTCGAATAAAAAGGAAAAGTAGATGAAATTCAGCAGAGAAGCCCTAGCCCAATCAATAATTTTGCTGGTGTTAGAACAAAGAACATTCTGGTAGACTTTATATATACGCACACCCGAAAATAATTGGAATAAAAAATAAAAAAAAATTGACCGACCAGGTGACGAATTACATTTCTGCCCAGACATTATGATCTTGGGCCAATCTTCCCTCTTATGGATGGATCATTGGTTTTGTTTTTCCGGCCCAATCCACCAATCAGCACAAAACAAGTAAAAAAATTAATCGAATATTATTCACATTCTGGCGTACAAAAAATACTCACAAAACAAGCATTATGTTGAAAAAATTAAAATAATAACTCTAGCAAAAAAAAAAAAATAGCATAATAATCTGCAAATAATGTCTGGAAATAGAACTAAGAAGCCCACCTCGTTTCTTCTGTAGATTGAGAATATGCTGCATCATTAAGTTGTTTAACCATTTTCTGTAAATCGTAAAATTCATCATCAGAACTTGACCATGATGACGAAGAAGAAGAAGAAGAAGAAGAAGATGATGAAAATGCTGACTTGGTTAGGACTTCGGATGTTTGAAGGACCTGCATTGTCATTATCCATAGTAATGAAAATTTTAGAGTTTATTATTTTTCTAGACTCTTTAGTAAGCAATGATGGATATTTTACTTGTAGATGAACTAATGAACTCAAGAAAGTGAAGCATGCTTGATTTTAAAGAAGGATGGTGGTACTTATAGAATTGTTGAGATAATGGTAAAAATCTATCCGAGGGTTTATTTCATGATAAAAAATCGATCTAACGGTTAGGAATAGAAATGAAGATAAAAGGGGTCAAAATGATTGTTTCAAAATGAAAAGGGGTCAAAAGTTTGTCTCAAATTCAATCTGACAATTGGACCTGTGATGAAATTCGTCATATATCTTGCGTAATTATTAAATTTGAATTTTCCATTGAATTAATGAGCCACAGATCGAAACATAGATCAATTCTTGTAAGCTCCAAATCAAGTCTATTTTTTTTTTTTTTTCCTTTTCCTTTTGGCTACCATATACACTAAATTGAAATCACGAGTGATTCTTTTTGCCCGACGCCTACAGACAAATAAGCCAATGTAGCTTTTTTTGGCCCATAATTCCACTACAAGAAGATAACGATCATAATACTCCCTGTGTCTCATAATTATTGTCCAGTTTTACTAAAATGAAAGATTTTATTTTTGGTCAAACTTAATTATATATTACCTTAAACAACTGCATATACTCCTACATAAGTAATTGTTTAACCACTAAGATTTTATGGATGATATTTTTTACTAAGGACAAATGTGTAACTTGGTCCATAAAAAGTCAAATTGGACAATAATTTTGGGACAAAATTTTTTGGGCAAAGTGAATAATAATTATGGGACGGAGGGAGTAATTAAATTAAGATACTGATTGTAAAAACAAGTCTAGTTAAAACAATTCCAAAGCCACTCTACTTGTTATAAGAAGTATAAGGTTCTCATTTTCAATGTAACTCAAACAACATTGTCAAACATTATTATTCCCATTGCTCCAATGATTTGTCCTCCTTAAAGTATTATTTGTAGTACGATTTGTATTAAAAAAATGAAAAATAGTTGAAGATAGAGGAAATATATTATTTGCTGTTTCACTTTTAACCAATTTTGTATTTCCTTTATCATATTCTAATAATTTACTTTATGGTATCGTTTTTATTCATCAAAAGAATATAATGTATTCAACAACAGTGAAATACTACGTACAATTGTCCTACACTCGTATAGTCCTATTCAACAAAAAAAAAAAAACATAATACGACATTGTACTAACAAATAGTAGTAGTAGTAGTATGAATATATATCCCTCGTGATTGATGAACAACAATATTAGAATTTCGATAGAACCGAAGTTACATTAGGAACACTTTGCGCCCATTGTTTTTAAGGATTGCAGCATAGATTTCATACATATAAAAGACATATTACTACACACACTCTACATAGTAAAAGACTCTTTGGTTTGAACAACAGGTTGAAAGGAAGACAAACTAAGACTGCCACTTGTGGTTCTTGCTTGTCGAATTATTGACAACAAATCTCCTCTCCCTACCATTTGTCAAATACTCATAATTAGCTCTCTCTAGCTATAGCTACTTTATCATATAGTTAAAGCCTTAAAGGTATACTAGAGATTCTTAGAGGTTCAATTGGTTCTTTTTCTTTCTACATTTTCAAGGTTTCCGTGTAGTTAATTTAGCCAGTTGCATGTCAATTTTATGCTAATTTTAGCATTTTATTTTATTTTTTGTTTCCATCCCGACATGCATGCATGTATTAATTAGTTCTTTCTCTTGTGTGAATCAATTGGTTGTTGCTGTTTGATCGGGTGGGCGGATTATTTAAGATTAAGATTTGTGAAAAATGGCGGTGATGATTCAGCCACTGGCAAGTACGGTGGAGGAGTTGGCAATTCAGCCGACGGTGACGGTGACGACGCTGTTGTATTGTAGCAATCTGCTTCCCCGGAATCTCAACTTGGAGCGATTGGTTTCCGGTCATTTGCTTCGTCGCCAGAATTTTGTGTTTCGTCTTGTACTACATTTCCTGTCATGTTTCTGGTAATTAATTAAACATCTTCTTTTTTAGTACTGTACTTGGTTTTAGCTTTCTTTTTTCCTGTTTCATTAACAATTTTCTTACAATTTTTTTTTTTGTGTTGATCAGCTCTTTTGGTAATGGAGGAAGATATTACTGATAGAATTCTTTTAATTACGGAAGATATTAAAAAAAATAAAATACTGCTGCCTCTGTCCAATGGAATCCGGTTGATTGAACTGTACATCAGTACAATAGACAATTCTTATAATGGAACGGAGGTTAAGCTTTGTTTAATCAACTAATACCATCTACTAATTTGTTTAATCAGTGACAATTGAAAGTGAATAGTCTTTGGTCTCTAATTTAATTAAGGCAGCACAACTCGGGTTTTTGCGCATCTGACCAACAATTTGGGTTTTAGAAGGGTCCGTTCTAGACTTCATGGGAACCTGGCCTAGCCCAATTTTTCTCAAAGATTGACAAATTGAAAACCCCCAATGTCCAAACTTGAAGGCCAGATTTATTAGTTCGAGTATGATCAAAAAAAAAATATACTGCCTCTGATTGATAGACGGAGGAATCGACAAAATATGTAATCCGTGTGAGTTATCATGAAGGCCGAATTTTGCTAAGGCATCTGCAACATGATTTTTATAATGTCAAGTATACCCCACTAAAACTCGCCAATCAAGCCTAAGAAGAAACTGGACAACAATTTTTAGGCATTCCCTTTGAGTAAGATTCTTGAATCAGCTTTAGTTCCAATATACGAGGACTGGATAGGCAAAGCCGAAAGCACCTCCATTGCCACATCCTCAGGAAGGTCGATCGGACATTATCATCTTCGAAGCCAAAATAATTTGATAAGTTGTTATCGCCAACACTCAAAAATCAAACTTTTATTCGAGATACTACAATTTCTTTTTGTTCATCAAGTTTATAATTTAGTCCGTTTCAAAACCTCAATATGTTGTTTTTGTTTAAAAAAAAAATAGTACTCCCTCTGTCCCAAAATTATTGTCTAGTTTGAGATTTCACTTTTAGTACAATTTGAACTAGAAATGAAAACATAAACTGGACAATAATTATGGGATAGAGTGAGTAAATTTTAGTAGTCTTTGCTCTCAAAATTAAGTAAGGCCACACAATTATTTGGATTTTTGGGCATTTTAACTAATAACATAATTAAATACGAATGGAGTGGGAAAATGATTTAGCTTTTAATTTGGAAGAGAAGGGCCAGTTCAAGGTTCAAGACGTCAAGGAAACCCGAACTACATACTACTATATCCCAATTTTACTTTCAAACATTCAAACGTGAAAACCCCAATGTCCAACGTCCAATTTGATCTACTCCACACATGCATTCCTGATAAATCATTTTAGGGAATTTTTTTTGTTTTTTTGAAAAAAGAAAAAACTTCTTCAGACTTAAATATGAAAATGTAGTTAAAACATGACAAAAAATGACCTGTCTTGTTAGAATCCGGTGCCTTATTAGTAAGATTTTTTCGGGTTCAACTTTCGTGAACAAAAAAAAAAAATAAAAAAAATATTAGGAACATAAAAATTACAGAGCGGGATTTGCTCAATATTCTATTATTCTTTTATGCTTCAGTTTTGTTGAATTGTACTTGTTATCGTAAGTGTTACCATTTGGTGTCATCCTTACAATCCTAATTATTCAACTAACCAAGGCCCCACTTTTATAAACCGTGTAATTCATTACACCAAAAACATCCATCAACTGAAATGATGATTTATTGATCCATCGATGAACAACAAACCGAACTAGCTAACGCAATCATATTTTTTGTTTGGTTAAGAATTTTTGTTTTCTTACCATTGTTGAAGCTGCAGGTAAAAACCCGTCCACTCCACTTGCAAATGTTCAACCAACAAGAAGCATATGGAATTGATACAAAAAGAGATGACATTTTGAAAAGTTAGGGTATAGACGGCAAAATAAAGGCCAAATTAAGTGATATCAAGTAGCAAGACTCCATAACTTTACATCTGTTTAAATTAGTTCCGCTGTCGATGTTAACGCGTCCAATTTCCACTCATAAAAATAATGTGCCATCTCATCAGCTCGTTTTGTTTGATTCTCATTCTGTTCCAAATAAAATGAAAAAAAAAAAAATCCAGTTTGTATTTGATCATGAGCGACCAATTAAGTTTTGCCTTTGCACTTCTAACAAAGGTTGTGTCGTGTTGGTTTGTTTTTGGACATCAGAAACATTAAGGAGCCGTTTGTTTCCTTGGAATCAGATTAAAAAACGGATTCAAAACCGTTTCAATTGTTTGGTTGTTCGGAATTGGATTCGTTGGAACGGGCTGAATCCAAAAGAATGAATCACCCCTCTTACCACATGATTCAAGTTGAATCTAATTATCAATCTTCTCCTGATTTTTTTAAATTATTTTTAGATCTTATAAAATTTTCTTCTTTTTCTTTCCTTCTTTCCCCTTCGTTATTAAGTATTATTAAATAGAATTAGTTATTAAGTATACCTTGAGATTAATTATAGGGAGGTGACATGTGAAATCCCCCGTAAGCACATCACAAGAGAGGCATGCATATTGGATCGATGATTGACGTCTCCAATGATCGATGAAACCCCCCGTACGTATTTAAGCATTTCGGTTAATTAGGCTTTTTAGCTTTCTTCGTTTGTATAATTAAGAAAAAGAAAAAATATGAAGTTAAATATTAATCCATCCGTCCCCTAAAAAATTATACTCCCTCAAACTCAAGAAGGTACAATTCATTTTATTCATTAAACTTCCATATTTAAACTCTGATTAAAAATTTATTCCTAGACCGCACAAAGACAAACCCTCTTCTTCCTCCTCAGGCGACCCAAATCCTAAATCCGCCGTCCGTCACCATCTCTCCCCCTCTCACTCCAATTCTCACTAAACGCTGTTACGGCTCCTCCTAAATCCGCCGTCCTCCACCATCACTCCCACTCTCATTCAGGTTCTCATCTATACTTTCACTTCAACTCCGACTCCGAAGACGATGATGACCACAATCACATCGACGACGACGATGATTTAGCTTCTAGCTCTTTCCATCGTCACGCTAGCCATGAGCAATTGACCACTACTTGGACGATGGTCTCTCCACCTCCTACCATTCCACAGTACGCTTCCTTATGTCTCTGGGGCTGATTTTTCTTTTGACGCCTCGTTTTTCGATTTGAAAGAAATGTGAATTGACACCGAATGTGTCTCTTTGTAGAAGAGAAGAGAAGAGAAGACGGAGATAATTTTTTTCACCTTAATCCCTCAAAGGTTGGATTTTGTAGATTGAGGGACGGCAAATGATAAATTAGGCATAAATTTGGATCGGGAAAAAAGGAAGAACGAAAAGCTTTTCACATTCTAACAGCTGTGGGAGGGCAATTGAGTCATTTTATCAGTTTTAATTTTGACTTTTTTGAAACTGTATTATTTTTTTTGAGACAAATTTTTTTTTATCAAATTGGACTATTTTGTGGGACGTAAGGAGTACGAATTATTTTATTAACGTAAAATTGTTTGCCGAAATTAGTATCTCCTTAAACGAATTGAGTACTTAGTACTATGACTATACTAAGTTTTTTTAGTCGCTACCGGAATTAACCTTCTGTTACAACAAATTAAATACCCTTTACTTCGCTTTTTGTATTTAGCTTCTACTTCCTGAGTTTACATTTTGCGTTCGTTGGCCTTTTGCATTTATCATTACGTGGAGTTTTGTAAGTTAAATAGAGTGGTAATTAAGTCATGTTTTTATAAAAAATTATGACACAAACCGTCACTGTGAACTTTACAAGTTATGATCACCAAGGTTGTTTTTGACCAACAAATTTTGATAAGTTTTACTCCCTCCAGTATTTAATATAAGACATTTTGATTTGTCTTAAATTTGACTTAATATGCATTTTTAATTATCAAAAGAATCTTAAAAATATTTCATAACAATCAAGAAAATACAACAAATGTAGAAATATTTTTAAAAGGTTTTTCTTTAACAATTAAAAATGTGTATTAAATGAAATATATGACAAATAAAAATACTTTATATTAATGACCAGAGAAAGTATATACAAAGGTTCGACTTACAAGTTACGGTACCTCACTATCCAAAATGAATCATTTTATCGCATCAAGAAATGCCTTTGGTTCTCCCTGAAAATTTCAAACTCAGAGAACGTGTATTATTTCTGTTGCGGAATAGTCGGTTCATTATAAAGCTCAAATGTTGGAATTAAGATTGGACTGACTTAAGTATCATTTGTTGTATATTCTGTCCATCCTATAATAATTGTTCGATTTAATTTTTTATTTTTTAATAATAAAAATTATATTAAAATTGAAAATTTAAACATGATATTAGTCATTTTGAGACAGGAAAAAAAAATTAATAAAACAAAGGATCACGTTCGCAAGTACGGATATTTTGATGATGATAACAATAATATGGTTTCATCGTTTCATTTGTGTCTCGTGACTTCTTAAATCGTATCTCTATCAACAAAAGATATTGGTAATAGTATTATACTCCCTCTGTCCAGTTTGAGTTTTCATTTTTAGTTCAAATTGTACTAAAAGTGAAATCTCAAATTGGATAATAATTTTGGGACGGAGGGAGTATAAGCTTAAGAAATGTGAAGGATAAGTGATTATAATACTACTAACTTTTGAAAGATTTGGCTGGATGGAATAAGGAACATTTTCAGTAAATACTCATCAACATCTTAGTAGACAGGCAGTTGGGTATGGAGCAAGCAAAATTAACATTACATTTGGCGATGCAAGTTGCAAGCTGGATACCAGTTAATTAAGTTGCCTTTTTCTTTTTTATTTTCTTATTTAGCGTTTGCTTCCTTCCTTTGTAGGCAAGCAATTTGGAATCGTCCTTGAGCTATATAGCTATATATGACTCTGGGTCTGCGTTGTTTCCCACCATTTTTTTTTTTGGTGCACTTTCCCCTATTGTGAAAAAAAAAAAAACAAAAATATATGTTGAATTATCATAAAAATATACTCCCTCCGTCCCATAATTATTATCCACTTTGCCCAAAAAATTTTGTCCCAAAATTATTGTGCAATTTGACTTTTCATGGATCAAGTTACACATTTGTCCTTAGTAAAAAACATTATCCATAAAATCTTAGTGGTTAAAAAATTACTTATGTAAGGGTATATCCGGTTGTTTAAGGTAAAATATAGTTAAATTTGACCAAAAATAAAATCTTTCATTTTAGTAAAACTGGACAATAATTATGGGACGGAGAGAGTAATACGCAATAAAATATACTCATTATATCGTATTCTATGTATTCACGTTCATTTTCTCTATTAATCGAATTATGAAATGAGCATTACAATCTACAGTTCAAATGGTTTACTTTCATCAATTAGTTGTTTGATTCCTAGAACTAGCTAATTGATACTCTACTACTAATGAAGATGTAATTTGTTGTAAACTTAAGAATCATGTTAAACATACGTCGGTTTCACCGTCAACAACAACAAAAGTTACTACGAGGATATAAAGACTTAGGGTATGTTTGTTTCGTTTTTTTAGTGTGTGTTTTTAAGTGTTTTTTTTATTAAGAATGTAAAAAAAATGTATTGAAAATGTAAAAAGATATATTGGGATGGGACAGTTAATAATAATTTAACTTAAAAACACCAACAAGGAAAAGGAAACAAACAAAGCCTTAGTTTGTCATAGAGATATGGAAAATAAAGGTGGCGGTCAAGCAATGATAATTTGTTGTAACAAGATTCATGTTGCAACCGATAATTAACTCAGAAAAACATTATAAAAGCCTGTTAAAAGTAAGAAAAACTACCGAAAATGGATTCTGTTGAGCTGTTTTGTTTTTACTTTTTATTGGGCTAGCTTTTGCTTCCTTTGTAAGCACGCAATTCGGCATAGCTACGAGTCTACGACGGCGCCTATGTACGGTTTGCCGCCTTTTTTTTTTGTTATACTAATAATAATTTTGTATAAGTTTTTACCTAAATACTATTACAAATTTATTTGCGTTTTCACATTAAAATATTTTCTCCACCGTAGTGATACTTTACAGTGACAGGTGACCTTAATTCAGGATTTCGTTAGTTATACATGTACCATAATCGTACTAACAGCATTTTGATGATTAACAATTATGATTATGAAAAACCATTACGACTTATGAGTTCGTTTTCATCTCAGCGGTTTTAAGCTTTTGTAGTATGCACAGGATTCCCGTTCCAAGTTCCAACTACTTTTTTTTTTTTTTTTCCTTTTCCCACTAGTATTTCATAATTGGTCGAAGAGATTACATTATATATACTACGTTAATCATCATGAAAAATCACTGTATGTATGTCAATCATTATATTTCTGGCTATAACTATGGGTGGTTGCAACCGATATGTTATAGAATTATTTTCCTCTTATATTTCCGCAATCAATGGACTGAATTGTAGTCAATGATTTTTTATTACCAGTTTTAACTCAATTTTCATCATCACTCTCATAAAATCATAGTAAAAATTAAATTAATTGTATGTAATTTCCGTGCCATGATTAATTAACTGGAGAGAAACTAGCTGCTTTAAATATGGCAAACTAAACTAACAATGGCTCAGAAACTGAGATCGTTAAGCAAAGTTTAGGAGTTGGGAAAAGTAGAGCTTATAACTAGACAATTGACCATCCTCCATGCTCATCTTCCCCTCAAAACAAGGAATGTCCATTAACAATTCTTAATCTTAATAATTAATGAGAAGAATATACGCTCTATTTTAATTTTATTAGTATTTATTTTGAGAGTCTTTTTCGTTATCTTTCCCTTAAATAACATCAAAAAATTCGTGGTCATATAGAACACCTCATTGAAAACTTTCCATGTTTGACTCCTTTTCCTTCTCCTCTTCCTCAAAGTACCAAAACTTTTTTTTGAACCCAATGAGTCCTCAATATTATATTTTTAGTCCAATTTCTTAAAACTAAAACCTAGACATTGGAAACTTGATGAAACGCACATTTATAAGAAAGTAATCTGTCAAAGTACACAATGACTTCTTACATGATGTGATGAAATTTTAGGTACACTCTTAATCAATTTATCATAATCATTATCGTTATCTCTAGACCAAAAAAATTGATAATTTCATACTTTGATCCTCTATAGTAAAGATTTCATTGTAATAATAAATAGATAGACATTTATAAATGTGATAAATCAAAAAATAATTTTACCAAATGAAACCTAAGAAACAGGAGCATGTGCGAAATCAGCAGCTCGATCTCCGACTGTTTGTCTCCCGCGTCTCCCACTATTACTCAAACATCGCGTTTAGACATTCTTAATTTCCCTTCCTACCCCTGATTTTGGATGAACTACCTAAACCACGTAGGGACATTTCCGTAAAACAATATCTTGACAGTTATACAGGCCCGGAAAGGTGTCCAACGTGGCAATGCAAGCTGGGAAAAGCAGCTCGTTCCCAATTCTCTTTCCCTATAAATGAGGGTATTAATCAATCAATTCAGAGAATTTTCACGAAAAATTTTCTCTGCTTTTTTTTTTTCTTCTTCTTCTTCTTTTTGCCATAATTTTTGGGTTATTATTGAAGTTTGTTAATGGCCATTCTATCCTAATCCAATCCGACCCTTGTTTTTCTCTTCCAAAAATTTTTCAACTTTTTGTCCTCTAAAAGTTTCTTTCTTTTTTTTTTTTTTTTTTTAAGTTCATCAAAAAGGGTTAAGGAATCTTTTTGGTAGCAGAGTTTTTAATCTTCACCTCTTACTTTCAATTTGATTCTTCCGTAATTTGTTCTCTGATTCCTGCCGTAACTTCGTCCGGGTTAAAAAGGACAACCCTGCATTGATTGTTCTGTTATATTGATCATCATATACCATAGTTTCTGCCATTCCAAGAAACGGAAATAAAAAACAGGGGAGGTTCTAAAATGTTTGACGGATTGTTGAAAAGCAAATTCTACTCGAAATGGTAAAAGCTCAATTCAAGAAAAGAATTCATCTTTTTGCAATTTGTTTCGTTCCTCTGTTTCTTGGGTTTTTTTTTTTTTTTAATTTAACGTATCTGATTGGTTCTTGATGGTTTTGGTTACAGCAAGTCGTCACTCAAGTTGACGAAGACGAGGGTCGATATGATAAAGAGGAAGAGAAGCGCAATGCAGAAGTATTTGAAGAATGATGTGGTTGATCTTCTCAAGAATGGGTTGGACTCCAATGCCTACGGCAGGGTAATCACTTTTCTTTTTTTACCCTCTAGAGTTGAAATTTTAAACTCAATTTTCAAACAATCAAAACTTAAGGCTTTTTGAATTTCAACTTTTTAATTTCTTTCATTACTTCGCGTTTGCTTGATCTGGGATTGCCTGTTAGTTTTAGTTTGAAACCAAGGTTGTTCATTGCAATTTCTGGGTCTAGTGCATTGTCATTTCCCAAATCCAAATGCTTAAGGATATCTCATTTAGTTTGCTTGATCGGATTTCTAAAATCTCATTTGATTTTGTGTTGTTTCAACTTACATTTGGAAGGCTTGTAGTGTCCACATCAACTAGAATAAACTTGAGGCCCTGAGAAGCCGGCTCGTGACAAAAACAGAGTGGCAAGAATATTGGAATTTTTCATAAAGTCACATCTTTTAGTTATTTTATGGCCTTAATGAAGGCATTGATGCCCAAAACAGTTCTTTTTTCCAGACAATTTAGTTGGTAACTCTTATCAGTTAGAACAACTTTATTTTTTGTGTTTTTGCTTTTTTAAGATGACAGGTGCTGTTTGGTAATCTAATACAGTACTCTATATCTGTTCCTGCTAAAGCAAATTGTGTCTTTTTGATAACTTTTTCCAGCCTTAGTTTTAAAAACCAGCGCCCGTCTATGAAATAAATGTTCTTTTGCCTTGTACGCAACCTGTTTGAGGATGAGCATCTGAGAAAAGGAATTGCATGCAGTACCCAATGTAACTCTGGTATAAATGGCAAATTAGTTATAGCATTTGTTGACAAAAGACTTGAGAAAATGGGATCAAGTTGCCTAAATAAGTCCAACTTGTGAGTGATTGTTGAAAAGCTCCATTTCCTTCTATTTTTGGGGTTGTCATAAGTTCCAATATTCTCCCAAGTAGATTGCGTTGTCTAAGACTTCTTAACTGGTTTTACTGATCTAAGTCACTTTTCTAAATCGGGGTTCTTGTTGCCATTTCTAACTTCAGTTTTGACGCACTGTTGAATAGGTTGAAGGCCTCTGGAATGAGCTGAACCTTTCAAAGTGTTATGATTATGTTGAGCAATGTTGCACTCACATCTCGAGCTACCTTGCAGCTATGGATAAAAACAGGTATGCAGTACAAAATTTAGCCAAAGCTATCCAACTTTCATCTTTTTTGGTATGGCTTTCCAGTCAGAACATTGACAATGCAATGTCAAATGCTGTTGAAATATATGAAAATGAGTTTTGCACTTTTTTTTTTACACTATTTTGCAGGGAGTGCCCCGAAGAGTGCAAGGAAGCTGTTTCATCTTTGATGTTTGCAGCAGCCAGATTTTCTGATCTTCCAGAATTGCGAGATCTGAGGACTATCTTTACTGATAGATATGGGAATTCCATCGAGTTCTATGTAAATAAAGAGGTAGTTTCCTTATGTCTTTCATCACATGTGAATACGCAAATCACCGTATTGGTAAATTATTCCATGTACTAAGCAGAATTCCAATGATTCAGTTCGCCAATAAGTTGAAATCAGGCCCTCCTGAAAGAGGTCTCAAGCTTCAACTGATGCAAGACATAGCATCAGAGTGCGGTTTGGAATGGGATTCAAAGACTTTTGAGCAGAAGATACACAAAAGTCCCCGTCTCTCGGAACCTGTAAGCATTCTAAGTAGCCTTGTCTGCATTTTTAACCACTGGATTAATAAAGGAAAACATAATACTCTTTTGTGACTTGAATTTGATAGAAAAGAATCTTCACATCAGCGTATGGTTCTGTGAAAATAACATTAACGTTTGCATCTACAGGACATCATGAAGAATGGACATGCATCTTTTGGAAAGGAAGGTGTTAAAGATGCAGTAGATCGACGAAACCTAAGGGATCTATCCTACGGTGGAGAGGAGATTAGCGCCCCCATCAAAGATATTCAAGTGGATCGTATCAACAGAAAAGTGCAACAGAAGGAAACACATGGTGCAATTACTTCAGAGGAAGATGACAATGAAAAGGAAAGTTTTCAGTACAAATCTATCCCCCCTCCTTATGTCAAAGCCAAAACTGGCATCAAGAAAACTACACCTGATGCCCCTCCTACTGATGCTGGAGCCAAAGTGCAGAAAGAGACACACAAAACTGATCATCAAGATGACTCCATAGGCAACCCTAAGCCAAAACCAAAATCTGTAAGGAGGAGATTCCAAAAACCAAGGCCAGGTGCAGATAATGTATCTAATACTCAAACCAATGGTTCAGAAAATAAGACTTCAAAGATTACAAGTCAACATGATGGTGAGGAAGGGGACAAGCAACATTTGAAGAACTTAACTAGGAGAAAGCATGATGAACGAGATGAAGAGGAAAAGGTAATGGACAGGCTTTTGCTGCACTATAGCAGAAAGAAGTTACCTCCTGATACTGGCGAATCAGAAGGAAGTGATCTCCAACCTTCTCATCAAAAGCCTCCCAGCAAACCAGGCAGAGAAGCGAAAGACAGAGGCAAAGGTCTAACATCTAGAACAGCATCTCTTCCTGCTGAATCAAGCCCTACGGAAGCTACAAGATCGCATGCTCGAGCTTCTTCCTTTCAACCTGATGTGTTAAATGCAAATGGACATGTTCATCCGAACTTGCCAGAATATGATGACTTTGTGGCTCGTCTTGCTGCTCTTCGGGGTACGCTAAAATGATTGATGAAGTTAAAAGAGTTTCGACATGAGCAATAACAATGGTTGAATTGAATCGATAGTGCAATTGGTAGAAGCATGTCATTCAAGAAAGAAGATGCTCAAGTTAATTAGTGACCATATTCTGTATCTAACTGATAGTCTACATGAATAATTTGTGTAAAGCATATCTCATTCTTTATAGTTGTACAGCCTTCCTACACTCTAGCTATCTTCCATCAAATGATTGCTAAACTAACAAAGTTGTCAGTATTCATAGCATCTAATAGTGCACGAAAGCAACCTGGATCTTCCTTAGCCCTTAGCTAAGGTCCATGTAATCAGTTCTATCCCATGAGACAACAGCATGCAGTTCCCAGGTTACCGTAGGGAAAGCCGTCCCTCTAACAAGGTTATCCATGGTAAAAGCAGCGTTTGCCTCCAATAATTTATGTAAAGGGCGTCCGGGTCTTCTTCCTCATTTTGGTCCAAAATTTTGCACAACATGGAAATTTAAGGAAAAAAATGACAGTTGCAGAGCTTATTCTTGTTACTAAATATGATCTCACTTGAAGAGTTTGCGTATAATAAACACCAGAAGCACTAAAACCCCTCTATCTGGTTTGCCCAGCATGCAAAAACGTATTCCCTCCAAAAGAACAAACAAGAGAGGGATGAAAAAATTTAGAAGCAGAAAATACAACACACCTTTGATTTGCAGTAATAAATTAGCAAACAGTTCCATCAAAGGTTCAATTGGCTTCCAGTATGAAGCAAGTGGGCAACAGAGCTACAAGTCCATATTGAAAAAAAGACAACATTTAACATCAAACAGAAAGCTCTGTTCTGGAAATCAAAATACCATCAGTATCTGCATATAGCCATTCTCCATCACAAATTCGTGTTCCAGCAACAGTAATTGGTACATGTTTCTCTCCAATACCCTTCTTATTGGCTTTCATAGGATGGGACGCCAGAGCTCGTACACCGATATCACAACCATTGATTTCATCAACATCCCTTATACAACCATTGACCACTATACCTGCCCAGCCGTTATTTTGAGCTTGCACCACAGGGTTACCGCCCAATATAGCACATCTCAAACTGGCACCACCATCAACAACCAGGACTCTGCCATTGCCTTTCTCCTCAAGAAACTCTCGCACCAAAACATTATCTTCGAACACTTTTAGAGTGACAACTGGACCGGAGAATACTTGGCGCCTGCCATATATCTGAAAAACAGGTTGGAGTGCCCGGAGTTCACCACTGACAATAAGCTGTGGATTGGCGTCACAAACTTCAGCAGTGGTAACCAGCGCCATTCTATCTCGGTGACCTTCAAGACAGTCCACGTATAAAGTTACTAAAAATTGGAAAAAGAATGTGTCTGCTTCTACTGTAAATCCACAAATTAAATTCTAGGAATTTCAAGAAAGAGGATTGATGAAAGTACATTCAAAATGCATATGCAGCCGTGTAGTTATATTAAGTCCTTCACTGGATGCTACAAAGGAATTGCAACATTCAGTAACACCTAACTATTCTTAATTTTCTTCAAAACCATTAGATCCAAATAATGAATAGTACAGTAAAATCAAACAAGAGGACTCATGATCACATTCATAGAACTGATTCCATCTATTTTAGTCCAGCCTATGCTCTTAAATAACTGGTTTTGATCCAAACAAGCATTTTATTTAACTCCATGATGCCCATCTTATAATATGATTAAACTAAGATTGAGAGTAACAAAATGTATCCATAGATTTCAGGGAAGGGTAAAAGCGTAATCATACAAGATTTCTCCTTTTCTTTGACAGATCTTTTTTGTGACAAAAACCTCCTCAGCTGATCAATCTAAGAGCAAAAGTACAACTTCCCTTCAATAAGACAAGATCAGTCTCACCTTCCGGCTGACTGTTTCACCATAGCCCTTTTCAGTTTTTACTCAGTAATACAGCAGTAACATTCCAGATTCACTGATTCTTAGTGCAAAAATCCAATCAATGAGAAAAGGATTAAGGAAGAACATCGTCAAGAAGCATAACGAGATATCACCAAAAGGGTCAAGATCACCAAAATTACTAACGATAGAAAGAAACAATCTTTAACCAAAACACAAATCATAATAGACGAAAGACACTTATTTCCATTCAGATCACAGCAGCAGTGAATAAAAAAGAACCATTTAGAAGGTCAATTTCAAAACTCAGCAGCAATTGGAAATATGCAAAATTAGATCAAATCGCACAATACGCACAAATGGGCAATACAAGAGGAAAAAGTTATAATCATGATTTACCTCAAAGAGAATCGGAGAAAGAGAACGGGAAACAAAAAGGGCAAGCTGCACAAGGGCGAGTGGAAGTCAGCTGATTTATTCAGTGGATTTTCTGAGGTTGGAGGAGTGTAATAATTGGAGAGCACATATACTTTACTTTAAGGATTTAAGGGTCTGTTTGGAACACTTTACTGTACCAAAGCAAACGGGGAAAAGGACTAATTTCGATGGATAAAAAATGAAAATATGACTATGGACTATGGAAATTCCCCTTAAAAGAAAGTATATGTTGTTAATGATAACTAGATGTTTGTCCCGGGCAAATGCCCGGGGCGTCCCACCTAATAAATCGATATGTAAATAATCAGAACTGATTAGGAATGAATTTAGTTTTTAATAAAGATAATTGATTGACCAGAAATTAATTTTTTTGGAAGTCCTAAATAAATGGAGAAGGAAAATTTTATACACTGTCAAATTCAAAATTTGAATGAACGTGACCATCTGATCTCTTCGTTAATATTGTAAATATATATTTTTTATTTTTAAAATGAGATGACACGTGACAGAATGATTAATGCAATATGGTACATTTGGAGTCAAAACATTTTAATAAGAAAATGGCACATCAGCATTCTGTTTTCTGCTTTAATAGGGTAAAAGAGATAATATATAACTATACAGTTATAAGATTAACTAGATTTGATTAGATTGTGTAAAAAATAATGAAACACACAAGTACCACCCTCCCTATTATGATCAGAGTTGTGAATCCTCCATTAGCAAGCTTCGCAAATCATTGGAATTCCAGAAATTGCAGTCAATTCAGATGTTAACATGGATCAACACTTTGGTTGCTCGAACAGTTCGAGTTATTGATTTGGATATGCTGTACTCATCCCTATTTGTTTGATACCAAATAGTCAAAATTACAAATTATAGTGTTTCGTGGATGTGAGGTTGAATTACCAAGCGCATTCTACAATTGAGGGACATTGGAGGTTCTGAAATTAGGTACATTTTGTCTTGAAAGTCACCTGCAAGGTGTGTCTTTCAAAATTTGGTTATCTTTCAGTCGATAAGTTTGTATATGGAACAAATAATAATGATGACCTATGTGTTTTTAAGATTTTTCTGTTGAGTTAGAATATTTTCATGTCTATTTTTGAGGTTTAAGGGGAAAAAAAACGTACAATCTCTCTTACATACTCATAATTAGAAGATTTTTTTTTAGTTGGTACATTCGTCAGACAACACAATATCTGATGGTGTTTCCAAATTCATCATCCATACACATGGTAAAGGATCTCTGGTAGACAAAAGTTTTTCTACGACAACAAATAATAAACAATACATTTGAAATATTATTCAAGTCTCAGAAAACTAGTCCTAATCTTAGTAGGGGAATATAGAATTATAGATCATATTGGGGGTGAAATCGACAAACTGTTAAACATTGGGGAAAAAATCGTAATTAGAGGCCAAAAGTTTGGGAAAGTCGGTAATTCTTTCACGACGCACAACTGAAGCCCTAATAAAAGAGTTAATAGTAACAAAATTCGTCGAAATCTGCGAAGAAGGTAAACGAACTCTCTGGCCGCCGCTCTCTTTTTCTTCGTTGAATTGTGGGCTTCCAATCTTATGCACTTTATTTTGGTGTTGGATTTTCTTCTTTCAGTATGTTAGTCGAACAACTAGCGCGTGTATATGAATTGAATCAACTTTGTTCATCTTCGGCTGATTCTCTGTGTGTTTTGTTTTTTTTTTGCTTTTTTAGATCTAAAGTGTGAACGATTTCGTCTACCGTGGACCTGAATCTTTGTTCAAAGGTAAAAAAAAACCCTCTGTCGCTCTTGGCTCTGTCCTAATTTTAGACGAAATCGTACCAATTAAAACGAGCTTGTTCTTATTTCGGTTTTTTTTTTTTTGTTTTCCTTTTTTTCCTGGTTTGCTTGGATTCAAGGAAAGAAAGATGGATAACGCCCGTGTTCTCAGATCCTCCACTAAAAAATCCGCCACTAAGGTAATATCTTTGTCCCTTCAAATCCTCTTTCCTTGTGTTGGGATTAGGGTTTATTTCGTTGTGCTGTTTCCTTGAATTCCCATTTATTTTATGCAGGACAACGGATCCGCCTCCGCTTTACCTGAATCCTCCACTAAGGTAATATCTTTGCCCCTCCCAATCCTCTTATCGTGTGTGGGGTTAAGGGTTGATTTCGTTTTTCTGTTTCCTTGTTGTATTTCCTTTATTTTATGCAGCACTGCCAGCCCTTAGTTTAGAACTTGGTCCTTCCTTTTTCATCTTAGTTTTCCTCTTATCTCTTTTTTCTTTCTAGTTATTACATATTTTTTAATCTTATTAGCTCTGAAAATAAGTAGGCCAGATCCCACATCAATTTAATTTTGTTGGTTTTGCCTGCATTTTGAAGGGGTTGAATACGGATTCGCTGAAGATTTTGAATGAGGTGGGGACGTATTCGGCGGAGCAGTTGAAGAAGTTGAGGAAGACGAGGGCATGGAAGGAGTTGACGAAAGCGCTGGCTTTGTCTCCATTGGAAGAGATGAAGAGGAGAAGGAGGGAGGGTATTCCCCTAGCTGCTCCACCTGTAACGTGTCAACGAATTTATCTAAACGAGGATGGCGTAAGTTTTCCTTGCTTGCCGTTTATCAAGGTTTTATCTGTAAGCTTTATTTTTGAATAATTATTTTCTTTGTATCTGGTAGTCTTTTCCATCGTATGCGCCTAAATTCGAGAAGGGAACCACTGTTCTTGGTCTGGTTTTTGAAGAAGGAATTATGGTAGCGGCTGATCATTCAACCACACGTGAGTTTGTTTACCAGATTAATCTTATTTATATGTCCGCCATTTGTATGTATAGTACTAACTTTCCCTGCCAAATTTAGCTGCCCGGAACGTTGTTCAACTGAATTCTCACATGCTGGCTACAATATCTGGCGGAGGAGAAGTTTTGCTCAAAAATCTCCAAAAGAAGGTACTTGCTAGTGTACAATTTACACAAGAGCCCTGTTTTGCCTTGTATTGCAAGCTAAGAAAGGTAACTTGACACTTCCGTCTAAAAAAATTAAGAAATAAAACTAAGAGAGGATTGGTCGGTGTGTGTTGCAGTGCAACCTACAAGAAAAGAGCCAGGGTAGGGAGCCTACACTTGCAGAGGTATCGAGCTGGCTGACCGAGGCTCTTTCGGCTCATTCCGATCCTTTGTCATTAGGAATTCTGATTGCTGTGTGGAACGAATCGGTACTTTTTATCTCTATAATTTTTAATTCTGTTTTGTACTCTGTAGTTGAACCTGTCATATCCTAATCTCTAACTGTGTGCAGGAGCATGGCCTGTATCGCATGAGTTCTAATGGGGTACTGGTTAAAGGTGATATACTTGCCACTGGATCTGGTGCGCAGTCTTCTCTTCACGTGGTTGAACTGTATGCTCCCTTCTCCCATATCTGCTCCTATGCAATTCGTTTAGATTGGGCTGGGAGCTAAACACACTGGTTCCTGGTTTTTCTTGTAGGTCCGAACGCTTTATGCTGGATCCTGGATCTGTTTTTGGCCTGCGGTCCGAGTATGCTCCAGTTCACTGTATGTCGGTAACGGAAGTTGCGGCCCTGACCAAAAGGGCGATATGCACGGCCGGATATAATGCTCCACACTATGGGAATCTTGTTAGTGGTATGTTTTTTGATCTCCTGGCTGCTGTCTACCTTGCCTGTTAGTCTGTTTCTATATTTTTATTTCCTTGATGTGCTTCTTTTCTCTGTTTTTAAGGTTACCACCTAGGTACTAAGGGGTGCGTAAAGCTCTATGAGGATAATGTTGAAGAATGGCAGAAGTTTATCAAAGGCCCAAGTATCAGGTTCAAGATAATTGGTAAAGGATGGTGATGCGGTGAGAATGCAGGAAAAGTTAAAGATCGAGACCTGACCATTTAGAGTATCTTCCAATCTTGGATCTTGATCATCCCCCCCTTGTGTCCATTTCATCATATTTTGTGCCTTTTCAATTACATCAGGCTTAATTTTTAGATCAGTGGAACCTTTAATTTGATAGCATCAAAGATTGACTGTTGAAACCGTGAATTTTTCCGTGTGTTTTCAAGTATTCATAGTAATATCACACTCCGACTGATGATATGATGAATTGTGCACAATTGATCGATGTTGTTCTGTGTTTAGTTAATTAAGTTCTCATCGTTCATCGTTAATGATGCAAAGGGAGCAAATGAATTTTTTAGGTAAAAGTTAGCTATCTCTTTTGCCAGTAATAAAAAGATTAAAGTTGTTTTCAGTCGATTCCACGAAGCTTAAAGAACTTTGTACTTTGTGGAAAACAACTGATAACTAACCATTCCTCTCTCCCCCTCCCCCCAGTAAATGATCAGTTATTTCTATTTGATAATGTAATATCTTTCGTTTATTTTTCCTACCGGATGCTAACCGCTGTAGTTAGGAGTATCCTGTCTGTTCTATGCACCTCTGTAATTGTCAACAATAAGAGGTGATACTCGCAAAAATGGTGAAACTGAAAAGCTGAAAAATGATTGATAATCTCGTTTTGTATTTGCATTAGTTAGACAGTTTACATGGAAAGAAGCTTTCAAGTCGATGGTTTGTTTTACATGCTGGACTCATCAATGCCTGGATCTCGGGTTGAATCCTTCCCTTGCTTAACTAGACTGGAGCCGAGATTTATATCCATGGTAGCTAGTTAAAGATAGAAGAATGCTGACATGATTCACTTGGATACAAAGTGAAACTAAAAACTCCCGTCTCTATACCTGTGGCTTTGGGTTTTGAAGTTCTTAGGTTAGTTGGAAACTGTGAACTTAAGAAAGAAGATAATCAATGTACATATGGATTATTTGTTCTACTTCAGTTGGTTTTCTTTCTGATCCATCTTCCACAATGAAGAGAATGATACAGGCTGCCCCTTTCCATCATAATCGCACACAGCCATCTCTATCTCCCAATTACTATCGTATTTCCTCAACAACGCCCGTGCCCCATCAATTGCATCTTCTCCAAATACCTCCTTGTTGAAGCCCACACTAACCATTCTCTCGTGCCATCTCTTTCCGGTCATTCATCCTGCCCAGGTTGGTTAATGCCTTTGCTGCTTCTCCTTCCATCATATGCGGCACTTGTTGAATCCAGGAATCTCCACAGGTAGTTCACTCGCCTGGAGAACCCCGTTGCGAAGTCTACACAGTTGTGACAGCTGCAATCTAGGTTATTCTCACTAAGCACTGCAGCACTAGGTTCCATGCTCCTTAAAACTCTTAAGAAGTTTGTCCTGTCATCAGGGGAGGTCAGAGGTGTGGTTCAGGTTGTGTAGACTGAAGTGTGTACATATGATCAATGTCTCGCCTTTGGGGGACTTTACAACCTGGTAATTCAGGTTCTGTAAAGGGACGTTGTCAAGCCTGTTGACTAATTTAAGAAAACGAGCATAATATTAGCCACGCCAATCTTCGTGGCTAATTAATGACAAGGTAAAATATGTAGAACGATTAACCACAATTTTGAATGCATGTGGTCGTGGCTAATATTATGCTCGTTTTTTTGAATTAGTTATTACGTGAATTATTTTTGTAAGGAATATGATGGAATTATATTAGATGTGAAATCATTTTTTTCACACGATAATTTTCGTGGCTAATTATTGACAAGGTAAAATGTGTATAACCATAAACCACAATTTTGGGTGTTTGTGGCCGTGGCTAATATTATGCTCATTTTTTAAACAAATTCGGCGAGATTGGGCAGCCTTGACGGAGTCCCCTTAAAGGTGTGAAAAAGTCTGCCTGATTACCATTCACACATGTTGAAAAACTCACCGTCGACACACATCGCATCACAAGGTTGATGAAATGTGAAGGGAAACTGGATAAATGCATTACGGAGTCCGGCAGAGGGATGGGTTTATGTTCAGGAAAAAATTCAGAATGCAATAAAAGAACACTTCCGAGAGACCTTATTGGAACCTGATGACCCTCAAGAAGATGATCTATGGGATTCAAGCTCTTCGCTACTGGAGGAAATCGGAGAAGTGCTGACGGATGATCACAAGCAGGAGTTAGACCGCCAGTTTCTACCATCAGAGATTGAAGCTGCGATCAGAGAGATGGCTCCTTGGAGAGTGCCGGGGCCTGACGGCATTCCGGCCGATTTCTACCAAAAGTTCTGGCCGCATGTTAAGGAGGAAGTTACATGGGCATGTTTAGAGTTATTCATAAACCAACAATGGAACCCGAAGTGGAATCCAACGAAAGTCATCTTTTTACCAAAGAAGGGTAACCCTGAAACATTGGCGGATACCAAGAAACTCGGTTCTTTATAGAACTCGGAAATTAAAAGAATTTCCTTAAAGACGGAGGAGGGGGGAAGCAATTATCTATTTATGAGTAACTCAAAAGAGGAAAAGGATTATATTCATTAACAAATAGGTGGAGCATAATTGAATCACTACATTGACCAGGAAGGACCCTTGCAAATCTGCCCTTCGATGCAAATATGGTGGTTGCATCAGATATGCAGCAAAGTGGACTGAAGTGGTTAGTCCGGTTATCAAGGAGGAGAAGATGTCTGCCCTACCCTGCCCTAGAATAAGGTCTCTGAAAGAGCCTATTTCGATAAGGAAGTTCGTTCTATTCTGTGCATCTCTGTGATGGGTAAATCTACATAAAAAAGGGAAAACTTGCGTGTAGTTTGTAATTGGACGTTGCTGTTAAGATTTTTTCTCGAATAAATTTTTCTCATTATTTCGGTGGATCAGAACAGTTTTGTTCCGGGTATATATATAGGAGAAAATATTCTGTTAGCACATGAGGCAATTGAATTCATTAGAAAGAAAAAAAAAGAAGACATGGAATAGCAACTTTAAAAATCGATATGAGTAAAGCCTAAGATAGAGTATCGTGATCCTTTCTTATATTGTAGTTTCCTAATGTGTGCATACTCCACACTTTCTAGTTTGCAAAAACGTCCCTTGTGTAACACGTCAATTTTAATTCATATTTTGAAATATAGTATATATAAAAAAACAGCTTCTCTTTTCAAACCATGTTTGCAATAAATTTTGTTTCCAAAACTCAAAAGCAAAAGGTTGTTGAGGTCCTGAATTTTGCATCAAGCAGAGTCTCTTGGAAAAGTGTATAACTGTTGATATAGTGATAATACATTCAAGTATTCAACTAGATAGCAGATCACGACTTGACGTAACATTATCGTATATTATCATATACGCTGTTCAGATTAATTACATTTTGATATTGTTTTAGTAATTCATTATTGCGATAAAGCCTTAATCTCACTCTAATCCGCGCAACATTGTCTAAGATTTACGTTAGGTTATAAACCATATGTTAATTCGCACATTACCAACGATTAATTTTTTTACGATGACTTAACTTCTCACATTACCAACAAGAATATTAATTTTTGTTGAGGATTATCTCCAACTCTCAAGCTGCTTATAAATAATAATAATTAATAAAAGTAGGATAGGGACTTAAAAATGTGATGATGTTCTACTAGATGGCTACAATCTTCCAACAGAAAACGATAATGATGTGAGAAGTGAGAACTCCATCAGGAGTAGGCTGCAATATTTTATCATATTTTTAAGCTATCTCTAATTGCCAAATTGCCATCGTAAAGCAGCTAATTACACTATTTTACCAAAATATCATCACCAGATAATTTTTCAGTCATGAGAAAAGGGCCCAATTCAGCTTTGCTCGCTAGCCCAACTTTTTTCAGTCTCAGCCCATGACAATGTCCGATTGGTGAAAGAAAAGACTTGAGAAGAATTTGGAGAACAGAAGAAGAATCACACATGGACGACGAAATGCCGCCGGAGGACAGCCCTGGCTCCTCCGGCCAATCAGTTGAGGAAGAGGAAGTCATGAGCGAGGTTCACCTAGGTTGCCCTCCCGGATTATCTGGACCTTTCATGTCCAATTTCACTGTATCTATTCCACCTTCAATTAAAGGTATTTATATGGTTTTGCGTTTTGATCAAATGTAGCTTTTCTCCCGAAATTAAGTGCAGCTTGAAACTTGTAGATTAATTCTGCTTAAGTAGCGCCACTAGCGATGAATAACTTCCAAAACCCGAATATTCAAAGCTACTATCTGTTATGTAAAATTTCATTCTTAGGGTTGCATATTTGGCGTATCTTATTAATTCCGTATGTTGCGGTTATTAGTTTGACAAATGAAAATTGTGGTTCTGAAAGTCCTTTAATTTTTCTTTTTTTTTTTTTATGTGTAAGATGAAACCATTTGGAGAGGATACAGTTACGTTGGCGATGATTCGGCATCAACTAGTAAAGGCTATGAACTGGATGAAGATGGTGATCTGATTTTAACCCGGCGAAATCGTAAGCATCTTGGAATAACTGCATTTTTACCTGCATTATCTGGTTTTCCATCCTACTTACTTAGTTACTCGCTTAGGGTATGAGAAGGGCTAAACTTTGGGTTGATTCTATTTACAGAACTACACAGGAATCAATTTGTAGTGACAATCAGGCATAATATCACATCATCAATTCCTAGAGTTGGTGTGCAGGTGCGCTGGTTTCAAAATTTGACATTATATTTTGCTTTGTGGAAAAATGAGTGAATGGTTTTTTTTTTGTTTGTTTCTTTTTTTAAAAAAACCTGGATTAGTTTTGTCCTTGGCATTGCATCGCACAAAAAGATGAACCCTTTGGTAGGAATCTTTCATTTTGCACTGTATATAGGCTTTCTTTAAGGTCTACACAAGTTTCTCCACCTATTTAACCTCAACGGTTCTCCTTCTTATGGCAGGTCTGGAAAGCAGAACTTGTGTTAGCTGATTTTGTGCTGCACAAGATGTTTACATCCCAAGAGTTTGATGGAGTTGTTGCAGTAGAGCTTGGTGCTGGTACAGGTATAGTTACCACTGGCAATTTTAGTTATCTTTCAGGTCAAGGATTCTTGTAAATAAATGAAATGTTTATTACTCAGATAAAATCTTACATAAATGCATCTCTGCAGCTCGTCGGGTTTCAATTGTCGGAATGCCCAGCTTTTTTTCAGCACTCAATGTTCTAGACATATTTGAAACTAGATGATTATAGCTTTTTATGACATGATTCTTTATTACTGTTTAACGTAGGCTTGGTTGGCTTGTTGCTCGCTCGTGCAGCTCGAACAGTTTTCATAACAGGTGAGAATATAATTCCAATCTGCTAGAAATTTAGTCCCAATACTTTCATTTTTGTTTGCACTCTTTGTATAGTAATTTTAGGCGAGTAACATTGTTAGATTTATGTTCTGTCGATCATTGAGTCTTTGCACATGAAAGAATGGAGCACCTGCTTTTATTTGTGCAAGGGCTACAAATTGGTGCCAGCCTATGCAGAAGTTTCTAATGTTTCTCTTAATTTTTCACTATTTAGAATTAGCTTTAAAGGGATCCTTTTCTCGGTTCTTTAGTTAAATTGATTCTAAGTTGTGGCTTCTAGTCGCTGCGCATTAAATGCTACTTCTTATTTAATGAATTTTCTTTTTTTCCTCCCCTAATGGATGTTGTCAGATGCTAATGCCATTCAGTCCCCTGTCAAATTTGCTGTTTACATTATTCAAACTGGTTCTCTTATTCTTATTTCCAGTCTGATGAAGCCTCTAGAGTCAATTTCACAGACCATGGTGAAGAAATACTTGACAATTGTATCAAGAATGTTCATGCCAATGCTGGATTACTATATCCTAGTGTCTCAGTTTATGTTCGGGAACTTGATTGGAACTGTCCCTGGCCACCTCAGATGGTAGAAGGATCTGAGTCTGCAAAAAGGTAACACATCGATTGACTTACTGTGATTTATGGTTTTTCTAATTTTTACTATAATTATATTCTAATCTTGATAGGATAAGCTTGGAAAAGAATAATCTCACTTTTGTTTTTTCAGCTATAACTGGACAAATTCAGAAGTTGAAGAGTTCCAGGAGGCTTCCTTGCTTTTAGCTGCTGATGTCATTTATTCCGATGAATTGACTACTGCATTCTTCAGTACTGTAGGGAGAATAATGTCTCATCAACCAGAAAAGGTATCAATACATAAGGTGGCTTTTATGCATTCTAAATTCGGGTGGTGGTTAATTGGAGGTGGATACATCCTCCAGTATTAAGCTTGCTGGTGTTCTTTGTTCCTCGTTATTGGCCCTCCTGGATGCGTAGACCTTGTTTTAGCAACACTTGACTAGCAAAAATCTGGTACAGCATGAATTAGTTAGTTTAAGCATCTTGGTATGACTAGGGCAAGGGACCAAATGCATCCTTCGTGGTTACCTTTTCATGTGTTTCAAAGTTACAGCGTATCATAACGAATAAATTTGACCCCTGGGGACCTGATTTAAGCATCTGCTGTGTAATCACAATAATATCATCTTGTCCACTGAGGATGGCTTCTTCTTATCATATCTACATTATGTCTTAATTGATACTTTTGTGTCCTTGCTAACTAGGACTGCATCTGCTCTCGTCTTATCTACTTCTCATTCTGAAAACCCTCGTTCCCTAGTTCATTTTTTCGCGCTTTGGTGTTGATATATTGCTGCACTTTCTTTGGAGTTCTTTATGATCAATTGATTAGTTGAGATGTCTCTCTTTGCTCAGGTGCTATACTTGGCGCTGGAAAAGCGTTATAACTTCAGTCTGGATGACCTTGATGTTGTTGCCAATGGTTATTCTCACTTTCGAAGCTATGTTTCTGAAGAAGGTAGGCAGGAAGAACCTTGTAGTATACTCCCCCAACTGTCCTAATAGCTCATCTTTACTTCATGGTATTTAATTCGACGAAAAAAATTGGCAGATAGTGAAGATCTTCAGAACTCGTCCACTTTAGGCTTTACGGGCAAGCGCGTCGATCTTGGGCAGATTCCACAATACGTGAGAGGATATGAGAGAGGAAATGATGTGGAACTATGGCAGATCAAGTATGAGAAGAACAAATGTTTTGACTTAGTTCTTTAACTTGGTTGTTGTAAACTTTATCCATGTAATATACAACATGGTTCAATTTTCCAGCAAAGTTTTGGATTATTCGATCACTTCTTTGCGATAATACTGTCTTTAGCCTGATTTTTTTACTCTCAATTAGGGGGAGTAGTATACATTGTGTACCTTAGATGCTTTCGATGCAGAAGATGGGTTTATTTCTAGGAAAACTTACACCGAACCGAATAAAAGAGGGGTAAGAAGATACAGGCAATATGGAGTAGAAAACATTGATTCTGGAAATGGAACAAATTAAAGGTGGAAAAGCAGAACTTGGTGATAAAGAAAGCAGATTCGTGGTCACATGGAAGCTTCTTATAATTTTAGCCACTTTTTCCTTTTCTGACAGCAAAAAGAAGAGGAGCCATTTGTTACATCTTCGATCACGCTGAGGTGGTGCCGTGGTGAGGTCACTTTTAGAAAATGCCAACTCAATAAATTACCTGATTTGATCTATATCCCCCCCACTGAAATTTCAAGTAAATGATGTTTTTTATTCCTTTCCTTTTAAGATGAAAGTGGGAAAAAAGGGCCTTAAAGTTCATGTATCAACCATTAAACATTTTCCCGACACTGCAGAGCAGTTAGATCATCAACCAAATTCAACCACTGCAAAGATTGTCGCTTTTCTTACTTCAATTTTTTCCATCCTTACAACCTACACTCATTATCTTATTTGTTGGTAATCATATAATCATTTTAAGACGTTGTATAACAAACCCATCAAGATCACAAGGATAACACTTATTGTTGGAGCTCTAACATTTGATTAACAGCACTCATCCGTTATCATGGCTTTGAACACAATGGTATCCGAAGACAGACAACATATTTGCATAAACCTCTCGCACTTGTCTGCTCTTTTTAATTGTTGGTAGTCCCACCCGCCAGTCAATATCGTCAAAGTTTTACATTGTAGCTACAGCTACTAACGAACTTTTTCTAGTAGTAGTTCTCTGCCTCCACTTCATTTTTCCTTCTAATTATGTCCCTCATGTTTCAACTATGTATACTTTCGTCCACATATTTGAAGTAATTCCACACTTTCACCATATCATTGATGAATGATGACTATTGCAAGTCACTTACTATATATCTTTTGATTTGTTCTAATAATTAAACGGGTGGAGTGACTTATTTTGTGATCTTGGTTGTTTCCAGCACAATCCCTTCTTATTTTAATAGTTCTTATTATTAATAAAAGTTAAAGTAATTCAATATAGAGATGAAATTCTACTCTTTCTATCTTAAAAAACTATCCACATTGAAATTTGAATGTAATAAAAATGGTACAAATCTCTCAATTCAAGGACTACTTGTCTAGGGTAAAAGGAGTATATAAATATGCTAGAATCGTGTACATTTAAAAGTAGTAATTAGGCCAAATTTTGTCTTCATCAATCATTTTTATTTATACTGTATTCGATTTCAAATTCTTCATTTATTTTTATTCTTAAGTAATTATTTACATTTTCACACAAGAACAGTTTTTTTTTTTTTTTTTTTTGCATGAAAAAAAGAAGGTTAAAAAAAGTGAATGCAAAATAGAGTAACCATTTTAGGAAAAAGTTTAAATATGAAGAAATAAATGGGCTAAAAGTGAAAATCGCCGCAAGGTAAAAACAGGAAACCCCCACCCGATTTTCACACACAAGAGAGAGTATGGAGGGAACAGTAAATTCCCTCCCTTTTTTTTTTTTTTCCTTTTCCCAGTCTCTCTCTTCAGCAAGACTGGAACTTTGTTGATTCTTCTCCACCGATCCCAATTCTTCCTATTTTCTTAAAACGTCATACATAGCTTATCAAGTATCATTGCTTTTAGTTTGATGATTTAATTATTTATTTATGCTTGAGTACATAATAATTAAGCAGATTTTCCGATGGGTTGCAATCAATCGAAGATCGAGAACGAAGAAACTGTAATAAGATGCAAGGAACGCAAGCTTCACATGAAAGATGCGGTGGCTTTCCGGAACGCTTTTGCCGCTGCACACTCAGCCTATGGCATGGCCTTAAAGAACACCGGAGCCGCCCTCAGCGATTACGCCGTCGGCGAAGTTCAGAACCCGTCTTCTCCGACCTCCGCCGTTGCCGGCGGTGTTCCCATCTTAACTCAGCCTCCGGTTGACAATTTACCCCCTCCTCCCCCTCCGTTACCTCCGTTTGCCCCTCTTCAGCGAGCCGCCACCATGCCGGAGATGTCTTTTCCGAAACCCGATTTGAAGCACTCCGACCCGATTCTTGAGGAGGAGAATGAGGATGAGATGGAGAGCGAGAGTGTTCACGGATTGAAGCATCGGAGTAGTAAGAGTAGTGTAGGGAGAGGTGGGATTTCACATAGGGAAGTTGTGGATGATGAAGAGTTGAGGAAACCTCTTTCTCCGCCGCCGCCGCCGCCTCCCGCGCAGACTCCGCCGCCGCCTCCGCAGCCTAATAATCGGAGTCCACCTCCTCCTCCGCCGGAGGATAATGGGATGGCTTCGTGGGATTTCTTTTTCCCGCCCAATATGCCGGGCCCGTCGCTGGACGAGGTGGATGAGGATAGACGGGAAAGGGAGGAATTGCAGAGAAGAATGATGGAGAAATCTGCTCAAAGAGCCGAATTTGATTCCGGAGGAGGAGGAGGTGGTGAGGATGCCGAGAGTGGTGGGAGCATTGGAGGGAGGAAGAGTGGTGGCGGGAAGGCGGAGGTGGTGGAGGAAGAAGAGTTGCAGGAAGGTCCGCCGCATCTGTCCCCTTCTCAAACGGCTCCTCCTCCTCCTCCTCCAAAGACAGTTAAGAGAGTAAAACAGGTTGTTCAGGCGGAAGGAAAGAGGAATCGAGGAAATGTGAACTTGGTGCAGATATTTAACGAGCTTGATGATTGCTTTCTTCAGGCATCGGAGAGTGCTCACGAGGTCTCCAAAATGCTTGAGGCGGCTCGCTTACATTATCATTCTAACTTCGCCGATAATAGAGGTATTGACAAGTTCCAGTCTCTTATTATTTTGTTATCATTTATTCTTTTTTCTTTTGCTTTGGCTGGATATTTCATTTTCTAAATGATATTTACATGAAGGAGTATGTTTTTGCTGGTGCTAGGTATCAATCTTAAGTTCTCGTTTTGTTTTTCGTACAAAAAATAAAAGCAAGTATCTGGTCCTCAAAAAGTGAAGATCTTGATCTGAATTGAGAAAGATTGCCTTATATATGTAGGAAATTGTTTGTATAAATGAGATGAAAAATGGAAAATCGATGTCCTGAACTGGAATTCTTCTTTTGTAATGTCCGAGAACATATTTACCATTTTTTGCTTGGAGCTTCGAAGAGTTCATGATATTCTTGGCTGATAACTGTAATCTCTTGGACTTTGATATGTAGGAAATATTGATCATTCCGCGCGGGTATTGCGAGTTATTACATGGAACAGGTCCTTCAGAGGGCTGCCCAACAATGATTATGATGGGAAGGATGATTTTGATGCAGAAGAGCATGAAACACATGCAACTGTTTTGGACAAGATGCTAGCATGGGAGAAAAAGCTATACGATGAAGTAAAAGTATGTTGATTGACATATCTAATTTCTCTTTCTTTTTTTACAGCTTGGTTTGTGTTTTCATCTTTTTGCTGTGTTATTTCAGTTTGATACCAATGACTGTTTAGAAAGTTGCTTACCACCTCACCTTCTTGCTTTTTTGGCTGTTCTTTTGTTTTCTTCAGCCACAAATTGTATTGACAAACTGGAGAATATTTCTAGGATCTCTAATCCTGTTTGACGTATCACCTCCTCTTAGATTTGAGGATGTTACTCTTTGATGTTTTGTCAAAAACTGCATACATATCATTGAGTTATTGTAATTTGTTTTTTCGTTTTTGTTGTTTTTAGTATGGGAGGTCACTGAAGCAGGCTAAGCATAGCATTATGAGGATAGAATATTATAACCATGATTGAATCATATGTTCCTCTCATAATTTGTTATTGCTCTGTGACTTTGATCAGGCTGGTGAACAAATGAAGTTAGACTATCAAAGAAAGTTAGCTGCATTGACTAAACTAAAGAAACGTGGTGCGAACACTGAAGCACTTGAGAGAATGAAATCAGCTGTTAGTCATTTGCATACAAGGTACATCGTCGACATGCAATCCATGGATTCAACTGTTTCAGAAATAAATCGATTGCGAGATGAGCAGTTATATCCCAAGCTTGTTGCACTTGTTGATGGGTAAGTTAGCTTGTGTATGTTTAAATGCAATGCAATCTTTTTAAGTAACCTTTTTCTGGGGATTATTTTTTGTACTTTTGAGCCTTGTCTTATTGTATAGGCATAAGCTATCCTTAAAACCTTCTAAGAAGTTCCAATTTAGAATCTAGCTGCAAAATAGTTCCTTAGTATGAGATAATATTCTTCCTTACTGGGATTTTCTGGCTTATTGTGATATAATTATATTCTTCCTTACTGGGATTTTGTCGATTGGTATTCTTTTTCTCAGAATGGCTACAATGTGGGAAAGCATGAGAGAACACCATGAAAATCAAACAAAGATTGTTACCGCTTTAAGGTCTCTACAGATATCCCAGTCTCCTATGGAAACAAGTGAGCACCACCATGAACGCACATGGCAGCTATACCATGTTGTCACTGAATGGCATTCACAGTTTGACAAGCTTATGAAGAACCAGAAGGATTACATTAGATCATTAAATAACTGGTTGAAACTGAATCTTGTTCCTATAGACACAAATCTAAAGGAGAAGGTTTCCTCTCCACAGAGAACCCCAAATCCCCCAATTTCTATTCTCCTACTTGCTTGGCATGATTATCTCGAGAAGGTTCCAGATGAGCATGCAAGAACTGCTATAAATAACTTTGCTGCTGTTGTAAACACTATTGTTCAATATCAACTAGAGGAGATGAAGTTGAGGGAAAGATGTGAAGAAACTCGGAGAGAGCTCAAAAAGAAATCTCGCCAGTATGACGATTGGTACAATAAGCATATGCAACGAAGAACACCTCCTGACGAAATGGATCCAGATAGGGCACAAGATAATGATGAAATTATTGAACGGAAGGTACAAGTAGATACCGTGAAGAAGAGATTGGAAGAGGAAGAAGATGAATACCAAAAGCAGTGCATTCAAGTCAGGGAGAAGTCTTTGACAAGTCTGAAAAACCGTCTACCTGAGGTATTTCGGGCTATGACTGACTTTTCTCTTGCTTGTTCGGATATGTATAGATATTTAAGGGCCATTGCTCAACAACAACCACCACAACCGCAACCAAATCAACAACAGCGAAATAGAACTTCCAAGTAAATAATGATATGCCTTTTGTGTTCATATATAGGGTTACACGTGTGTTTTTCTTCAAACTATCAAGATGAATGATGTTTGTTGTATTTTATTTATGTCACTCTACAACTATAAATCAAGAATTCCACGATTGGGACCTGAGTGCTCACCGGGCAATAAGATTTTTGTAGGTATACAGTGTAATGGTCATATTTGCAATCTTCTTCTTCTTCGTCATTTTTTTCCCTTCTTTTTCACTTTGGTGCATCTTTGGATGTTTGTATTGTGGTCTTATTTTATCATCCTATTCTACTGCATTTACGTATGCCAGTCCCCCACATACACTCATTACAATTTTGTTTGTTAAGCACATTGAATATACCAGTTATTCTTCCGCAGTTTGTAAGTAATTGCAACTCTTTAGTAAACGGCAGATGCCAAAGCTGCCATGTTTTTGTGGTTCTTGAATGGTTTCATTTCCAGTTTCCAGGTAAAAGACAGGATATGAAACAAAGCATTTATTGAGTTATGATACTACATGTCAGGAACAGTTACAAAATGATGGTCTTCTATTCTCTGTGTTGTCATGAAGCCTCATGCCGGTAGGGCGTAAAGGAATCACTTTCACCAATCTTTTGGCTGCAAGTGTGAAAAGGAAGTAAACTTAGGAACGTCATCCAAATCTAACCATTGTATCTTCACTGTAATTGAGGGTAGACTGAATGATCTGCTAGGAAAAGTATTTCAACTCACCCATTTCGTAGAAAAGCTCGTTGATATTCAGGGCAATTTTTGCGGATGTTTCAGTGAAGAACATGCCATTTTCTTCTGAGAACTGCTCGCCTTCCTGCAAGAATTCGGGATTTGAAGTTAGCAATGCATCTATAATGACCTGTAGCAGGAACATAAGCTTACTTCAGCCGTGTTGACTAGATTTGGACTCCAGGTTGGTGGTAATCGAATTATTTTCACAGAATCTCAACATATTTCAGTGACAATTCCATGAGTACCTCATTGCTGACCTCCCTTTTGGCTTCCAAATCACATTTATTTGCTACTAGAGCCAGCACCAAATTAGGATTGCCTGAAACAATGTAAAACGAAAACCTATATCCCATTAAACTCGTTTTCTGGTGCCACTAGCTTGTCTCAGGAAAAGAAAATCATGCCTAAAGGTCGACTCCGGAAGTGTTCCTTGATTCAGAAACGTCATATAAGATGACATAGACATTATTCAATCTCCTTCACAGAGGATCAAGGCTCTGGAATGAGCCAAAACCTAAAACTAGTCATTAATCTTGCGTGATCACAGGAAGAGACACTAGGAAAATGAACTTGATAGCATTAAAGGAAAGATCAGTCTAGACTGCTGAAATGGCTCACCTTGACGTTTTAGCTCATCGACCCACTTTTTGGCACGTACGAAAGAATCCTGGAATTGAGAAATCGGAAATTACATGTCATCTGGAGAAGACTAAAGCGTGATATAATCCTGTTGATCTGAATCTGCCAACAAGACTAGAAGAAGAAGTTTACCATATTTGTGATATCATATACAACAATGGCTGCTGCAGCGCCCCGGTAGTACATCGGAGCCAAGCTGTGGTATCTTTCCTGACCCGCCGTATCCCATATGTCAAACTTCAAAGTGGCTTCTGGCAGAGAAAGTATTTGAGTAAAGAAAGCAGCACCAATTGTTGATTCCTGATAACAGATCAAAATCATCTCAATAAGTCAGTTGAGTCCATCAAATCGTTCAGAAAAACGACTTAGCTTGAATCTATGTATACCTGGGATTGAAAGAACTGACCCTTTACAAATCTCAAAACCAAGCTGGTTTTCCCAGTTCCCATATCACCAACAAGAACCTGGAAGGTACCAAAACATCTCAGAATCATCATGTATGCTTCGAAACCAAGCATGATCATCAGCCTTCAGGGACATTGATGATCAAAATGGCCTCAAAAGATTAAAAATCAAGCCAAAAACTACAATACTACTCCACTGAAAGATGCCAAAAAAAAAAGGGAAAAAAAAAAAAGAAGCTGAGATTTATAGACACAACCCACCAGTTTAACATGAACCATCTTGTTGCCAGGCCGAGTAGCCATTCAAAGTAGCAGTCTTTTCTCACAAATTTGCTGGAACAAATTAACTTGAGGGCTTTTGCTAGGTGTCTTTATTTCATTAGTGTTATCTGATGATTTTGATTGACAGGTTACCATATCTACAGCACAGTTTCATAGATTTTAATGGAATGAACTGATAAATTGAGAATGGTAGGTTTGATTCTCCATGGCATTAAGTGTCTGACTAGCGGATGCATTATTCTCATACCGAAAATAGTGTTAGCTTGATGATTCACTAAATGGAATAAAATGCAATATCGATGATTATCGATCTCAAACAAGAAAATGCGTTTCTGGCAAATACAAAATCTTGGATGTCATGAAGCTTCAATCACCATAATAATGCGACATACTGTACATATTTGACTGATAGTTGCAAGATATGTCTCGTTTATCTCTTTTTTTTTTTTTTTTGGTTGAAAACGGTACATGTATATGTCTCGTTTATCTAATTCCTTGAATAAGTTAATAAGAACCATCTATTAAAAGTTTGATTAAGTTCACCCCAGACGGTGGATCAACAAACCCAATGCAATCCTACTAGATAGCTAGTAGCTAAAGATGTCATAAAATCCGCAGTAAAATTTGATTTTCAAAAAATATGACATAATTTCACGGATCACTTCCCTCTGATTAGCTCATAAATACCCCGAACAAGACCTCCATGTCTACCCACGAAGTCTCTGTTCTCAACCAATTGAATCACGCCGAGGTTGGAGCATGATGTTGTCGGAGTTCCTTACTTACGCAACGTTTTAATTTAAGTATGTTAAACTTTAGCCTTCTCTTTTGTACCTATAAAATAGTTTGATTAAGTTCTTTTGTAAAAAATTTTCTTACCAATGCATTCTAACAGAAAAATAAAAAATAAAAATAAAAATAAAACATACACACACACAAAACATGTTCCAAACAGACCATAAATTGTGAGCCTGAATTATCGTCTAGACAATGTACACTGTAACCATTCATAAGAGGAAACCTAAACAAAAAGAAATTGCAAAAACAAGCATGGTGAAACACCAATTATATTGTTCGACCATATCATTAGTCCTAGACGTAGGGCCTAGTAGCGTAGAACGTAATTGGAGTGAAAATTTAAAAACACCCTCAATCATCAAATTCACTAATTTAATCCACCTTCCTACTTTATTTTATTCAAAGGACAACCGAAACCAATGTTGTTGAAACAGATAAAAGTAACACAACAAAATATGTCTATTATTTTTGGGACGAAAGGAATAGAGTGTCGAATTTTCTTTTCTTTTAATAACATATATATATATATATATTTCAAAGATAAGATATTAAAAAATTACAATAGTTAATCTGCAACTAAATTATTATTATTATTATTATTGAAAAAAATTTATGACAAATGAAGTACAATCCTACGTATTTTGCCTGATTCAACAAGTTTTACTACTAATTTCTCCGAAGTCTCACAACAACAACATGAATTGTCACATTTGTATCCGACGTCTCCTCCTGTGACCCGACTTTTTCTCTTTCCTCCACCTTCCTATATCTCCGGGAGGCGTTTCTTCCTCCCCTTAACTTAAGCAGTTAAGCTCCACCGCACGGGAAGTCCCACCGTACGACACCGTTTCGATCATCACCGTCATCATGCCCTCGAAAACCTCCGCTTCACGCTCCGGAGTTACGCCGACCCAATCGTATTACCATCCAATTCCGACAGAGCCCGAGACCCAATACGTCATCGTTCTACCCCGTTACTACAACCCCATAAGATGGCGCCGCGGTCTAATTTGGCTCGGTTCCCTCCTCCTCATCGCCGCCATCGTCTTCCTCTTGTGGCCTTCCGACCCGGAAGTCTCCGTCGTACGCCTCCGCCTCGAGCACCTCCGCGTTCACACTTTCCCTACACTCAACCTCGATATAACCCTTGACACCACTGTGAAAGTCCGCAACAGAGATTTCTACTCCATTGATTTCAATTCCCTAATAGTTGCGATTGGGTACAGGGGAAAGCAGCTGGGTTACGTCACATCGGATCACGGCCATATTAAAGCCAGGGGATCATCCTACATTAATGCCACGCTGGAGCTTAAAGGCGTTGAAATTTTCTCCGATGTGCTTCCGTTGATTGAGGACTTGGCTAAGGGTGAGATTACTTTTGATACGGTTTCGAGAATCGGTGGGCAGTTCGGGTTGTTCCTTTTTGAATTCCCTTTGAAGGTAAATTATTGTATTCCCGTTTGTGTGAAGTTCGAACATTTTATTGGTTCTTTGATTCCAAGTTGTTATGAAACTTGCTCTGAAGTATCTGAATCAATCTAGAAAGGAATAAATGCTGTTTGGTCCAGCTTGCTGTTAATGTAGTGAGTTTAGTGCTTAGGTTATACGAGGATAAAATTCCCAATTTCCCTTACTAAATTTGATTCCTGTGGCAATTTGCTGTCAGAAATCGTATGTGCTTTTTCCTCTCCCTTTGTTCCTGAACCAAGTTGGGAAAATCCGTTTTTTTTTTTTTTTTATATGTTCTTCTGTGTTTAGTGTGCTTCACCACCAAAGGTTTTGGGTGGTTGACATTCAGACAAAGAGTATACTGATTAGGACAAGTCATTTGCCCGGATGATTCTAATGGTTCGTTTCATTGTGTCCAGATCGTGTTTTGTTAAGCTTTGTAGTGAACTAAAATCGAATCTCTATCCTTAATCTGGTCTTTGGTTCGGTTATACTTTGTTGGATGATGGTTCATTTTTTCCTTGTTACTTTTGTACTGTATCTGGACTGGAGAGGAATTTTTTGTGAGGTCCTCCTGCTCGTCTTTATGCAGGGAAAAGTATCATGTGAAATTATAGTCAACACTCGCAATCAAACGATTGAGCATCAGAACTGTTACCCTGAGGTAAAAGTTTCAACCTTTTTTGTTTGTCATTCTGCCTTGCTGAACGTTTGTTCTCATATCAAATGCTACATTGAAAAAATGAATGCCGTGCGAAGCAAATTGTATACATCTGTCTAAGCATATCCTCTAACCTCTAATATTGGTTCCGTATTTAGAGATCAAAGCCAGACAGTGATGAACTTTACTAATTACGCTTACTCTCTTCGTTTCACAATGTTCTCGGTATGTAAGTACTAACTCTCGTACATTTTATGCAGTGATTGGTGTGGTGATCAGATTTGGGCATTACAAACAGGAATCAGGCAGCAGCTCTGAATTTGCCCTGATGACTTCCCATTCCTCGTCGTACAGGTCATACTGTTGATAGTTTAGAGATGATAATGTAAATCGAGATTATTCAATTTCACCGGAGGGGCTATCATTCCTAGATCATAGCTGCCTGGATTTATTGCCGGACACACATGATTTGGGAATGATACCCATGACGTTGCCCCTCCAGTTACGTATGAATTGTGGGGAATGTAATATATGAAAATATAGCACTATAGCAGTGTGTCATATGACTGCTCCACTTGGAATTCATTCGTTCTTGCAGAAACTGGGATTCTGTCCTTGTTTTCTCTATGTTTTTACATATGAATACAAACTTTACGAACTCTATTTGCGCAACATATAGAGGTTCAATATTTCAAGCATAAATCATCCCTTAATTATCACTGTTCAGAATTGGAGAATACAAAACGCTAGTAAGTACAGAAATTACATATATGGCATTTTAGGCAGCAGGCAAAATGAACACAAAATCAAGATGGGACAATCATCGTAATGTTTATATACGTGGAACGAAAACCCGCCACCAACGATTTGCCTGAGTAACGACTAACTAGTTTTGACGACACTCAGGCGACCAACCCATCGATAATCTGCATGGTGATGCCTGCACCTAAACGAACCTGGGTGGCGCGTGGGTGAACACAAACACTGTTTCATTGCTCCTCCAGCAGTCGTAGCGCCGACTTCACTAACACCGTCTCCGGCCCTAGCCGCCATAGTTCCGGACGGACGCTGAATATGAGGCCTACCGACCACGTTCTCCAACGCTGCTGCCGCCCTTACGACATGAGCAACCAAATTGAAATTTCTCGGACTGGCTCGACGTCTTTCATGGTGAAAAGAATCGATCAAAGGAACACCATGGTAAGGGTAACACATGTTTGTTTGTTTAAAACTGGAGCATCCAATATTGAATAGTGTTTTTATTTCTTTTTTGTGAGTTTTCCTGATATAAAGGAAGAGAAGGGAAAGAATAAAGACGAAAGAAGAGGAATTGTTGTGAAGAAAAGGTTAGGAATCTGGAATAATAGTAGTAGTAGTATGGTACCATAACAATTTCAAAGTGAAGATGGGTCCATAAAACCAGAAAGGGATCGCTTTGTGTCTTTTTATTACTTCTCGTATGAGCTTCATGTTCTTGTGGGGATTGGGGAGCACGCGCTTAGAGATGAGAATGAATCTCTTTTAAGTGGATGATTGTGAAGAAAAGTTACACTTGTCCAAGATTGGGGTCGGGGCTCTTTCGGGAGAATCTTAAGATGTGGTGACGTGCCAACAGAAGGTTCTAACCACTGGTTCATTGTTCGTTGGATCATTAATTTGGACTATCTACTACTCTACTTCTTTTTTCTTCCTTTTAATCCTTCAACTTTAATCTGGGATTTTCTTTCTTCATTCATCAGTATTCTCATTCAAGGGGAGGGCATTGATTGAGCGAATGAATAAAATGTAATGTTTGTTTACTTTCTTTATTTGGTGTCATGGGGAAATTGGATCATATGGATCACATGTATCACAAGATTTATGGGACTTTGCTTGATGGGATTAGATATATCTCACCCTTGCTTACGTTGAGGAAACAAAGGATTGGTAAGGCAATAATCATAATACTAATGAATAGTTTGTTACGTTTCATTTTGATAGTTGACTTAAATTTGATTATTATTTTCTTTGAGATTGTAGCTCAATTATTATCACAACTAATGTTTGAGACTAGTAGTTATCGACAGTTCCACATAAACATTCTACTACGCTAAGTTATTTGTTGGAGCGCAAATGAATCAGTAAGAGTAATATAATTATTATTGTTATTACTAGTACTTTCTCGTGCGCTGCACCACAGATAGAGATATGATTGTTACGAACGTCTTCAATTAATAAATTATTTAAAACTGTCATTGTAGAAACTATTAAAAGAAGATACTATTTATAAGATATAACATATGAATGCTGGTATAAAATGACCAAATTACTGACATTATTAATAAACAGAAATAAATAAAATAAATATAAACTCGCGAAGTCATAAACCTTTCTAAAAAACGGCTCTTTCTACTGGGTCATTAGGTTACCAGGTTGAATCGGTTAAGCCGTTCTAAAAAAAAAGAATGACATTATCATGATGCTATAAATATATCAAATATATATAATATATATTTACAGTGAAATAGATTTAAATCAGTAAGCATTTAACTTTCTAATAAATTTAGAAGTCAAAATTGTGAACTATGAAACTTATAGGGTAAATACTAATAATTTAAATAATAAGGTCCTAACATAATAACTATATATAACCCAGGTGTAAATCACGAAAACCCATTCTCCTTCTTAAATGGTCACCGCTAGCATCCAATTCCCTTTCACAAATACTTTCAATGCTAGTCAAGCTATTTCTTCTGAAGAAAAAAAAAATCTTAAAGTTAAACACACATTTGTAAACAAATTGATTTGTCCGCAATAAAATGATTTGTACTCCCAACAATAACAAAAAAAAAAAAAAGGAAACATGAGTACTCCATAAAATGATGGGTTATTTATAGATATACAAAATACACAAGAAGTGCTTAAAACCAATCAATATTTGATCAACAATAACAACAAATTAATTAATCTAATTACTGTAATTTACGTGATCTAATACTTTCACCATCATATAATGATGTGATCTACTACAATTTAGTTGCTTCCACTCAGTTATCCACCCAAAGAAAAAAAAAAGAAAGAAAAAGATTCTCATCAAACTAAATTCTCATCAAACTAAAAAGAAAAAAGATTCTCGTCATATAATATTAGACCTAATGCTAATATTAAAATTCTTCGATGCAATCAACCTCATGAAAGTAACCCAGATTGGACCTGCAATTTATCCCATAAAAAAGTATTGAGGCCTTACAAGCTTATATGTTTAGGCAAAATATTAAGGATGTGCATATTTATGAAAATGAAGGGACATACAAATTAAAAAAAAAAATACCTTCTTTAATTTTTTTGAGACTAAAAAATACAAAAAAAAAATTATTCCATCAAAAAAGGTTCTACAAATCAATAAGCTGTTTATCGTAATTTGTAGAACACCAAATTAGCAAAAACAAATCCACTTATTCTAACTCCTTCGTTCACTCGTAACAATTCATATTAGTTATCTTTGACAGCATGTAAATTATGTATAAATTTTGATAGATTTAATTGTTTCACACTGAGTCCCAAAACACAGGTTTTACGTATCTGTCTTCAGTGCTTGCCGTAGGGAGCTTGTTTTGAAAAGAGGACCGGAAAGTGAACCGTTAATGTGACCGGGTTGGTGTATTCACCGGGTTAACCGATTAGCTCGTTCCTCGAAACTGATAAAAATCGGTTAAAATAACATTAAAATATAATTTAAAATTATAGCTTTAAAAGATATATATATATATATATATAAAACATCTTTAACCGAATCGATTTCCGATCGAATCGTGATTTTGTCCGAGTTTGACTGGACTTTGCAAAATCTAATTTTTTTTAATAGAAATCGGACCAGTAAAACTTTCGGGCATAACCGGTTCGACCGCCTGGGCCGGTCCGATTTTCAAAATATAGAGCAAAGGCAATGTCTAGATAATCGTAGGTACCTTGACAGATACATTTTCTGGTCAGTTTGCTAGAGCGATGTCGCGAGTCTTCATCAACTCTTTCGCAGACCGAGCGCCTGAGACCACAATTGCATATATTTCGCCAAGTTGTAAATGCATGATTTAGCCGTATTCCTTGGAAAGGCCTGTCATGGCTCTATGTGGAAGTGAACCTGCCAAGAAGAAATGATATATGCTTCCGATGATGGGTAACTTCCATGGACCCGGTGGTAGTTTGGGACAACATGTCACATCGCTTCTTGGTTTTTTCTTTAACTTTTGTAGTATCAGTCTCGGTGAAAAGAAAAAGAGAATGGAAGTGATGAAAAAATATAACAAAATTAACTCCATCATGTGATGTTTAAAATTTATAGTGTTTGATTTGGTTTCTGATGCAAAGTATGGAAGCCTTTATAGAATCAAGAATTTGAACCTCCTATGTAAAATAAGTCCTCATTTAACAAACATTATCCTTCTTAAAAAAAATAAAATAAAATAATATTATCATTAATTTATTTAAAACTTAATTATGATGGGGATACGTATATATCATTTCCGTTTTTTCATTTTAGAGTTTAAATTTAACAACATTTAATGTTCGGTCATTTCTTTATTTAGATTAGGATAAAACTCTAAAACAAATTTTCAAAATGAGAATTATTTTAGATGATAATCTTTTTTTAAATTATTTGACGAGAGTAAAATAAACAAAAATAAAATTAATTATTTAATGTAGTAAACAAAATTTAAATACTATCCCCTCAATAACAGGGGGTAAACATAGTATAAATCTAATTCTTACAACTTGAAAAAATTAATAGATTAATATCAATTGTCATTCCGTATTAAACAAACTCCCTCAATAACAGGGAGTTTGTTTATTTTATCCCCTCAATCATATCTATTAAATTAAAATTAATAGATTTAACACCAAAATACGTTAAAAAAAAGTAATGGAAAAAAGATTCAAACCTTCAAGTTTTGAGCATGTCAGAGTAATAATATTTACAAAACTTGAAACAAAAGGGAAAAAAGAAGAACATAAACAAAGAGTATATTAGAAGTGATTAGTGTAGTGCACCGTAGCATAGTAGATTATATTAACTGCAAAGCAAATTTTCTCCTTCCTTTTTGACTATTTTATTTTTCCTGCACCATTCGGAACCCAAAAATAAAGAAATAATCAATGCACAATACTCATTTTGTAATAATCCAAAACGGGTTTGTCCGAATTTCAGCAAATTCTCACCTTACCATTTCATTCGTGTTTTGTGAAAACATTAATTGATCAAGTTAATTGAGTCTTGAAGCTATTACGGCACAGATGATTTTGACGATGAATGATTGAAACTGTAAGAGCAGGAATGATTTTGATGTTGGGTGATCGAAAATATACTAATATTTTCAACTCTAAGATATATGAATAGTCAGAAATACATCGAGAACGACAGCAATACAGACACCGGCAGCAAGAAAAATCTGCCGCGCATATTGATTAGGCAATAAGAAGAAGTGGCGATTTAAGAATAGATCACAAAAACAGAACAGAGAGAGAGAGAGAGAGAGAGAGAGAGAGAGAGAGAGAGAGAGAGAGAGAGAGAGAGAGAGAGAGAGAGAGAGAGAGAGAGAGAGAGGGGTGAGAATTAAAAATATAAATTTAAAATCGTTTAAGATAGAGGTTCTATAGGAGACAATTGATTTGAAATCGTGAAAATCAACTTATCAAAAAAAAATCGTGAAGATCGGATCAATTTAATTTTAAAATTTATCTCATGATTAATGCATATTTATTATCTTACACTTATCTTTGACACATTTTGTTATTGATTTGAAATTCAAATTTGTTTCTATTATCTTTTGAAACAAAAATAACCTTAAAAAAAAAAAAACTCTAACACTCTTCGTCTTCTTCTTTCGACCGCACTTTTCTCTTTTGCCACCGCCTCCGTAGAAAAACTCTAAAACAAAGTTATGTAGCTCTGTATGGTGTTGACACATAACATTCTTTTGTGTTGCGCCTAGTTCAACGCTACCTTTTCAGTTCGCCTGTGCACAATCGGCGGCGGAGGGACCGGATTTGAAGATGAAGCACCGTTCCTCGAAGAATTCGGCATCAACACGAAGCAAATTGATCAAAATTCTCAATCCTTGAAAAATACATGTTTGAAGCAAGGAGGCTATATCAGATTTCATGGAGATCTGAATTCATCACAAATTTCATCTTTCCAGTATTGAAGGTACCATCAGCGGGGTTGTTGTAATGAAATCACATGTTAACAGTGACAATTTCCAGTGAAAAACAATGGTCACAAGTGATGCCGGAGAATATGCCGAAGAAAGAACTTTCAACAACAACAAAATAATAACTAGTGAAGATAATTTCAGGGAATTGAACGGGTCGGAGAAATTAGTTGCCGGAATCATTCTGGAACTAAGGCGTTCATATTGTCTGCTAGAAATTTGTTTATTGTTTAACTTATGGTCAATAGTAAACAAAAAAATATAATTATTTAATCATTTAACTGAAATATATTTGTAAATATAAAAATTTAATTATTTTACTGTTAAAAAATTACTGTGAAACCTATTAGTATCCTAATCAAGCGACACGTGTCCCGGAGAAAAAATTCCTTTCATATATATCTAAGATTTCAATTTTCCTTTTGGGTCTAAAAGGCTAAATCATTTCAACCCGTTTTTTTTATTTTATTTAACGCTATATCATTTGTAAGAGTGTCTAAAAGCATTCTAAGATCTTGCTTAGAACAGGCTTATTCATTAATTCTTCTTTTGTTTGCTAACAACAAAATAAATTAGAAAAAGCAAATGGTTGGTTCTCGTACACAGCAGCTCTTGCACCAGGCTTGCAAGCGGGGATACAGTCGATGTTGGGCCAAACATCAGTTAATGGATAAGGGAAGCCCAATAGTATTAGGATCAAGTTCGGTTGAAATTATTTGCAGTAATATTTGGAAGAGAAATACTCGTCTTAAAAAAATAGTTCACATTTTAATTTAAAATTTGTATTTTTTTTTAAATACCAATCGCTAATTAACTTTTTCTTTTCTTTTGAGAACACAAAGGAATGTACACATATGTAATTTATATACAATATTACCAAAACAAAAAAAAAAGAGTATACTTGTACCAATGTTACCAACTATCATTAGACTGATGATGAGACAATTTGAACATATATCGTTAAGAAATTGGCTCGGAGATGCAAAACTGGTTGTAGAAAATGTAGGGAAAAAAAAATGTTTAGATTGATTAATTAGTACTTCCCGCCCCCAAAAAAAGAGCCATATCTAAGTATACGTGGACCGAATACAAATTGCCGAATTAGAAAAACCTAAGTGTGCACTAGTAGTACTTGTAAAGTTGTATCCTTATGAACTTTGAATATATATGCCTCCTTTTCTTTGTCAATGCATTCAAAAAATGTCTCCTATGGAATTTGGGTTTCAGGGGATGGAAAATATTTTCTTCTTTTTCTTTTTTTTTTTTTCCAAATAAAAAGGTTGGTTAAAGTCTAGATGATCTACCTTTAGGTTGAAAGTTTAAACTGTGGTTAAAGTATAATGCAATAAGAAGTTAAGTACCTCTCATCCTGACAATGTATCATACTAGAATATCTTTCAGGATTATTGTTTTTTATTACTATAAAAAATTAGAAATACAATTATACAAATGAAGCATTGTAGGTGAAGGTGGCTTGTTGCCAGCACCCAGCACAGAGCATTTACATCCCGCTTCATTCAGTCAACCAAGAAGAGATCCACCGAACGTCCCAACCCCATTAAGTCAACATTAACCTTAATCATTGGCATTCTACCATCTTATTAATTAATTGTTTAGATTTAATTATTTGGTAGCTCTGCACTATGCAATATGCATTTTCAGTTTGCACTTGGGATGCATGACTCTGCATGATAAATATTATTGGATCCCCTGACCTAACTAACAGTTTGAATGTGCTAAACCATCTTACAATTAATGTAGTCAAAATAATATACTGTAGTCAAGTAGTACTGTAAATGAGCCTAATTCTAAAAACTTTCCTCTGACCAATGTGTCACATGCCCCCATCAGTTGGCCAATTTCACTTCTTAATTAGTTTGGAGACCGGTCAAAGTAAGAAAGTTTTTCTCCATTTCCCCATCTCATACCTTTTCAAATTTATGTTTTTAGTCTGAGCATAGTATGTACTTTGTATAAGATGCTTGCTCATTCTTTTTGCTACTACTAGTAATAATAATAATAAAAAAAAGTTCACCGTATTCACTTTGACATTTTAAGGATACAAAATACTCTTCCGACATGAAATTATTGTCCAGATTGAATTTTAATTTTTAATACAAAATAAATTAAAAGTGAAAATTCAAAATGGACAATAAGTTTAGCACAGATGGAGTGTGTTTTCCCACCATTATCTTTTGCGAGTGCTGTCGAATCAGTGCATTATTTTCCTTATTTATAAATAGACCAGAACATGCATTTATATACTTTGCCTGAAATCAAACCGACCAGAAGTAAATCCCTTACCAAAAAAGAAAGAGAGAAAAAGGGTTACCAGCCATAATAATATGGACATGGAAAGATGGTGCAAATCAGGAAATGGAGGGGCAGCCGAAATGTGTTGTTGTTGGAGCAAACGACATCCAGCCAGAGATTATGATCGTTTTGTGTCTTACAAAGTTGTGTCCAAAAAATCATCAAAAGCATCCATCTGGACACAGTTGTGGAGGAAGCTCAAGAGTAAAAAGAAGAAAATACTGATGGAATGTGGTTCAAGTACTGCTTCCGCTGCTTCAATGAGGTTTTCCTATGATCCCTTTTCTTATTCTCAGAACTTCGATCAGGGCTTCACATTGGATGATCCTGATGAGCAGCTCTCCAGACTATCATTTTCAGCTCGGTTTGCAGTTCCATCCAGAATTAGCTTTGACCAAGATGTATTAGTGGTTTAGATTAACCTACATGCACTACACTTTTGATCGATTCCTTTTTTTCATTCTTCTTCCTAATCATATCAACTAGCTATATATGGACATAGTCAGAAGTACTTGTGTTAGTGTTCATTTTGAGGTTGATCATTTTCACCTATACGTATGCTTTAATTCTGGAATTCTCTCTTCACTATGCTTTGCTTCCCACCAGTCAATCTACGTTATGACTTGAATTTAAATTTGGGTGGAAGAAAAGTATGTGTGATTTCTGGATTTGCCCCCCTCATCTTCCGCCTTAGTAAAGAACTTCCGCAGTTACCTTTCTGCAGTAGGGATCCATCCTAGCATGAACATTTAATAAATATTTGTCGAAATGTTTTATTTTTCAAGAAAATTATCTATCTACTGAAATTCATATTATTTTGAACAAAATGAACTCGATTGACAGGTGCATAATATGAAAAAACTTGCTGTTTGAAATGCGACGCTATTTTCCAATTACTCTTTACGAGTTTCGTAATCTCCTTTGTTACGATGATCTACTGTGGAAATCATATGGAGTAGAATTTTCTTGATAGGCGTGATACTGGCTTTCATTTATCTTCTTTGTCCATCCTCAAGTTGACCTTTTTAAAAGGGTCTGACATTAATGGGAAAATGTCAGAGGCCAGATCGTTGAAAAATGGTAACGTATACATAAGATGATTCACAATCATCATACTCACAGTGAAGATTGATGGTGACTCAGATGATGATCGCCCATTTGTAATTCTGAAAGTGCATGAAACATGAAACTAAACTGAAGCTCTTATCCCAACGTGATTTATTTACATACTTCCTTTAGTCAACAAATTAACGATCCACCCACGAACATTTAAATTTATATCCATGTGGCCTTCTGCGCCAACTTGTTAATTAAAATCCCTCGCGATTTGATCTATGCAGTTTAATTACATGCATGATCTTTCCATGATGAATGGATCCATGACCATTACAATTCCTAGTTCCTAACAATCTTAATTACATGCTGGCTATTAAACTCCTTTGTCTGGGGAAGAAAAAAACTAAAAGAAAAAAAGTCATATTTCTATTGGATTAAAATATTCTTACAACAAACATAAAAAAAACTAGCATGCTTAGCTGCTCAAAGAACTGCTGAGCCGATCTTGGGAGATGGTGGTGACTCATATGTGATGGGAAGCAAATTTTGTGGCCGATTATCTTAGCACTTCAGAAATCCGAAAGTTTGTTTTTGCTTCAGAATCCACCAATAAAAGTTGTTCGGTGGAGGGAACATAATCTTATAGAAATTTCTTATTCTTGAAATATGTAATTAGGCTTCTTTTATTCTAACAAAAAAAAAAAATTCTAAAACTGATTTGCTCCGTAATCATTGTTCAATTTAGATTTCCACTTTTAGTTCAAATTTTTGGTAAACATAAAAATTTAAATTTGACAATAATTTTAGAACGGAAAGAGTACTTATGAGTAAACTACTGAATTTGCCTTTGTGATATTTTGTAACCAACACATAACATATGATTTCGATTAAAAAGATGTTCTTTGAAAACCAAATACAAAAATATTTTTTCCAATTTCATCCCAAATGATAGTCTTGAAAATGGAAGAAACTCTGTTCCGAGCAATTTGTGACATGCCGGAGGAGAGTGTACATTTCTTCCATTTCCATGACAGCTAAAAAATAACTAGCCTACCAGTTGTGAAAACTGTCCTCCGAGCAATTTGTCACATGCCGCAGTTTCACTTCTGTAGTTGGACCATCTTTATCGTATCTTTTTGCCTTAAAAGTGATTTGGCTAAGAGAATTGTCAATCAGTCAAAGTTGTATTTTCCCATTCTCATTCTTTTGGTTATATAGTGGGCTCAACTGCTCAATCTTTATTAAAGAAGGATATTCACCTTATGACACTAAGAGCTAACAAGATTTTCCTACTTTACACATAATTAAGGATAAAATAAAGCGCCTAGATGTTGACTTGAGTGGATCAGAAATTGATGCATCATCATCCTCCTCGGTTATAAATAGGCCACTTTGCCTCAATGCATTTGCACACTACAGCTAGCTCTCAATATCAATCAATCCAATCAAAACAACCAAAAACAAAAACCTTTATATTTTTTCAATTTCCAGCCATTGACCAAATGGATATGAAAAGATGCAATTCAGGGAATGGAGATTCCTGCTGTGGTTGTTGTTGTTGGAGCAGAAGACATTCAAGCAGAGATTATGATCGGTTTGAGTCAAACAACGTTAAAGCATCGAGGAGATCATCAAAATCATCAATCTGGACACAGTTGTGGAGGAAGATCAAGAGGGAAAAGAAGAAAATGATGGAATCCAAATCAAGTGCTTCCATGAGGTTTTCTTATGATCCCTTCTCTTATGCTCAGAATTTCGATCAGGGCTTCACATGGGCTGATCCTGATGACCTGTCCAGATCTTTTTCAGCTCGGTTTGCAGTTCCATCAAGAGTCTTTGATAAAGATGTTTAATTTAGCGATCATCTAAACTTAGTTTACCACATTAGAAAGTTGATATTTTTTGTGTTTTAGTTAAGTCATCGGATTTAGTTGTAATGTTCATTTGAGAGAGGTTTATTTGTTCCTCTAGGATTTCTTGTTCTCAATTACGCATCCCCACTGGGATGAAATGTAAATATTACTACTACATTTGTTGTTTGAAAACAAATCCACGAATCATTCAAAACGTCAATCTGCCTATTTCAATCTTTTATCCACTAAATGCATCCCTCTTCATTGTCGGGTTTGATGCCCCTTGATTATTGTATCATTAATCGTAAAACAAATTCATTTCGCTTTGCGTAAAAAACGAATCTGAAATCTCTCATGAGGCGCCGTCTAGTAAGGAAGAAGATGCTAAAAATTCTAAAGTACTACTACTACATTAATGTTTTTTCTTGAAAGGCGTGATGATGGCTCCCATGTTACCCCTTTGTCCATTCTTATGTTTGACTTTTTTTGGGGGTTCGAAAACAATGAAAACCTTAATTGAAGATGAAGCAAACCTGACCTTAACGGCAAAAGGAATCTTATAATTAGTTGGGTTGATTTCTTTATCACTCCATCCTAAAGTCCTAATTACTGTTCGTTGAACAATGACAAAATACTATAAGTGGTTACTACTCTTGGTATAGTGTTATTATTATTTTCCCATTCTAAGTGGTTAGGTGCTCGAGAAGTTATATAGCCCATTAGTTTTCTGTTGGTAGCGTTGAATTTTTTGAGCATATAGCTAGACAAGTACATTTTTCACGCCCATAATTTTCTAGGCCAAAGTATAGAGTATTAGAGGAGCGTTGACTGCATAATGTACAAACTTTGTTTATTATTAAAAACTAGCTTCAACATGCATGCGTTGTCATAATTTGAAGTTTCGTCCTCTTTCAGCATATCATATGTCAATGAATTTCTTGTTTAAGTTTCATGATTACGATAGAAATCATGGCACTAGCTAATTACTTAAGCTAAACGATTGAGAATTAAGGCCTACGGGTTTGCTTATCTCCTAATCAGTTGACATATTAATTAAGAAGTGGATGCTCAATTCGTCATTATTTACTTTTGCTTTTTATCGGAAGATTATAAATCTCTTATGATGAAAACTAAAAGTGTTCATTAAAAAGCAGAATATATTTGAATTGAAAACTAAAGAATGGATGAGTTGGGAAGTTGAGGAAGATGACTCATTTTGTAAGAATGAACGGAGAAATTCATTGAATAATGGAGGACGACCATCACCACCACCATGCCTTCGGCGCCCACCATAAAGGCATCAATACAAAGGGCCAAGGGGGCACATAATCAAAATTGAGCTGATCCTATTCCTATCCAGAAAGGTCAAAATGTGTCTCAACATTTGGCTCTGCCTACGTAAGAAAGTGGGCAATTCCCCTTTTGTTACGATTTTAAAGTATAATTGAATTTGAATTGAGTTAACCAATAATCTGTAGTTATGGCCTTTTCTCTGATGACGGTTTATGCAAAAGACCGATCTTCGGTTGGAAAATGTTACTTTGGTTAGTATGGATAGAAATAAATCTTTGGTGGGGCTAAAATTTTCATCCTTATGGAACACAACACATGAAATAACATGCATGTCAAATTAAGTTGTACCCCCAAAAAAAAAAAAAAAGAAGAAAAAAAGAAATAACGTCAAAGAGTCAATTGTAAAACAACCCATCAAATCTATGTACCATTGCCTTTCTAAAATATATCCATTCAATTCAAAGACCAAATGCACTTAATTATCTATATGTTTTGCATCTTCTTCTTCTTCTTCTTCTTTTTTTTTTTGGGTGATTTGACGAATTTATTATCAGACGCCAAATTATTGTAACTGCATAATATATGACGTAATTATACCACGTAAACAAATGAGACCTTTATTGTAAGGCAGATGAATATACTCCCTACAATTTGAAGTTGTGATCTTTATTACAATCCACCCTCTCATCAATTTGTCACATGCATCCACTTCACTCCTGAGTCGGACAATCTGTCTTAATAGTATCTCATCCGTATATCTTTGCATTCAGGTGATTCATTATAAGAGCGAAAGTTAATTCCTTACCTTCCTCGTTTCATTTTCTTTCTCACATATGGTAATAGTGGGCTCAACCCCTTTATTAAAGAAGGAAATTTACACGTACTTGCATCTTCCGTTCTAACAATATTTCCTTACTTTACACACAATATTTTGTTACTTTACACATATATCTAGTTAACAATAAAATAAAGCATTTATATGTCGACTTAAGTGGATCAGAAACTGATGCATCATCGTCATCCATTCATCCTCAGTTATAAATAGGGCCACTTTGCCTCATGCATTTGCGCATTACAGCTCTCAGTCAATCAAAACCAATCACAAATTAAAATATATATATATATATATATAAATCCCTTAAATAGCCTCGAGAAAGAGAAGAAGAAGAAGAAGAAGATGGAAAGATGCAATTCAGGGAATGGAGATTCCTGCTGTGGTTGTTGTTGTTGGAGCAGAAGACATTCAAGCAGAGATTATGATCGGTTTGAGTCAGACAACGTTAAACCTTCGAGGAGATCATCAAAACCATCAACTTGGACACAGCAGTTATTGAGGAAGATCAAGCGGGAAAAGAAGAGAATGATGGAATCTAAATCAAATGCTACTTCCATGAGGTTTTCTTATGATCCCTTTTCTTACTCTCAGAATTTCGATCAGGGCTTCACATGGGCTGATCCTGATGACCTCTCCAGATCGTTTTCTGCTCGGTTTGCAGTTCCATCAAGAATCTTTGATAAAGATGTTTAATTTAATGATCTAAACCTAGCTAGTTTATGTACTGAGATCGTCGGATGTTTTTTTCGTTTTTTTTTTAATTAGTTCAATCATCGTACGTAGATTTACTGTAGTGTTAATTTGAGGTTGATCGGGTCCGGCTAGATTACTACATTGGTTTTCTTCGGATATCTCTTAATTTTCATCAGACTGCATCCCTAGAACATCAATATTGTATAGGGATCACAGGAAATGTAAATGCTAGTACTTATACGTACATTGTTCACTCAAATACAAAATGCATTGATTTTTATTTTTTTGGTTTTGTTTTAATTAGAAAAGGCGAATCTTCATCAAGCTTTTCTTCGCGAGTTAATACATCCCCTTCAAAATGCGGGGGGGTTTTTTTTAAAAAATTAGTTCATTATACTATATCATCTTTCGCAAATTTGAAAGCAAATTATTATTAATTTCACTTTGTGTGATAACGAATTAAACTGAAACCTCCTTTGGGGCGCCGTCTAGTAAGGAAGAAGATGCTATTTGTGCATGGTACGTTGTATATATATAATCAATCAATTAATTTAATGTTGTTATATCAATGGGGAAATAAAAAAAAAAAAAAACAAGAACTATCAATAATTGCTTTCTTGGGTAGGCGTGATGATGGCTCGATCGGCTCCCATGTTATCCATTCTTACGTAGTGTAGTTACGTTGACATTTATGTATCCGAACACAATTGAAGATGAAGATGAAGAGGAAGCAAACCCTATTTTTAAATTGTAACAGCCAAAAGGGAATCTCACAATTCGATGGGTTGATTTCTTTTTGTTTCCTCTTATTTTTAATATTCGTTGAACAGTAGCAACAAATGATTAATCTGAAGTTCAGTTGAAATTTCGCATTATTAAGTGCTCCAGAATTAAAAGTTATATATCTCCATAAAATTTCAGTTTCTTAATTAGCTAGTCTTGTAGAGGAGTTGATATTTTCAAAAAACACATATAATTCATCTTTAAGTAATTAAGATCAACAAAGGGTCTGCTTATTCCATCTACGTTGAAAATAAAAAAGTAAAAAATAAATTTCTAGAGATAAAGAAAGCGCTCGATGTGTTCCATGTTTAGGGTTACCATTGCTTTAATTTTATGTGAAGATTATGAATCTTTTACAGGAAAACTAAGGATTAAAAGCACAATCCCATCGAAAATGACAATAAGAAATGGATGAGTCAAAAGTTGATGAATGTGACACATTTTCTAGTAATGAGCTGAGAAAATTCGTTGAATACTAAGGGAAGGAGATGTAGCAACTAGCAAGTCAAAGGACACTGAGTACGTTTTTTTTTTCCTTTTCTTTTTGGGGTAAATAAAGGACGCTTATTTCCCTGTCCTTTGGCGCCACCCTAAATGTCATATAAAGGAGCACAGAAAACTGATCTCATCCTATCTTGAATACTCAAAATGTCTCAACCCTTTCGGCTCTGGCCAAAGTGAGTATTAATCCTAAATGCACTTTTCGTTACAATTAATTAAGGAAACTCAAATTATAGTATATGACCTTACTACACCGACAATTGCAAAGATTTTGGGTAAATGTTTCATGTTCGTGTTTACTTCCTGTGTGAATGAAAGAAATCTTTTCGGGGGTCAAAATACTCATCATTTTGGGGAGCATGTTTTATAGACACTTGCGGAGTACAAAATATTGTATAATTTTTATTTTATTTTATTTTTTTTACAATAAAGGAGTCTAACGCCTGAGTTTCTAGTTTATTACAAAGCGTTGATATGAAATACCAACAATATCATGTTGTAACCAAGGCTTAACACAAGATGGTGGTTCCTCCAGTAATGCAAAACCTCCTGGACATGACATCGCTAGGCTAGCTAGAGAGTCTGCAACAAAATTAAATTTTACTCCCAATGGACATGATCCAAAACTATATTCCACTCCCTTCTCATTAAATATAGTATACTTTCATTTCAAAGAGGTTTTTTTTTTTTTCTCTCTCTTTCTTTTCCTTTTTTTTTTTTCTTTCTTTTTTGAAACAACATGTCATAGTCATAGAGTTGATTCCGACTACTTAATTCCTCAAATTTGCCTATTCCCTTCTGTAAAATATTCAAAGTGTGTTCATGTCATCACTTTTTACCTTATACACCTTATCGAATGATCTAAACTACTTGGGACCTTTTTTTTTTTTCCTTTTTCTTTTCCCTGGTCCAATCAATTGTCTGATTATAAGATGCATCAATTCTAAAAATTGCGTAAAGAAAAAGAGTTGGACGGTTGCTATCTTCCTTTAGAAGAGAATATATACTTCCTCAAGTATTCGTTAGTTATGAAGCCAATGAATGTGAATCCATTTACCTTCACCTTCAAGTAGTAGTTGACTTCATTCGATGGATTGATTCCCTACTGATAGCATTAACAAAATAACGACCTAGCATTTGCATTGAATTGTTAAGGAAATTGAAACATTTTCAAAAAAGATAAGGAAATTGAAACGACACAATTTTATTTTTTATTTTATCTATCAGTGGTTCCAAATCGTGATCAGACGTTGGTCCGGAGTTCAATAATCCAATTGAAAAAGGTGTCTCACCAAATTTCTGTCAACCCTTCTCCCGGGTCTTTATTCATATAACACAAATTTGAAATATTTTTAATGTGTTAGTGTAAATCCATTTGAACTAGCATAAGGATTATATATACTACCTTCATCCCAAAACAATAATCCATATTGAGTTTTTAAATTTGTACTAAAAACAATATAAAACTCAAAATTTAATGTGGACTATTTTTGTGGGACGGAGGAAATAGAAGTCACTAAAAAAACCAAAGCGGGTTGCTACCTGAATTATGAGCCACGGCCTAACCATTCTACCTACTGGGTTAATGGAGAATGAACTAGCTAGCTTTTATGGTATTTATTTCACAAAAAATTGCAGAGATTTGACTCAGCTTCGTTGAAAAAGTTGAAGCATGTTGCATGCATTTAAGTTATGATCTTAATGTACATTGGAGAGTCTATTGACTCAAAAATGTTTATTAATTTCTTGTAAGGTCAATGGCTTTCACTTTTCAGCACATAATGCTTCTGTAGCACTATATTTATTCAATTATTCAATTATACATAGTTTGTTGTGTGTAAAATAATTCGGTTCATAACTTGGAAAAATGAACATTATTACACCTGTTGATCTCCTAGCTCCTTTCACGAAAGTCCTATTATACTACACCATCTCTCTCAAATAAATAGTCCACATTAAGTTTTGAGATTTGTACTAATTTTAGTATAAATTTGAAAATTTTATGTAGATTATTTTTTTAAGACTGATAGATAGAATACATGGAGTTAAAGCCTCCTAATCAATCATCATGCAACTATGCATGCCATACATAGGAAGGCATTTTTTTGTACCTAACAAGAAGTCTTTGATTCTTGCATGATCATCAAGAACAACCAATGCAAGAACATTATCATTATCTTCTCAAAGCTAGCTAGTTTTTTACATGAAAGCAAAGCCGCAAATGACAATCACAATGTAAAAGCTGCAATCAATGAAAAGAGCACGAACTGTTTGATAAAGGACCAACCCCCATTCCAGCAGCTTCATTGCTACATCCCAATTATCATCACTCTGATCACTTTCCTTCGAGTTCATATCTTGTTTCACTTTCATATCCATATCTCCTCCAGAACCCAAATCTCTATGCTTCGAATAAATCACTCGAAGGATAACGATTATGACATCAGTCAGTAAGAGCACATAAAGCGGCCTTGAGGCGATTAGGCTCTTCGATTTCACAATGTGGCGCGGAAGATTGGCGTAGGCAATAACCACGAGAAGAGCTATCATGATTGAACAGAATACTCGGGTATTCTCTGAGGATATGATGCAAGAATTTAGGTCTTTAGCAGTGAAACACCTCAGGAGATCATTTATGCCACCTGCTGGTTTTGAGTACACATTTGCATTCTTGTTTGATGGTTCTTTAGTAGTACTCAGGATTCTTGTATCAGCAAGAGATGATGGTTCTGTTCCATTTTTCTGTGTCGCAGCTGAGACATTTTTCATTGTTTCTGCAAATCAATTTATCAAATGATATCATATGGTCCATAGAATCAGGAATTCCAAATGATGTGCAAAATTGTGTGAAAACGTAGAACCAATGTAACAAATCTCACATTGTAGATTTCATCCAGAAATTTTGATCGTAATCATTAATTCTACTGATAATTTACGTATTCATTTCATCCACAACTATATATCGCTTTATTCTATTACTCACTCGTCCTAAAATTATTGTCCAGTTTGGATGTTCACTTTTATTTCATTCTGTACTAAAACTGAAAATCTAAATTGGACAATAATTTTGGAACGAAGAGAGTACATGGGATGGATCAATATATTATTATATAAATCATATGTGACATCGTGCTTGATAGAATTCTGTGTGATCACCAAAATCTGATACAAATTGAGAAATGCGATGCGATCAAAATTACTAATTAGTGGGAGACAATTGAAATTCAATAAAATGAGTACCTTCCAAAACCAAATGGGATGGATGATGATAATCATGATGTTGACGATCATTATCATTGATGTGGGCATTATTAATATTACCCCATCCAGGTGGGACTGAATGTGGCTTTGTAAGATGATGATCTGAAGAGATTGGGGTGGAGGGAGGTGATTGTGTTTCCAGATGTTGCAATCGGCCAGTGATCAGTGCCAATCTGTCCGAACTTCTGTCCACGATCTTCCTCTTCCTTGCTTCTCTTTCCATCTTTTTTTCTCCTTTTGTTAAATAAGTTATTCCAGATTTTCTTCTACGGTATAAATATAATGCCCCTCTTTCCTTCTGCTCCTTTTTCCCCCCTCTTGTTTTTGTGGGATTTGGAAAATGATATAGCCAAGTTTTCTCGCATCGTAACAACTTGTGTTACGTAAATAAGAGAAAATATATGGATCATTACTATTTTTGTGTTCTTTTATGGGCCAAAATAACTGTCTTATTCATTATTTATATTATTTTAATATGACGGAGAGTAACAAAATTGGTGCTATAATCATCTCCAAAACGAAAAGACTTAACAAGATCCAATGTTGTACTCTGCATTTTTATTTTACCTTAGGGCCTAGAAGAACATCATTATTGTTTTAGATTTGGATTGAATGCTGATAAAACTATAAATAGAAATTGCATTGAAAATGTGAAAAAAAAAAAGAAAATTACATAAAAGATGGTCCAAATGAGCATGGAGAATGTGAAATTTGATTTTTTATTTATTTATTTTTTTTGAAATAAAAGTACCCAAAACCTAAAAAAGAAAAAAAAAATAAAAAATAGAGAGATGAAATGGAAAACATGAATGAATTAGAGAGATGAAATGCCTCTTCAAAAAAAGAGAGATGAAATGGAAAATATGAATGAATTAGATTGAGTTGGATTTCTGATTATTCTGGTCATTCAGTTGAATCTTTGCTATCATTCTCATTTCCAGTCCAACTAGCCGTTGTTAAACACATTCGACTTTTTTTTTAAAACATAAAATACGAGATAATTCTAAACGAACACTTCAAAATTTGATGAATGTAACGTTTTTGTCGGCCTAGAACATCCCATCCACGTTTCATTAGTTCTTCAAAACTCTCTTGAATTTTTACGATAGGGAATGGGAAAAAGATAAAAAAAAAAAAAAAAAAAAGGAAGAAGAAGAAGAAGAAGAAACAAACTTTTAAAGAAAGCCACTCAGCTTTAATTGCATCATTGAAGTCTTACATTACAAAAAAGTATGTTAATGTTGTATTGAAGTACAACCAAAAACGTTAAAGATCAAACCTTAACTTTTAAAATCTTACGTTACTTCTCGTTAATTTTTCTCACTCAATATAAACTCCATTCATCGAATGGAATCTCATAAACAGATAATGACACTATATATATATAAAAAAAAAAAGATGCCAAACCAAATTCAAAAATCTCTTCAAGATTACATCTCAAAGATGAAGCAGAAACCCAATTCACAGAATCAATACCCACCAACACCAAGATCCATTTCTTCATCAACTAGCTGGATTTTAAGAGGATGCAAGCACCCCAGGACTCCATCTTTTTCATCATCATCTGATCAAAACAAGAACAACGGAAAAGAAACCATGCAACACAGTAACGCTACTTCTGATCATGATGCAGGGGCAGCTACATTAGCAGATGTAGATCGTTTTCTGTCCGAGAATTTCAAAACCCTTTACGAAAATCAAGAAGAAGAGGAAGTCCAAGACGTTACAGAGATGATGATCAAGACCAGAATTGATGATGATCATCAGGTGGAAAAAGAAGAAAGCCTCATTGAAATCATTCCCATTTCAGGGAGGATGCCTGCTCGGAGAATCAATCCTCGTCCTCGCCGGTCGTCTGACCGTGTTTATACACCCCCGTCAGCGGCTGCTTCCGCTGGTTCGATCACTTCCGATGACGTCAGCTCCACCTCTACTACCACCGCCGGCGGGGGCGGGGAGGCGGAAACAGAGCAGTTGAGCCCTGATGATTTCATCACGGTGTTGACGTATTCTCGCAACCCATATGACGATTTTAAGAACTCCATGCAGGAAATGATCGATGCAAGGTTACAGCATAATGGGAAAATTAACTGGGTATTCATGGAGGAGCTCTTGTTTTGCTACTTGAATCTGAATGATAAGAAATCACACCGGTTTATTCTCCGAGCTTTTGTTGATCTGGTAGTAACTTTACGTGAAAATCCAGGCTGCGTTGTCCCGGCACCCGCAAAGCAGCCGCAGAATTTTCCGTCCAAAGCCAGCAGAAGGTCGATGAGGAATATTAGTTAAAATTCATTGGAATGCAGATGAATTATTGTCACTTTTTCTTTTTTTTTTTCCCCTCTCTTTTTGGTAACTTTTCAAATCAGACATTGTCCACAAACACTTATTAATCCAGTGAAATGGTGACTGACAGCAGAAAAGGCACAACCCCGGGATCTAAAAGGACAGTATACATATGCACAACCTCTGTTTATTTCGTGAATAACAAAAGCCGAACACAAGAATTGGACTTGCATCGAACCTGGGAACAGATCAAACGAAAACAGATACAAGGATGGAAGTTGTAAGGCTTAAAGCTCGAATTTATATCAACTATTTCCAAATATACTACTGCGATCAATTTGGGAGCTGCAAGTTTTAGAGTTGCGTCCTTACATGTATTCCTGCACTAAGTTGCAAAATGCAGCCTATACAGGCTCTGCCTCATAATTAATATTTACAGTTGCTCCTATGCAACAGCCATTCCCACTATTAAGAGACTCCTCCAAAATCATTACTTATCAGTCAGCTATTAGAATTGACAGCCCTATTGCCACAAACCCCAAGAAACTGCATTTGCATGGCGCTCTACTTGATTTGGACGAAAACTTTCTGCCACGGAACTCTTCAACTTCAACGGTTGGATTCCTTAACATGTCAACCATTAGCAGGAATCAGATATTGATGATTCTCCCCTTCGGTATCTATTTTTCTTTTAAAATTTTTTTTTTTTAAAAAAGAGTCCTTTTTAACTATGCCTTTCAGAAGTTCAAATGGTTTCATGGAGTGTAAACATTACATCCAAAAAGAGAGTAACAGATCTTTCAGAATCGCAGCAGTTTTCTGGTATGATGCATTCAAAAGAGAATATGAGATATCAAGGTTATAGAATAGGAATGAGAAAAGTGACCGTGAACTTAATAATTGTTCTCTCAGCTAAGAATCAGTGAAACAGGATATAAGTTGCTTACAGGTTTTCTTTATGATTAAAGAAACTTCGTTTGCCACTTTTGTGCCATGACAGTCCGAAATTGTGCAAAAACTAGCTAGTCAGAGCAAAATGGTAAGCGTACCTGATGGTATCAACGAGAACTTTGAGAAGAGTCTCTTCCAAGTCCAGAATTCTTCTGAGTGATCTGAACACACTGCTCATATAAAGTATGATACTTTGCAGGGACATAATTTTTGAATCTGCACAACCAGAAAAAACCAAGTTAGGGATGCTATGCTGAAAGGCAAACTTTGTTGAGTACACTTACAGGAAGGAAAATGAAAAACAGACAATCTTCCACCAGTTCTTCTTGATATGATGGAAGATAAGAAACTAGTGCGAGAATATATATAAAGCATTCATAATATCCATCACAACTCGTTATTGAGAAAGAAGGCTGAGTTACTGGGAATATGTGGAAGCAAAAGCAAGAAGTCAGTCTTCTTGTTATAAACTACATCACATGGAATGCAGCAGAGTTCTGGAGGGCATAGAAGATGAAGCAAGACTGCACTGAGGATACCATTGTAAAAAGGTATTTGGATGATCAGAAATAAGCAGATGTAACTAGTTATGACAAATAACAGCTTTTAACAAAAGAAACTCCATTAAACTATGAAGTCAATTCAAGCAGCAACATTTTTTCTTGTACTAAGTTTCGATGAACCACCCAAGAATAAGGGGCATACCTATCCAGGAGAGGAACTCGATCTGGCTGAGAAAATAATCTTGCAATAGATTGCAAAACTTGACGAACTTTCATAGCTTTAGATTTCAACGCTGTCATGAAGCCCACAAATTCTTTGTATTCAGCATCAGTAAGCTTCTCGCGGACCTGTTAAGGCACATATAGACTCATTTCAGAGAAATTCTTCTTATGTGTTCTGAAATATTTTAACATACACTATGAAGCATGGCCTTGTATAAAACTACAGACAAGGGTCTTGAAAGAATTTAATCTGGTTCTGCTAAAAATAACAAAACTTGCAAATGTAAGCTTAACAGGGAAACCTTGAGAGAGAAGATAAATATGTTTGCTGATGTTCCAAATGAACCTCATAATAATGAATATATATCTCATGGCTGATGAAAGAATGGAAAAATTGATAACAAACAGGCTGAACTGTTACCTGTTTCAGAAATTCTGATCCTTTTTTCTCTTTCTCATCAGTAGTAGCAGGTCTAGCCTCCATTTCCTTATTTTTCTGCCCAGTCGTGCTAGTCTTGTTGTGTGCTTTGATTTCACCATCTAGCCGCCTTTTGTGATTTTGATCAACTTGCTGGCATCCACTTTCAGTCAACTTCTCTTTCCTTGATAAGCCAGTTTGATAACTTATCGAGTGACTATTTCCCATCATGGATGACGGCTCATGAAGATCTTCAAGGTTCCAAGGTTGTTCAGATGCGGTGCTTACTAACCGAGGCTTCTTTAAGGTGCAAGGCATGAACAATTTCTTGCATTTTTTATCCAATTCAGTATCTTCATCGGACAAATTAGTGATCTCAGAGGAGTTGCGTGTTACGCTGTTACTCCTAGGGATTGCCAGATTTTTCTCAACTGATATTGCAACAGTTGAACGGTTCAAGATCATATCCTGCACTAGCCTGTCTGCTGCTAGAGAAGAGCGATTAGCAGGAACTATTTTGGGTAGTCGGTCAAAGTTCCAGTCTTTCTTCTTTGTAAAAGACCCCGACATGTCAGAGCACCTCTCCTGGGTGGCCTAGCATAAATACATAGAGAGGAATGAAAATTTATAGCATAAATAATCATGTATGCTGTACAAGTATCATTGATGAAATCTACCAGATTAGCTGTAAGCTTCGTGGAATGACTCATTTCATTTGATCCTGAGCATTCTAAGATAGTGGCAGTTCCTGCAACAGAGTAATCCAACCTTCAGAATGATCTTGTACTTACAGGAATGCCTAACTCAAGAAACATGCAGCAAATAGTGCTTCTCTAATAACAGCTGTACAAACTTAGATTAATATGGAAGTTTTAATTATTTATTATTATATTTTCATCAAAAATATAAATCGCCAATGCCAACTTCCAGGAAAAAAAAAAGAACGGAGCTACTTAGAATGAATATCCAATAAGATCTCTGATTTCATGGTCCTGCCCAGGGTTTATTTGCAGAATCAGATATCAACACCAGAATTCTAGTACAAGAGATCTAGAACATGCTAAACAACACATTTCAATATTCTCTGGTGCAGATGATTTACCTTGGCTGTCATTCCGTGTCAATTCCAGCTTTGTGGGACCACAATTTCCTCCATTGCGGAAAAACCGCGTCAGATTGAATACTATATCCCCAAATTTGGAATAACTCTGCAAGTTAGAATTCCCCAAGAGCATTGGTTACTTGGAAATAAGGAGATAACTGAATCAAATATACACAGTAGAATTTAAAAGAGATGGAAAAGAAGAAGCAATAAGTGGGAAGTAAACAAACTGAACTTTGATATGAGGCTGTATCCAAAGTGATATTTCAGACTGGCGATTTGAACTCAAGAACCTACAGATTAGAGATGGAGTCACATACAAAGAAATAGAGACGGCATAGTTTTGGTGAACAAAATCACAAACACAGAGGAAAGTAGAAATGAAGGAGCATAAAATGTTATATTTGGCAGCCATATTATAAGGACCACGAGTCGTGCTGTTTTGAACTATTCATTATCAGGTACTGCGAAAATCTTCAATAGATAAATCATCGTAATGTACAACTCAACCAAGTCATTCACACTCGGTGGGTTTTGCATAAAGATTCATCTACAGATAAATCTTCTGCTGTCCTGAAAGGTTGGTTAACTAGTGACTTCATTGGAGTTTCAGTCCACGGGATAGGTTTGAAGGTAGTAAGTATAATCTAGCAATTGGGTTAAAGGCAGAGCAAGCTATATAAATCTGGTGTCTAATCAAAGCAAGACCTGGGTTGTTAGAAAAGACAAACAGAACTTAATAACAGAAAAGAACTCTATATTAAACCGTCCCATAGATCATGGCTTTCCCGTGTTAATAAAAGTAAGTAGTAGAGTACTTGTTACAGATGAAGCTGAACACAATTTACAAGTACACATGCATCCACATATATATTGGCAATATTAGTTTGAAGTGCATTATGTTTAGAACCTTTCATCACAAAAGATAATAGCTCCATAATCATGTCGATGACGAATGACTCGACCAACAGATTGATTTACAGCCCGAGATGCTTGCTGGCTGTACCACTCTTCTCCAGTCAGGACCTGTCATCCAATTTTAGCAGTGATAGAAGACAACAATTAATCATACAAAGGCTAAAGCAATACATATCATTAAGGTGGGAAATAAAAACAAAATACAATAAAATATTTCAGCACTACCCACCTTGCGACCTGAAGGTTGCAACCGTGCACTCTCATCCAAAAATTCGCGTTTGAGACGAACCTGTGCCATGCCACATGAAATAAAGGCAGTGAATTCACCAAATAAATAAATAAATAAAGACGATCAAGGGTGAAGAAAGCTTCCTCTTTCAGATTAGAGAATAACTAATTAAATAACTATGTGAAGGGAAGATGTAACAGGACAGGGCAAGATAGGCTTTAATTGTAGGATTTTGGAAATACCAAAAGGACTAACTGAATCAAAAAGGTTCGCTGTAGCCCTATTCTATTCATGATAAATGTGCCACCTAGCAATGAGGAGAGCTAGAAATCCCAGGTTTTGGAACTCATTTTACTCCCTCAAGAGATCACTATCCTTAAACCCACTGAAACAACATAAAGAAGGCTTGGTATGATTTATGCCCCTAATCAACAACATTGAAAAGTCAGCTAAAAAATTGTCTACCCCTTTTTTCTTCTCAAGTTTTAACTATCAAGATTGTACCACTAACTTTCTGCAATACATGATCCAGTATGCACCCAAAGAAAAAGTTCACCAGTCCATATCTTAGCGCATTAATATTTTGTGATCTGATTATATGTGAAGATGCGGGCAAATCCACAAAATGGAGAAGAGCATAACTTCAATTTATTCATTCATAAACTTCAAATATGAACAAATGGATGCAAATAAAGAACTGGACAGTAGCAAGCTTCATTACTGAAATCAAGACGTCAGAAAGGAGAAAAGGAAACCAAATCTTCTGATCACGTCATAATTCACAACAACAAGAAGCCTCTATCTGACTAGGTTTGGCTCTATGGAATACATATCAATATTCCGAGAGACAATTTTATAAAGTAAAAAAGAAGCATCAACAAACCTTAGGATCAGTCCTTGTTGCAAATGGCAAACCCGTGACAATAACAGCTCTGCCAGCATGATCAGCAAAATCTAGCCCCTCGCTCACCTAATTGTCATTCATGAAGGTGGTCAATGATGGTCAGAGAAGGGAAGATGCTCCACAACTAATAAAGCATTCAATACCAAGAAAAACTCCAAATAAATCACCAAATGACGGGTAATTAAATAATAATCATGTGCTCTATCTTGGTAAGAAAACAATACCTTGCCACGACATACAGCAAAAAATACAGCCCCAGAAGCAGATTTATCTTTTAGCTTAGTCATGTAATCCTGTTACAAAGACAATACAGCTGAGAAGTTGAAAATGATCACAAGATATTGAGGATTAGTAAATGCTGCATTGACTTAATATGAAGTCACAAAACTTACTTCAATGGACAATGGGAAAAGCGATGATTGTCTAGGTTCAACTACGGGCAGCTTATGCTTGCATATTCTTTCCCATATTGTACACGAGTTTGGTGAGTTTGCATTGCTCTGCATAAAGTATTGACAATCGTAATATGTTAAGCAGGATGAGGAATTTTAGAAAAGCAACTTAAGATGGAAAATCCAGACCACTTACCACAGTCTTCCAGCAATCAATGCATCGGTCCAACAGGTAATAAGACGGAAAAAATACAAGAAGTCCATCTGGCACGATTCGAGCGAAATTGACTACACAGTTTCCATAAAAAAGAGTTTATCAACTATCTTAATAATAATCATTCAGGTAGGAACTAAGGTAATCATTACAAATAAACTTTATTTGCCAGTCTGAGGATTTTTCAATTATATGGTCTTAATCATTAAAGAAGCTTTAGTTGCAGAATAGAACAGTTCTACAAAAAACAAACTAACCAATGGCATTGCCTAGGTCTTGTTTGTATTCCAACGAATCTCGACTCCGGAAGGAAGAATTTAAAGTGTAGCCAGAAGGACCAGTTGGTACTACTCCAGCCCATATCTGGTTTTCTGATATAACATGAGGATTCTCCAGACGAATGGGAAACTCCCTACGAATGAAGAGAAGATTTAAAGCATGAAAGAAGCGTTGAAGAATTATTCAACAAAAGCATAAGCCCCGACTGTGCTTACAATTTCAACTCCTCGGCAAATGAATCCAAAGGTGACAGCGTGCCAGATGTCAAAATAATAGATGCAACACCAAGCTTGGCAAATTCTTCCATGGCAATTCCAGGATTAAAACACCACCAGCTAAGAACTCTTGACTTGTTACCTGCACAATTGAAGTACAGAAATATTACGAGCTTTTTTTAGTCGCTATTGATGCTTTCTACTAGAAAAGAAAGGAAGATGAAAAATGGTTCAACTTTGCAGTAGACTAGCAGTTTCTCAGCAGCACTGCCAGAAGTTTCATTCTTTAGTCAATTAATTATATTGATATCCCGAGAGCTACTTTTCTTTGAACAAAAAACCATTGATTGAAATAGATTGTAGAAAGAAAACAACAAACTCAAATCTGTGATTCTTGGAGCAAATATGTGCCCAATACTGAAAGAATTCATGCCTATATGCAAAAAAGTGGTGCATTTACCTTTTAAGCCATCAAATGATTTTCCTTCCACTTCCCGAACATGAACCTTAAAAAAAAAAAAGGGAAAGTCATGTAAGAACTTAACCACTGTTTCAGTGACTGTGGAGAAAATAGCACTTCCCGAATGTAAAAAGTGTTTGCACCCTTACACGGTAGTATTTTGCATGACTGTTATCGTCTCTGAATATTAATCTGAGAATGTCGCCCATACTTTCTAATCTACAGATGGTACCCTCTGCCTTATCTGGTCCCCTTTCCCCATCCTTGGTACTATTTGAACCTAGCAACAACATTAAAGTCTATGAGAGAAAGAGAGAGAGAGAGTACAGAGTTGTTCACAGAAGACACAAATCATCAAAAGGACAAAATGTTAGTAGGTCCCGACAAGTAATGGAATTTCAACATCAATAGTGCTACACAGGGGTAAAAGATAACTGCAACTCTCCAAGATTAAAGACGAGATCACCAATATTGTAGCGTACAAAATATTCCATAAGAATGAACCCATAAGAATGCACACCAACATGTAAGAGCAAACATAACAGTCAATGGGTGGATCACCTTCCTCAATTAATATTGTGGCCTGATCAATCGTATCAATGAGCACTGTTGCAGTGTCCGGTGTGATGTTTAATTCAGATAATAACTCGTAAATGTAAGGCCCGGTCTTCGTGAACCCCAATTCTTTGGATTGTATAGGTATTTGAGCAACTTTCTCCTTAAGTATCCGAAGAAGTCCTGCGGAAAACCATTATTTGCTCATAAGAATTTAATAGACATAATTTTATAATTGCTTAGCTTGATAAGTGAGCAGAGGAGGGTGGTGGGATAATCCTAATATTTGAGTTTGATAACATTTAACGCACACTTTGACTTATGCAAGGATGGTAAATTTTAAGAGACAATCATGCATAAGCTGGAAGGACAAAAAAGCTATCAATTTTTTATAAAATCCATAATAAGTCATACCTTTCAGCAATTTAAAATCTTCTGGTTTGCAGGATTTGTCATTTGAGTTATCCCTCCTATCTGAAAGCGCTATGCAGTCTTCTGCTTCCGCTATGCAAGCATCAAGAAGGCTCTCTGGGAGGTCAAAAGAGGCTGCATCAGCACACAATCCTTCCTGCGGTTCATAAGTATGCACAACCCAAAATATAAAAACGCGTGCCAAGGCAGCTTTTGATAAAACAGCAAAGGGAACAGCCATTCAGTTATCTAACACGAATTTGATAATTATGGCAAAGAAGGGAGAAAATCTAAGAGAAGTACAAACAAATCTGAGAGGTCAGAATTTACCAAGTTGTGTGCTTCATCAAAGATTAGAACACTATTATCCCATGCAATTTTCAAAGTTTTTCTGTTTCCTCGATCAATAAGGTAATTGTAAGGTGCAAATAAGATGTCAACACTCTTGTGGAGATCTCTTGACAAATAGTAAGGGCACCTGAAATAAGTTACAGAAATATCAGAGATCTGAAAGTGTTAACTAACGTGGAAAATGAACAAGAGTATGAAACTTACGGTCCAGAACTGCGTCCAATATTGACCAAATCCTCTATGTCAATAGGTTCATCACCGAGACCAGGGTTCATACTCAAGTACTCTGGAAATGAAAGAGCATGACAAAGCTTACATGTATGGTTCTTGTGATGTTAAACATGACAAAATAAATTCATTCGCATTAACCCATACCTGTAACTCGAGAAAAATGGGAACAATAGCGTTTGCGGCGTTTTTTACATAATAAATGGCAAGCATTTGTCTGTGCTTTCCCACGTAGTACGCGAACATCTTCATGGATGCATAATTGCTCCCGAGATCCTAACACTACCATTTTAGGCCTGCAATTAAATTAAGTTGATCATCATGATTCCTAGTCATAAAGAGTATGTAGTTTCAATCATGTCCAAAACAGTTAGAAAAAGCAAAGGCTTTTAAGCTGTTTTGTTTTTACAAACTATAGATCCAGATCAAACCCTCACATGCCCATTCAAATAATAACTCAACAGTTCCAGCAACCCAATGACATCAAGTTAGTATCTGAATTCCAACATTGAAAGCCAACTTCATTAGAAGTTGACTCAAGCTCCATCTATATACCATACAAAAAGACGGGAAAGGGTGGATACATTAGCCACATACTTTATACCTGTACCTAGCAGAATCTAGATACCATTACATTACCCCAAAAGAAATGTATATAGTTCAACTGAATCAAATCCATGTCTCAAACCCATTATGATAGACATAATTTGCACGCAACCATATTTCTGCATACCTGTAATTAGTCCTTTTTAGCTCTTGAATCACTTGGCGAATCTGACTGTGGGTGCGTGATGTGTACACTATGGTAGGCAACCCGGAAGATTGTGAACCCTTGAACGGCTGACTTAAATCCTCCGGATCATCAGCATCATCGTTTCGTCCACCTCTACCATTTCTCTCACTCCTTTCACTCCTTTGAACTCTACCTCTAGAGAATTCACCTAGACTCTTCCTCCAAGCCAAAGTAGCACAAAGAAGACACAGGGTTTTCCCAGTTCCAGTTGGGCTCTCCAGTAATGCATTAGTTTTCTGCAAAACAATATCAAACATGAACCAACTCCTATAAAATTGCCCATTAATGAATCATCAGTAATTATAAAAGCTACACCCTTCAATTTGTTCTTGCATCAAAGTATTGAATTGAAACATTTGTTAAAGAGCGGAACTTTGGTCCAAAAGGCTGGAAAATGTAAAACTTCATTTGAATCTAATCAAACGATCATTTCTTCATTATACACATATTTTACCATAAAATTCGATACAATAGTACTAATAATCATAGAAATAAACAGATTGAAATAATGAAGGGGGGGGGGGGGAATAGCCTACATTTTGAAGCGATTCAATCACTTTCTCCATATAAACGAGCTGGCAATCGTACGCCTCGTATGGAAAATCCACATTGATTCCTCTTAAATTGTATATCGGCATCTTCCTTTCCACAGTATCACTCCCTCGGTGATCAAATGCAAATCCTCACCACGAACTCCTCCAGTAAACCCTATACTGAAATCCTGGGGATTCTTCTCTGACAATTTTCCCGCCATCCTTTGGTGACACTGTATGGGCTTGGGCTTTTGTAACGGTGCCCTTCCATTAGAGCACAAAGCCTGTGGGATGTCAATAAAACAGATCGGTTCAATTTGGACCTGAGGCCCACTTAAGGATTCGGCAAAGCCCACAAAGAAGAGCACGTTGAACGTCAAAAATTAAAAAAGGAATGACGAATGAGTAGAATTTTCTAGAACAACAGGCTTCTCTAGACAAATCTAGGACCACCCCGACCACCTTCCCAAAACACACACACACACATACACAGAATGTGAAAAAAAAATAATAATAATTTAAAATAATTTTCCTATTAATAAAGTATAATAAACTCGAAATTTCTACAGAAAGCCCCAGGAAGAAAAAGAAAAAGCGCAAAGAAATAGTAAGAAAAGGAAAAAGAAAATAGAAGAAGGAACGAAAGAATCGCAGATCAAAGGTAGCGCCTTTAAATACTTCAACCTAACACGATTCTGTGTTTTGGGTTTTTCGTTCAGTAGCAAAGCTCTATTCTCTTCTATTTTTTGGTCATATTATTGATTTTTATTATATAGTTCATTCTTTTTCCCCCATCGCCCGACTCTTTTGGAAGCACGAAGAGAATTCTAGAAGGGTCACGGCCATACTTCCTCCGCCGGCCGCTGCCATTCGATCGGTACGTGGCCTCGACTTACTTGCTGAGGTTTTCGGTTTTATGAATCTCCGTTAGTATATAATGTTTTGTTTTAGTTTGATAAATCTTAGATCTGCTGTATTGCTGCTTTTGGTTTCTTTTATTCACTGTGAGATTTGCTGTTTGATTTGTTTATTTCATCTGGATTCAGTGTGCGGAATTTGATGTGACGTCTTTGGTGGGTTTAGTGTAGGCTTATCTGACTTGGTTGGGATATTAGGGTGGTTTATGTAAGTATATTATATTTAGGTCTGGGCGTTGGTTGTGGATTAGTATATAATGTTATTGTTGTCCCTTTATTTGTACAATGTTAATGGGGCCACTGGGGTTCGTATTGCTGCGGTTGATTGTTGGATTTGACGGCATTGCGGGGTTTATTAGGGTGCAGCCACCCTTGTGAATAAAATTTGAGTTGCTTTTAGATGTCAATTTGTTGTTGTGGAGGGCAATTTCCTGTTACCAGTTATAGTTAATGTTGTTAATGCTGTTAAAAGTTAACTATGCATCTTAATGTTTTTGTTCATGGATATGTGAATAAGACTTAATCATCTTATAGGTCCTGTGTATATTGGGAGCAGATTTGATGCTAGAATTTTAATCATCTTATAAGTTTTTGAACCTTCCTTCAGTTGATGTTTTTTTTTTGTGGATCAATTTAGGACTTCGGAGTTGCATCAATGTGATTGTGTACTCATGTTTTTTAATGATTTCAGGTTTTGATTTTCCTTTGTTAGAAGTTGATTATTTGCTACCACTAAAGATGAGCGTGGTTGGTTTTGATTTTGGGAATGAGAGTGGTGTTGTGGCCGTTGCCAGGCAGAGAGGCATTGATGTTGTTCTCAATGATGAATCAAAGCGTGAAACACCTGCTGTTGTGTGCTTCGGCGAGAAGCAACGTTTTCTTGGGACTGCTGGGGCAGCTTCAAGTATGATGAATCCAAAAAACACAATTTCCCAAATAAAGCGGCTGATTGGACGACCTTATTCTGATCCAGAGCTACAACGTGATCTCAATTCCTTGCCTTTCGCAGTAATTGAAGGTCCTGATGGCTTTCCCCTGATCCAAGCCCAGTATCTGGGAGAAGTCAGAACATTCACACCCACCCAAGTGTTAGGAATGGTATTTTCTGATCTGAAAACCATAGCTCAGAAGAATCTGAATGCAGCTGTTGTTGATTGTTGTATTGGGATACCTGTTTATTTCACCGACCTTCAGAGGAGAGCTGTTATTGATGCAGCTACTATTGCAGGCTTGCATCCGCTTCGCCTTATTCATGAAACAACAGCTACTGCCCTGGCTTATGGTATTTACAAGACTGATTTACCTGAGAACGACCAACTGAATGTTGCTTTTGTTGATGTTGGACATGCCAGCTTGCAGGTATCCATTGCTGGTTTTAAGAAGGGTCAGCTAAAGATATTAGCTCACTCGTTTGATAGGTCCCTGGGTGGTAGGGACTTTGATGAGGTCCTCTTCCAGCACTTCGCTGCAAAATTTAAGGAAGAATACAAGATTGACGTCTTTCAGAATGCCAGGGCTTGCCTCAGGCTTCGTGCAGCTTGTGAGAAGTTGAAGAAAATATTAAGTGCAAATCCTGAGGCCCCTTTGAATATTGAGTGCCTTATGGAAGAGAAGGATGTCCGGGGTTACATCAAGAGGGAGGAGTTTGAGAAAATTAGTGCTCCTATTTTGGAACGGGTAAAGAAACCATTAGAGAAGGCACTTGTAGAAGCTGGGCTTACAATTGGTGACATTCATTCAGTTGAGGTTGTTGGTTCTGGGTCTCGTGTTCCTGCCATTATTAAGATCTTGACTGAGTTCTTTGGGAAGGAACCTCGTCGCACAATGAATGCGAGCGAGTGTGTGGCGAAAGGCGCTGCCTTGCAATGTGCCATTCTTAGCCCAACTTTCAAAGTCCGGGAGTTCCAGGTAAATATGCTTTAGTGTTTCCTTTTTCCTCTGGTAACTATCGTGCTTCTATTGTACAGTGGAGACATGTAAGATCTATTGGCTCGCTTTAGAACAAACTGGATGCCTGAAACTGGCTGTTTATTAATGCACAATCTTTTCATATGATAATTCTAGTGAGCAATATAATGAAAATCGATTTTATATTTTCATTAAGCTCATTGTAGAGCCTGTTTGTTGATTCTAATATGGCTTTTTTGTATTTTGATGTATAGGTCAATGAGAGCTTTCCTTTCCCAATTGCTTTGGCATGGAATGCACAAGACTCACAGAATGGAGCTGACAGCCAACAAAGCACCATCGTCTTCCCTAAAGGAAATCCCATACCAAGTGTGAAGGTGTTAACATTCTATAGGACTGGTACATTTGCGGTAGATGTTCAGTATGCCGATGTCAGCGAGTTGCAGGCACCAGCAAAAATTAGCACTTACACGGTAAAGTTGAAATGGATTTCCAGTCAATGCCATTTGGGAGAGAATCAGTTTTCTTGTTAGGTGAAGGTATGGTCTTTTGACTGTTTTTCTGTTCTTGGCTGTACAGATTGGACCTTTCCAAGCTAGTAAAGGTGAGCGAGCAAAAGTGAAGGTCAAAACACGCCTCAACCTGCATGGGATTGTTTCTGTTGAATCAGCAACAGTAAGGCCTTTGTGCAGAATTTGTCCTTCTCTTCTGTTTGTTTGTTTTGCATGAACTTTAACATGTGGCCCTTTAATTTGGATGTAGCTTCTGGAGGAGGAGGAAGTAGAAATTCCAGTCACTAAGGAGCCAGCAAAAGAACCAGCTAAGATGGAAACTGATGAGCCTGAAAATGGTGTTCCACCAAGTACTGGTGAAAACGATGTAAATATGAGTGAAGGTAATGCCACAGTTGATGCTTCTGGAGCTGAAAATGGTGTTCCCGAGTCTGGGGATAAACCTGTTCAAATGGAGACAGATGCTAAGGTAAGCTTTCTGGTTTGAATGAAGACCTATTGAGGCTGAATGTTTGATCTAGATATCTTTTGAAGTGTTTGGGCTGTTTATTTTTCTCCTTTTTTTAAGTTGAACTTACATTGCTGGTGGTCTGATCATGCAGGTTGAGGCTCCAAAGAAAAAGGTCAAGAAGACAAATATCCCTGTTTCAGAAGTGGTTTATGGAGGTATGCTAGCTGCAGATGTGCAGAAAGCTGTTGAGAAGGAGTTTGAAATGGCTTTGCAAGACCGTGTCATGGAAGAAACAAAGGACAAGAAGAATGCTGTGGAAGCTTATGTTTATGAAATGAGGAACAAGGTATATTTCAGTGTGTCTGGTTTTGGCTTTTATGTGGTGCATGTATGTATGTGGGCATTCTCTAATTTTGTTGTTTCTTTCTCCAGCTTAATGACAAGTATTTCTCGTATGTGACCGATTCGGAGAGGGAGCAACTTGCTGCTAAACTCCAGGAGACAGAAGATTGGCTGTATGAAGATGGTGAGGATGAAACAAAAGGTGTTTATGTTGCTAAACTTGAAGAACTTAAGAAGGTTGGTACCCTAGGTTACATTGACCGACGCTCTTGTTGCACTTGTGTTAACTCTTGTTCTAAGTGCTTTACTTTTGTTTGGCCTTTCAGCAAGGTGATCCAATTGAAGAGCGTTTCAAGGAGGACATGGAGAGAGGAGCTGCTATAGAGCAGTTTATCCATTGCATCAACAGTTTCAGAGAAGCAGCTGTGTCAAATGATCCTAGATTTGATCACATTGATTTATCAGAGAAGCAAAAGGTACGTAGTGGTTGTTATGTTGCCCTATCTAGTCTATTCTTGCATTTGTGTTCTTTATTTCGACTGATTTTTATATCTCTTCGGTGTAGGTCCTAACTGAATGTGTGGAAGCTGAGGCTTGGTTGAGGGAGAAAAAGCAACAGCAAGATGCTTTACCGAAATATGCTAATCCTGTTCTTTTGGTAGCTGATATCAAGAAGAAAGCTGAAGCAGTAGACAGGTATCAATATTTGAAAACAATTTCCCTTTTCTTGTCTCTGTTGTGTTAGGTCACACTGGGAGAAGGGGGTCCTCTTCTGTAAATGCTTTTGTTGGTTAAAACATTTGTCCGAGAAATTTTAATGAGCAATGGGAAGAATGCTCCTTAGTACTTTGTTATTTCGGTGATTGGGATTTCTGATGATGTGTACCTCTTTCACAGATTCTGCAAGCCTATAATGATGAAACCAAGGCCTCCCAAGCCTGCTCCTGAACCTGCCTCACCAGTTCCACCTCAAGGAGCTGAGCAAGGCACCGAGAACCCCAACCAAAATGCCAGCCCAACACCAAAGGCGGATGAAAATGCTGGAGCTGGAAATGAAGGACCTACAGAAGGGTCAGAGCCAATGGACACGGACAAAGCTGAAACTGCGTGAGATGGCGGAGCTGGGAAACTATGTCTGGGATAGACATGGTGATTGTGTACTTTTTTTTGACAATTCGAAGCCTCAGTTTTTTTGGTGGATATGTAGTAGTTTAAGGTGAATCTTTTTAATGATGCGTAAGGCATTAATCGACAAGGTGGCTTTGGTTTATATGGATTAGATGGGTTGACTCAATTATGTTATTATTATGGCGGATTAATATTATTGATTAGGTGGTGTATCAGTCTCCGATCCTTGTTTACGGAGGCTTGAACAGAGAATTGTTGTATTCGCGTACGGTTTTTTTTTTTTTTTTCACAATTGTTTCTCTCGGCAAAAATTAAGTCCATACTTTTCCCCCGAACCGAGCAGTTCACGAATAGCTTAGTCAAAGCTTGGTTTGAATTTGATTTTGACCGAATTCGAACAATTCGATTAATTAGACGAGTTGAACATGAGTATTAATATATTTGATTCGAGTTCGAGCTTATTATATATTATTTTATTTTTATTATGAATAGACTAAACTGTATAAATGGTCTTCGATATTTGTTCGAATTTAAATTTTGGTTTCCTACATCAATATGTATATGTGTCATTTTGATTTTATATGTGTAGGAGACCATTTAAACATTTGTTATTTTGATCTTATATGTGTCATTCCGAAAATATCCTTGACTTGGTAGGGTCAACGGCCAATCCATATACATGTTGATGTAGGGGATCAAAATTTAAATTCGTACAAATGTGGGAGACCATTTATACAGTTTAGTCTTATGAATAATATATAATTTATAAAAACTTTTCTTATTATTCTTTAAAAATTATTATCCTTTATATTTTGAAGATGTAATGGGATATACATATTTTCATGATTTGTTAAAGAATTTTGCTCATAAAATACATAAATTGAACTTGTTGAATTAAAAATGACAAATATTAAAACTTGTTCGAGTTCAATATTATCGAGCATTCGAACTTAATTTCTATCGAATACAAAAATTCGTGCCAATCGAGCCAAAAAGTTATTCGTTTTTGTTTCGAGTCAAACTCAAACTTCAATTTAGATATTACACCGACTTCGAATTCGAATACGAGCTCTAAATTTTTTGCCGAACTCGAACTCAAGCACTTAACTGTTTGGGCTTGACTCGATTCGTTGATAGCCCATGTTTGGGTCATTTGCCTGTAACCGGAATTTTTGGCAGAAACCAGGTTGATTATAAAATCCTAAAGTTCAATTGCTTAACTATAATCATGATAATGTGTACGTTTCCAGAAACCCAGTTGCCACCGCCCTTTGTAGATATCTTGAAATAATGCATTTGAGGTGAAACATTTGGTTGATCAGGTACTCCATATTAGTATTTTTTTGAAAGTAATTTTGCATAGGCCAAGCCAGATCCTTTGGGCTACAATAACCGATGGGCTTGCCGCACAATAACACGATCGAAAGCCCGTAAATAAAATCGATTCAGGTCGGCCACAGATCGTCTTTCTCTTCATTATTACAGAACCTTTAAGAATCGCCACGGCTCCTCTCTCCTTCAGAATTTCAGACAATTGGAACAGAATCGCTATTTCTCAATGAGTGACTCTGTCTTTCACACAAAACCCAGCTTTGAATTCCTAAGAATATGAGAGTGAGGTTGAAGAATATTTTCTTACCGTAATCAGTCAGTGTAAAATGCGCAGCAAAATGGCGTCAGCATTCTTTTGTTGGAGACGGACTGTGTCTACATACCCTTTTCTCTGTCAGAGAATAAAGCAAACAGGTGAAGTGCATTTTCTAACCAAGTTTTCGTTTTCTTTTCTCCTTTTAATTGTTATGGATTTTACATATTGCTTCGATATGGGTGCTTTTTGTTGGAATGAAACTCTTTTCCGAATCATTTTTTATGCCTTTTTTTTTTCAAATGATGGTATCATGTTTGTAATGTTGCATTAAATTCTTCAGAGAGTGATATTGTTAAAATGTTCCAACTATCACCTCCGAGAGATGAATCGCCAAACTTTGGTGTAAATAGAAAACCTTTACGGAAGAGCAGCCACGGAAGGGTTCTGGATGAGAGGTTCATCAGAATTTTGAAAATTTTCAAGTGGGGTCCTGATGCTGAGAAAGCCATGGAGGTGCTAAAGCTCAAGGTTGATCATCGGTTAGTTCGTGAAGTCTTGAACATTGATGTGGAGATAAATGTCAAGGTGCAATTCTTCAAATGGGCTGGAAAAAGAAGGAACTTTGAGCATAATTCCACTACTTACCTGCCTTTTATTCATTGTCTGGAGGAGGCTGGCCTGGTTGGTGAAATGTGGAAGGTCATCCAAGAGATGATTAGAGGTACTTGTTTGATAAGCCCTACTGATCTATCTGATTTAGTGAGAACTTTGGGCAGGGGTAAAATGGTTAACAAAGCCCTTAAAGTTTTCTATCAGGTAAAAGCTCGCAAGTGCAAGCCAACTGCAAGCACTTATAATTCAATTATTCTGATGCTAATGCAAGAAGGACATCATGAGAAAGTTCATGAACTCTATAATGAAATGTGTAATGAAGGAACCTGTTTTCCTGACACTGTGACATATAGTGCACTTATCTCGACATTCTGTAAATTAGGCCGAGATGATTCAGCGATCAGATTGTTTGATGAGATGAAGGAGAATGGCTTGCACCCCAATGCTAAGATATATACTTCTTTATTAGCTACTTACTTCAAACTTGGGAAAGTTGAAAAGGCATTGGGTTTAGTCGAGGAGATGAAGAAGTGTGGCTGTGCCCCAACTGTTTATACATACACAGAGTTGGTAAAGGGCCTCGGTAGAGCTGGTAGAGTTGAAGAGGCTTATTCTGTCTTTCTTAATGTACTAAAGGAGGGCTGTCAACCAGACATTGTTCTTATAAATAATGTTATAAACGTGCTTGGAAAGGCTGGGCGCTTGTCTGATGCCCTAAAGCTGTTTGAAGAAATGGGGTCTCTGAAGTGTACGCCTACTGCTGTGACTTATAACACCATCATCAAAGTTCTGTTTGAATCCAAAGCCCCTGTATCTGAGGTTTCATCATGGTTTGAGAGAATGAAGGCAAATGGTGTAGCTCCTAACTCTTTTACTTATTCAATTCTCATTGATGGATATTGCCGGACAAATAAAGTAAAGCATGCTCTATTATTGCTCGAGGAGATGGATGAGCTAGGTTTTCCCCCATGTCCCGCTGCCTATTGCAGCTTGATCAACAGTCTTGGAAAAGCAAAGCAGCACGAAGCTGCAAATGAGTTGTTCCAAGAATTGAGGGAGAATTGTGGGTCCTTGAGCTCAAGAGTATATGCTGTAATGATAAAGCACTTCGGTAAATCTGGACGCCTGACTGAGGCCATGGATCTTTTCAGTCAGATGAAAAACTTGGGTTGCAACCCTGATGTCTATGCTCATAATGCCCTCATGTCTGGAATGGTCCGAGCGGGTATGACAGATGAAGCTCTTTCGCTGCTTGGAAAAATGGAGGAAAATGGTTGTGTTCCAGATCTTAACTCCTATAATATCATCCTCAATGGCCTAGCTAGGGTTGGTGGTCCTCAGAGGGCAATGGACATGTTCACAAAGATGAAAAGTTCAAATATGAAACCTGATGCAGTCTCATATAATACAATTCTTAGTTCTTTGAGCCGTGCTGGCATGTTTGACGAGGCTGCAAGGTTGATGAAGGAAATGCGTGAAACTGGTTTTGAATATGATCTGATAACATACTCATCAATACTTGAGGCAGTTGGTAAGATGGATGAAGATCGTTCTGATATCACTCTATGAAAGGATTGATGCTCTTCGGTTGAGATCTCTTCATTCAGTGGCAAGCCTATGCTTTCCCTCGATACGATCATTTCTAAGAAGAGGTGTATTTAATTCCGAATGGTTCACTAATATAGAAGCAGTGGACTGTTCTTCTTGGAAGTCTCCGTTGTAGTTTATTTGTAAGCTTGCAAGTGGTGCCTCAGTTGGCTTTGAGGAGAATGTCAGTTTTTGTAGTAGGTGACTTTTGAATCCCTCTGCGAGAAAGACACAGTAGATCAATACAGTTCAGTTGTGCTTCAGTCACTGTATGCCTTCGCTTGGGGGCTTTCTGTGAAGATTATTTTGTCGAATGCAAATGCAGCTACTGATAGTCTAATGTTCCAATGTCTACAGTATGGATGGATTCATCTGATGCGATGCACCTCCCAGTATCATGCATCAGAAGTCTCCTGCATGTCACGGTACAGGAACAAAATTGCAGACAATACAACAAGTATCTAATCTCAATAGATCCCTGGTTGCCATTTTAGTGTACCTGTTAGTTGGGAACCGATTGACTTTGTGAAGAGCTCCATATAATTATCACGCCTTGTCCCTTTCCTGATTTTTCGTGATTCTATGGGGGGAGCGGGCGAGCAGCATCGATCATATTGCAGGTTTCAAAGTTTTACTCCATCACAAAAAACTGGTTGGTGGACGATTAAGCTTTCATTTTAAAGTTTGAAGGAGATTGGGAAGTATTCGAATCAAGTTGGTTTATGATCCTCACTAACGCTGATTATGCCAAATTGAAATAAGCTTGTTATGATAGGATAGTTAGTTTTTTCTATGGAGTTTACTGGGCTCACAATATGGATGAAGAACTACTGTAGTGGCAATGTAAAAACTAATTTCTTGAAACATCTTACTTGATTCTGTTACGTTACAAGTTCTCATACAGTCAATATACTTCCATGTACTTGAGGAAAGATTTAGTTACTGACAAAACTGAACAGCAGCGATGTACAATGATAATCGAGATTCAAGATGCACAACAAGGAATGCTGGAATGTGAAAATCTTTGATATTTATTGCATATTAAGTTACAGCAAATTCAAATCGAAGATCTTTGATACTCCATCTTTAACTATCTAAATCACTAATATAGCAATTCTTGACTTGCCTAACAACAAATACAGAAGAAGTCATAGTGCCACTAAATGATACAACAATGATGGGCATTAACAACCTGGAAAACAGAATAACTCTGTCCCATTTAGAGGGTTCACCTACTGACGTTCTCTGTAGATACATCATTCTCTTCATCATCTCCTCGCCGGATTTTGGCAATCTCGGCATGAGCCCTCTCCAGAATCTGCCTCTTTTGTAATTCCAAGTCTCTATGGAAGTCCATTCTCATCTTTTCTAGTTCCATTATCTGCTGTCTTTTACTGTTCTCAATCTTTTCATAAATACTGCTAAACTTCTGAATGGAATCAGCAAGTAATTTAAAAGACGAACCATCACCACTATTGGAGCCCTCGCTCTTTCTACTCTTGGGTGGTAGCCCTTCGGAATCCTCCTCTTCCCCCTCAGGCGATTCTGAAACTCCCGGGCTATCCCTCATCTCATCTAGTCCATTTGAACGGTTTAAATACTCTCCAGGGTTCATGAAAACATACTCCCCAGAGTCCAGTCCACATGAAAGCCCAGCTTGCTGAGGTGGTGATGACAATAATGTGTCCATTTTCTCAAAGTAAACCCATTTACTGACAAAATTTGTTGCCTCGGATAATTTTGCCTTCTCCTTCTTGTACTTCTTTTTCAATGTATCTAAGCGATTTCGGCATTGGGTGTCTGTCCTCTCAATCTTGGTCTCCTGAGAAACCTTATCAGCAACTTCTTGCCATTCCTCAGACCGTAGGCTCTTTCTTCCATGCTGGAGAAACTTATTGCCCCAAGCTTCAAGTAAAGCAAATGTCTCACGCTCACTCCAATCAGCAACTGAATTTCGCCCACCAAATGACGTTTTTGGCACAACAGCAGGGGGTGCTGCTGCTGCTGCTGCTGGTGCTGGAAGTCGCGGAGCAAATTCATAACTGGACAACAAGCTCTTCAGCTTCCTTTTCTTGGGGTGTCTCTGCATATCATCATCATCGGTGTCCTCCTCGTGATCATCGTCATATTCATCTCTTCCTAATCTCTGAACACCATTTTCCTCATTCTCATCATCTTCTTCATCATCCTCATCAATCTCTTCTTCTTCATCATCATCATCCTCCTCAGGATAATGATCATTTGTGTTTTCTCGAACAACAAGCTGCTTTTGCCGATTGGACGAAGCATAACCCTGGCTCATCCCATAAGTGTTAGAGGGATACCTCGCATCATCCTCAGTGTCATCCATTTTAGCAGGGCACAGAACTAAAAAAATAACTCAAATAAGCAACCTGACTTGTATTTCTATTTGCAAGATTACATTCCTCAAGGGATGAAATTTCCCATATAGATCATGCCTTCAGTTTCCAGCTGATTATCATACAATAAATGTCCAACTACTCAAATATTTGTACAAAATAAAAGGATAATAACTATCTATATATCTCAAAAAACGGAAAATTTCAGCTCTCGCAACTGATTATACCACAAAGATTCATTTCATGGGAAAAATTAACTAAAAAACAATAATTATTCACAATGAAAATTCAGGGGAACAAAACTACTCTAAAAAAATTTTCTCAGAAATTCCAGACAGCAAAGAAACTAAATTCCCAAAATAAAACCCATCAAACCGAGTAACTCAAGAACAGACAAAAGATGAGCTTCGAAGTACCTCAAAGTTTCAAACTTTCGGCCGAATCAAACACCGAAGACCGACAGAAAGTACAAAAACCCTTGCATAATTCTACCCCAAAAGGACCCCAGATTTCAAGGGGGGAAAACGTATGCGAATTTAACGCCTCCCAGATGGCTCAGGATGATGCAAATTTCACATGGGTCTGTCTTGAAATTTGTCGTTTTTTCTCTTCATCAGACGAATTTGAAGGGTTCGGGATTGGATTGTGTATATTTCTCTGATGAGAATAAGAGAGATGAGATGAAAGTGAAGAAAAAATTGAAAAATAAAAGAAAAGAGTGCGCATCTGAACATTGCAATCAAAACTTTGGATATAAAGTGGGAGGTGCTAACGTGCGCCTCCGATGCGCTGTGTGCCGTGGCTACATTACTAGTGAGCTAACTTCTAGGCCCACATAAAAAAAGTGGGCCATGACATAAGGAGTGACGGCCCAAAGGAAGCTCCACGTGCTTTCAGCTCTGATGCTGGAGTATCAACTTCCGTAGTCTGGCTTCGCATCCGATTGGATTCACTATGACCAGTTTTGATTTTGATTTTTGAAGATGCTACACACCTTTGTTTCGCTACTTTTTTTTTTAAAAAACAAACTTAATTAAATTTAAGTAATGATCGAGGAAGTGAATTTGATAGACGTAAATTTCTATGGTGAAATCATTTTTCAATCATAAGTAATTAGAAAGTTTTGTGTATTTTTATGGTGTGTCGTACATTTGTTTGTTAGATTGTTTATCTTTTAAAATGTGCATTCGTTTTCTACAACTACACTTGTAAGATTGTTTATCCCTTTTATTATTATAAGACTGTTTATTTCATACATCTATCAATTAAAGACAAAGTAATTGTTTTGTTTCCCCCCTAAACTATTGATGTAGTTAACTTGGGAAACATTATTTTGAAATAACGCAACATGGCTCCATTATTTCTTCAATTTTCAATGTTATATTTTGTCGGAAGTTTCAAACTAAAATTCTACTTACTGTGTTCCTGAAAAATTAGTCCACAACATATTTTGAGTTTTATACAGTAATTCCTTAAGAATTGCTAATAAATTTCTATTTCAAAGTAAATCTATGATATCAATATACTATTTTAGAATCTAACTTTTAAAACACTAATTACAAGTCAAAATTTGCTTTTCCACCTTCAAGAATCAATGGCAAGGTTTTCAAAATCTCGATCCGGATCTTAGAATTTTACGATCCAGCGATTCAAAATCAGGAAATCGATCTCGGATCTTATAAAATCTTTCTTTGTAGTGAGATTTTATGGAATCCTTCAAAATCCCAATTCAGATCGTGGGATCCTACGATCCAACGATCCCATTAATTTTTTCGATACTTGTACAAATTGTCGATTTCGTATAAAAAAGAGGGAAAAATGATTAGAAAAAATATAAAAGTTGAAATTTTGAGTTAATGATACTTATGCAGGTACTAGTATAATTGTCCTCTATGAAATCAAATAAAAATTGAACTAACAAATTGAAACTTACAATTTCAGAATTATTATAATATTTTAAATTATTACGATCCCACCGATCTAAAATCTAATCCGGTCCTGAGATACTAAAACGAACCTGTGTGAAATTTCGATTTTGAAAACATTGGTCAAGAGAACTGATGGTTGGAAACGGTCAGATGGACTTCTACTGGTTTACTCATTAATGAGATGAGACGAAATGGGATTTCAATTTTGTGGTACAATAAAATAAAGTGGGTCAAGCTTTCTTCAATAGACACTTCAAAATGGGCTAATCGTAGATAAATAGATGTAAGCCCATATTTATAGCCCCTTGCCTGTTTCCCGCAAAATTTTATGGAACAAAGGCCTAATTCTTTAATCTTCCATGCCAAGAAATCCATGGACCATGGCAATGGAGGTTGGAGAATAATCTCATTTGGGATTGGGATAGATAAAAACTACTCCCTCTCCCTCTGTTCTATAATTATTATCTAGTTTGAATTTTTATTTTTAATTTAAATTATACTAAAAGTGAAATCTCAAACTGGACAATAATTTTAAGACAGAGGGTGTAATAAAAAAAATCTCAAGCCATGAAGAAGAAAAATGAAAATTTCATAAATCTCAAATGATAAAATCGTATTTTAACAATGTGACATTTTCCTATATATTGTTTACTAAATAAATATTAAAAAAAGAAAAGAAAATAAACGCCTTCGGTTCGAAATATTTATGGAATGATGTTCATGTCACCTACTCACCTCTTAATCTCTTATGCTTCTTGAGCTGTGCATCTTGATTTTCAAAAAAAAAAAGAAAAGAAAAGAAAAAGCTGTGCATCTCTTACAAGACAAGGAATTATTAAGTCATCATCATTTTCACTGCTCACATTTAATAGCCTCTTTTCTCCATCCGGCTTGATAAGCTTTCTGAAATTTGAGCCGTCTGACTTTGCAAATGACAAATACTATATGTAATGTAAAGTATCGGAACTTCCATATTCTTTATGTTCAAAAAATGATTGTGTTATTCGCTTTTCTGTTTTTTATTCAATAGATATAACAATCAATTTCGAATCTATATAGACTTACATATATATATATATATTTTCTGATTCTGCAAATTAATTTGTTCACGAAGATTGTGAGCTTAATTTGTCTCAAATTTCACGGTTGGCAATTTTGGATGGGTTGCGATTGTACTTCTATCCTGAAAATAGTATATGCGTAGAAGGTACAAGAGCTGATTTGTATCTCAGTTAAATGAGTCCGCTTCTGGTATTGGAAAATTAAGTGGAGTTAAGAGTGTAATTGCACATAAAATTGCTATATATATGCATGTGAAATCTTGTATTGTGAGGTTTACAATTAATCTGATTATTATTCTGAACTAGTTTATCACTCAATGTTGATTAATTCAAGAGTCTATTAATGATGCTTATGAAATGTTCTTTTTTTCAAAAAATAAAATAAAATCAGATTACATGATTGGCTCCAGCTTGTAGTATATAACTATATATTGATATGTGTAGCGGATGCTAATTCATATCTTACTATATTAGAAACAAAAACCACATTAAGAGAAAGCACCACCATTTGTCATTTGGTATTTTCACATCATATTTTTAAAATAAATTTTTATTTCCATATCTCCTAGACTTAAAAGGTAAATGCAGTCCAAATCCACCTCCACCTCCTTTTTTTGTTAAAAAAAAAAAAAACAATGGGTTCATAAAAAACCCAAATCCTTATCCCCATTTCTACCACAATGGACTTCTTAATCAATTCCTTCTCCACAATAAAAAAATAAATAAATTCCTCATCAATCATTAATTGAGAATATGTGGTGAAATATACTCCATTCTAATTAGCATGTTCAATCTTTTCATTAGTGATGATCAACTACATCCTAATTGGATAAAATTTCGACTTCAAAAAATATTCTCTTTACATCTCTATATAAATACAAAGGAAAAGAAAATTCTCATTGATCTTGCTTCGGCCATTGTGGTGGTGCAATTACAGGTATTAAAATTTAAATGATTTTATTTCCACAGATAATTTGTTTGGCTTTTATTATTTTTTGTTTTTCCCGTTCAAGAATAGTTTTATTACTATTATTTTTATACGTCCATACGTTACAATTACCGTAGCCGTTGTCATGTAATATGATGTAATTTCTTATATGGTTAGTTAGCCTAGAATTTTTGTATGATTTTAGTTCTGTTTGGATTGAATTCATTAATTGGGTTTTTGTTAGAAAATGTGGTTTTAAAATTTTTTTTTTTTATATTTCATTCAATTAGAGTGGTTTTTTTTTTTAATTATGGAGTCTCGATTTTTTTTTTCGTATATGGTCAGTTATGAAGTATGTTTTTTCTTTGTTTAATTGCTTTTGATTTTATTTCATACTCCCAGTTGACCAATTATTATTATTATTATTATCATTATCATTATTATTATTATTATGATTATTTTATTTACAAGTAAAGCACGGTTTTTTTTATGTTCGGGCTTTCAAGAATATACTTTTTTGGATTTGATTTTTGGACTTTTTTTAGTTTCTCATTATATAAATAGTTCAGGTCGTTTCTTCTAATTAATTTATGGGGAGGCCTTTTATGAATTTGAGGCGGAGAGGGAAGCAATGATGTTTCTACGTTTATTTGTGTTTTTATACAAATAAATTTCTCAATTTTTAATGGGCTATCTTTTAATTTCTTTTTTTTTTCTTTATTTGCCATGATGAGGTGAGTTCTTTTTTGCTATAACTTGAAACCTATGCAAATTTACCTTATTTTCATTCTCATATTTGTGATCAACCAGTTTCAACAATTAACCAGTTTCAAAATCATATTTTTGATATTTTACTACTTATAAACTTTTAGAAGAAATAGTTCCAACAATTAAGCGTATACCCTTGGGAGGAAGCTTACTACAAAGCTATTATAAATTTCCAAAACTAAGTATTGATTTGGCACAACCAATGGAGAACATCAATAAATTATCTTACTAATATTTAAACTTATTGACATGTTTTCATATTTTGTCTAGCATTTACTTCAAGACATATATTTGATCAAGTTTATTTATATTTAAGAAGTAACAATTATAAAACATTTTTAAAATCTTCAAACATTTCTAAAATGTACCGAACCAAATACAATTTTTTTTTATCCCAAATACAAACATTTCTATGATCACAGTTATAAAACATTTCTAAATTCTTCAAATCTTTCTAAGATCTATAGATATATTGGGCCAGAGTCGCGTATTGCGCGACCAGACATCACTAGTAAATAAAGAAATAATAATGGTAGAATAATAATGACATAGTGCTATAACATATTGATGACACCAAATTTTAATTGAATTAGATAAATATTACTTTGCATATTACGTGGTGTCCACCGTCGGCCATAAATATTCCGAATCTTATTGAATTCAGAATGTCGGCCATCCTAGGAAATTACATTTGAACGTTTTGTTTGTCCTTAATGTTTTCTGAATTGCATTTTCTGCTATTTATTATTAATACATAGAAAAAAATATAGTTTATCGTGCTCAGAGATCTTCTGATGATTTACAAACCGTAAACTGATCAAAGAGTACTACGTAAGTTGGTCTCCGGATATGATGCTGGATTATTTTTTCAGTTTTTATTATATGTACTTGGTTAAAACACCACATGTATAATTTCTAATTAACTAGTAAAAATTCAAATAAACTAATGTTTGCTGTGTGACGTATTTTCATATAATTTTTCAAAAAATGTATTATAAATTAGTGGGAATGGGGGAAAAAAGAAAAAGATGTGGGGGGTGAATTCGGTGCTACCGCATCAGTTTTCATCACTCAATCGGCAATGCTAGCTACAGTAATGTATGTAGTCAAGAAGAAGGCAGGATACAAAGCGTAATCTACAGCAAACGTTTATTTCATCATATATATTACTACCTCCGTTCCAAAAAAATAATCATTCACATTGAGGGTGAACTATTTTTTTAGGACGGAGAGAGTACTATATATAATTTTAGATTCAGGAGATAAATTTAGGTTCATTAATCCTAATGTCATCATTTCAACCTCTGAACTATTATAGTAATCCTCGGAAAAACATATGGGAAAAACAGGCAAAACAAAAAAAAAAAAAAATGAATCAGATCACTGCTGTTTTGGTTAGAATGAATGATTGATTTAATTAATATAGTTTCTGTCTTATAGACCACCGGGGAAACTAGTTCTTCATGATGATGAGTTTACTTTACTCGGGTTTTCGGTGTGTTACAGTACATACGTTGAAACCGAGGTATATAAGATTAATGTAAAGAAGAAGAAAACAACAAACAAAAGCCCCAAAGGAAAACGTTTTTTTTTTTTTTTTTAAACATCAGTTACTCCCGAAAAAGGAACCTTAATCCAATAATCTCCCAGATCCCTCTCCTAAACATACAAATCCAAAGCTCTTTCTCGTTCTTTACTCTTTGCTTTTGGGATTAAAGCCAAAAAAAAAAAACCCTCAGTGTTAGAAAACATGTGTCATCTTCACTGAGTTTATTACCATACATGCGGCTCATCATCATTTCAAAGCAAAACTCACACCCTTCATGTGAATGTGTGTGCATGATCGATCAGCTTATAATTCCAGATTTCAAGGGGCTTTTTAATCCAATTAATTTTTCTTTTTAATGATTGATTTATCCGGTCTGGGATTATACGTACTACTAAGCATGTCCCACAAAGTAATTACAGATTCCTTTTTCCTGAAAAAAAATAAAAGTTAAAAATTACCAGCTAGGAAGCAAGCATGAAGACAAGGTAAAAAAATGAGTTGAGATGATGATCATACGTGTTAAAAAGAATTGAGTTACGTGTGAAATGTGAACTACTGTCTCTCTCTCTACTATTTCTTCTTCACCATCGTCATCTTTAGCGGTCGTTTCTGAAGAAATTTTTTTAAAAAAATAATAAGAAAATACATATTATATATATATATATATATATATATAATAAGAAGTGACTCACTACGGATCAAGAAGCTTGGCTGGCTAAGAACACTTGGACTGAACTGTATAGTTTTGCATGCAAAGTGGTGATATAAAAGAAGAAGAAGAAGGAAGGAAGGAAGGAAGAGAAAAATTTGAGGGGTACACTAAAAGTTAATATCTGCACCGCAGCGAGTTTTCGTAACTGTTTCTTAGCTTTGCCAGCACTATAAATGCATGCCCTCATCCCTTTGACACCTCTTTCTTTCTTCTTGTTGTTGTTGTTTTTTTTTTTTTCCTTTCCTTCTTTTTAATTTCTTCCTTCTATATATTTGAACCTCATTCAGCAACAGGTATTATTTGTATCGGTGCAAAAAAAAAACCAGAGTTCTCTTTTTCTCTCAATTTTCTCCCTTTCCAGTGTGCTACCTGCTTGTGTTTTATTACTGTCGGTTTTCTTGCTCCCCTTATTTGGTCTTCAATTTAGTAAGTGTTTCTTTAATATAATTGTCAAGCTATCTATCTTGCCTTTTTTTTTTTGGTTTGATTCTGCACTTGTAAAACATCCCTGTTGTTGGAAATGAGACTTTAACTATGGGGGCTTTCCTTCAGTTTTTTATTTGCTTCCATTCTAATGATTTTCATGCCTAAAGCTTGAATTTTTACTTCAAGTTCATCCTTTTGTAACTTTTTTTATTTTTTTTGAGGGTTTCTTGCACCGCTTGATTTTATTTTATTTTACTTTTTTTTTTCTTTCTTTACTTCAGTGGTTTTGATTTTTTTGAGGTTTGAATCTCATTTTTTTGTACTAACAACTTTAGCTAGTGAATAAATGAATCAGCGAATTGGAATTTTAATTTTGTGTTCAAACAATGCAGATAGGGGATCCATTTGCTACCACCATGTTGTACTACGCAGGATTGACCGCTTTCAGGAGGTGGACCCGTCAGCAGCAGCAGCAGCAGCAGCAGCAGCATCAGCTGGTGGCAAGGGCCGGAATTCCGGTCGGCAACGATCTCCGGCGAACCTCCTCCGATTCAGCTCTCTTCTCTGATTCATTCAGCTCCCTCAACAGTTTCAGTGATGATGATCATTTGAGCATTCCAATTCCCTACAACTCTTCCTACAGCAACCCTTCCACCCCTACCTCCAATGCCCGCCACCCTTTCAATGATGATGAAGAATCACCACTTTTCATCAACATCAACAGCAACAATTCCGATTCATCCGGTGAATCGAAAACCGATGTGGGATTAGGCCTCCTGAACACTTTTCAGGTTCATGATAATGATGCGGTGGCCAGAACTATGGCACCGTTTTCTCATCAAAGGGGCATACTTTTAGGCCACCAAGTTCTCAAGCTCGCTTCAAAAACTCCCATCAGGGTGACACCAAAAATCATAACGGATCTCGAAAACCCGATCCATTGCATCCACCGCGAGATTCATCCTGATGGCGAAATGGTTACCCGAATCAGGCAAAACTGGCCCTGCATTTTTGCTCCCGTGATGGAACCCGCCTCGCCGCCGCCGATTCGCTACTCAAATATGGTTGTTCAGCCTGATTCTGTGCAGCTTTCTGATTGCAGGAGCCATGCCATTGTCAACCCTGAGGGAACTGTGGCTTATTTCCGTCCTTTGACTTTTTGCAGTGTTCACAAAAATGCAGGTTATCTCAGGCTGGAAGATGTTGAGAAGAGCGAAAACTATACCCGGGTTGAGGCTATTTATTTGGCCAAAGTTACTCACAGGTTTAATAGCTGTGTCCTGGAATTCCCGCCTGCTGAGAAGCTGATTTTTTTCAAGAAGGACAAGGACTTGAGGGATCTTGATGAAGAGCATCAAAAGGCCCGCCTTAATAAGAATTCTCCTAATGCTGATAATGATTCAAAGGTTCCTAAACCTCCAGCTCCTAAGAAGAAGATGGAAGAAGATGATAATCATGAGGATGAAGCTGGTCCAAGCTCCAGGGCTAAACCCCAACTGAAGCTCTGTGAAGAGTGTGGCAAATGTATTGATGATCTTGATTGGTTCCTTTACAGGTGAAATAATTGCTTTTTCTTTTTCTTTTTTTTTTAAAGGGGTTTTTTTTTTTTTTAAGAATTATGATAATTAACAATTTTAATTGTTTTGATCGCAGGAGTCTAGTGTTTTGCAGCGAGGATTGCCGGTATTCCAATACAAAGGATTCAGTTCTTTTAAGCAACTCCGTTGTGGTGGTTGAAAATGGTGGGAATCCCAGAAGCCCTAAAAATAATGGTGGTCGGAATCGTAGAGCTGCGACCAACGGTGGTAATAACGCTAGAGGTGTTGTTTCTAGTGGTGGAAGTGGTAATCCCAGAGCTCCTAACAACAATGGTAATGCTAGAGTCACTGTTAATGGTGGTGGTGCTGGGGGTAACTCTAGAGGTTCTAACAATCGTGGTAATGCTAGAGGCATTGTTACCGGTGGTGGACATGGTGGTATTCCGAGAGGTCCTAACAACAGTGGTGGTAATGCTAGAGACGTCGTCGCTAATGTTAGTGGCGGCGGTTACCCTAGAGGTCCTAACAATGGTCGTAATGCTAGGGGGATCGTGATTGTTAGTAGTGATTACGCTAGAGGACGTGGTGGTGATCAGAATCAAAACCCCAATCAGGCAACTCAAGCAACTTCTTCTTCAAGCAAGAATGACAAGGGGAAAGGCATTCTCTACATCGGTTGATGGATATGAATCCCTCCTTAATGGGGAATTTGTGTGTTCCTTTTTAATGTTGAATGCATGGTGGTAGCATCGTTTTAGCTCGTGGTTTCCGTTTTTAAGTGTTTGGCTTTTATAGTTATGAAACTATGGGTTTGGTTTAAAGTTCTTAAATGGTTGCATTTTTTTTTGCAAAACATTTAAGGTTTGTCTAAGCTCGTAGGAGTCCTAGTTCGGATCTCCGAGTGTTTTTTTCCGGAGAGCAGTCTTTAATTTGATGTCAAAAAAATCAGCTAAAAGTAGTTGTGTGAAAGCTGATTTTTGTTGTGGTAAGTGTAATAAAAGCATTTTCCCCTTTCAGTTTATATTTGCCGTTTGCTTACTAGAAATGCCCCTACAATATTTTGTAATTTAAATTCCATATGAAAAGAAACGATCACAAGCCATACATAAAACCCCAAGAAGCTTCCCAAACAAGAAAATATTTAGCTAGAGTCTGTTAAAGACCTTCTTTGAACTTTGATCAACATGTCTTTGTTTGGCATTTTAACTGCCTGATATCTACATGTTCCTTAATTAATTTCTTCTGGAGATTGCGCAACAAAGAATTACCATCAAGACTGAGTTCTACTATCATTAATTAGTTATGGAGATTGGAGAGATGGAATTAATGATGTATTCATTTTTGTTAAGGAGTAGCTTCCTAGTGAGCATGTCCATACACAATTGTTCTTGCTAAAGTTACGTTCCATAAATTCGTCCATTTCGTTACTAAATTAACGACACTTATAAGATAGGTCAATTCACGTAAATAAATTTGTGTATTTTAAAAACCAATAAGTATGTATTTTAATGAACATATTCTATTGAAATCTCTATGTTCTAATTCATTTAATTCAAAATATATCATACTTTTAAAGTATAGTATACTGTATATATTTCAAAGGGGGAAAAAAACAAAGAAAAAGATATTTCCTCGGAAAATTATTTGGGGGTCTGCTTTAAGAGACCCGACCATTTTATAATCCTGAACCCGACCCGTCTTGAGTTTCCCTCTTAAGTCAAACCAACCAGGAAAACATATTGAAAGGATAGGAAGTGATCAGCAACAGAGATTCTGGTAATATTATTTTGGGTGCTTTTTGCTCTGAAGCACTCAACCTGAAGAAAAACCGTTAATGGTGTTTGTAATGGGAAGTTGTCACTTTCTTCACTCTCCAATCCATCCTTCCCTTTTCCCCATTCCCTCTTCATCTTCTTCTTCTTCTTATGCCTTCTCCTCTTCTTCTCTGGGGTCTGTTGGCATTTTTTCTCCTTTGAGAGTGACTTCAAATGGAAGGAAGATCAGAAAAGTTTGTGCATCCGCAAACCAAGAAAGCAAAGATGAGAAGAATTTGCGTGCCAGAAGGGTCATTCTCGTTGTGGGTTTTTCTGTACTTCCAGTTCTGAAAATGGCTGCAATGCCTTTTCGGAGCTTGGCTTCAGGTTAGACTGCGCTGTTACATTTTGACTCCTTTTTGGTTTCTTTTTTTGCTTTTTCTTTAGTGCTTTCTATTCTGTGTCATTGGTGTTTTAATTTTGAATTAGAGGGTTTAGTTTGTTTCTTAATCTGTTGGGCAATTTCTCCTTGTGATGAATTCATTACTTGTCATTGTATTTCTTGGAAAGACGGCTTCTTGAGATTCTGGAAGGATATTGTTCTGCAGTGTGATTTCGTGCGAAATTGCCATTCTTGATTATCATTAACTCTTTAGTACTTCCTACTGTTATTAGTCTATGTTTATTTAGAGATTATTGCTGGGGCCAGCATGAAAACTGCCTAGTGATCGTTAGTTCGTTGCAACACATTATTATCGAAAGCGAAATAGATTCTGTGTTATTCTGTAATCTGTATCCAGTACCCGGTATTGAGGGATAACAAGGCTTCGGTCAGCCCCTTGCTAAATATGCTTGGATGAATGGTGTACTTCTGTTTACTATTTGCATACCTCTAGGTTTAAGCTATTGCAGCAAGGTGGAGAGGGAATAATAATTGTCAATTTGTCTTCTGTTGGTCTCCCAATGGTGTTTTTGTTACGAAGCTATGCCATATAGGGTTTAACCTAACCCTACCCAATGCCTTATGCAAACTTAAGTTGCTCTTGTTTCTAGGTTTCTATTCCGATTTCAACAATTTGAAGCACCTATGGTTTTTATTTATTTATTTATTTTTGTTTCATCCATAATCTGTTGTTTGATTTGCCTTGGGATGCTTTAAAGTTTACAGTGGAGTATACTGGTGGTGCAGTTGTTTTTTTATTCTCATTTACCTTAGAAGCTTTTACATGTGGTGTTGGCTGGAAATAATGTTAAAACATATACAGTGTATGTAAGCTAGTGGAAAGCTCATAGCAGACATACATGAATCTCTGGATGATCAAGCTATGCAGGGAGTCTTGGTTCACAGAAGGGGTTGATAATGTTTTAAATGCCAGAAGGTATTGATAATGTTTTAAATGACATTTGTTACAATTAATTAAACTGTTATCCGGAGAAGATGTCAGTGAAATAACCTTACAGCAGGATTTTGAACTGCATGCTGCAGCCTAGAAAGTCCTTTAACCTGGGCATAAAACCATTGGGTTGTAGGGATATGGGAAAATAAATCGTTTTACAATCTTTGAATTATGATAAGAACTGGCCGAACCAGTTGTTTAGTCATTGTTGTTTAGTCTACAATGATTATGTAGCTCTGGATCAACCAGTTGCGTTGTTTAGCCTTAAGTCCTTATAGCTGGCTTATTGACAATAAAGTGTAACTGTAATGCTTCAGAAATGAGATGAAAGATGAGAATAAACAGTTACTTTCCAGGTTAAGTCTAACTTTAAATTTTTTCTGGGAGGCACTTTTTTCTTATACAGCATTTCCTGCAGCATGCCTCTAAAGATATGGTTAATCAATTAATTAAAATGTTCACAAACTAACATTTAACTGTGGCCTTCCCGATCCCTTCATGTTTTTGATGCTCATGTGGATAAAATTATTAAACTTTCAAAAGTTGGTCAGTGGGGTGGACACTTCTTAACCAGTTATCAGGTGTTGTATTTGTTTGTTTGCTGGCAATCCATTTCATGCCCAGGGCTGACTTTTGAGAAGTTACCCTTTTTGTCGGCTGAGTTTACTTGAGGCAATCTTACAAGAAAAGGAAAATTCCGTGTGTCAAATATAGTAGTTCCATAAATATACCGTAACGTAAGTGCAGTGTTTAAGCCCCTTAAGAAAGACGACTTTTTTGCTTTTCAGCTGATACCGCAGGATTTTTCATCAAGTACTTGTAGATCACATGCACCTACCTACCATATTCTCTTTATCACGTGACTAATTCCTTGCATGCCACATAAATGGTCACAAGTGGACTTGCATTTTCTCTGCTCAAATCCTTAAAGGTTTTGGTAATGCAAGCTTCGAAGCACATCTTTCAGTTTCTTTTTAGCTAGTTATATTTGCCAACTTTCTGTCGATATTGTTTATTATGGATCAAGTTGGTGTGGCTCTTTTCTCTTATTCTTTAGTTGCTTTTTGCTCCTTTTCATGGAAATGAGTGCATATCTGATGCTTTTGGTTTCAGATGGACCTGACTTAACGGCTTCAGAACCGGAGCAAAGAGCAGAGGTTTGATCCTTCGTGCCAAATGGCTACCAAAGATTGTCAATTGAGTTACTTTTCTTTTCCATGATGCTTTGACACTGTTAAGACGGTTTTACTGTTTGAGGTGAAAATTCCTGTTTTGCCAGAATAAACATCAAGGAGATGCAACGGGAAATCCTTTTGTCTCAGTTCTTGGTGGGCTTGGAATTTTGGGTTCAGGTGTGCTCACTGCTCTATATTCACTCGCTCTCAAGGAGAAGGCGAGTTCAGAAGCTACAATTGAATCAGTAAGCACTATTATGTGTCCGATTATGAATCACAGCTGTATCAGTTTAACGTACTCAATGTGGCATATTTATGAACTTTGCCCTTAAAGGATTTGCTATCTTAGAAAAGTCAAGAAGGGTTATTGCATCTGCAAAATTAGATGTTATGTTCTTTATCTTCTGCTTAAACGAACTGATTATGTGCATTAATTGTGTTAGTCTAAATATGTTTCTCCAACTAGCTATCTGAATCTGAGAAGTAAAGACATATCAGTTTAGGTTTTTCTATGATGATTAGAATGTTGCATGCATGCATGGTTTTTGTCTTCATTCTTTTTTTCTTTTTGCTTTTCATTTTCAGAATAACATGTTGCATGCATGTTATATATGTTATCATTGTTTGCCTCGACATGATATTTGAAAGATGGAAGGTGACTTTTTTGGGCCATTTGCTATTAACAGTGACTAGTTGATTTGCAGATGAGAGATCAGTTACAGATAAAAGAAGCCACAATTGCGTCTATGAAGAAGAAATTTGAGTCAGATCTGATGAATGAAAAAGAAGTCAGAAAACAGAAAGTTGCGGAGGCCCTTCAAGAGCAGCAATCCTTGATTAGCCAGCTGAAATCAGCAAATGACTTAATTGTAGACCTGAGACAGGACTTGCAAACGCAGGCGAAAGTGGCTGATGAGCTTAGAGTGAGCATTGATAGTCTTCAAAACAGACTTACAAAGTCTGGGAAAGATAATAAAGAATTACAAGAAATGTTGAGAGATAAGATGGACTTCATTGGGGGCTTGCAAGAAAAGATTAACTTTCTTACAGGAGAGATCAAAGATAAAGATGATAATCTTCAGAGTCTGGGATCTGCTCTTGCTGATAAAGAAACACAGTTGCAGAAACTGTATGATACCAATCAGCAGTTGCAGGACCAGCTCGTAGGGTTGAGTTCAGAGAATGAAGGATTGAAAGATAAACTTCTGAAAAATGAGAAAGAACTGGGACTGAAGATGGTTGAAGTCAATGATTTGAAAGCGCAAGTTGGCGTTTTGCTTGATGAGAGAGATAAATTTACCAGGAAGATTGACTCCATTGAGAGGGAGTACAATGACTTCAAATCTTCATCAGAGAAGAAGGCAGCTGAAGATGCTAAGATTTTGGAAGATCAAGTACGTACACTTAACCAAATTAAGGAACAGCTTGAGTCTACTTCAAGTGAATTAGGCTTGAGGGAAGTGGCAGTGAAGGATTTATCACAAGAGAGGGATGCTTTAAGGAAATTGTTGGATATTGAAGTGAACAATGCTAAGGACTTGGAGCAAGAGCTCCAAATCAAGCATGAAAATTTAGAAAAATCAAAGAATCAAGTGTCTGAATTGGCCAGACAACTTCAGCAATCGAGAGATTTGTGCTTTCAGCTTGAAGCTGAAGTTTCTAAGGTTCGTGCAGACTTAGCTGAATCTAAGGAGTCCTTGCAGCGGACTACTGAAGAAGCAAAGAAGAATGCTGAAGTATTATCTCAAGAGCTAAAATCATCCCAGGCACTTCTGAAGAAAGAGACCGAAGAGAAGGATGCTGTGTCGCAGGAACTTGCTGCTGTAACACAATCACGTGAGGATTTACAGAAGGAAGTAGTTGATGTCTACAAGAAAGCAGAAACTGCCGCAAAGGAACTACTTGAAGAAAAAGCAGTTGTTGCCTCTTTGAAGAAAGAGTTGAAAGCTCTTGAGACTCAAACAGCTGAAGAGAAAGAAGCCCGCGAATCACTTGAAAGGGATTTAGAAGAAACTAGGACATCACTGGAAGAGATCAACCAAAATGCATTGATTCTCACAAGAGAGCTGGAGCTTGCAAATTCTCAGATTTCCAGCATTGAAGAGGAGAAAGACGTGCTGTACAAGTCGCTTGCAGAGCAAAAGAAAATTTCTCAAGAAGCACGAGAGAATATGGAAGATGCACATAGCTTGATAATGCGACTAGGGCAGGAGAAGGAAACTTTTGAGAAGAGAGCAAAGAAACTGGAAGATGAACTGGCGTCTGCAAAGGGTGAAATACTGCGGTTGAAGAGTAAAGTGAATTCATCAAAGACTACCGTGAACGATCAACATCAGCCAAAGGTAGAAGTGGGAGCTAAAGTTGCTACTCCCCCAAAAAGAGTAAGGCGAAGGAGAAAGACTATTGAGGGAGACAGTGACTCGTAGTAAAGCTCACGAGTTGATGTTCAAACTTCATTTGTGGTCATTGAACCTCCTACAGCTGGAGATTTGTATAATCAGAATGTATCCGTTGTTTACCCTATAAGTTTCGGGAAAACAGGCTTTTGTAAAGGATCTTTGTATTTCTATCATAATGAGCATTTTGTACATCCAGGCTCTTGTTTCGATGGATATTGTTTTTCTTCAATCACATATATACATCAATATATCTAGTTTTGTACATTGATCATTCCTGCAACTTACATCTTTACTGTTTTATGCCCTTAAGCATTGGTGGATTTTTGGTTCTCTACTCAATGATGTACACTAACAAGAATTTATATAATCTGAATATACCTATCAATTAACTAAGGATTTTCGTGAAGGATCTTTGTACTTCTATCATCACGAGCCCACTAACATCTAGACTCTTGTTTCAATTACCGTTTGTAGGCTGTAGAAAAAGCCAAAAAAAAAAAAAAAAAAGGTGTACACAGACTGCAGTACTGCACAAGCTCGAGTAGGAAAAAGAGCAACGACCACAGTGGGAGTCGAACCCACGACCTTTTGATCCGAAGTCAAACGCGCTAATCCACTGCGCTATGCGGTCCTATACATCACAAGATTGTCAATTATAAATATAAATTTAGCTAGTCTGCCCATTGTAATACTACTATATTTTTCTTTCCCCTTTTTCACACTATAATTGTTTGATAGTTTCTTTTGAAAATAAATGTTATTTCATTCATATTTGCTGGAAATTGTCCGACTATGATTGACTGAGGGTTAAAGGAATATCTTTAGCAAATGGTACAATGGGACTCAGCTATCCAAATGGTATAATTGCTTCATTTATTCAATACTTTCTTGTTAGAAATAATCACACTAATATTATTTCATAGTTTGAAACCTAACAAAACTTTATGATTATTCATGATAATAAAGTATTAAATAAATGAAGCAAGCGTGCGCTATGCTTACACTGGTAAGATTAAAAAAAATTTCAGATAAAAATAAATATTATATAATTCTTGTCACATTCTGTGTTACACATTTCAACAATCCTTTTGGATTTGTATTTATACCATTTACAATCACTTTTATATAATATATTTTAGATCGAAGAATCATTTTATTTTTCATGTTATTGTGGCATAATTATTTGAATTTTATTGTGTAAAAATTTCAACAAAATTTATTAAATTTTATAAACAAAAAATAGGATTGATATAAAAATAAAAATTTCATAATGAAAATATGATTTAAAATGATACATATATTTATACCAAAATTTGTACTATAATTAGTACAAATCTTGAAATTTAATGTGCATTATTTTTTAGGATTACAAGTTTGAGGGGAAAAAAAAAAGGAATAAAAACTAGAGGGAAAAAGAACAAAGAATTAAAATTTTCATTGCTATTAGTCAGCCAATCGCCGGTAAATTTTCTTTTCCTAATTTTTTTGATTCGTTAATGTTAATCAAAGTAATCCCCAGTGAAGACGACTTCCCAAGTTCATTTACCAACCGGCTGCCTTCTCAACCCCGCTCTCTTCTTTCTTTCTCCAGTGTTTGTTCAGATTCAAATTCTAAGTCAAATCTCAGCTTCAACAATGCTTAATTTGTAACCCAATTTCCTGTTAGAGGCTTCAACGAATTCGAATTTAGGGTTCTTGTTGGGCCGGTTTGATTTGATTGAAAGATCTCAAATCCGAGCCAGTTCTGTAGCCAATCGTTCTTTTTCGAACGAAGGGGGGCGAAAGTTTTTGCCTTTTTTTTTTTTTTATATATATATATAGAGTCGTGATCGTAGGATAAGTCATGTTCTATGGTGCGGTGGTGTGGGATCCATGGCTGATCGTTGCCCAAATTGTTTGCCTCCAATGCTTATACTATCTAACTCTAGGGTTGTTTTTGGCCATTCTTGTTGGCACTAGGGTTTCGAGGATGAGTTTGGTCTATTTCTTTGATTACGCCGCCGTAGCTGCCTCCACGGTCACCGGGTGGTGCGTCATTGCTTCGTTTATTCTTAGCTCCCTTGCTGGGTAAGTTTGTATCCCCCTTTAATTTTGTTTTCAATTAATGTTAATGTGATTATTCTGTGACCGTTCTCCACTAGAAGGATAGTTTAATTTTAACTTTTCCCAATTAGAAACTGTTAGAAATTTCTTCTGGGTATGAAATTTGTAGAATTGGATCCGTATTCGATATATACTCATTCATTTCAGCAGCTAAGTTTGGTTAGCTACTTGCCCCCTTCCATTTCAATCTGTTTTTAATAGGTTCTTAATCTTGTTGGTCATCAAAGTTGGATTATTGTGATTGATTGTGAATACATTTGTAGTATTCACAGGTTAACTCTTTTTAGTTGCAGGCTGTATGCTTAATATAGTCATTAAGTTCTGTGTGTAGTTTATTTTTAGTATTGCTTGTCGAGTTTTAATCAGTGATTTGAAATCTATTTGGAGGCGTGGTCCTTCTTTAGAGTGATCACCCTGAAGAGAACTTTTCATTTCTAATCAGTTGTGTTGAATGCCATCTTATTGTCATATAACGAATGTGCATAATCTATTTAGCATATCTTGTGCTGGTTTATGCCAAGAATAAACTTATTGGCATTTATGAAAAGAAATGAATTGTGAAATTTTTCAGGCTTGGGTAAAGTTTACACTAGTAAGAAAACAAGATAAGGTTCCTAGAGTTTGGCAGATGCCAGTTTGGAGGAAACTATGTTTTATTTCTTGATTGAGTTACAATTGCATTTTTCTATTTGTAAAATTCACGTGTTCTTCACCTAGAATCGTGTTAATTTGATTCAGTCTTGATCTGTCAGTAGTGTGGTCTGTGTGCCTTTACTTTCCATAAGCTACACATGTTAACACGAATACATCTTTTCCCCATTGTTTTGAGCAGGGCTGGATTTTTAGTCTATCTGGTTGAGAGAGCGAAAAAATGCCTGGATTTTACGGCCACCCTATACATCATTCATATCTTCATATGCATCATGTATGGAGGTTGGCCATCGTCAATGACTTGGTGGGTTGTCAATGTCACTGGACTGGCTATCATGGCGTTGTTAGGTGAATATTTGTGTATTAGACGTGAGTTGCGCGAAATTCCAATTGCAAGATACCGCCCAAGTAAGCTGTCTCTCATTGAATATTTAAGTTAATCTAATTGATGGTAGTGATTCTTTGTTGGATATCTTGTGTTCTGTACACGTATGTGTTCATGCTATAGATATCATATCACTAATCATGCTTCTTGCTGCTGCTGTTGCACTTCGATGTAGCCATTTCCATGTTTATACTGAAAAGCTCATCCAGAGTATTCCGATCTTATTGGTGCGTTTAAAGTATTATAGACCTGAGAACATTTTATGAATCGGTGCAGATGTCTGATAAGAGAAAACTAAGGGGGGCGCTTGGTTCAAATTCTCGATTTGCAGTAGCACTAGCAATAGAGGGTGACTGAGAGGTCAGACAACAATATAAGTGATTAAGGAGTGATTGAGGGCGGCAGTAGAAGTGATTGAGGGTGTCACCGATGATGGATGTTCTAATTGCAGTGTTAATGCTTGGTTCATATGCTGGAATAGATATCTACTATATCCATTGATAGTGATTTTTATAGCTTAATTTCAAAGATGGTGGTAATTAGTGGAAATTCCACCTTACCCTGTTAGCCCGTGTATCACAAAAATTGTAAAGATAAAATTTTCACTCTTTTTTTTTTTTTTCCTCCCTACTCTTCATTAATGACACAAGTTCAAAATATTAACTTCTTGCAAAACCTTTTTAAAAAATACAGCTATAGGGAATCAACTCATAAGCATTACTCACTTTTTTTTTTTTTTTTTTACGTCGCCGCACTAGGCACGGATCCAACCAAACCGTGCTATCCAATTACCTACTTCTTTTTTTCTTTTGTTCCTCTTATATAAATGTGTTTTTAATTAGACAAAAGAATATAATAATCTGATAATTCTGATTGCCCCATTAAAAATATTCACTATACAAACCAAAACTTGGGATAAACTGTAAACAAAACGCCAAAACATTCTGGAACTGTTCTGAACTTTAAGCCGGAGATTATGCTTATCTAGGCATCTTATTAAAGCTTATGCTTCCTCATTAAATCTAAGCCGGCCGTTTGCACTTAGCAAAAGCAAACGGGGCTTCCAAATTCGAACTTCTAAATTACAAGAGTGCTAACATCAAAATCTCTTCCTGTAGAAGAGCTTATCACACTTCTATTTGGCTTCTTTTCTTCAAACTAAATGTTTTACATAGATTACATTGAAGGGTTTGGAGAAGGGAACCGGGAAACTATATCACACAACCCAACATATACATTTTGCTCAAACTTGTCAGTGACCGTTGCGTGAGACTTTACATTTAGCTATGTCCTTATTGTCAAGGTTTCCATGATGATGATATGTCCGCCACGGCTTCGCCGACGGTAAGATATAATCCCTCCAATCCAAAATCCTCCAAGATTGTCGACCGATGCAGCTTTTCCATGACACTGCTAACCGGATTCGCCAACACAAGCTACAATAAGAATAATGTACACATCAATAAACATCGTCAAATCGTTGATACACTTTGAAATTTCATGGAAAAAGAAGCATAGTGAATTTAGGCAACTAATCTCAAAAAGTGGTTGAAGATCAACCAACCAAAAAAAAAGTTGCTTACTTTAAGTGATTGTTTCTCCAAAGCTTTCCTGAGTTCCCGCACAGTGTCAATACCACTTGTGTCTATGGCTGTCACGGCTGCAGTCCAAAAAAGAAAACTTGTGCATTAGTTATATTGCAAGCAGATACGAATAACAACCATTTAGTCTTCATTTCAGTATATGAGTCGGCCATACGGATCATGACATGTAGAAAGGCTTAGTGTTTGTTTCATGGACGACTAACCTGTCATATCCAGAATCACACATTTCAGATCGCTGCCGTTGGTTTCCTGTATTCTCTCTTCCTCCTCCCGAACCCATCTCAAAATCCTGTGATCATAATTGCTTCATTAGGCCTCACAAAGTTAAATAGGTGTCAAAATGTGCATTTTTGGGGTGAAAGAACAATGTCATGTAGCATAGCCAGAAAATTGACCTTTCTTGTAGGTAAGTGGCATTTGCAAAGTAGAAAGGAGCTTCAACAGCTAGTATAAGGAAGGACGGAACTCTAATAGCTTCTCTGTATCTGGTGATGTTCTGATAAATTTGAGTCCCGGGAATGTTCCCCAACACAAGTGTGTTTGGTCTGGTAACATGCAGAAGAATTTTGAACACTGAAACTCCAACCTGAAGGAAATGTGTCCAGACAGTGAGAATATGTTCTTAGGATCAACAGAATTAGCAGTGAACAAGGAAGGAAAAACTTACAGCGATTGCAAGGCCGATAGGCACAGAGATGAAGAGAACGCCGAGAAAGGAGCACAAGCAAGCCACAAAATCGAGTTTGTCAACTTTCCACAGTTGAATTGCTGCCTGATAATCAATTAGGCCAATCACGGCTGTGATTATGATAGCTGCCAGGATGACATTTGGAGTATAGTAGAACAGTGGCATCAGAAACAACAAAGTGATTAGCACTGCTGCTGCCATTATCACATTTGAAACAACAGTTTTAGCACCAGCATTGTAATTGACAGCAGATCGAGAAAATGATCCTATAAATTCAGAACAAAGAAAAAATGTTAGCCTGGCTATCTATGTTTAAAGGTTAATCTGTGGCGGGAAAAATAAATCAAAAAAAAGGTTGCGCACCTGTGGTAACATAACAGGAAGAGCAAGACCCAGCCATATTCATGAAACCAATGGCCATCATTTCTTTGTTACCATCAACTTGGTAGTTCTGCAATGCTGCAAAAGTCCGGCCAACCGCAATTCCTTCCTGTGAGAAGAAAATATCAATAGAAATCCGTAAGGTATAAGGCGACTAGGTCGAACCGAAAAAAATCTGAGAATTTTTGCTTGACTACTTACAGTTAAGGACAATATTCCCGTGACAATGCCAGTTTTAATGGCAACTGCAAGAAAAGGGCCACTAAAGTATAACATGTTTGATGATGGTGGATTCAGTCCCTTAGGCAAGTGTCCAATCTGTAATTTAATTTAAAAAAAAAAAAAGTTACATTAACATGTTCATTGCCCAGTGATCTCAAATTAACTGAGATAAAGTAAATATGCTTCTTACTGTTTTGATCCCACCAAGTTTTGACTTGAACAGAACAACCAAAAGAGTTGATAGAACAACAGAAGCTAATGGACAAGCTGCTGAAATCCAGAAAAGCTTCGGATTTCTCATGCTCTGCATTCCCATAAAACCAACAAATTACTCAATATTAGTACAGAGGGAAACTAGAAAAGATTATGGTAAATAAAAAATTATTTTAAAAAAATTTACCATGTGCCTTGTGATCAGCAAGAGACCAAGAAAGCAAACTCCCATTACGATGGTTTGCCAAGACCACTGCAGTGACATAATCAACAAAATTAACATTCCTTTCTTTGCCTGATTAATAGTAAAATTTCGTCCATGTTGCATGTTATATCATGTAAATTTTGCTCCTCTTATCTTGGGACGAAAATAATGATATAATTCACATTATAAAAAAAAAATGATAATTACCTCGTCCGTATTGTTGAAGACAGATGTTAATACAGGAACTATTTGCATTTTGGTTGTGAAATGAACAATTCCGAGTAGCCCTTTTAGTTGTTGCAGTGATACTATGACTGCTGCACCAGCCATGAATCCAACCAGTGTTGCTTTTGAGAGAAAATCAATTATAAATCCTAACCTGTAAAATTTTACAATCCAAATTAAAAATAAGACCTGAATCAAATGAAGCCGACTATTGATTTAGATTTCCAAAAATTATTTCCCTTTTCACAAAACTTGACACTTTTTTTTTTTTTTTTTGGTCACAATCAAATTAATTTTGTCCATGGAATTTTTTTTCACCTTTAAAAAAAGAATCAAACCGAAGTAAAAAGGCATTAGTAAAGAACAGATTCTTTCTGAGAAATCAAAATGCTGCAGCCACTCTCTCTCTCTTTTCGGGGAATTTAGGATTTCCACATGGATTCTAATGCCACATATCTACTGACCTACAACTCTTCTACAAAAATTAAGGTAGCTTTTTTAGATAGTGCTAATTATAAACAGTTTCTTTATGGAACACCTTTCTGGAAAGGGGTGTTTTTTTTTTTCCTTGTTGGAAGGTCCATTAATTGTGGTAATATATAGTTCGTTTGTGTATCTTCTTCCTGACTTTTCTTTTTAATCAGTATGAGAGGCATAAATTTCAACATTTGGCTCCTTCTAAAAGGGGACATACAAATTTCCCTCCAAAATTATTCCTTTTTCCAAATCAATTTTAAATTATTCTTGTCAAGGATATAGAATAACTGAAAAAACATTAATTCTGAAATCAAACAGCGATTAAAAAGTTCCTTTGCTTATCATAGACACAACTTCTTTTTTCTTTTTCTTTCTTTTTTTTTTTTTTTGGTTCCCCTTTGATGCGAAGCACAGACACATTACCAAAGTGGAAGTTAAAGTATCATTCGGATCAGTATTAATTAATTATATATAGGTAAAAGGTTAAAAAAAAATGAGATGGACAGAATAACTACACAGATAAATATTGGTAGCTAGATAACTGCCAAGAGGATATATAGGATAATTAAGGTAATAACGCATAATATATCCGAAAATTCAGAATTAATAAGATAACCTTGTTACATAAATACATACACATATTTTTTAATTGGTAGAAGAAGAAATCAAATTACCTTAACAATCCCAAAGATGCTTGAAATACTCCGGCGAAGAAAGTGGCCGTGAAAGCCAACTGAAGATACAAATTCGGTTCAGTGGTAAAAGAAACCGCCTCGCTTAGCATTGTACCCATCACCAGAGAAGCAATTGAAACCGGGCCAACCCCAAGATGTCTTGAACTCCCAAGAACCGAATATACCAATGGTGGCACAAAACTTGAATCTACACCAACCCAACAAATTAATTTCCACCCCATTAACCTTAAATCACAATGTCACATATATACTTTTTCGTACCAATATAAAATACTACTCCCCTTATATCAAAATTATTATTGTGCAGTTTGAAATTTCAACTTTTAGTATAATTTGAATTAAAAATAAAAATCAAAACTGTACGATAATTTTGAGACGGGAGGAGCATAACAAACATGTCCTTTTAAGTTCTGGACGAGTAATGAAGACGTACATACAGTGGGAATTTAAAGCATTCTTAGTACTTACAAAGGCCAATTATAGGAGGCAAATTTGCAAGCTTGGCATAACTAATTCCCTGGTAAGATGAAAAGCATTAAGTTGTTCGTAGTGCAAAAGAAAAAGAAAACACACGTGTAACAAAATAAACATATATACTAAGTAAAGAGAATAATTAATAGTGGTTCTTAATTACCTGTGGGATTGCGAGGCTGGCAATGGTGAGTCCGGACACGAAATCGGATCGCAAGAGCTTGAGACTATAATTAGGGGCCCACTGGAAAATGGGGAAGAAGAATTGCAAGCCGAGCACGCACTTATTGATCCAAGTTTGGTTCTTGAACTTATGAAGCGGGTCGTCCGGGAAAAAGATCTCGGAAAGCCGGTGCCGGAGTTTCTGTAGGGTGGTTTTCTCCGGCGGCATGCAAACTCGGTGCACCACTTCTTCCGCCGCCTTTTCATATGGAATTGTAACGGCGGTTTCGTGGTGGTGGTGGTGGTGGCATGCATGGTCGGAAAAATGTTCGACTCTGTTGGAAGACATAACCATTAATGTTTTCTTTTTTTTTTTTTGGTCGACTCGTAAAATAAAAGATTCAAAGGAAAAAAAAAAAGATGAATCTCAGCGAAATTAAGGTAGGACAACCTGCGACTTATATGGGAGGAGAGTTTGAATTTTGTTGTGTTAAAAAAGGATTGGATTTGGGGGAGTTTTTTTGTTTGTTAGTTTTTGGAAGACAGTTATTGTTATATTGTTACAATTGCCACCCCTTCCCAATTTATAGTGAGTACATGAACGCTTTGGTTTAGGAGTTCTTACTCTCTCTCCCATTGCCTTTTTCCCTTTTCCTTTTTCTTTTTTTTTGGGATTCATTATAATTCGTGAAGTGTTGACTTGAGTAGTAATGGGTTTTACTGCTAGGAAACTGTGGTGGGGCGCACTTTTTTATAATTACATGGTACAAACGTTCTATTCATCTCATTTTAATAAACGTAACGGTGATTAATATATATTTCTAATCACTTATGTTAATTTGAACATTATGAATTTTTTGTTTGTTTGTTTGACACGATCCATGTACATGTCCAAGACTAGCTAATTATTATTCTCTTCAAATCTTTTCACAAAAAAATGTCCAAAACTTTAGGATAAGGTTGAAGAGATAACTAAAACCCTAATGTGAACTAACTCTTGGGTGATTACATAATAAAAAAGAGTACTATTCAGAGGGACTTAATTTTCTTTCAAAATGTTTTCTTGCACTTATTTTTGGTATTACAGCCACGGTGATGAATGATATATTGATCTTAATGATGAAATAAAAAGGATTATAAAGGTTTTCCAACACATTGATTAGGAGAAGCGGGGTTTAACAATTTGCACGCTAATCAGTGTGTTTTCTCATGAATCATTGCGGTAGTTGATTTGCAAAATTTTTGCCTTCACTTTACCAGATCTTTCAATGAAAACTTTTTTGTCGTACGTGTCTCATCTTCAATGGTTCTTAGTTGCATTAACTTTCTTTGATGTCGAGCATTAGTTATATGGATAATACTCCGTATAAAAATAGATAAACAAACAGGATTTAGTCTTATAGCTAGAATAGTTTAGACGTTAACACGTCGTTCCTTTTCATATTTATTTGTAACTTTTCTCTGTATCAATCACTACTGAAAAACTATCAATACTCAAATCCGGAAAAAAAAAAAAAAAAAAACTTTTGAAAACCTGTCACGCTACATATTTGGGAATGGAATATTGTCCCCTCAGGCACCAAAACGGGAATGCAATTTATGCGGCTAAAACGATTGCTTAACTTCTCAAATTTTTCATAAGGTAAAGCACAACAAAGATTCTCAATTCTCCTAACAACTGTCATCTTAAGATTTACTCTTTCCAAAAAGATTTTTCTTCGCTCTGTTCTGGTGATCATAAAGACTTCTAATTTCTCAGAATGAGACGGGACAAAAAAAAAAAAAAAATCACATTTTTGAGAATTAATTATACTCCTCCCCTCTAGAATAATGGTTATATATTAGTCAGACAGTCAAAATTTTTTGTTTTAAAATGGAAAGAGTTCTTAGTTCCGTCTTCGTAAAATAAGAAAAATTCTACTGTCATGATTATGTTTCTTTTTTTAGATGATAAAAAACTTGAAATTAAAATGGACAGCCCTTAATAAGATGTAGTTTTTTGCTGGCTGGCTCCCCGGCATTATATATATCTTACAGTTATTTGAAAGCCTGTATTTTTGTAGTTGTAAGTGAATTTCTTAGATCAAAATACGTAAAGGAGTTTTCTCCAATACTGTCTTTAAATTGAACTTATTGGGGTGGATTTTTTTTTAAAAAAATTTTTAACAACAAAAAAAGGTTTGCATTTTTGCTTCAATTTAATTTTCATCAAATTGAACATCCCCGCGGAAAAAAGAGTGACAATCAATCTTACATCTCTTGGCCTTCATTTTCTCAGTATGGTATCATTGTGAAATCTATATACTAACTTAGAAAAATATGAAGTTGAACGGTCACGAAATCTGCCAATTTTATTCAGTAATTCTTTATATATATTCTTCCGTTTCAAAATAATTATTCGTTTCAAATTTATAATAAAAAATAAAAACCAAACAAGGCCATTTCTTTAAGACATAGGGAGTATAATATTGCAACGTCAGCTGCAGAGATAGCTAAATGAGTAGTATTGTACTTGGGGTTAGATTGAGACACAACCCAAAAATAATTAAGGAATTAAAGTTGTGGAACAAATGTACACATTTGGTTCATCTTATATCCAGTACGATTTTTTTTTTTTTTAATGCTCTCACTATAAGTAATTAAACTCATTAAACCCTCCCCCGGAGTACTTTTTTTGTTTAACAGCTAAAGAATGACACTTCAAATCATTCATACAATTAATTCCCTTTTCTTTCTTTCCTTTTTCCCGAAATTAAATGGTTGCTTGACTATGAAAACAATTAACAACCATTCAAATGAGAAGAAGAGAACGGCATGGACGTACTACATAAATGCGGCAAATCGTGAGCGCTTTAAATTGGTGCAAATATATAGATAGCTATATTTGTTCCCTTTAATTTGTAATAATGTGACAGGAATTTTAAAAGTGCAGAATCCGAAGAAGTATACTGTGTGTCGTATAAATCAACCAATTATGGCATACGAACCCACAAAGAATGGACTATATTGGTTTGCAGGATCACTTGTGTAAAGCATCCCTTCTTTTATGTCCAAAAAATTGATTATTTTGGAAAAATATTCCTATGATATTTTCAGTTCAAAGGTACACAAGTGTACGATGCATGTTGCATATCCTAAACGAACCATAAACTTAATCCATTTAGTGTTTTTAATCATCTTCGTTATCTTTCTTTAGTACACATGTTTATTATCATTTACAAGTTTAGGTTGTGTCTTAATCTTAAAAAAGAAAAATAATAGATAATATTATCCTTGAAAACATGTTTTTGTTTCTCTTATTGAACACTAACCACGGCGGATCAGTCAACTAAGATCATATGTTCATAAGTTTTGGCTCATCTGTCTCTTTGTTTAATCTCTAGATTGAGCTCTTTTGGAAGCAAATGTAGCTAGATAATAAATTAACGTTCAGATATTTATTTAAATAATATAAAGTTCATAAAAATTGTCTAGCTCCAAGATTATTCAATTAGAATTAAACAAGGGTTGAATGCTCAATGCAATTAGGTATTACGTACATAGGTTTGACTTTGACCCAAAAAGGAAAAACGCGAAATAGACCCGTTTTTTAGGTAGGGTAATGACTAATGTGGCTTGATATTTCCCACATTCTCCAAGTTCAAAACATGCATCAATTGATCAAGGGGGCCTCCTGACGAAGCACTTTCTCATCTCTTGTGCAGGATACATAGTGTAATGACTACTAGATCTTTATTTAATCAAATAATTGCTAGTATTGAACTTTATATAATTGAAGAGATGTTGAATAAACAAAGTTAACTCATCAATTTTCAGTGGGAATGTTATTGATCTCTATGCTATAGATACTAGCTAATTATCATTCGTTTCGTTTGAAATCAAGCAGCTTTCAATTTAGGCTTTGATCTATACTCTTCATTTACGGGGAGAAAAAAACATTTCTAGTTTTGTTGTATACTCCCTTCGATCCTTATTATAAGACATTTTGATTCCGTCCTAAACTTAATCTAGGATATTTTTTTAATTGAAAAAAAAATCTTAAAAATATATTTTCACATTCGTTGTATTTTCATAATTATTATGAAATGTTTTAAGGTTTTTATCTCAATTAGAAAGACATTTTAGGTGAAATCTAAGACGAAATCAAAATATTTTATAATAAGGAGTGGAAGGAGTATTATATTAAGATCGCATGGAGTATAGTGTTAATAATTTATGTACGGTTTAGTTGGTGAAAGTGTTTAATTTATTGCTAAAGTGTGTGTACTTTTTCTTTAAGTAAGGATTTATGACGGTAAACACTTCAGCAAACGTTTGTTTGGGTCAAAGCGATATAGAGAGTGATTCGGGTGGGGTTCAATGGTAATCAATGGTTAGGTTTATTCTTGGAATATACCATTCTATTCATGTTAGTGCAGCAAAAAAGTGCAAGTGTAGCTTCGAAGCAGCTATCATCATGTTGTTCCTGCCTACCTATTGGACTCATCCATCGATCGATCTAGCTATTTTTCTAATTTGTATTGAGTACAAAAGCACCTTTGAATTACAGTCTTTTCTTGCCAAGTCAACTTCTGAAAATTCCTGAGTTTTATTGCGATTTGAAATTTGGAATGTCGAGGGAGAGATGCCCACATATGTATATATATATGCTACGTTTCAGTTTCTATCTCAATTATTACAATATATAATTTGTTTCATTAAAAATAAAGAAATCCTAATAATTGTAAATCATGCGTTAATGCATTCAGCTTTAACTGTCACAACGATGCAATTAATGCATACATCATACATGCATGGCCAGATCTAAGAATCAGATGGTTCTGTAGAACCCTAGCCTAAGACATCATTTCTTTTATTTTAGAAAAATTTTCCGGTAATATCCATCGTGAAATTATTGTCTAGTTTAGATTTTTACTTTTAATTCAAACTGTAACTGAAAGTGAAAATTCAAACTGGACAATAATTTTAAGACATAAAGAATAATAAAATATGAGATGGTTCCATCGCCACCCCCGATTAGGGGGGACCTCCATGATTAATTAGTGGGCGATTTAGTAACCATGAATGGTTCACATGTGATTAGTACGTCCAGTAGTCTGCAACTAGTTAGCTAGCTAGATAAAGCAAATTAATGTAGAGATGACTGCGCAATAAGATACTAGTAGTAATTATGATCCCCAAAAACCTAAACCTAACTAATTGATTAATTGGTCAGTGGTTTTGAAGTTAAGGGGCTACCATGTGCAAGCAAATGTAAATGTACAATGTGGCTGTTACATTCTTAAGATTTAATTCAGATAAGAATGAACGTGAATGGTGGTGGGAATTCTGGGTGTGGGTTAGATCGTAGGTGCA